TTAGATCATCAGGTATATGACGTATATTCAGTAAAGATATTTTCAAACTCGAATTACTTACTCGACAGCTTCAATAAACTAGCCTGCGTGCAGTCGGTGCAGACGTATGGAGAAATAAGACAATTAATTTCTCCATACGTCTACACGCAGGCTACAATAAACAAGTTATATTTTAGTTGTTGTATTATAATATATTGCCCTACATTATCTGGTATTTGCATATTTTTAATGACGCCCAAGAAAGAAAATGTGTATACACTATAGCTTTGTCTTGACCTATTCCCAAAACCCCAATTTTACTAGCGAATGCAATTTGTAAAATGGCATTGCGTTTGTTTTTTCATGATAGACTTCTAGAGAAACAGACAGTACAACAGTCTGACTTAGAGCAGTTTTATTTATGGCTAGTAAGCCAGAAAGCATCTCGAGACATGATGTGGATGATGACTTTGTCATTCTGCAACAATTTGAAAACATGGCTGACAGTGGTGCATCTTCTGCATCTACCGTTCCTGAAAAGCATACCTTTGAAACCTTGGAGAAGCTTTCAGACGACAGTTTAGCAGGATCTGACACAAATGAGAAGCCAAAAGGTTTGAATAGTTTTGACAGTCTGTATGATCCAAGTGGTTTCAGTAGTTTGGGTGATTCAAGAATCAATGATGTTCCATACTATGAGAGTTCAAGGTTTATTGACAAGCAAGTGGAGAAAGAGAAAATGTTAAGATTGTCAATGGAAGATGATGAGAAGGTGGATGAGCCATGTAGTGAGAAGGGTGGGCCTGTGTTAGATAAGAGTGGAGAGGGGAGTAAAGAGGGAGAAAAGGGTGGATCTCTGGTTGAAAGTGCAGAAGGGAAGGATAGCACTGCCGAGAGTGACAAGAAAGGGGTAGGTAGACATGATGCGGGGTGTGAATCTGCAATTCAAAGTCATAGCCGCGATGGAGATCAGTCTGCTTTGGGTATGAGTGCAAGTAATGTTGAACATAGTTGGATGTATGTGGAGGGTGATGAGGGGGCAAGGAGTGAAGGTGATTGTTTAGGAGTGGAGCTTGTGGATAGGGATGAACAAAAGGAGGAAGTGGATGCAGATGATGAAGCAATGGACAAATATATTGAGGCCAGAGATGGTGAGGATGGTGCAGAGGAAGATAAAAATCTAGTAGGTGGGGTGATAGAGAGCGATGGGGAGGGTATAGTGGTTGATGACTCAGTTGTGTGTGAAACAAAGGCAGAGAAAAAAGATGAAATAAATATGGATACAGCTGACCAAACAAGCCACATCGAGAATATTCCATGTGATGAACAAACTGATATTTCCAAAGAACATTTGAGTGGAGCAGATATCATCCCAGCTGAAAAAAGCATGCACTCTGAAAATGGTAAGTACAGAAGTACTCTGAGGTAGAACTGACAAGAAAAAATGATCCCACATTTTACAGGAAAGTACAACTTTCCTGGTTCATTGCCAGTAAAATATAAGCCAGTACGTTCTCTAAAATAATTAATTAAGTTTGGTTGTCATCAATTAAAATACCTAATTCCAGTGATATTGTTCATTCAGAGAGCAGCAGTATGACTGGTTTGTCCCACCATAGTCAACTGGATCCAGTAGAAGACAACCCTATGACTGAGCACTCAATACTGCATGGACAAGTTCAAGAAGAAGATTTAAGCAGCACTGCTATCAAAAGCCAGGGTCTATCAGGTGAGGGTGCACATGATGACAGTGGTATTGACCAGCTCAAATTATCTAACCCAAATCAGGTCGACCGGGATGCCACAAAGTTACCAAACAATGCCGAACAGGATCTTTCTGAAGTACCTCAGGAAGTTCAAGAATCGGTTAGATCTGAACTAGCTAATGAAGGTCTAAATCAACCAATTCCTGAAGATATGTTTTCCACAAGCCCAACCGAAATTAATGAACCAAGGCAGGATCAACAACCAGTTGAAGATCGTGAACATGATCCTGGCAACCAACCAGACGACCAAGAACCAGATGAGCGACTCCCGAAAAGACCCACACCAGAGCAACAACCTGCTGGAAGATCTAAACCAGGACGACCGAAGCATCAAGCTCCACTCTGTTCATTACGATTTCTACTTGCTTTACTCTTCGCAATATTTTCTGCTTTTGTTGTGCATAAACATCCTGATCTTTTAACTTTTATGCGGTCAGCTAAGGCTCCACTACCGAAGCCGACAATCTCGATGAAAACAAAGATCCATGTTTCACCCTCTGCCCCAAGTATGCAGCTCGTTGCAAAATGCGAGGCTTACAACAGCTCGTACGCAATACACCACTGCCGCTGGAGACAAATCCACCCTCTTGCTACCACCCCCGAAAATACCGTTTTCCCCGGGGATGTCCAAGAATGCCCACCGGCCAACCCCACCGCTCGTGAAGTCGACGCTTCGCTTCACGGCCTAAAGGTTCCCACCGAGTTGGGGACGTACACTTTCGAGGTGGCCTGCGGTCACGAGGCCGGAAACTCCGCGATCAAGCGGGTAGAAGTTTGGATCAACGAACTAAACCCTCCGATTATGACCGTGGGGAACACCACGTTGACCGTTTCGACTTCCACTGGCATTGCAAAGATGGAGGTCTCGTGTAGAGCAGTGCAGGGGAAGATCGTAAAAAGGAAGTGGGAGTATTTTGATGGGCCAGAAGAAGTGGTTTTGGTTACGCCGACGGACGATGGTGTTGTGCACCTTACCAAACCTGGGGTCTATAAGTTCAAGTATCGATGTACAGATGACTTTGGAGGAACTGCGTTAAGGTATGATGTAGAATATAATGCAAGGTTTTGAGGTTATGGATGCGTAGGTGTGCTGATTTGTAACCATACAGGTCCAAATGTATTTCATGACTTTATAATTGATAGCTCGGCCTTTACCATCCACGCGAAGCCTCCTTATGTGCTTGGCATTGATCTGGGAACCTCCACGACTTGTATCGCGATCATCAAAGAAGATGGAACAAGACAAGATATCGGAATTTATGAAGATGAGAGCGATGTCGATCCTTGCATTCCTTCCGTTGTCGCTTTTGCTCTCAATGGTGATCTGCTGATCGGAGAAAAGGCGTTGCGTCAAGCTGTTCTTAATCCAGATTCGACAATATATGAGGTTTGTCTTACACTGAGAATGGTGCCCATATTAGAGAGGGGCCTACATTAGAGAGATGTTCATATTAGAGAGATGTTCATATAGAGGTGCTCATATTAGAGAGTTCGCATTAGAGGGAGGTGTTCATATTAGAGAGGGGTCCATATTAGAGAGGGATCTATATTAGAGAGGGTCTGTATTAAAGAGATGTTCATATTAGAGAGGCGTTAATATAGAGGTGCTCATATTAGAGAGTTATTCAAGATATGTTTATTCTAAATATTTTGTTCTTGTTATTCATGTGTCAGGTAAAACGTCTCATGGGTCGAAGTTACTACGACGATCCCGATCACAAGTTTTCTTACCGAGTCAGGCCAACTCTTAAATCTCATTCACTAAAAGGTGTTCGTGCCGCAATCGAGATCCCGTGCGGAAAGTCCCGGAAGAAGCTCGTACAACCAGAATTGATCAGCGCACTATTACTACGCCACGTCGCGAACTATGCACAAAGGTATTCTTAAAACCAATTGTGAAATCAGAAATCCGTTCTTCGGTGATTTTTTCGACTATATCTTTGGTTATTCTTTATAAAACCAGTCGAAATTAGTTACCAAAGAACTATAGCTCTTAAATAAAGCTAAAATACAATAGAACAGTAACTCCAAATAGCATTGTGTAGTTTTATTCAATCTACGTTTCATAAAGTGTAATTCAAGTGATATTAAGGTCTGTTCACACGATCCAATTTTGTCGAATCCAATTCACTTCTGATGGATGTTTTATAGTCTGTTGTCTTGCAATGTATACAAGCAGCAAATCCACTGAAGCCAATGCAGTACTGCTTCATCAATAACCGACTATATTCCATACGTCAGAAGTGAATTGGATCCAACAAATTTGGATCGTGTGAACAGACCTTTAAGTCGTTTCAACCGAGAAATAGATCTATTTGGCAACTAGTTCCACTCCTTTCCCGCCACTCTGGTATTCGCATCACGTTACTTTAAATCATTTTTAGATATCTGAAGGTCGCTGTCAAAGACGTTGTCATCAGCGTCCCAGCTCAGTTCGACGATTCTCAGCGAAAGGCGACTATGGACGCTGGTTTGATTGCGGGACTCAATACGATCAAGATTGTGAACGAGCCCACCGTCGCAGCGTTTGCAGCAAACAGCCTGACCGAGGTATGTCCAGTAAACTGCAATATCAACTGGAACGCTAACTCCTATATAGTTCAGCGTTGAACTTTGTTGAAGCCAAAAATTGAAGCAAAAAGCTGAGTTTTTGTCTCTGTTTCTCGTTCAATGTTTATAAAAATTAGCAGATGTCTGTATCTTAAATAGTTTTAGATATTCCAAGATAATTGTACCCTCATTATACCCTGTCTCAAACGTTCAAAAACTCAGAAAAACTACCTTCAAATTTGGCTTCAAAGATGGCGGCCAAAGTATTCGCATTCCAGGTTTTAACGTATCTTTCACGATACGCGGCACGTTTTCTTGTACGTATAGTAATGTACCAGTGCTAACAACTTTGCTGTCGCTCAATTACAAGATAAAAACGTATTTTACACTTCTTATTGGTACACAAACTTATTCGCCTTTCTTAGAAATTGCTTGAAACTCCCAACGAAGAGGCCGAAAGCCCTGAGACGGAGAGACAACGACACGCGGTGTGGGCTGTCGTTGCCGACATCGGAGGAGGGACAACGGACTATGCTCTCATGCAAATTCACGGGTCATACTACAAAGTCATCACAACTGACGGCGATAAAACACTCGGTGGCAGAGATATCGACATACGTCTAACTGAAGTTCTCACCCAAATCCTTTCTGACAAATACCTTGGCTTTGACTTGAACGAGAAAACGTTTCAACAGCGTCTGAGAATTGAATGCGAGCTAGCGAAGATCCAATTGAGCGAGCACGAACAATATTCCATGACAGTCGATTACGTTGACCCTGATGGAAATGCCGAAGATATCCCCTTGGAGCATTTGTTAACTCGAGAAGAGTTTGAGAGTTATGTCTCTGAGATTTTACAAGCTATGGTTAAACCACTAGACTCCTTGCTTCAGCGAGCACGATTGTTGGGTCCACAGAATGTCGAAGAGTTGTATCTGGTCGGGGGAACAAGCCACATCCCGATGTTGAAGCGTCTACTTACGGAGTATGTTTTTTAAAGAACAGTTTAGAACTGATAGAGTTATTCAGTATAAATAAAGTTGGTTCAGTTTAGGTTTCCTCCTGTAGTAACACTGGATCAATAAGAGATGATCAATACTGGACCTCTAGGAAGAACAGCTTAGAACTGATAGAGCTATGCAGTTGCAGTATAAATAAAATCAGTTTAGTTTGGGTTACTTCCTGTAGTAACACTGGATCAATAAAAAACTGATAAATTTATTGTTTTTCATCGTAGTTATTTCAAAAACCTGAAAAATACCCGCCATAAAGATCCTGTTCAGTTGGTCAGTCGTGGCGCAGGGGCATTTGGGGCAGCCTTAACAGGTTTGATCCAGGTTGGAAAGATGCCACGAATAGACGTTGTACCGCTGCCCATTAGTATTGCTGTTGATATGGATGACATGCACGTGATCTTTGAACGAAATCATCTTTATCCGTGCATCCAGAAACGAGTGCTGACTACCTACACGAATAATCAAAATGCTATAGTAATCAAGGTGACACAACTTGTTATCAAAATGTTAATACTGCTTGCAAGCTTTCTGAGTTTATTTATACTGGATAGCTCTATCGGTTCTAAACTGTTCTTCCTAGAGATCCAGTAAGGATTATCTCTTATTGATCCAGTGTTACTACAGGAGGAAACCTAAACTAAACTAACTTTATTTATACTGGATAGCTCTATCGGTTCTAAACTGTTCTTCCTAGAGGTCCAGTAAGGATTATCTCTTATTGATCCAGTGTTACTACAGGAGGAAAACTAAACTAAACTAACTTTATTTATACTGGATAGCTCTATCAGTTCTAAACTGTTCTTCCTAAAGGTCCAGTAAGGATCATCTCTTATTGATCCAGTGTTACTACAGGAGGAAAACTAAACTAAACTAACTTTATTTATACTGGATAGCTCTATCAGTTCTAAACTGTTCTTCTTGGAGGTCCAGTAAGGATCATCTCTTATTGATCCAGTGTTACTACAGGAGGAAACCTAAACTAAACGAACTTTATATGGACTGAAAAAATCTTTGAATCTTCAAGGTTTACGAAGGGGAAGGAAGAACAGCGAATGAATGTCATTTTCTTGGAGAATTTGAGCTCTCGGGCATTCCACCTCTGCCAAAAAACGTCCCAGAAATTCAGGCGACGTTCCGGATCGACACAAATGGCATTCTAAGTGTGAAAGCTTCATACGGGGACACGGTGAAAGGAATGAAGCTTGACGTGTATTCGAAATCTGGAGGGATGATTGATAAAACAAGAGAAAACATGCGCCTTCTTTTGAAAAAATTGATGGAAGTGAGCCCTGCGGGTCAAAGCAAGTGTGAAGCTTTAGAAGATGCAACATTCATGGCTGTCATCCCTGTGAAACCGAATAAATCGAATGTTCTAAAGCTCTCTGTTGAATCTGAGGTGAATATTTTCGCTTGTTTCAGACGCCGAACTTCTCATTTCCTGATTTTAGCCGAACTGGACTCAAACAAAACGACTTTAGCTCATAAACCTAGTTTCAGCACATGAAAAGTTCGACGTCTGAAACAAGCTGTGTTGATTATTAATGGCAGTACTCTTTCACTGAGAAAATCATCTCGGGAAAGTTGAAATCCGGTGTTTAAAACTCTTATTTCATAATAGTACGGCAGTGTCACGATGGCCAACCGTTCAGATCCGAGTGCAGCGATTCCCGCCTTCGGTTTGGTTGCCGTTCAAGGCCTGGTGACGGATTACGACAGCATTTCCAAGGAGACTGACCTCGATATCGTGTTGGTGGTGGATGTTAGTGGTAGCATGGCTGGAGTTCCAATAGTGACAATGAAAAATGTTATGCTGCAAATTATTGACAGACTCAAGGAGAATCATCGCTTAGGTGGGTAGAACAGTTTAGAACTGATAGAGCTATCCAGTATAAATAAAGTTAGTTTAGGTTTCCTCCTGTAGTAATACTAGATCAATAAGAGATTATGGACCTCTAGGAAGAACAGTTTAGATTTGATAGAGCTATCCAGCATAAATTTATTTGGTTTAGCTATCAAAACAACTAAAATTAGCCACCCAAGTGTACTAATACTCGCGTGTACTTTTCAAGGTATCGTGACATACTCGACCGGCGTTCAACGTAACCTACAGCTTGTCAGTTGCACAGCACGAGATAAACAGATCGCCATAGACATCGTGAATAGCCTTTCAGCGTTCGGCTCCACAAATCTATACGGTGGGCTTTTGGAAGGCCTGAACATGGCCTACAATGGCGGCAGACGGTCGAGAGTCCTTCTCTTCACCGACGGCTACGCGAATGATGGATTATGGATAGAAAACGAAGATATCATCCGGGAAATTGTACGAGAGAAGACCGCTTTTAGTTTGGTAACGAAGGCGCAGGTGACGCTCTCGACTTTCGGTTACCTTGGAGAACATGACGAAGTTTTATTGCAAGAACTCGCGACAAACGTTGGAGGAGGCGCGTACAACTTCCTGAACGAGAACACGGCCCTGGGGCCCACCGTCGCCAAGGTACTGGGCGACGCTATACACACGATTGCTGAAAAAATACACCTGTCCGTTACGCCACTGGACGATGTCCAAATCGTGGAGGCCATCACGAATTTCGAATCAACACAGGATGGCGAAAAGTTGAGCTTTAATATACCGAGTACTGCGGATCAGCAATCTCGACACATTTTACTCAGGCTAGCTGTGCCGCCCACACGCGAGCCCACGGTACACGCAGGACTGTATCGCGTGGAGCTCACGTACACGAACACGCTGACGGAACGTGAAGAAGGTTCGATAGTAATTCCTTTTATAGAACCAGTGTCAGTTTGAAACATAACTCGCGTGTACGAATTTCGTAGGGCATGCCGTGCAAAAATAGTTCCAAAGATAGGGCAAAATGTGCCAATGTCTTCTCATTGTTTTGTAAATCTCTTTCGTTCCTAAGTTCTGCACGCACGAACCATTCAACATGGAAATTCACCCAAATTAATCTCATTCACAGGCAGTGAAGAATTTCTGTACGTTGCCCGAAGCGAAGAGCTCGATCTCTTGAGTAAGAGTCGCGATGTTGACGAACAATTAAACCGTGTTTTTGTCGCCAGACAAATTAAACTGGCTTTGGAGGCGTTGAAGAGCGAAAACAGCAGAGAAAACTCCGTGAAACTCCTCAAAACGGCGTATGATAAGGTTGAGAAATCCGACTCCAAAGGTAAACTAAGCCGTTTGTCGTTTTAACCGCGTGCGAGAAACTGTTCCGATGCAAGAAAGTTGTTTTTGTCGGCTAAATATTCGTATACATTTTGGCCCAACTAGAATTTCGGATACGTTAATTAAACTTGTGGGAAAATCAGTGAGCCCACCGCAGTAATATTGCGGTATATAGACTTTGATAATCCCTTGAAAACCTTCAAACCTTTGAAGCCTCAAGCTGCATGGTAACTTTTCTTCGAGGAATTTCATTGAGCAAACGCATTTTGACTGTGTAGGTGAGAAATTTGTGATATATTTGTGGTATAGGGCGTGCATTCACACGAAAGTTCAGATGCTAATTCTTGATACAAGAAAGAATTTGCAGACGAAAATTTGCTCTTTAAACAAGACTTCATATAGTATTTGTTTTTCACGAAGGCTCTCTGTGCTTTCTAGGTCATACGTTGAGTGTCTGCTTGAAAGAAGATTTGATGCAACTGATGCAGGAGGTGAGCGAGGGCGATTTGAACTTAGCCAAGAAATCTTTGCAGGATAGTTTAACGAGTCATTGGCAGGAGAAAGGAGGAAGGAATTCATGTTATGTGACAAGAAAAGAGGACAAAATGATCTCAATATTTACAACTTAAAAATGAGTGCAGTGATTTCGTATTTTTTTCCGTAAAGTATTGGGTTTTATTCGTAGATGTTGCGATCTGTGCTTATCACGAAACTTACACATGTTTCTGTCAGTTATATTTGTTAAAATCCTGTCCAAAAACATCCTCGTGCAAACAGGGACAGTGCAATGAATAGTGTTTAAATAGCTTTAATAAATTACGTAAAGATATCCAATCTTTATGATTATCGTAAAATATGAGAAACAGTAAAAAGAAAATCATAAACAAATCATTTCAATGGTTCTTCCACATAGAATTCAGGTAAAACCTCGTAAAAAATTGTGAGAAATCTGTTGCAAACCGCAAATGTATTCGGGTAGAATGTCTGATGCACTAATTTTTCATGTCAAAGACGATATGCTCATGGTATATAGGGAGGGACGATTACAATCATTTCTGACAAGTTCTGGCTGGGAAGCTAGCTCACGGCAAAGCCTTGGCTATATATTGTCTATCATCAAAGAGCAGCTTCGTGTTGTAAATGTAAAGAAACGGAGCCCAAACAGATAATAAGTTAGCTATTGAAGAGGAATGGTTCTCCACCGAGGTAAGATGATCAAAACTGGAGCCTGATCATTGCATTATTCACAGAATTTCGCTCGCGAGAGGGTTAGCTCGAAATGCAAACATGAAGAAGGCTTATGTCTTAGACTGAGATCTTGTCTTCCGGAAAGATCGCTTATCTTGCAAACTACATACAAACAAAAAGCTGAATTTAGCGATGCCATTATCGGGAAACATTGCGCAAGTTTAAACAGCTGCAACTGGGGAAATAATCCCCGAATGATCCTGGTTACTCCGAGTGATCCTGGTTACCCCAGGCACCGGCCGAAGAAAACTTATTTAAAGCATTAAAACTATCCTTGCTCAAATGTGGCTACAGGAGGAACCCAAAAAACTAAACTAACTTTATACTGGATAGCTCTATCAGTTCTAAACTGTTCTTCCTAGAGGTCTAATAAGGATCATCTCTTATTGATCCAGTGTTACTACAGGAGGAAACCTAAACTAACTGAACTAACTTTATTTATACTGGATAGCTCTATCAGTTCTAAACTGTTCTTCCTAGAGGTCCAGTAAGGATCATCCTCTAGGAAGAACAGTTTAGAACTGATAGAGCTATCCAGTATAAATAATACATTTAGTTTAGTTTGACGTCGAACTCAGACCTCTAGACATATATGTATTTCTTATATTCTCTGTACGCCAAGATTCATAAAGTGAACACTGCCGTGTTGATCGTACAATAATTCTATATCTCCTTTGTTTGATGTAGAAATTTTCTATTACACGATGGAACACTGCAGGTTTCATTAAGTAAACAATATAAAATAAATAAATTGTGGCATTTGCTTTTTCTCCGTGCATATGGCCTTTGGTTTAGGCACTTGCTTTTCTTATATTCTGTCGTAAAAAAAGGCACTTTACCGAAGGTCATTACGTCGTTTAAACGTCGGCTTAGAAAGGCCATTCGTTATTTCCATGTTGTTTTGAAAGTCTTAATTGCGAATATGCAAATTTCTGTGTTTCAGACACAATTGTCCGGCAGGCAATTTATACTATGCGAGGGTTATCAATCTTGCAGCTTGGCATTCGTAATTTGAAAGCAGCTTGAGCGAAAGTGAGCCTTGTGTAGGTTGAAATTGGATCTTTTCTGGATTGTTACATCGTTTGAGAATAAAATCACGTCGAAAATTGCTACAAAAAGGACAGTTCTAATCGGTTATGTTTGTTCTAAAACTGAAGCTTTATTCTTTGACAGGTGAGAAAACAATTACCGATGGCCAAAGTATTGTATATTATACAGCATGGCACGAAGCTACACGTACGTTATTAGTATCTTAACTACAATAAATCTTTCGGGAAACCACATTTCGTTCTTTCGTCAAATACACATTCACTTCAACCAATGCATAAAATTAATTCATAGAGACGTTTTTGTGATAAAAGCGATTTAGAGCTTAGCTGGGAAAATGTGGAAAGCTTGCCTACACAGAGCAGTATAAATTATGTTATATCGCACCGCTTTCGATCTTGAGAACTTTGACATTAGCGTCGGTTGAGCACTGAGAAGGCTACGATTTAAATTATATTATTAAATGTCCAATGTATATGATATGTAACAAAATATACTTCGAATAATAAGGGTTTTGAGCACTTATCAGCTGGGACAGTTTAACTCTAATACGTCTGAGTATATAAGCCGATATTATTATTCACTGCTATAACTTGTCTGCTATACTAGACTTTGCAGCTTTTCTGTAATCTTCAAGCGAGTTAGGGCAGCGTTTGTATGGATTTCGATCAAATATTGTTGACTGTGAATCCATGGACGAAACATAGGCATTGGAAAGTGTGTTGAACGTGTTCATGCATTAGTCGCGGTCAAAGCCGGCACAAGAATTAAGGCCTAGCCAAATTATGATAAACATCATTTCACGGCTCATTTTCTTCAATATCGTCATGTTGTTTTGTGGTATAAGAAACTATTGTTTCTCTTTCGCTTCAACACCGTTTCTTTTATTAATATAAAGCCCGGCAATTAGAGCTTATATATTCTTTTATTCTAATATATTTTTATGTGTATAACGACTGCAGTAATACAGGTGGCAACTGTTGTTTTAACTTGCGGTTTTCAAGTGTTGCGTTTATAATATTATTCAATTCACCGAGTCATCGACGTAAGCAAGGTTGACAACATTTTGCCTTATTCATAGCTCTATCTGTCCTAAACTGTTCTTCCAAGAGGTGCAGTAAGGATCATCTCTTATTGATCCAGTGTTACTACAGGAGGAAGCCTAAACTAAACTAACTTTATTTATACTGGATAGCTCTATCAGTTCTAAACTATTCTTCCTAGAGGTCCAGTAAGGATCATCTCTTATTGATCCAGTTCTATTACAGGAGGAAACCTAACCTATATAGGTCTTGTTCTTCCTAGAGGTCTAGTGAGGATCGTTTCTTATTCATCCAGTGTTACTACAGGAGAAAACCTAAATTCAGCTGTATACTGTAAATGTATTACACTGCGGTACCCCCGTCAATTTGAAATTCTTCTTCCAAGAGGTAAATTTAGGTTCATCTTTTTTGTTTCTTCATAAGCTAAGGAAACAACGTGGAGGAGGTGTGGAAAAACGGCAAATTTAACTTTTAAAGTAATATATATTATATTATTTAGCAGCTGAACGCCTTTAATTTCCACAGAACACTCTCAACTAATGACAAAAATTTTACACATACATCTGGTAGCTTAGATATATTTTGATTGTACTGATTCTAACGAACTGTCATTTGAGAACGTAAATGCAGGTGGAATTTCAACAGTTACCAAATTAGATCTAACAATACAGAGCTATCCAGTATAAGTAAAGTTCGTTTATTTTAGGTTTCCTCCTGAACTAACACTGGATCAATAAGAGATTACCCTTACTGAACTTCTAGGAAGAACAGTTTAAAACTGATAGGGATCAATAAGAGACGATCCTTATATACGGGACCTCGAGGAAGAACAGTTTAGAACTGATAGAGCTATCCAGTATAAATAAAGTTATAGTTTAGTTTAGGTTACCTCCTGTAGTAACACTGGATCAATAAGAGATGATCCTTACTGGACCTCTAGGAAGAACAGATTAGAAATGATAAAAAAAAGTTTAGGTTCCTCCTGTAGTAGTCCCTCGTTGCCGTTGAAACTATGACAATTATAAACATTTTTCTAAACTAATATAGCTAACTATTTATTATGAGCTTTCGTATGATTTGGTAAGCTTGCATGATTACAAAACTGGCTAATATAATTCAGGCAGCACATTTCTGGACGGCAATAAGGAAAAGTAATAATAATAAATTGTCGACTTGTTGACTTCTTCAAATAGTTTGATACACATTAGAACGTTTTGCGTGAATTGCGTCAACAAACCCACGCGCATGCGTGGGCAACCTCATGCAGATGCCATAAGGCATCATCTCTGTCCTTATATAGCGGTTTAAATGATGTTATTACCACTGTTTCACCGAGTCATTGTTACCTTAACTGTGAATAACAGAGAGATACGTTGAATATTATTGAAAACATATCAAAACGTGATGAATGACATCTTCACGTGATTCTGACATACTTTGTGTAAATGTATGTAGCGAAATATTTGGAATGATGAGAACTTGCTTGACTGAGCTTTGTCACAACCCGCACACTGAGGATATTTAATGTTGTTTATACAAAGCATTCAGTCTCGCAGTGACCGAAAACAAATAGGATGGAAGCCTGCATGATGCACAGACTGAAATAACGATAAGCTCCACTGCTAAACAATCATGATTCATGTGTTGTAATTTCTACAAACTCGGAAAACGTTTAAATTATCTGGTATCTACCTCCAGCGGGTTGATCTTTCTTTTACCGGGTTGGCTTTTGCTAGGAAGAAAGCATTAACAGCTTCGCACAGGTCTTAATTAACTTTGTAAGTTGATAAATTATCATGATAATCTTGTGTTTTCGATCCAGTGTTACTACAGGAGGAAACCTAAACTAAACTAAGTTTATTTATACTGGATAGCTCTATCAGTTCTAGACTGTTCTTCCTAGAGGTCCAGTAAGGATCATCTCTTATTGATCCAGTGTTACTACAGGAGGAAACCTAAACTAAACTAACTTTATTTAAACTGGATAGCTTTATCAGTTCTAAATTGTTCTTCCTAGAGCTTGGCAGTGAGGATCATCTCTTATTGATCCAGTGTTACTACAGGAGGAAACCTAAACGAAACTAACTTTATTTATACTGGATAGCTCTATCCGTTCTAAACTGTTCTTCCTAGAGGTCCAGTAAGAATCATCTTTTATTGAGACGAGACTAACTTTATACTGGGTAGCTCTACCCGTTGTGAACTGCTCTTAAGAAACTGTCCAACGAATCAGTGCAACCAGATCCTGAGGTTGAACGGTGGTAGGCATGGTAGTAGGCATGCATGCGCGTTAAACAATATCATTCTTTTGAATACGGGGAGCCATATTTTTGCGCAATTTTGTATCATTAAATAAATAACAAGATATTCAACTTAAAAGCCTTGAACTGCTTGAACCAATGACCTTCGGCCAAGATCTGTTAATTTAAACAAACCTGGCGACACTGGGTTGCTCTGAGGTTAAATTTTGCCGATGTTTATTTAACCAAAGGTAAACTATATCATTTACATAACGGCTAATATCACGTTCCCCCATGTTGAGCCACTTCAGTTGCCCGCTGTTTCCCAATGAATATTAAATTTGTGATAAATAAAAGATTGCGTTTAAACACGTAATGTTGTCAGTCTATTCCTTCACAGAGCGAGATGGCTTTCGGAGTTATGTGCGGTAATAATCATGTTGAACAGTTCGTGACTCTAGTGCATAGATGCGTTTTAATTGAGTTTTATCCAGCACGCGCTATAATTTTTACATAAGTTGTAACCAAATTATCGTAAAAAGATTTAAATTAGCATGCATTGAAGTCAGTTTTTCTTGCAAATTCCATTCACTTTGCCGCTTCTGCAAGGACAGTTTAATGAATTAAGATCTTGGCAAAACTTTAGCGTGTTTTTTACACTTGAGTCATCAATGCTTGTTTTGTCAATGGACAATGAATGTTCTCATGTTCACTCTAAGCAGATTGATTCGCTGTATTTACGATACATTTGTTTGCAAATTCACCGGCCTCGGTTTGTTCATTGTCAAACCGAGTTGACTGTTTATATAATTTGACTATTGTTTCCCGTTTTAATCTATTTCAGCTATAATTGATAACTGGTTAGTCTAATTATGTACAAAAGCTGAAGGCTTTCACCACATCGAGCTAAGATTAAACACGACAACGAAACTAATACGGGCCGCATTTGCGAAAGATATCTCGACCATGTAGCACACAGGCGTCAGGCGATGGAAAGTGTTTAAAAAATGGCGCGCACTTCTCTTCCAAGTGCTTCAGTGCTGCCTCGTGGGAAAACAGACTCGGCGCGTGTGAGACAAGTTAATTGAGCCGAATTGGTTTTGCGACGCACTGTTGACAGCTATGGAATAATCTTATATCATCTTCGCTTCGGGATCCATTCAGTATATATCTCGGTTTAATTTTGGTTCAATCAGTCGCATAACGGTGAACGGAATCTTCAAGGAAGCGCAAGAAATTTGCTCTGACAAAAGGTGGGTAGAATATACGACTCTGCGCGTTCACGGGCTGTTGTAGTTGACTGCTTTGCTTCACGCGATAAATTTATATGAACGTCCCAGATTTGTTAAAATTTGTATCGCCTTTATTGTCGTGATTTTATTAAACAAAACCGAGGATTTTCAGAGTGGATGATTGTTCAATTAAACTCCAATTACGCTGAAGCCTGGATTAAAATTATTGAACCAGTTGTTTTGCGTATTTGTGCTTGGCAATTCGTTGCAAAGCTTCCTGAAATGAAACCTTCATTTAACTGCGAAGGATTTCTGAAATGCTAGCACGATGAACCTAATTTTGGTTTGAAACATTTAAAGTTAACCAGGCTAAGCGAAACAGCTTTTTAAAAACAGCCGCCAAGCGATTGCTTTGTCATCTAACACCAGGCATAAATACCAACAGTTACTCAGCATCTTTAAGCTCGGCGTCCAGCGAGAATCTTTTCCGTTACTCCTGATTAAAACCGGAGTTTTGCTATCGCTTTCACGCTTTCCCTTAGGTTTCATACTCAATGTAACTCTATAAGATTCTAAGCTGCTAGTTCGTAAGGCGCAGATAAAACCAGCCCAAATGCCTTCAATGATGAAGCTGTGCTGTGTAGAGTCAAGATTGGCCTGGAAGTGCTCTTCTCCGCTTGCTTGCACGCCATGCGGCTGTTTTCTATAGTCATAATTCAGTCAGTCGCAACGATTTGCGGGACATTCGAGCCCCAGGAATTGTTTATAGATGATAGAGGATTGGAAACAACTTGAATAAGGCCGGTAAATGTTTATATATCGCGAGGAGCAATCTTTAGTCGGCTTTTGTGTCTGCGATATTTCAGTAACATTTGTTTCATCTTGTTGACAGCTGATTGTTAAGATCGCAAGTCTTCAATTAATTGTTATGTATCTAACACTTCCTTTACCTAAACATTGCTTCGACGTGGTTCTCCTTTGAACACGCAAACTACTAAAAAAACTATGACTTTAGAGAATGTTGATGACGGAATGGATTATAAATGGATACTTACAAACGTTTGAATTGATTTGACCAGTAGACACAGTAGACCAGTAAACACTGGATCAATAAGAGATGATCCTTACTGGACCTTTAGGAAGAACAGTTTAGAACTGATAGAGTTATCCAGTATAAATAAAGTTAGTTTAGTTTAGGTTTCCTCTTGTAGTAACACGGGATCAATGGACCTCTAGGAAGAACAGTTTAGAACAGACAGAGATGCATAACATCATTACCTTAACCAGGCTGGGCTTACCCCAGCTAGACACAGGCAAGTTGTTTGAATAAACTGATGATATTGCATGCGGATCTTCCAGACTGGCCGCCATGTTGAAGGTTCCCACTCCACATGCCGACGTGAGACGCGGCGACGCAGCTCTGGAGATGCCAAACGACGGACGATACGAAAAGCGTCGACGACTCGGAAGTTCGATTTCATCAAAGTTATCAATCCGACAAGCTGACCTGGATCTGGAAGAATTTCAACCTGTTGCGTTTTTTTGCTTGAAAAGAGATAGCAAACCACGAATCTGGTTCATAAAACTCATGTCTTGGCCGTATCCTTTCAAACCCTTTTGCAAAAAATTTGCTTGTCGTTTAAATAGTTCTATCAGTTTTAAACTATTCTGTTGAGGTCCAGTAAGAATCATCTCTTGTTGATCCAGTGTTACTACAGGAGGAAACCTAAACTAAACTAACTTTATTTATACTGGATAGCTCTATCAGTTCTAAACTGTTTTTCCTAGAGGTCCAGTAAGGATCATCTCTTATTGATCCAGTGTTACTACAGGAGGAAACCTGAACTAAATTAACTTTATTTATACTGGATAACTCTATCAGTTCTAAACAAGATCAAGAACACTTAATTGGCATTGAAGTGTAAGGCTAACGTCAATGCCTAACTTCCGTAACTCTCAATTAAAATACTGCTTACATGTTAAACATCGTCGGTCGGCATCAATCGTGAAAGCGGTTGATTAAATAAACCGATAAGAGTCAAAATTTAGCATGCATTTATTAAGAAATTCCGTTGTAGATTACGCGTGCCAGTTAAGGAAAAATCACTAAAGTAATTAATCAAAGTCTTCTCAATGATATCTGTTTGGTCTTTTTGCCTTCGTAAACATTGAATACGTGACATAAACACGTGAAAAAACAACTGGCTTGGTTGGTAAATACGTTCTGTTGATCTACAGGCAAGATTAAAAACAATTTTAAGACGCTGTAGGTTTTAGATAATTTGAAGATTAGCGGCTCCGTCCATTATAGGTACTTGAAAACAATTTATCGGCTTATCGCTTATTAATTTAATCATTTTCGCAATTAGTTGGAGAAGCCGCTGTTTGCACAAGAAGTGAAATGTAATTTTCTTTGCAACAATAGGCTGTTCTATGATAAAAATCTCATCCACATATGGAAGAGTATTTTAGCTTTGATGCCCCGTATATAATATAGCACTTATCAATAAGAGTTAGACCTATAGACTGATAGAGCTATCCAGTATAAATTAAGTTAGTTTAGTTTAAGTTTCTTCCTGTAGTAACACTGGATCAATAAGAAATGATCCTTACTGGACCTCTAGGAAGAACAGTTTAGAACTGATAGAGATATCCAGTGTAAATAAACTGTTAGTTTAGTTTAGGTTTCCTTCTGTAGTAACAGGAGATAAGAACAGTTTAAAACATATAGATAGAGCTCGTATCTCGTAGAAACTTATATATTATTCGTAAGATATATCTTCTTGACGGTATGCAGATGGTTTGAGCGAGTCAGTATTCTGGTGATATTAGTCAACTGTGTCACACTAGGAATGTACAATCCGTTTGACATGGATTGTGTGTCCGAGCAATGTCAAGTTCTCGAGAGACTAGAGACCGCTATCTACGTTTTCTTTCTGGTGGAAATGTTGGTAAAGTGGCTTGCAATGGGATTGTTCGGGAAAAAGGGGTACTTCAAAGACTCTTGGAATAAACTGGACTGTTTTATTGTAGCGGCTGGGTAAGTGAGATCTCTATGAAATACTGGAGCAGAATAGCCGTTGGACATCGTTTATGTCTCTTGTGTTCTTTACAACACCATAGACTATCTCATCAATAGAAGCGTGTGTTTTTCTGCTTTGCAGGACTTTTGAGCTGGCTTATGGTGAAGGAGAGTACCTGAGTGCTGTTAGATCAATCAGGGTTTTGAGACCGCTTCGTGCAATCAATAGAGTTCCAAGTGAGTTGCCACCTTAAATGAAGTGACTGAGGCTCGCTAATGCTGTCAATGCATTATTTTATAAACATTTAGACTTCATTTGATAAGAAATTACCTACGATTCATACTTAAATAAACCTCGAGTGAACCTTGCTTTAATTCCCATGTTTTGAATTCAATCCTTTTTCCCTGGGTCTAATCAAATCTTCTCAGTTCTCAAAACACGTATAGAGAAATTGTAAACTCTTTTCAGGCATTCGTATTCTAGTGACGCTTCTTTTGGACACCCTGCCAATGCTTGGCAATGTTCTGGCGATTTGTTTCTTCATCTTCGCCATTTTTGGCATCATTGGTGTGCAACTTTGGCAGGGATTGCTGCGGAGTCGATGTTTTCCTGATCAACTTAACGACACCATTATTGCCGAGTAAGTATCTTTGAATCTGCCCGACCAAATCAATGATCAGCTTTCAGGCCTAGGAGGAACTTGCGGCTGATCTTTAGCTCAAAGTAGAGAACGCAACAGGGTAAAATAACCACGTAGTTGACACCACGAAGCACGTAATAGGCTCTAATGGGCACGCAGTTTGGTAAATAGGCGAGAAAACCGGTTGAAAGGAGCACGTCGACCGCTCGTGAGGCCACGTAAAATGGCGAGTCGAAATATCACGAAGCCCACTCATGTAGGACCTAACTCGATACTAAATCTACCTACAAGATTGACAATGCATCAAGGGGCTATTATAGGGTCACATAAGCACAAATAATACATTCTACTGCAACTTCTGAATAGCTGATACCACTTTAGGAAGCACCAATGTCATTTTCTCTCTTCTTTAGGAACAACCTATCCGCTTTCTACAAACCTTCGTTTGACGAGCCGGATTACGTGTGCTCGTTGCCTGAAAATAATGGCTTATCAAAATGCGACCAGAGTAACTTTGATTACCACGACTTCAGTAGTCGCGAATGCAACAACAGCAACGCCACAAATTCTTCATCGTCTCCCTGTGAAAACTGGCACCAATATTATACAACCTGTCGTGACAGTGGAGTTAATATATTTTGGGGGTCCATTTCCTTTGATAACATTGGAATTGCAACCGTCGCGATATTTCAAGTGAGTTGGTGAAACTAGGATGATGGCATTATCAGTTCTAAACTGTTCTTCCTAGAGGTCCAGTAAGGATCATCTCTTATTGATCCAATGTTACTACAGGAGGAAACTTAACTAAACTAACTTTATTTATACTGGATAGCTCTATCAGTTTTAAACTGTTCTTCCTAGAGGTCCAGTAAGAATCATCTCTTATTGATCCAGTGTTACTACAGGAGGAAACCTAAACTAAACTAACTTTATTTATACTGGATAACTCTATCAGTTCTAAACTGTTCTTTTTAGAGGTCCAGTAAGGATCATCTCTTTCTTATTTGCTTTCAGATAATTACATTGGAGGGTTGGACGGATATCATGTATAAAATCCAAGACGCTCATTCCTTTTGGAATTGGTTGTATTTTGTTGTTTTAATTCTGGTAAGACTTCAGCTTCATTTTTTAGTCCGTGCGTTTTATGTGTGGAGCATCTGGAGTCGAGTCAATGTTTTGTGAAAAAATAGTTCTTAAACTTCTGAATTTCCAGCTTGGTTCTTACTTTATGACAAATTTATGCCTCGTCGTGATCACGTCCCAATTCCAGGAAACCAAGCAACGAGAGACTGAACTTCTTAAGTTATCACGCATGCGTTCTCGCGCCAGCGTCAGCACGCTCTCCTCCAGTTTCCTTCAGCAAGGCTGTTACACGCAGATCTTACATTACCTGGAGCACTTGTGTCGGAGGTTGGAACGTCGTGTAAGAGCGTGTTTGAAGAGAGAAAAGGCTCCGAAACGTCGGCGTGTGAGGCCTTGTATGCAATTGAAGAACCGTAAGGATAACGTCAAGTCTATCCATCATCATCACCATCATTACCATTACTACCACCACTATGTCCATCATCGTCCATGCCAATGTCCCAGCGAAATTTCCGACTCCCCGCCAACCACAAGCGAGCCTGCAGGCTCCGCAGAGGTGTCCAGCGGTGTATCGCCACCTGCGGCCGACCACGCCGTGGGGATAACGCAGGATGTCCAGGAATCGAGGAACGCTAATGAAGGCAAAAGGATATTGGTGGTCCCGCAGATACAAGTGTTTGCTCAGGCCGCCACTGCATTGTATACGGATGCCGACACAAATACGTCAGGAGAAATGGTATCCACGGCAACGGCGAATATTAATATGCAAGGTCACGGTTCGTCAGCTAGTGTCGTCACTTACAGGTGAGCTCTATTTGAAACTGGATTAATTTGTCTCACAAGTTCAATTCAACTTGTTATTCATTTGGCATCATTTTCATGCTGCCTAACATGACTGTCTTATTCTAGCAAAACTGCTGATCCGGTTTCGGTGGCAGCGCAGGCGACAACTAAAACCATCGAAGCGGCGTGCTCGTGCGCGACCAAGCAGGCTGGCGAGGACAATGTTCACGTAATCACGAAGGCATACTGGGATTCAGCGGATTCCTCCGACGATAATATGGGACACAGCGAGACGAAAGGGGGTAACTCTTGTTGGGGGAAGTTTCGAGACAAAATGAAAATATTAGTGGAAAGCGCGCGTTTCACACGCGTGATCATGGCGTCAATATTCCTCAATACGATTTGTATGGCCGTCGAGCATCATGGACAGGTATGTAGGGTGCTGATGATGACGACTCTTGTTATAGTTCTTCAGATTCTCCGTCCCAAACATAACACTACACACCGAAAAGCTTCGCATGTTTTCAACAAACGCTGGTTGTTTTCAGCTTTCTAACAAGTTGGGTTATTCCAGGCAATGCGAACACATTCTGATAAAAACAACGATCTAAGATTGCTGTGAGTTCTGTTACAAATTTTGCGTTGTACGTGTGGGTAATTAACTCTTTCTGTTCTTCAGCCCGAGAAAATGACGAACACTCTGGAAGTATTCAACATCTTGTTCACAACAATATTTGCGCTAGAGATGCTTGGCAAAATTATGGCGTTCGGACCGTATGGATACATAAAGGATGCTTACAATCTCTTTGATGGAATCATCGTTATCGTCAGGTAAGAAACTTGATAAAAGATAAAAAAATCTTACCCAACAGTTGAGTATTTCCTTCTAGTGAAAGGCTGAAATCCATGCAGTATTGTTAAACGCGTGACCGGAATAATTCACTGCTTACTAAATAGATCACGAGCGACTCGTATAAATGGTCAAATTATTTGCAGCAGACTTACAGTGCAAATAGGCTCAAGGTTGAAAGCTAGCGATAGTTTATCGCAAATTGGTTATTTATTTAAGTCCAGCGTATACAGTCTATTGAAGTTGCTGTGATGACTTTTTTTCTTCATTTTGACTCCTACTGCATTTTACTCTTGTTCTTCAGGGTATAATATAAAATACGTTTCCAGCAGTTTGAAAATCTTATATCTGTCTGAATTCCTTTACAGTTTTACAGACATCTTCGCGGACAATGAAACAAGTGGTATCTCAGTCCTTCGTTCATTTCGCTTGCTTCGTATTTTCAAGTTGGTTCGCTTCATGCCTGCCTTACAACGCCAGCTCTCTGTCATGATCAAGACCTTGGACAACGTAATGACCTTCCTGGCTCTACTCTCCTTATTCATCTTTACATCAAGTATCCTCGGGATGCATCTGTTCGGAGCGAAATATCGGTTTCCGGATGAAGACGGTCAGTTGGTTACGTCACGTGCTAATTTCGACACCCTGTTCTGGGCGGTGGTCACCGTATTTCAGGTGGGCAGGCTAAATACTCGTAGGTTAGATAGATTGAAATGATGGACTGGCTCATGACCGAATAATATGGAGAACAGCGTGAGATTTTATCAAGACAATGAATCATACCTGGTGTCAATGATAACTTCTTTCACTGTCTTCATTGTCAACAATTTTATTTTTAGGTTTTAACACAAGAAGATTGGAATGTTGTTCTCTACGATGGCATGCGTTCCCTGTCGTCTTGGGCAGCCCTGTATTTCATCTTTCTTATGATTATTGGAAATTATATTCTCTTCAATTTGCTTGTTGCCATTCTTGTTGAGGGGTTTGCTGACCATTCGGTATGAAGGCATTTTTTATTAATGCATACAAGAAAACAGGACACAGTTTAGAAGAACTGTTTAGAACTGACGGAGTCATCAATTGCCAATAAAGTTAGTTTAGTTTAGGTTTCCTCCTGTAGTAACACTGGATCAATAAGAGATGATCCTTACTGCACCTCTAGGAAGAACAATTTAGAACTGATAGAGCTATCCAGTATAAATAAAGTTAGTTTAGTTTAGGTTTTCTTCTGTAGTAACACTGGATCAAATTTATTTATTTATAGGAAAATGAACGACTATCTCTGAAGAGTGAGAGAGACCAAAACGCCACCTTCTATCTATCACCAAAACTCCGCCGGAACCGGCAACAAGAAAAACCCGATAAAGAATTGGCGCTTTCTTGGCCCAACATAAATACCTTAATGCGCGATGGTGATTTGGAAACAGAGCAGAGCTTAACGAGATGCAATTCCGCCCCAGGGATGAAGACCCGGTCACCAAAACCTCAACGCTGTAATTCGTATTTACACGTTCTTACAGTTGATGCATTGGAGTCTGGGCACTCGACTGAGGAGTCTGGGAAGAATGAAAGAAAAAGGTGCACCTCGCCTGAAGATGAGGTGAGCTTCACACAGTATAGAGACTGGAGTAACGATTGTAGAACTGAGCCAAACCAGCTGATATTGGATTTGTAAGGATCATCTCTTATTGAACCAGTGTTACTACAAGAGGAAACCTAAACTGAACTAACTTTATTTATACTGGATAGCTCTATCAGTTCTAAATTGTTCTTCCTAGAGGTCCAGTAAGGATCATCTCTTATTGATCCAGTGTTACTACAGGAGGAAACCTAAACTAAACTAACTTTATTTATACTGGATAGCTCTATCAGTTCTAAACTGTTCTTCCTAGAGGTCTAGTAAGGATCATCTCTTATTGATCCAGTGTTACTACAGGAGGAAACCTAAACTAAACTAACTTTATTTATACTGGATAGCTCTATCAGTTCTAAACTGTTCTTCCTAGAGGTCCAGTAAAGATCATCTCTTATTGATCCAGTGTTACTACAAGAGGAAACCTAAACTAAACTAACTTTATTTATACTGGATAGCTCTATCAGTTCTAAACTGTTCTTCCTAGAGGTCCAGTACATACATTCCAGTGTTACTGGAGGAGGAAACCTAAACTAAACAAACTTTATTTATACTGGATAGCTCTATCAGTTCTAAACTGTTCTTCCTAGAGGTCCAGTAAAGATCATCTCTTATTGATCCAGTGTTACTACAGGAGGAAACCTAAACTAAACTAACTTTATTTATACTGGGTAGCTCTATCAGTTCTAAACTGTTCTTCCTAGAGGTCCAGTAAGGATCACCTCTTATTGATGCAGTATTATAATACTAATTTATATATAATATATTACTGCAGAAGGAAACCTAAACTAAACTAACTGTTTTTAGGATATCTCACTTGTCAAGCAAGCGGGTCAAGATGGCTGCTCTGTGAACCATAATCGAAACTCTTTTTTCAAACGGCGTGCATGTTGGTCTCTGTATCTATTCTCACCAGAAAACAGGTGCGAATCATAAATATAAGGAAAATGTCATGAAAAGTAAATCATTTTAGATCCACTCTGAGACATAATCCTTGCCGCAAATTGTTTTATTTCCTGCTACAGGTTCCGTCAACTAATGGTCAAGTTTCATAATCATGTCTGGTTTGATCGTGTCGTTCTTTTCTTCATATTATTCAACTGCGTTGTTATGGCATTGGAAGAACCTGGTCTGGACAAAAATAGCAAGGTTGATATGTTCACTGATCGGTTTTTAATGATGGTTCTGCAGACAGGAACGTTGGAACCGCGAAAGGCAGCAAGAAGTGCTTTTTAAGAGCGCACTTTCTTATCAATTGTAAAATCATATGGACATTTTCCCTGTTAAAAAAAGTGCCTGTGTGCTGAGGAAGTATTCACAAAACAACCGTGCTAAAAACATAAATTATATTTCTTTTAGACCGCCCATTTTATCTACATCACACAGTATATTTTTACGGCGATATTTACTATTGAAATGTCGATAAAGGTACTTGACTATATATATTCTAAAAATCAATAATTTTAAACGAGAAACCCCGGTAGACTAACTCCCTGCTCTTTCAATCAGGTGATATCGTTAGGGCTGATCATTGGGTCGACGGCGTACCTGAAATCAGGGTGGAATGTAATCGATGGCGTGTTGGTCCTCTTCTCATTGGTCGATCTTGTCGTCTCCTTGACAACGGACACGCAAAGTGGCATTCTGGGAGTATTGCGTGTCTTCCGCGCGTTCAGGACACTCAGACCTTTACGGTAAAGAGTAAAGACACCAAATATATAAACTTACTTCGCATTTTCTTACCAGGCTGAAATAAATCTGAATCTTTAATCTGAGTTAGGTCCTATATACCGAACTACGGGCAATTTCAAAGCGAATAAAAACTACTAACCTATGGTAGCGCTATCCAACTCTCCCCTAGTCTTTTGAACCAGTTAAAATGTGCATTTGTGAACGGTAAAGCAGTATAATATCTTGTGTTTAGTGTCATCAATCGAGCTCCTGAACTTAAATTAGTCGTTGAAACATTGCTGAGTTCTTTGAAACCAATTGGAAATGTCGTTTTAATCGCTGCCACATTTTTTACCATTTTTGGAATCTTAGGAGTTCAGGTAAGATTTAAAATTCACTGCGAGAACTTCTCTTCACAATCGCAAACTTGTATGCAAAATGCCTACATCAAATCCGAAATCGCATGAATGTTTGTTTTTGATTAACTGAACTCTTGTGTTTCAGTTGTTCAAAGGAAAGTTTTACTCGTGTGATTTGGATGAGAAGTCTACCATTGAAATAAAGAATAAATCTCAGTGTCTTTCAAACTCAGGAAAATGGGGGAACAACGAATATAATTTTGATAACTTGGCTCGAGTAAGTAAAGAGGCAACGATTAAGAATCCATTTGTAAACTATCCTGCTTAAAATCTTAATTTTATGAGGAAGTCTAGGCGGCAAAGCGAAGTAATATGTTGAACTTGAGGCTATCACAATATTAATGCAACTGTTGTTAACACTTTTCGTTTTTAGGCATTGTTAACACTCTTCGTTTTCGCGACAAGAGATGGCTGGGTGTCGATAATGTACTCTGGGGTCGATGCTGTTGGAGTCGACGAACAGCCACAAAGAGATCACTCGAAATGGAATGTCCTGTACTTTGTCGCGTTTCTTCTGCTCGCTGGCTTCGTTGTTCTCAACATGTTGGTCGGTATCGTGGTCGAAAACTTTCACAAATGTCGAGACGAACTTTTGAAAGAGCAAAACTTGCATAAAGGTGAAAAAACAGAGATGGAGGACAGGCCAAGAAGTAACTCGAGTAAGTGAAGATGTGTTTTAGTTTTTGGGTGATACAAGTTTGTATTCTGGATGTTTGGTTCGAGTGAGATATTTGTGTTTAGTTTCAGATATTGATTACGGATCGTTTCCACCTTGGAGGCAAAAGATGTTCGTGTTTGTGACTCATGATTATTTTGATTTGGCCATTGCCGTTGTGATTGCAATCAATGTGCTGTGTATGGCGATGGAACATTATCAACAACCTCAGGTATAGTATAAAATTACCACAAGATAGTGTATGGTATGGTATGATGTGGTGTGGTGTGGTGTGGTTTGGTTTGGTGTGGTGTGGTGTGGTGTGATGTGATGTGATGTGGTGTGATGTGGTGTGGTGTGGTGTGGTGTGGTGTGGTGAGGTGTGGTGTGGTGTGGTGTGGTGTGGTGTGGTGTGGTGTGGTGTGGTGTGGTGTGGTGTGGTGTGGTGTGGTGTGATGTGGTGTGGTGTGGTGTGGTGTGATGTGGTGTGGTGTGGTGTGGTGTGGTGTGGTGTGGTGTGGTGTGGTGTGGTATGGTATGGTTTGGTGTGGTGTGGTGGTGTGGTACGATACGGTATGATTCGGTACGGTATGCTATGCTATGGTATTGTATGGTATGGTACGTACAGTCCTTTATCTCATCCAATCATGTATTATTTTATTTTCATAGAACCTGACCTTATTCCTCAAGTACGCCAATTATGTGTTCACCATCTTGTTTATTATCGAGGCTATTTTAAAGATACTCGCTCTGGGAATGAAGAATTACTTCAGGAATAAGTAAGTATAAGATTTGCATTACTGAAGGTCGAATATACGAGATATTATATTCTCGGTCTTAGTAATAAAACAATTGTGAAAGTTAAGACAAGAATTAGCCAGTCAAGTCAATATGGTGAGGTGCTCATGAGGTAGAAAAGGTACATGGATTGACTTGGTTTTTGTGATAATTTTCAGGTGGAACACCTTGGATATGATCATCGTAATACTCTCAATTGGTGGGATCATTTTAGACGAACTTGCCACGTCCAACCTTCCGATGAATCCAACAATCATCCGCGTCATGCGTGTGCTGAGAATCACCAGAGGTATTGTAAAGATGCATAACACAGTACCCCTGCACCCGGAGCCTTTCGGAGAAATTTAGTGGACTGGGGGAAATCAACTTCGTACAAATTTTCAATCTACCAAACATTAATCATAGCTTGCTTATTTTGGACTTCTCTGTGTGATATGTATGTTACCCCGGGGCACATATGTGACCACACCTTTATTTCAATCTGTAAATATGCATTTGAATTTTTATCCAGTTTTAAAGCTCTTGAAAACGGCAGAAGGAATTCGTTCATTGCTGGACACCGTTGGAAAAGCTTTACCGCAAGTAAATATCTGATATTTGTTTTCTTTGACCGATTATCTTCTTGGAACAGTTCAGGATTATGTTGGGATCAGATCAGCTTTAGGTCATGGCAGATCAGCTTAGGAACTGGCCAAGATTAGATCAAGGTCGGTTCAGGATCTTTAAAACATCAGGATCATCTGCTCGAAGCTAGGATAGCTGATGTACTGCATTTTCATCCATAGGTTGCAAACCTTGGCATGTTATTTCTACTTTTGTTCTTCATATTCGGCGCCTTGGGGATGGAATTGTTTGGAAAGATTTGTGAGTGTCACTACTTATCCTAAAAACTAGCAATCAGATCCAACTTCACTCTTATGATAATCCTTTCAAGAGATCCATATTAGAGATGGTTGTCAAAAACTCTCAGTAGTTTTACCTATGGTTGTGTTGCACCTTGTATTTCAGCTAACGAGTTAACTATCAATGTACAACTTAAGAAGATCATTATCTTGTTACTTTTGTCCAATTTAGCTTGCGAAAAGGTTGAATGCGCAGGTTTAGACAGACATGCGCACTTCAGGAACTTTGGTTACGCTGTGCTAACTTTATTTCGCGTGTCGACTGGGGACAACTGGAATGGAATCTTAAAGGTAAATATGGCGCCACTACTTCATACACAGTGCCTTAAAGCATTGCAGAATTATAAAACAGATCTACTTTAGTTGTTTATCGATTCTTTAATTTCTCTTGCAAAGCAATCGTGTTATAAAATAATTCGTCTGTGTTTTGCCAGGACACAATCGATTCTAAACGATGCGATACAGGAGAAATTGAGGGCTGTGAAATCATTCAAAACATTGCTCCAATCTACTTCGCGTCATTTGTCCTGATCACTCAATTCGTGCTTCTGAATGTTGTCGTTGCGGTCATGATGAAGCATTTGGAGGAGTCCAAAATCGACGAAGGTAAAACGGTTAAGAACCAGTCTCCAAGAACGCCCAGGCTGTTTCTCGGAACACCGAATACCCCCCGGAGATCCAAGAGTTCTCCCAGGATCTTAAGAGGTTCCCAGTCATCGTTTCGTTCGGGAAGAAGCGAAACTGGTATTTTGAAAAAGAAGGGATCTCCTAACTCGGGCAGCGGTCAGCGTCGGGCAAAAAGTATGGACGAAATCAGGAATAATAATAATGCTTTAATTTTCCATTCTGGGTCTGAGTCTGATAGTTATATTGACGATACAATACTAAGGAAAACACCGAGAGTGATCACTGCGGATTTGAGGCAAAGGAAACCATCTTTAGAACACGAGCATTCTCATGAAATGGTTAAAATTGAGAAGGAAACAACCTCTGCCAATTCTAAAAGTTCCACGCCTGCTTTGGAAATTGTTGAACTGGATGATCGCGTTCCCTCGGTAGCATTCGTTAAATCCTCGGAAAGGCTTGCCAAATCCATGGAGAAACTTCCGAAATCCTCGGAAAATCTCGTGGATCACTCGACATCATTCATTGAACCATTTACAAGTAACTTGGAATCTTTGTCGAAGCCCTCGGAACCAGCCGTGAAATGCCCAGAGAATCAGCCGGGGAACCCAGACGAACCACTCGTGACACCATCGATACCTTTCGTGGTAAACTTAGAGGATGGAAATGATTCAGAAATTGATGGAATGAGAAATAAAGAAATGCAGGGAAAGGATCTCGTTCAAAGCGATGCTGACCCCCCTGTAGGTATTAGTAAAGAAAGTAGATCTGGACCTCGAGACGGGGAAGGAGGGAAGAAACATATGACGAAGAACGGACACTTGGGAAAAAGTGGTGATGGAGAGAAATTTTCAAAGGAAAATAAAGAAGAGAAAAAGATAGATAATGCGAAAGAAAAATTGTTGAAGGAAGATGAAATAATGAAGAAGGAAAATAAAGTGCAAGAAAAGTTGTCGCAGGAGAATAAAGGAAGAAAGAAAACAGATAATGTGAAAGAGAAGTTGTTGAAGGAGTGTAAAGCAATGAAAGATGAGGATGAAAAGTTGCATGTTGCGAGAGCATTAGAGAAGACGGGAGAGCAAAAGAAGGTAGTGGAAGAGGGAATGAAGAACGAAATTGAAGAAGATGGGCTGAAGAGTGGTTTGGAAGAATGGTTGGAGAACAAGGGAAATATTGAATCGGACAAATCAAAGGATGTTGGTCGAGAACAAGGTAATGTCACGAACAGTAAACATGAAACTAAAGATGATAAAATTAAAGGCGGTGAAACACTCCAGAAGGGAGAGTGTGTAGGTAAAGATGGTGCTTTGAATGTGGAGCAGAATTTAAGGCAAGAAATTCGCAGAGATACCTCAACCCTGGATTTAGATCAAAAGAAAAGACAGGAGGAGGAACAGGACTTGAAAACTGATGGGAAACAACGGGAGAGAAAAGAGAAAAACAAAGAAGATGAACCTTCAGGGTTAGACAAGAGACCTGAAGTGAACTCGATGGATAACCTGGTAGAAATCCAGGATGTGAATAAGGAACATTTCGGGTTGGATGTTGCATCGCAGCCGAAGGATAATAAAAGACAAAGAAGGGAGGTGAAGAGTGGATCTCAAGAGAACTTAATTGATAGAACCATCGAGGAAGCTGATTCACACGAAGAAGAAGGAAACACAAGAAAACGCTTTCATGGTATTCGGCTGGAGCCATTACCAGATAATGTGACAAAATTAACACCTCCAGGGAGTGTTGTTTGAATGATTATATCAGGCGCTGGCGCACGATAAATAAGAAAAATTTATAATTTGGCATACCAAAGATTTGGGGAGGGGGGATGGGTGTTGTTTGGGGGGGTCACATATCGAGTGCATATACTCTATTGATCAACTTAGGTTGATTAAAAAATTGAGACTATTCCCAGTTGGGAAGTATTTGAACATAATATTCGCTGTCTTGCACGACAAAAAAATTATTATATCTTGCAATAACCCGGAAAACTATTATTTATAAAAACAGTTTGAATCGCAGTTAGTTTAGAAAATTGACTATATCATGGATAGTTTTAGATGATTTAAGATATGAATATTTTATATTAAATGTGACGTCACTTTTTTTTCTTTGCCTTTATTTGTCAACATTAATCTTCGCATTTTTTCTAGAAAATCTTTGCTTTTAGCCAATCAAATCGAATTGCTTTTAGCCAATCAAAATGACGTGGTTTCAACCAATCAAATCTTTTCGCGATGCACGCAATTCGTGGAAAACGTCTCGTTTGCACCCGCGCGTGGAATTTGGCGCGGGATTTAAATCGCGCAATACAATATGGCGACTTTTTTTCAAATAATATATTTTTTTACTTTTTTACAAAGTTTTTAACTAAAATTTTATAATTATGGATGGCATGGTTCGACAAGTCTTGACGTTATGTCCTGACGCAGATCAGGACGAAGTGGAGAGGGATTTAAACTTAACAGGAGACATTGAAATCACACTGAATCGCGCGCTGGATGGAATGGTAGGTGATAGTTCAGTATGCGCGTGATTTATCATTTATGATCTATTTTTATGCATGAAACATTTTTATTAGAGTATACAATAGCTGGCCTCAGTGGTCTATTTAACAGTGTGCAATTGCATTTAAGTATAGCATAAAAACATATGACTTTTTCATTATGGAAAGGTATCCATACTGCAAGCATTTGCGCGTATGTTTTTTAAAGCCATGAAACTCGGTATAAATTCTTTTCAAAATCGCATCGTTAATTTCTTGCTGAAATAGTCTAATCTGGTGCTAAAAGCTAAGGATGTGTTATCTGTTTATCAGTTATCATCGAGTTCGTGCCTTCAAAACAATATTCAGCAATTGCCTAGAGTTTGAAAACTTGAATTGGAATTTGACTGATCACTTTTATAAAGATCAACTCGTCTTCCAGTTGAGATCTTGATCAGGAATACTGAATAGTAAGATTTCACCATCACACAAGACTCTTGAATTGGTACAAGATTGCTGCCCACAGGCAGATCTCAATGTATTTATTTTAACATGTTTTTTTAGCTTAGTCCTAAAAGTTTATCATTTGGGTCACCAAAGAACTCTGGTGCAGTCACATTGGTCATGGATGATGATGATGATGATATTCTAGTTCTGCCTCAACCCAACTTCACAAACATCAAAGAAAGAGGTGAGGAACAACTCAAACAGAACCATCACAGCTCTGATCATAATCTGAATTAATACAACTCCTTTAACTCTAAAACAGCTTCAAAAATTATTGACTTTTCAAAAGGGCTGCACAAAGCTGAGAACAGAATATCTGTAGAACTCTCAGATTCCGACTCAGAATTAACAGAGACGTCGGCTACTTGTAAAAAAACTTTGGATGAACTCAAATCAAGAGTAGAAAGTTTAGAAGCATCGTCTTCGAAAGATCATCCTGTCAGTACTTCTACAAAATCTGTTCCATCCAGTCCAGATTCTGACTCAGAACTACTGAAACCAGTTTTTGACTATGACCCCAGCAGTAGGAATACGAGCTGCACTTCGCAAAAAATTCCGAAACCAAAGAGTTTATCAAAATGTGTTGTTGACCTTGGTGAGGATGCTAGTTTAAATATTGGTAAGGAAGATTTAGAACTTCTGAAATCAGATTTTTTCTTTGATAATGTTAAATGTAAAATGTGACTGTTTTATCAGAGGTGGCATCAAAATTTGCTGGGGGCATTCCTGTGGAGGGATCAACTGGGGTAGTTAAGGACACCAGAGGACGTTCAGCGTCGACAGAGGTTTCTTCAGAGGAACCTGTGAGGAAGAAGAAAAGGACAAAGGAGGAAGTGGAGGAGAGAAAGAGGGAAGCAATGGTAGGTTGTAGGTGGATATGAAGGGATATGTAGGGCCAAAGTAATGGATAATTTTAGTTTTTTTAGTTATTTTTAAAATGTGAGAAAAGTTTGCTTGATAAGTTTGGTTGCAAGATATTACAATGTGTGGAAAGTATATCCCAGCGGAGTTTGCTATTTTGTTTTCAGTGCTTTTGTATGAGATGTGGCTTTTTAATTTCAGTTGAAGAAGGCGGCAAAAGAAAAAGAGAAAAAGGAAAAACTTGCAGAAAAAGAGCGTCAAAAGGCAGCTCGTGCTGCGGCACAGCAGGAGAAGAAGCTTCAGAAAGAAAAAGATCAGCTCCAGAGAAAGGTGTGTTCAAAATGATTCAATATCTTATTTTTGATGAGAAATATTACTTAAAATCCATTTCATCATTGCACAATAAAGTGCACTTAAGTTGCACAGGCGCAGGGAAATGTTTATGCAACGGTTGGTTTTGCATATCAATCTGGGGAAGAGTGAGAGATCATGAACACCTTTGCAAGGAATTTTGTGGGAATTGGTTGAGCTTTTGTATATGACAAGTGTTTGTAAAATTTCATTGCAATACAGGCTGAAAGAATGACAAAGTCTGCAAATAAACTGGATGGATGCATGAAGGTAAGGGAGGATTGTGAAAAGTTTTTCCAAGCCCAAGGTAGTATAACAATTTCATATCTCGTCTTTCTATCAATGAGTATACTGATTTTTTGTGTTGGTCCAGTTTATTTCAGTGTCTATGGATCCATCACTTTTCTTCGATCAATCGCCTGACCCGGCCACAAATCCCATTCTTCAGAAGTTATCTTCAATGGAAGCGAATTACGTCATCACGTCTCAGGCGTATCCTGGAAGCGTCTTATGGCGACGAAACATCGTGCAACATTCGGTCCAAGATCGTGAATTGACGGTAGAAAGTCGTTTGTATATCATGAGTTTGAATCAATATGAGATGATCCTTATCAGAGGCCGGTTGTTCGAAAGGCGTTTAGCTTAAACGGTGGATAAGTTCAAAATGGAAAACAAAATTATCGATTTATTGAACAGCTGAGCTGAAATATTTCGATGTAAATACTTTAATTTTCAATGGAAGAACAAATTAAACGCATAAGATGCAAGTTAAGTCATTCACAAGATCCATGACAGTATTTTTAAACTTTGGCTTGTCCACCGCTAAACGCCTTTCGAACAACCGGCCCCTGGTAGATACAGTGTATTGACATCAGGTAATCGTAGCATAATTTTTCTTTCAGATAACCTCATCAGACGCTTTCAAAGAAGAAAACGAAGTTCTTATTGTTTTATCTGCGGAAGCCTTCGCAGAAATGGTGTTTTCTTTTAAACAGGTTAGCCTAGTGAGGCAAAATAATTCATCAGGATTACATTCGTAAGCGTGTGCGCTTTTCATAACAAGTTTTCATGAAGTGTTCATAATTATATGCATGCCTGGGTTCCATTTAATCCTGAGTGTCGTCAGGGGCGTCCCTAGAGCGATAATTGGGGGAGGGGGGGACGTGAATATTCATATATCCAGTTCTGTCCGACGGATTTCTATTGTAAGCCATTGCACTTGGCTGATGTGATGGAATATTTCTGTGTGTACGCAGTCAACAATGAGAGATTTGAATACAGAAATAAACTGACAAATTTACCTCCCGACTATTTCTCATCGGTGAGAATGACTTGTTCACGACAATTACGACCAAACGGAAACCAGTTCTTCGGTTAATTCATGGTGTGAAACGCACTCCGTGAGAACAAACCATTTGTTTATTTTTCAAGGGTTACGCGGGCGGAGGTGATCTTCCTTCAGAGCAAGAACTTCCTAAAACATTATTGGATTTTACCATGCATGTCAGGAGCATTTACAAAGGAAAGAAAGTGACATATATTATTAGTGGAATCGAGAAATATATGAGGTGAATAACTTGTGTTCTTTCTAATTTATTGTGGAAAAAACAGGACACAGAATAGGACTGTAGATATGTGTGTGTTTTTTTTCAAGTGCATCGTTTGTGGAATCATTTTTTATAATCTTTTCTGCTTTAGAAATGTGAAGCTAAAGGGACAACGGGCATTTCGTAAGGCAGCCGTCGGCGAGCCAGCGGTGGAGGACGGCACGCGGAAAAGACGGAAGAAGAAAGTAGAGCCAGTACTTGATGTAACTAGGACAGATATTGAAGAAGCATTGGTAGATCTTCAAATCAAGACAAACGTTTGTGTCTATCATTGTGAGACGGATGAAGATCTTGCAATGAAGATCGCTGTTTTTACAAAGGCTGTCGCGGAGAAGCCTTTCAAGTATAATGCTTTTAATTTTGATAATATCATCAATTTCAGTCGGATTTAATAGAATTCTTATCATCACAGCTGAATATTCAATTCGCTTTTGTTTTAAGAAAATCTCTGACCGACGAACTTGGCATTTGTTTGGACCGTCTGGATAAAGCCTCTTTAAAGGTGAGCATCGTGATATGTTCTTATCCTCATATGATCCTGAGTCAACCCTTGGTTCACCTGATATCCTATCATGATCCTCCATGGCACAGAATACCTAATAGAAGTAGAACTCCTGTACTTTTTTCGTAAGTGTGATACGTCATGATTCGTCACTTAGCAAGTGCATTTTTTTGAGGTAGTCACCCCCCTGCCAATGTCTAAAATCAGGCCATTTTTAGTATTGGCAGGGGGGTGACTGCCTCAAAAAAATGTACTTGCTAAGTGACGAATCATGACGAATCACACTTACGAAAAAATAGTACAGAGCTCTACTTCTGTTAGGTATTCTGTGTCCATGGTCTGGTTCTGGGATGATCTTGGACTGAATCTGTAACTGTAAGGTCTTTCTTCATATTATTTCCAGGTAACGAAAGACGGCCAGGGGATGGTGAATGTCTGGCAACAACAAATTCAACAGTTCAGAAACGTCTCTCGTGAAATGGCCGCCGCAATCGTCGCTGAGTATCCATCACCGCAACTATTGAAAGAGAAGTACGAGCGATGTCAGTCTCTGCAAGACGCCTTGTTGCTGTTGGAAGATATCGTGGTACGATGAAGATTGAACCATTACTTTCTAGAGGTCTGCCAGAGCCTTGGAACGAGGCTGGAGGTCTGCAGTAAGGATCATCTCTTATTGATCCAGTGTTACTACAGGAGGAAACCTAAACTAAACTAACTTTATTTATACTGGATAGCTCTATCAGTTCTAACCGTTCTTCCTAGAGGCCCAGTAAGGATCATCTCTTATTGATCTAGTGTTACTACAGGAGGAAACCTAAACTAAACTAACTTTATTTATACTGGATAGCTCTATCAGTTCTAAACTATTCTTCCTAGATGCCTAGTAAGGATCATCTCTGCTTGATCCAGTGTTACTACAGGAGGAAACCTAAACTAAACTAACTTTATTTATACTGGATAGCTCTATCAGTTCTAAACTGTTCTTCCTAGAGAATTATAAACGAGATCTGGTCTCTTGATAAGTGTCTCGTATTTCTTTAAGGTTCGTAGAGGTGGTGGGTCGCTGGCAACCAGCAGGAGGATTGGACCCGAATTATCAAAACGGTTTTACATACTTTTTCATTCCAAACAAAGTAGTGATTTAGTCAAGGGATAGATAGGAATTTAAGAAACTATTATTTTGCTTCTATTGATAAAACGATAATAGATATCAGGAACTAAGGAACGGACCACTGGGCTCTACTATGACGGAGCTTCTCGCCAGAGAGTGCGTCTTGTTTATTTAATAATTTTAATTATGATAAAATATATTTTTAAATATATTGCATAATTATCAACCTTTGGACTTCAATTTTTGGCCAAAAAAACAATCGGAAATAATTTGAGTTTGCACTAAAATAAATACTTCAGAAAATATGTAGTTTTTTAGCCAAGAAGTATGGGTTTCGCTGACACGCGTTTTGGAAGGTAAGTTGTATTTTTTTTTTAATTTTGTTGGGGGTTTTTATTATAAAGATGTTTATTTGACACTTGACAGTTCATATATGATTCGTGAAATATCGGTTCCTTTACTTCCAGCGTGGTTTTGTGGGTTCGATATTAATCTTGACATCAATATCATTGTTTATTTTGTATAATTTTAATCCATATAATCTTTTGGGGTTGAAAAATTGTATTATAACGATATAATAATTGTCATTTGAGGGCGAATTTTGCGGTCGAATTTTTATCACCGTCGTTTGCACCTTAAATGAACAGTGGCAGGATAAATGTGAGCATAGCTGACCCAGATGGATATGCAAGGTCACTTCATCGTATCAGTGTATTATATAAACCATGCATATGCAAGTCAACATTGTTTGCTGGGTTACCCTATGCTTGACGAATATGGGACCAATTGGGTTTTTATTCCCTTACAATCAATCCTATATTCCATGGTTTAACCTAATCAAGCTTTTATGTAATTAGTTTATTGTTTTGAATGCTACAAGTGTTGTTTTTGTTTTAGGTACATGAACCCTCCAGCCAAAAAAGGCAAATCTTACAGTCCAACCCAACATGAGCAGATTGCCAACTGTTTCACACATGCTGTAAGTTATTATAAAGTGTTTTCTCTAAACTATGACCAAGCCACACTGTCCATTATTAAAATATAAGCCTCCCACTATTATATTCTTGTAGAGGGGGGATGGCCCTCTCTACCCTATGGCCTAACAGTTTACTGAAAGAGGTTGCATTATTAAAGATGCTTCAAGTTGAAAAAAATTCAGACTCAAAGCCAGCCATGGTGCCCCTCCTAAAGTGGGTTCCTCCATGTAACAACATGCTAAGGTCAAACCAAACACATCAGGCCCTCAGATATTGTCTAATATGGCTTGCTTAACAACCCAGTTTATCAAAGATTCACTCTTTTCTCCATGCAGTTGTTCATAATACCAGCCATGGCTGCCACATCTCTTTTATTGCATTTATCGACAACATCTTTACATACGTTTGTTGCCTGGCTCTATGGCGTTGGCATGGTCAGCTTGTTCGCTATATCATCCTTGTTCCATGCTGTCTGTCTGTCAAATAGATTCTCGTAAGTTTAAACACATCTTGCTCATTTGATAGAGTCTGACCTGAATGAAAATTGTATAGACTGAACTCTGTAGGTAAACTGAACTATATATATACTGAACAAATATTCATTTTTAGCAACTTACGCTGGTTTCTTCACCTTGGTGATCGCTTCATCATATATGCTTTCATAGCAGCATCGTACATGCCATGGTAAGGCCAGCATTTGCACAGTTTATTGTACAATTTTAAGTGTGATTTCTTTCTTGTTATTAGTTACAGATGTTTTTATATATGTCCCCTTATTGGAACACCCTTTCTTGTGAATATACTCTAGGTTATTGCTTCAGGATGTGGGATATGTTGGTGAGACAGTCACCTGGTTGTTGTGGTCCGCAGCTGCCCTGGGCACTGTGTATACCTTCCTCTTTTATGAAAAGTAGGAAAATTTCAGGGATTTATTTGAGTCCATGGTTAATTACCAATCAGGCAAAGTCAGGCATTTACTATGCATAGCAAAAACTCTATTAGTTAACTGTATATTAGAGTTATTGAGCTGTATATTAGAGTTATTAAGCTGTATATTAGAGTTATTAAGCTGTATATTAGAGTTATTAAGCTGTATATTAGAGTTATGAAGTGGAGCTCAAGTGTCTAGGCTGGACGCCTTTGAATAATCACCTCTAAAGAGCCAGATATAAGTCATATAACCACTCATGGACTTTTCTATTGATTTTTAGGTATAAAATGGTTGAAACTATATTGTACCTCATTGTTGGCATCTGTCCCTCATTTTCCCTTTATTTTGCTGTAAGTATAGCAAATGAATGCTTTCAAATTACTATTGATCTGCGAATGATCGTAATGGGTTAAAATCTTTTCCCCTTTTCAGCGTGAGTCGAAAGGTATGATGGAATTGGCAATTGGTGGTGCTATCCTTGTTTCGGGCATACCCTTATTTAAAAGTGACGGGCGCATACCTTTTGCGCATGCGATATGGCATCTGTTTGTTGTCTGCGGGACTGCCTGTCAATTCTACGCGGTCATTATATACTTGTATACATAGCCTTGGCAATTAACTGAGGATCGCGACCATCCAGTTACAATACGGCGACAACAGTCCTGCGTCAATCATATGTGGGCTGATTGATGCCTGGGTTCTACTTAGTTGTGATTGTCGCGAACAATTCATTTTCACCGATGAGAAATAGTTTTAATGTAAAGTTTGTCTTTATTTCTGAATTCAAATCAGTCATTGTGGACTGAAAACAAAAGGAGACACTCTATCACATCAGCCACCTTGACATGTTCACGACAATTCACAATTAAATGCAAACCAGGCCTATCTAAAAAGGAAGTTAAAATGACCAGCCTTTGGGAGGATTTTAAGCTATATAAAGTGTCCCATCATGAATGATTGATAATTAAAATGTAATATTTGGGGATCAATGCTTTTCTCGGGGTTTCCTCTTATCTCAGTCTGAAAGACTTGTTTTCTTGTCTATTAAATCATCAGTAGTTCTTATCGGGTGGTTATGACTTATCATTCATGAATTGCATGCTTTTCTTTGTCCGTGCAGTTATCGATCAATGTCGTCCAGTAATGCACTCTTCGGTATGTCCTTCACAAATGTGTTTTCCGTATAGGAACTTCGCTTCCAAATTCCAATAATAAAAGGCGCAGGCTCATTAGTTATCGATCATCACACCGAGGCTCATACGTCAAATGACGTAATTAAAAGGAAGTATTGAGAATAGCTGTGAAGTTCCGACCGCTGATTCCGACATTTCAAGACCTATTTCCCTGACGAAAGAAGAGCTTATCTCTTAAACGTCGGAACATCTGATGGGCTTTTCATCACCATTATCAAAGTTTTTCACATCTAAAGCATGAACAGTCAGTTACATGGTTTCTTTAGATACATTCGCTTCAAGACCCCCTGTGAGATTTTCCACTAAATTGTCTAAAGATAGTTTCAAATTGTTACAATATGTGGCACGAAGTTATTTAAGAATATTTTCGGAACAGGCATTAATTCTGGGTGGCAAATCTGTTGACATTTATGAGAGCAAAAACATCAAATTACTGAGACCCGGGTTTCCAGTTCAATATATTTGCTTTCAGATATACCAAATTTAAAGAAGAAAGAACTAAACATCGTTTTCTAGCTCTAATATCACATCTAGAGTGCAAAAAAGTGCTTTGGACCTATTAACATTTAAAATTCATATACATTAGTTGGCCACAAATTGCAATACGCATGCGTGATGTGGAGTTAATCCAGACGCTAATTTGTCAAAAGTTCGACGGAACGTGACTGTAAAGTTGCAGTTTTTTGTCAACATCACTGTCAAAGTTGACATTTTATCTGGTTGAAATGCTTCCTTATGGATCGATTACAACCAGAATTGATACGAGGAGCCAGTATTTGAAGCATGTCACGGTACCGATAGGAAGTCGGCGGAATCGATGCATGAATGCAAGCCATTGATGGGATTTTGACCCGAAATTCCAGCCAATACAGCGAGGATTTTTGTCGAGGATTTTAATAAAGGGCTCATATTTGATGGCCGAACGATCGTCTTCGTTGGCTTGCAAAAAGTTCTCAGCCAACTTATTCGACAAGAATAAATGTCAGAATTGCTTTAAACCGAAGGATGCTCACACCACAAGCCCGACTATGCCTCAAAGACCGACAAACATAGAGGTATAAGAAGCGATTTAACTTGAAGGATTTTGACATTCTTCGTTTATCGTGGTTTAAATAAGCAAACGTCTTGTTGATCTTACCCCTAGGTCGGTGTTAATCGTACGAAAACAACGGTGAAGTCGGGAAACCTAAGCATCGCCACACAAATATCAACATTACCTAAAATTCTAGTACAAGTAAGCTAATATCGTTTCAATATATTTTGTGTTTATATTTGCCAATTTTGTCGCTACTTCAAAGTCATGTAAACATTTCTTTTAAGAAATGGGAGAAAGCTTGGTTTATGCTGTACACTTCGGCGATTTTGGAATGGTTCTCAACCGAACCGACTACGGTATGAATTGTATTTCAACATTGTTTTCATAAATAGAAATCTTGTGGGATTTTACAAAGGTGAATGCTTCGTTGTGAGAGCAAATATCTTTGACAGTTTGTAGGCAATGGGGAAAATGCCTGTTTCAAAGATAGTGTAAATATTGATAAATCGTAAAGTGGGTGAAACATATACTATTCAGTATTGATGTGTTGATAAATGGTTAGTTTCGAGAAGTTCGTTTGCGGAACGAATCTAGTTTTTTATTCCGCTTCAATATTGGCCAAAATGTCTAGTCAAGATTTAATTCCTAAAGTGTCTGTTCCATGCAGAGCAGTAATTTCTTGTGTCTAATTTTGTATGGCGATCAAACTGAGATAATATGAAATTAACCTGTAATTTCTGTTTATGCTATTTCGTAATGGTTTTACAAGAGTGAAGAGTTCTGTATAGAGTAGGGAAGTCATATGTGTCTGTGACTAATTTCAGAAATTTCAGTGTTTAATAATATACTTTCAAGAAAGCCAGACCAGAATTTCTCCTTTTTATTGTTCCTGCATGATAATTATCTGATAAAATTCGGCATATTTTGTTCCATTGAGTCCAGACTTTTTGGTATCATTGTTGTCAGAACCTGCAGTTGAAACGACATCAGATATCAATCACTTAGCTAAACAACCTGCTATACAATTAGGAGCTTTTATATATAGTGGGAAGCACAGGTATTAAAAAATATGACACAGTTTACTGACGAGTGTTCAACTTTTCTGAAAAATAAAGAGTTTTTTGTCTGAATTCTTTGTTTATATTTGAAAACCATTTCCTTGACCTAAGCTAGGAATGTTGATTATTCTAATCTAGGGTCATTAACACCTTAAAATTAATGTTGCCATGAACAACAGCTTTTGTAGATTTTATTTGATTTTCCATGCAAGGTTTACCCAAAGATCATTGTGTCTTTATAGCGGCTAGGATTGTTTACAACAAGACAAGGCAAATTTGTTTCCAATACCTCGTCATACCTTGTTATTTTGCACTAGGAACCTTAAAAAAAATGTGTGGTTATATTTAAATACCTCCATATATAGATATGCAATAAAAATGACCCTTTATTAGTCTATTGTTAGAATAGTGCTCTCCAAATTCTCTGCAGGTGCTTTCATAGTTTCAACCCACAACTAAAAATTCCCCTGATAACCTCTTCATAATCCAACAAACCTCATGATAAAATATCTTTCATTCTTCAGCCAGGTCAGGTGCCCTTGGGTAGCATAAATCTGGATGACTGCCTTGGCTTGACCAGTGCTGAGTGTGACACAAGCGAACAGTTCACCATCGGCATCAAAACCCTTGCAAAGACACATTACCTGAAAGCAGAAAATCGCTTGGAAATGGACAATTGGTGTCGTGTACTAAAACCATTCGTCATTGCTTCTCCTGGGTACAAATTCAATAGGAACCAAACTAGTCGAATGATGAGCTATCATGATTCTAAAGTTAGCTCCCCAACAAGTAAGTTTTCTTGACTTTCCTGCATTTATCAAAATGCTTGATGATATTTTTAGTGGATAGTATATTGGTCGAATATATATCATTAGCTCATCTGTAAAGCTGTCATAGTAATATTTTTTTATTGAACTGTTAAATTTGGGGTTCAACAATTTGGATTAGGAAGTGTTAATGTCTTTATACCATAAGCCAATTGTTGAGAATATAAGTTTTCAGAAATAAGACTTCAGGCTGTTGCATATTGTAGCAATTTGTTTAAGTGTTTAGCTCTGTGGGTTGGACAGCATATATCTTTCTGTCAACGCATAACCTACCTGACGTTTTACGCCAGTATTCTAAAACTCATTCGCACTGATTTTCAATGTTTTAAATATGAATCTTGAAATAATTAAGAGGGAATATCTCATTGATTACACAATTTCTATGTTACACTCAATACGTGGGAGTCAGTGAGTGGGCTTGCCAAATACAGGAGTAATTAAGGATATTACAAAGTGTTGCACTGTTGCTATTTGATCCATTTAATTCTAGAAAGGCTGTATGAATTTTTAATTATTTCTAAGAACTCTTTTTGTTTTGTGCACTGCATATAGTTATGATTGACTTCCCTGGTAATGTGATAAACACTGACTTTTAGAGATTCTATTGGAACTGGTGGAAATTTATCATCAAAAATAGCAAAATTTGATCAATTTCTGTGTCAACGAGCACCACAAATCTTTGTTGGAAAACAGAAGCCGATAAACTAAAGATTTACAAACAAAAAATACTGCCAATTCATCAAATTAGGTTAAAAACAATTGCATGGCCTCCTAAAGCAGGTCAATTCACATGATTACGTATATTGGAATCTTCCGTGCGTTACAAAACGATCTATGCTTTGGCTTAGGACTATCATTGGTTGTTACAAACAAAATGTCTTTATAAATATAAGAGCTTTGTTCCGTGTAAAACTTCATATGCACGCAGAGAGCGTTTGACTTGTTACACGTACATTGAAAAGCTCGCAGAATCTGAGAATTCTTTTGTCCAAGGAGTTTTGATGTTTTGAATTCGTGTTTTGTCGACTCCCGTATCCAGAACAGGTATTTTATCATAGTTTTCCGAAGCTGTTTCGTTTTTGAACTGCCAGAAAATAACAAACCAAGGGCCATTATACAGGAAGTCGTATACTTAACTTTGATAACATCGAAGTTGATATCTGAAAATATATTGCACCGATATTACGAACGTTAGGTTTGTAGCCATATCTTTTTGTGTTAAATTAAATGTGGGCTAGAACCATCTTAAGGCTTGATAGGTTTTTGTAACGGTTTTTTTGGTGTGAACTTAGCTGCATGATAGAGTCATGGCTATAACAAAAACAGCTTCCCGATAAAGGAAACGAAACTTACAAACCACGACAGCTTATTGTAGAATACTACCTACACTGGACCACCACATTTGAGATATCTTTCTCAGGTAGTTCAAACACAAACCACGACAGCTTATTGTAGAATACTACCTACACTAGACGACCACGTTTGGGATATCTTTTTCTGGCGGTTCAAACACAAAAGATGTCAACAAACTGCTGTTTATCTCGACATTCGACTTGATAAATTGCATTATTATGATACAAGTAAATTTGTCTTCCCAGATATCGCTCAAGAAAGAAAGACAAGTGTCTCACGAACAGTTTCAGCTCCGTGGAAAGCAGCTTCGACGTCACCAGGCTCAACTAGTATTCTTACAAAGAGATGGTCTGCTACAGAGGAACTCTTGACTAAGGTTGGAACTGATGAAGCTATCCAGCTAGCGTAAAGTTATTTTACCTCACTTTGGATAAGACATGATCCTGACTGGACCTCTAGGAAGAACAGTTTAGAACTGATAGAGCTATCCAGTATAAATAAAGTTAGTTTAGTTTAGGTTTCCTCCTGTAGTAACACTGGATCAATAAGAGATGATCCTTACTGAAACTCTAGAAAGAACAGTTTAGAACTGATAGAGCTATCCAGTATAAATAAAGTTAGTTTAGTTTAGGTTTCCTCTTGCAGTAACACTGGATCAATAAGAGATGATCCTTACTGGACCTCTAGGAAGAACAGTTTACAACTGACAGAGCTATCCAGTATAAATAAAGTTAGTTTAGTTTAGGTTTCCTCCTGTGGTAACACTGGATCAATAAGAGATGATCCTTACTGGACCTCTAGGAAGAACAGTTTACAACTGACAGTGCTATCCAGTATAAATAAAGTTAGTTTAGTTTAGGTTTCCTCCTGTAGTAACACTGGATGAATAAGAGATGATCCTTATCAGGAAATTACTTTATCTTCCAGAGAGAGGCGCCAGACAATACGAACGATAAAACAAAAGACTCTGTTGAAACTCAACCAGACCCGGCGTCACAGCCTTACTACGCTGACCTCTACGTAAAACCTGAACCGTCAGCTCCAAAACAGAACGGCGAAACCGGCAGCTCGATTTTAGCACTTGAAACAGAACTCGCGGAAGCGAAACGCATCGCAAAACAGAACCAAGCCAAAGCGGAAATGTGCTCGAAAAGTCTGACGGACACGAAGAAACAACTTGAGAAGGCCAACAACGTTATAAGCATTCAGAAGGTGAATGTTGAAGCCCTATCGACTGAGGTTGAAACGCTGAAAACGCGATTAAGGAAAAGCGACGAAAAAGTGGAAAAACGCTTGAAAGAACTTGAATTTCCTACTTGTAATGGAAACACACCTCGCGATAGTATCGAGTCAGGATTTATCAAGCTGCAGTCGAAACTACAGGAGAACGAAAAGGCGTTAATACGTCGCACGCGCGAGCTCGAAAAGGCGAACGAGAGTCGCAAGAAAGTCGCGAAACACACGCGGGCCCTTCTCCTCGAACTCGAGGGAAAGTTGACCGAGAATAACAGTCGGATTACTGAACTCGAAGAGCAGCTTATGAATAAAACTTTGGATCTGCAATACGAGAAAGAAGAAAGGCAAAGGATTGAGCAAGAAAAGGGGCAGCTCGCGAAGGATTTAAGTACTTCTGCTTTGCAATCAAAACAACGGGAAATCACGAAGCGAAGTAATGAATTGTTGCAACAGGCGAAGGACGAGCATAAATTCTCAAAGAATGAACACAAAAATCAACAGGAGTTGGAAATCTTGAACAAGAAACTCGAAGGAAAGAATTCGGAAATTGTAAGGTTGCAGGAACAATTGGCGGCCCTCGACAAAAAAGACGCGGAATTTCGCGTTCTAGAGAGCGCTTGTAAAAAGGCGGAGGAACAGGTGGATGTTTTGAGAACGGAGCTGCGGATGGTCAATGGTGGGTATACCAAGGAGAAAACAAAATGCGGAGAATTGGAGAGTAGAGTGCAGGATGCCTTGCTACAGGTTTGTATTAAAAGAAAAGTATTATTCAGAAGAGAACAAGAGTTGCATGAGAGTTGATGAGAGTTGACAAGCGAGAGTTTGTACGAGATTTTCATCAACTGTCATGTCCTGGACAAACGAGAACAAGAGTTGCATGAGAGTTGATGAGAGTTGGCAAGCGAGAGTTTGTATGAGAGTTTCGTCAACTGTCATGTCCTGGTCAAACAAGAAAAAGAGCTGCATGAGAGTTGATGAGAGTTGACAAGCGAGAGTTTGTATGAGAGTTTCATCAACTGTCATGTCCTGGTCAAACAAGAACAAGAGTTGCATGAGAGTTGATGAGAGTTGACAAGCGAGAGTTTTGTATGAGAGTTACAACAACTGTCATGTTCTGGTCAGTTGCATGGCTCACTTACCTATGTTTTTTATCCATTTTTTTTAAAGATGAAAGAAAAAGAACAGGAGATAAGGAAAATGAAAGAAAAGAATTCTGAACTGAAATCAGAAATCGAAAGAACACGTCAGGAATGCGACACGCAAGTATTACTACTTCAAGAGGACAACGAAACCACTAGAATGAAATTAGTTGAAGTACAAGAGGAACTCGACGCTGTACACACTGAAACAGATGGCAGAAATCCTGAATTTGAGGAATTGTCGCATGATTTCGAAGAACTCAAAACGAAAGCGGAGAAGAGTGAAATTGAACTCGGAAAATTGCGAGACGTTCAAGTGGAAACAGTTCGTAACTTTAATAATGAAAAAAATAAACGACTTAAACTCGAGACCGAGTTCGGAGAAAAAATCTTAGAATTGGAAAATTCTCAGAAAGAGGTGGAACAATTCCGAAAATTGTTAAAGGAAGCGGAGGGGAGGTTTGAGAAGGAGTGTAAACGGGCTAGTGAGCTGGAAGGCTTGTGCAGGAGTAATAAGGAAGCGAGTGAACTTCAAGTGGCTGCACAGTCGAAAACTTTGAGCGAATCTCATGTGAAAGTTAAAAAATATGAAAGTGAAATGGAAGAACAGAAGCGGATTTTGGATGAAAAAAACGAGGAAATATTGCGTTTGAATAAGGAGATGAAGAAACGAATAAAGATTGATGAAAATATTTTGAGTGAAATTGTGGATATGGAGTCACGTTTAAATGATAGGAACTCTGAAATGGTTAGCTCAGACTTGAAGGACGATACTGCCGGGGATAGAACTAGTGTCTTGGGTGCTGTTGCATGCTTAGGGAAGAGGGTTGAAGTCCTGAGTAGTTCACTAAGAGAAGAAAAGGAGAAATGTCGTGTTTTGGAGCAAGATTTGCAAGCGAAAGAGGTCCCGACAAGAAGATGTAGCATTTGTGAAAGAAGGAAAAATGAGACGACGAGTCTTGCTCAAGATCTTGAGGATGTTAAAGCGAATCATCGCAAGGAATTAGAAAGAATGCAGAATTCGATGAACAGCGAAGCGCATACGTTAAAGAACACTGCGGAGGAGATGAAATTGAAACTGACATCCAAAGTGATCTTACTGCAGTCGGATATAAGCGAGTTAAAGTCGAAACAAGAGCAGGAAATGGCTCAAGTCAACGAACAACACAAAAAAGAGGTAAGCATGCAGGTTCGGCGCCCAGTTATATACAATACTGGATTCCCATTATGAAAACAAATTGTTTCACTGGTTGCGGTTAAACTGGATTTCATGATTACGGTTACGGCCCATGTACATGTATACTATGCGGTTTGTCGTGTACGATTCTTACCCTGGGGTCGGTTGTATCAAGCCCGTTTAGCTTAAACGGTGGTTAAGTTCAAAATAGAAAGCAAGTCTATCGTATTATTCAACAAGCGAACTCAATGTTTTAACTGGTAAAAACTACATATTCAGTGCATAATATTCAAGTTGACTCATTCAAGAAAGATGTAAGAGCGTTATTTAATTTTGACTTATCCACCTTTTAAGCTAAACGGGCTTGATACAACCGGCCCCTGGCGTATGTGAACGTATAAACACATGCGGTACAATCGCGACACTTTAAATTCCGCCCTGAACAATATGAATGAAAATTGTGGCATAGGCCCTCTTTTGCATCCGTCAAAATGATAATTGTACACAATTTATCGTGTGGTCTAAATCGGCCTTTATGCTATTCCGGTATCGTAATGGGCCTTTTAGCAGTAATTCTAAAGAGACACTTTCAAAGGAATTCGTCGGGAAAAATTGCAATTTTTTGTCCGTTAGTTTTCGCTAGAATAATTGTACATGTCCTTCCCGAGTTTGTTGTGTTTAAGATTGACTTTTCGTTGTGTTATGTAGGTTGAGTCGTGGCGGGAAAATCTCGACAACAAAGTCGACGAACTCTTTCAGCAGCACAAACAAGACGCTGAATTATCGCGGGAAAACCATCAACAGAAACTGAACCAACTTACTGAACGGCACGAACAAGATATCGAGGTTTGGAAAGAGAAACTCGAGGCTTTAAAAGGTTCCAGCGATGAAGAAATTGCAAGTGTTCGTGCGAAACTGGAAGGACTTGAAAGGCAACTGTCAAGCGAACGAGAAAGGTAGGCTAATTTTGGGATGCATTTTACAATCATTTTGTATGAGGTAGTTAGTAACAAATCAATCCAAATATGGCCTTGGTTATATAATATTCACACATGCAAGCGATTATGTTTGCACGTCTGGGTAATACCAGACCAAAACACGACTTATTTTTAACTGTACAGAAAGTGATCCCGGAATTTGTACGACGGATCGAGCTATATATTCACACAGAATGAAAAAATTCCTCTTTTCAAAACATTTCCGAACATTAAAATATCAGTCGAGATTATCAACTCACACGTGAATTGACAATTCACAATTTGCATTATCGCACAGTTTTATCTTTGAAAAAAGATAATTTTCAACAGATCGAACTAAAATTAGCAGAATTGCAAATTTTTGTTGCGAAATGCTTTAACATGCGTTAAATATTGTATCCACAGTTCGGATCGTACATGATAACAATTTCCACACGCCATGCAGCAGTTTGCAAATCTTGCAAGGCTTCATTTGCCCAGTTTTATGGAGGTTTATCGAATATTACTCTAATGCAAAGTGTCCTTCATCGCTGTCCAGTGGATCAAAGAAATCCCTATATATTTTTCCGCTAATAGTTTTCGAATGGAAGACACCCATTGGTATAATGGCTATAGGTTCCTATATATCTCTCACAATAGATACCTGAGCTAATTCATTTCCAATATAGAGTTGACAGATAAACCTTCGTTATTTCTCGACATTGGATAAATATGCGTAGTTACCATTGTCTAAGTTTGCAACGCCATAGAGACGACACAATGGTAACCAAGCTTTTGATCCATGCACACTCCAGCTTGGAATAATCCAGAGTCGCCCTTTCTCATATGCCAAAGACGCCTCACATTCCAAAACAAAAATCATGCACCTAAATATTTTGTGCATGCAGAGTTTTGACAACGATGTAAACAAATACAAACTAATAAATCTCGATGTCCCATTGGCCCCATCTCTCGGGAGCAGCCCTTACCCTGACCCCCCGACGCGTTGTATATGTATTTACAACGCGTTCAGTGTTTGTTCAACCCCTTGAAGTTGTAACATTTCAAGAGGAAAGTCCTGCAGTGCGGTGAGGCGATGTTGTTTATATTACTGGGTTGGAACCCCAGTGCCTGCCCTATGCGAATCCAGCTGAGAGTTTGATGGTTTAAGGTTAGTGAGGGCACATATTCAATTCTATTCAACCGTGGTGCGATTTCATATTCTCGCGAACATTTGTGCCCTGACGAAGCCTTCCTTCGGAGAATACTGGCCTTTTGGCCGTCTCTCGTACGGCGATATCGTCTTTCCAAGAGCCCGTGCATGACAGGCAGGCCGAATATGCCAAAGAGTGGGTATGTATTAGACATATTATATGTCGTTATATGATGTTATTATTGCGTGTCTGCCGGGCAGTGCAGTGTTTACGTCTGTTTAGGAGTCTGCAAGATTACGGCACGATTTTCCACAATATCCCGGTAATAAAGCAATATATTTAGTTGTTGAACGCACGCCAAACGAATGATATGTTTTCTGTGTGCTATGCAGCCCGACGACTTCTCTACCGCGAAACAGATCCAACTACACGCTTTGAGAATCGCAATTAATTTGATTGAAACATTAGACACTGTAGTGATCGGCCAATGTTGGGCGACCATTCGCTCTATCTCTCTCTCTCAGTTATCTGTGCGATCGAGCGCGCTCGTGTAGGCACAGAAGTTAAGGCTTAACACCCCATTGGAACTATTCACGTCGTATCATCGTTTAACTTCTAAAGTGGCTTGTCCATTGGATCGAACGTGAACTGTAAGTGCTAACATTTTTATTATGTGCTTATTCGCGAATTTTTCGCCGCCAGGAGTGGGTAATGTCCATCCCAGCGCTGTAGATTCCTGGTATATTTTCCTGTTGCATATTTGGTAGAAAGCCGGCCTCTGATGCTGGCGGCTAGCTAATGCCTTTGGCGAAATTTGTCTGTCGCCTGTTCCTTCATGGAGGTCGCCGAAGCGTGTATAGAAAGAGTATTTTTCATCTACGTTTTGAGGAAACATTTTCCAGATGGCTGTAGGCTTGTTGAGAGCTTAAGAATAGATGGGTTTAGTAATGAGTCGTTCTCTCATCTTTCCAAACTATATACACACAAGCAAATCTTCGCATATATAGATGCGAAGAAGCCATAATGCAAATAACCGTTTGTATATATTTACGCATTGTGAATATCCTTTTCTCCCTTGCTTCAAGTGACCAAGTGATTGCGCGTTTTGTGTTTTAGAGGATGTTTTTAAATTGAATTCAAGCCTTGGACGGTACGGTCAGATTGGGGTACACGCGCGTATATTATCGAAATTTACTATATATATTCAATATTAAAACCCAAAGTCTGCAGAGTCAGAGAGGTGAAAACACAAGCCTAAAGCGCCGTGGGCCTTGCCCTAACTCTGACCAACAGCGATCGCGCAAAACTCGAAAGCATTTCGCCTCCCTCTTGTATACAAATCTATATATAACACTTCCCATCCGATTAGAGCCACTCTACGTGTGGATAAATTGTTTAAGGAGACTTTCAAATACGAAATTACAATCGTTTAACCCTCGCCAATTGTACTTGCTGGGTCTTGCTCATTTCCGTTACGTCTACATTCGTTCATGAAAAGGTACTCGTGGTTTATTCGATAGATATTACGACTATAGAAAGACGAGCATCGAGGATTTTACCAAACAGACGCAAAGGGCATGACAGTTACAAAATACAATCATGCATTAAGTCGTTTTGGGTTCGTCTTCTATATAACCCACGCACTATAATGTTTTGGAGCTGTCATTTTTTTGAAATTCCAAACAATTGGGTCCGAAGATCCGCGTGTTCTTTCATCATCAACGCACGTATGAGTATATAGCCTTAAAACCTGTCTCCGTATTGGTATACTATAGCTGGTGGATGGGGGTTAGAGAAAGGCGACCTTATTTTTGTAAAGATTAATTGTATATTTCGTAATCTGCCTTATGTGATTCCTAACGAAGTCCTAACGCGATCTTTCAACGCGGATGGAAGATGAAAAACGGCCTTTCAATTTTCATATCTATAGCTTGTGTGTTAAACGTGATTCGTGAATTGCGATTTGCCGTTTTAAACCGTGTTGTATACCACAAGAATTCGATTGATAAGCATCAAAAAGTTCGTATCTTCATAGCGGTCTTTAAAAAAAATTGATAAAATCTCTAGGCTTTGTGGAAAAGCTTTCCCTGGTGCCTTTGGGTGACGAAATAGTTTCAAAACCACCTCAAATATACGCATGTTTCTCAATATAATCGACTCGTTTCCAACAAGCAACATTTCTGGTTGTCGTGAATGCCCAAAGGCCGCACGAAATGGCTTTTTAATGACGAAATAGTTTTGTAAACTTAATAATACATGACACATGTAACAATTATGTGTCGCAAGCCTTCCTGTTGCGAGCCGCAGCGATTGTACATGTTTTCATTTTTGTACATATAAGGTTTGTTTTACTTCGTGTAAGATGCATGAGTGGTTTTGTACTGTAATCATTATAACACCACCTGCATGCATAACACATACAAAAATGTTTCGGTTATTGTTCAGGGTGTATAAAAATAGACTATTAGGCAATAAGTGACATTAAGGGTACTTTTTAATTAGTCGTCAGGCCAAAAATTCTCTGCATTGTGGAGAAACATGCATGCAAACCAGATTTTGTCTATTTCCTTAAATCAATTTCTATTTGATTGTGCTAATGGAGTTGAATGAAACATTGCTTTTGAAAGCGAAGTCTATATTTTGCGAGTTCAATAACGTTCGTTTCATGGGTTCAATAACGTAACGAGTGAATTTCATCTAAAGACCAAATCACTTAATGTGTAACCAATAAAGGTTTTCACCTCCTGCCCTATAAAGTCAGGGCAGTTCTTACGATGTTAATTTTGTTTCTAAGGACAGGGGATATTAATTATAACTTAATTTACTCGACTGGCATTTCATATAATGCATGACGAACCTTAATAAGAATCCTAATCATCCGCTAGCTGAGTTCCAGAATGCTCTGAACGAAGCTACCATGATATAAATGTTTACGTTGCTACGTTACTTCCGCGTGTTTCTCGTGCGTGTTTGTGTTACAGCTCATATTTATCTTCGTTTTTATCTACAAAATGCATTCTTGTATTTTTAAGCGATTTTTTACCAAACCAAAATGGGCCGAAAAGTGCAACGTTCGCATTGCGATGTGACAAAGTATTTATTAGATTATAATTCCTAGGATTATTGGGTATGATATATACGTTGGCAAAACGACAGCGCAACTTCTAAATAAAACTGCTTCAATTTTCTCTGTATACCTAAACTAAAGTAGCTACAAAACGTTCCCATGAGGTATACTGCATGAGGTCGCTAAATTTTATTTTCAATTTTTCCCATTCAGCCCTTTTTAAGCTTTTTGTTAAGTTGAATTAAATCCTTCTATAGTGGGATGGATACGTGGATTCTGCCATTATAGGGTCAAGTGATTTAGCTTATAACACCTGCATGTCGAGTACAGTTTATGTTCGTACTTCCTCTGTCGTAGCCAACGATATAGACAGTCGTCGATGCATGGCGAGCGTACTTTGTTTCGTCTTTTCTAACAAGATTTCCATCCTTGTATGGTTCAATTGCCTTGTATTTTCCTTCTATATCGCGTAAGAAAAATGCCCTAAAACTCCTTGGAAAATAATCTCATGCATGCGAGATATATAAACGATTACATCAGACGCGTTAAACATTTAAAAACAAACAAATCTCGATGGTATTAGCAAATATATTGCCGTCTTGTCAGATTCGTGAGTTTGTTTTCCAGACGTTTATCTTTCGCATCAAGTTCACATGTCTGCATGTCGTTTTAAATGCGATGTATTGCCCTTGTCTCCTGATAAGCAGTCCTGCGTCCACTCAAATTGTTTTATCATCATCTTATATAGCAACGAACGAAGAATTGAAACGTTGAAACAAGACTACGAGGCCAGAAGTTCCAAACCTGACGCGAATAAGGAAGCAGTCGTTACCCTGACGGAGTTTGAAGAAGTTCAAGAGAAACATACTAAAGAATTGGAGAAAATAAAGGTGAGACATTATGTGCATTCGTTAATGTTTTATGTTATCTCTTCACCAAAAAACTGTATCAGTTTTGAACTAATTTTATTTATACTGGATATAGCTCTATCAGTTCTAAACTGTTCTTCCTAGAGGTCCAGTAAGGATCATCTCTTATTGATCCAGTGTTACTACAGGAGGAAATCTAAACTAAACTAACTTTATTTATACTGGATAGCTCTATCAGTTCTAAACTGTTCTTCCTAGAGGTCCAGTAAGGATCATCTCTTGTTATTGATCCAGTGTTACTACAGGAGGAAACCTAAACTAAACTAACTTTATTTATACTGGATAGTTGTCATTTTCGAACTGTTCTTGCGGCATAAAAGGTCACCTATGCAACATTTCCCTACAACAATAGCATGTATGCAGTGCTTGTTTAAACCATTATCCTAAACACAACGCACGCTGGCATGCAACACGGTAGCTAACTATTAATATTGATCTCTAAATGAGAACAGTTCTATATTTGTAAAGCATACATATCGTTGAACGGTAAACACAATGCATCATCGCAGGTCACATAGTTGAAATCCCAATGAACGACCTCATGTTGACAGCGGGCCTGAGAGTTCGCTTTGCCGACAGCCTGCCCTCTTAGCACAATAAACCCAAAAGGTCATTCGCAGAAGCTGCTTCTGTTACCCGTAGGCGAGTATCGCTGCGCAAAACTCATATTTTTCGCGAAACCATCGCATAGACAAGCTTTAGTGAAGAACAGAGTCGCGAACTCGGCTAAGCAAGGGTCTTTCTTGCCAGGAAATAGGTACTAATGTCCCGATGGGCTTTCACAGCTTGATCAAGAAAGGTCAAGCACATATATGTAAGGGGTAATATACACCTTCTGAAGTATTCGCACTGGGCTTGATGATACTAGAAGATGCACGCTCTTTAATGGTGGGGAAGGAATTTACATGAATGCATTCCTCCTTCATCTGACACCTGTGAGCATTAATAAAATCAACAACATGCTGTAATTGCCAACGACGTGAGTTGGATTCAATTTCAATTTGTTTTTGTATGTAACCACCTGTTAATCCATAGTTTGAGTGCTATTTTGTCTGTTTTCTAAGTATAAGTCAAATCATGTTAGCCAAACGTGACTTGAAGAAGATATCTCAAACGTGGTGGTCTAGTGTAGGTAGTATTTTACAATAAGCTGTCGTGGTTTGTGTCTGAACTACCTGAAAAAGATATCTCAAACGTCGTGGTCTAGTGTAGGTAGTATTCTACAATAAGCTGTCGTGGTTTGTGTCTGAACTACCTGAAAAAGATATCTCAAACGTGGTGGTCTAGTGTAGGTAGTATTCTACAATAAGCTGTCGTGGTTTGTGTCTGAACTACCTGAGAAAGATATCTCAAACGTGGTGGTCTAGTGTAGGTAGTTTTCTACAATAAGCTGTCGTGGTTTGTGTCTGAACTCCCTGAAAAAGATATCTCAAACGTGGTGGTTCAGTGTAGATAGTATTCTACAATAAGCTGTCGTGGTTTGTGTCTGAACTACCTGAAAAAGATATCGTATATATCTGGTGGTTGATTGTAGGTAGTTGCAAGAAGCTGTATTGGTTTGTGTTTGAGGTAGTTTTTAACTGATAGAGATTATGTCGTCTGCTCGAGAACTACCCATCTAACAAACACTCACATTCCCTGCCCTTCGCTTTCCCAGGAAAATCATCGTCGGGAATTGGAGGAAAACAAGTCTGATATGATGATGGTCCTACAGGCCCTGAAGTCAGACTCATATCAATCCAGTTCCATGTCGAGTGAATCTATCGAAATGAATGACGAATTGAAGAAGCTTGAACGCTACGTGGAAACACTGAAGAAGGAACACGAACAAGAGATTGAGAGACTAAACCACGAACACGAGGAAGATTTAAAGCAACTACGAAGCGACATGGTCACTTTATTAAGAGTACAAGAATCGTACAGGACACCAGAAGATGAAAAGGTTAGATTTCGTTTGTATATCCCTTTACACTTTATCTCTTTGTTTGCTTCTCCCTTTGCACTTTTATCCGTGCGATTTTCGTCTTTTGGTAGATGAAAAAGAGTAAATAGTTGAGAATGCTCTTATGTACACGTGCTTTTATTTAAACATCCGTAACAAAGCCACTCGTTCACATCCGTCAAAACAAGACAATCGTACATGAAATTGCAAGAAAAATAACTACTAAAAACAAGCACTTAAAAAATGTACATTTGTGTTGCGAATTAATCAGATTCCTCATGCACAACGCACAAAATTACGTCTTTATACTGCATGGGTACAATTTTTTACTGTACGGTTCTGGGAAATTCTATAATACGCTCTATTAAAACCCTCCACAGTTCCCCTTGTATTTATCAAAAATGTTTGGCATGAAAAAGATGCGCATTTTTATGGCGAATTCTACTGTCCACAAAATACCGTACAAACTCGTCAGGCCGTGAGCTTTTGTTTACAGTTCTGAGTGTAAGTCAATTTCTTAATAAACCGTTGCAGGAAGTTCTTACTCCTCGATATTTTGTTTGCATTTTCAAATGTGTTTGGCATGAAAAATATGTACATTTTCAATGTGATCTTGAAGGAGGTTTCAGATTTTCTACACTACACGAATTCTGCAAATTCTGCAAACATGAACGAAAATACAATAGAACAGTAACTTCAAATAGCATTTTGTGGTTTTATTCAACACGTTTCAACCAGCTAGTAGTCAGCATCAATCAATCTATCCCGAAAGCTATGACAACAAGCTAGTTGAAACGTTGATTGAATAAAACTACAAAATGTTATTTTGGAGCAGTATATACTGTTCTATTACATTTTATGAGAATACTCAGTGGTTTCCGCTAACTCTTGCTAATATTCCAGGCTGATCCAAACGGTAACGTAGTGGATCTAGAGGGACAGCTTGCGGCTCTTAGGCGCTCCCACGAAAAGGAAATTCGCGAGAAAGAAGAGAAACACAAAATCGAGGTAAATCAACTTAAATCCGATATGCTTGTTGCCATCCAAGCCGCGTCAGCGGTCGGCTCCGTTAGTCCCAAGGCTACTACCCCGCCTGACGAGAGAGTGGCTGAGCTGGAAACGTACATTACGAACCTGGAACGCGATTTTGAAGATGAACGCGAGAACTTGCAGAACACCATTAAGAAGGCAGAATCCGCGACGAAGTTTGGTCTGAGACGAAACGAGGAAATGAGCAATAAAATTTACCAAATGCAACGAGAGATGGAAGAGATTGACAGTAAATACCAAAAAGAAGTGAAGCTCTACAAGGAAGCCTTTGATCAGGAGAAAAACAGGAAGACAACTATAGGAGCAGTTCCGGGGATTTTGGCTGAAAATGAGAGCCTCAAGGTTTGGGAGATTTTATTGTTTTCGTTGTGAACCTTGTGAAATGATGTTAGAACATTTTGAGCTGGAGGAATGTCGTCTTTGATGCACTCTTTTAAACTACGGTTAAATTTTAATATATAGGGAAAAGGAATAGTTTAATTTCACCATCACGGCTGGAAAAAGCATTATAGAATAAGTGAAACTGCAAAGTTTGGTTCCGAAATTTTGAAAAGCATGTGAATTGAAGCCCTGCGAAGTTCACTTATTTTGTATGCATTTGTATTTGTACTACGCCTGGGAAAGAATCACCACTTTCGACTAGCTAGAAGTGTAACCAAAATTTGTAGTTTCACGTATTCTGAGTTGCTTTTTCTAGCTATGGTGGTTAGACCTCGTTCTTCTGGATTAAATACGAAATTAAGTCGATTGCGCAAAAGATCCATCGCTAACGTGTGGCATCTGATCTTTCAGGTAAAACTTCAGGAGCTAGAACTCTCCATGGAACAAATGCAAGTGCGATACGATGGCGAAATCAAACGATACAAAGAGAAATTTCAGCAGGAAAATGTGATCAGTGTCGAGGAACTTCATCTGAAGATCAAGTCATTGGAAGATTCAATTGAACAGATGAGATTGGAACACGAGACGGAGTTGGAACGATATACGAAGGCCGTGAAGAAAGGAAAAGTGTCGCTATCCAGCACTGCGAAGGAACGGGATTTGGAGAGAAAAATTGATGATTTAGAGTCGACTGTTAATCTCATGAGGCAAAAGCATCGTGAAGAGGTTGGTAGTATCTGATCTGTGTTTGTCTGGATAGCTCTATCTGAACTGTTTTGTCTGGATAGCTCTATCTAATCTGAACTGTTTTGTCTGGATAGCTCTATCTAATCTGATCTGTATTTGTCTGGATAGCTCTATCTGAACTGATCTGTGTTTGTCTGGATAGCTCTATCTAATCTGATCTGTGTTTGTCTGGATAGCTCTATCTAATCTGAATTGTGTTTGTCTGGGGCCGGTTGTATCAAGCCCGTTTAGTTTAAACGGTGGATAAGTCTAAATTAAATAACACTCTTACAACTCTCTTGAATATTATACACTGAATATGTAGTTGTAAACAGTATCTTTGTATTAAGGTTAAAAACATTTAGTTTCCTTGTTGAATAAAACAATAGACTTACTTTCTATTTTGAACTTAACCACTGTTTAAGCTGAACGAGCTTGATACAACCGGCTCCAGGATAGCTCTGTCTAAACTGTTCTTCCTACTTCAGTACTGAATCTTTACAAAACTCGTTTCCTATATCAGAAACTTACATCTACGTTCTTCCCAGGTGCGTAAATACCGCGAGAGGCTTGAGGACGAGATGGAGCGTCATCGGAAGGAAGTGCAGGAGTCACGTGCAAAGCTACGTAAACTCGAGGCTGACACGCGACAAATGGAAGATTTTAGAAATAAAATCACGGAATTTGAGAACAAAAATAGCAAGCTTTCGAAGGAAGCAAGCAAATGCAAAGAACAAGAGATTGAATTGAATGAAACAAGAAGTAAAAACAGAGAATTACAACGGCAGGTAAGCGAAGCATTCGTTCATTTCCTTTGTCCAAAAACCCTCTGATAATGACCGTCTTATTTACTTTTTTGTTAGATTGATACATTGAAACGCAAGTTAGACAAACTCGAAGCAGCGGAGGAGACTAGTAACGAGTCTTCGGTTACCAGTGGCAGGAGTAAGCTGCCGCGGTATAGTTCGTTGGATAACATTGGCCTGAGCTCGTCAGCCAGGACTAAGATCCAATCAGGAGGAGAGGCTGGAGAATCAGCGAAGAACGAGGACGATGTTTTCGAAATGAATAATAACTCAGGGAAATCCGAGATTGGAGGCTATAAACTTAATCCAAGTATGTGAGGTTTATTTGGTGTTAAGGTTTAGGATTAAGGATTAGGATTAGTGTTGATAAATCAGATTAGTTGCCAGGGATTTGGGTATTTTCTGCGGGAATCTTTGTTTATAGTTTCTATGATTTATCTTGTAGCTCTGAAGCGTCCTGCGTCCGTATCTGCCTTTCCAATTCAAACTGATAATGGGACGCGGAGAGCCGCTTATAGTGAAAAGGTTTGTTTCAGAATAATAATGTTTAAATTCTGTCCAGTGAATCATGAGCATACGAACTTAATTCTTGAGGCTAGGTTTGTGTATTTAGTATTTACTAAAACACGGAATTGTTACCTGTTTCTGAACTCTAGCTATGTCCATTATTTAATACGATGTAAGCTTGTTGTAACTTTATGAAATGCTTTTGATGTGTCTATTTTTGCGAACACATCTTGATTGTGATGTAAGATTAATCAATTTCATCGTGTTTTTTTCAGAGACGTGACAGTGGGTCAACTTCAAACAGGCCTTCATATCAACCAGGTACGTTCCTTGTAAAAGGCGACACGCACTATAAGGGCTTCACGACCATTTTTTTTTATATTACACGACCATATCTTTATATTTTTTCAATGTATTCTTCATTTCTTCTATTTTAAACTGTACTGTAAGCTACATCTCCACCGAATAGCTGAGTATGCAACATTTCCATCTGCTTTTCTTTCAGCCTATATAAAGAGTTCGGCGAGTTCATCTAGCCTGAAATGAAGTTGAGTACAACAAGACTTAGTATATCATGTACTCAGGGAATGGGAAATTTCCAAAAGATTTATAGATTTGTGTATATTTTGAGGTAGTTTTTTTTGTATTGGGCATAAGTCTGTGAGAATGGTCTGTGTGAGTTAAACGTAGATAAATTATTCATCCATACGCCAAAAGACGAAAGGAGTTGTTTATCTCAACGACCGATTCGCTAAGTCTTATCAGTAGTAATGATTCCATAAACCATTTCAAATGTAAAGATATAGTTGTTAGTATATATTATACACCGGCTAACGGGCTACTCTGGGTGTAGAGTTGAAACCATATATATTATTTATATAAGACTGTTTCAGCGTGGACGAATTTGTTGTAATATATTAAGATGTGTGTCTATTTTTGCATCTGTAACTTATAACGTGTGTACAAAGATATAGTAAAGCCATTATTTTGCATCTCTTGTGTTTTAAACGAGGGAGGATCGTCTCTTATTAATCCAGTTTTACAACAGAAGGAAACCTAAACTAAACTAACTTTATTTACACTGGATAGCTCTATCAGTTCTAAACTGTTCTTCCTAGAGGTTCAGTAAGGATCATCTCTTATTGATCCAGTGTTACTACAGGAGGAAACCTAAACTAAACTAACTTTATTTATACTGGATAGCTCTATCAGTTCTAAACTGTTCTTCCTAGAGGTCAAGTAAGGATCATCTCTTATTGATCCAGTGTTACTACAGGAGGAGACCTAAACTAAACTAACTTTATTTATACTGAATAGCTCTATCAGTTCTAAACTGTTCTTCCTAGAGGTCCAGCTCTATCAGTTCCCTTCCTTAGGATCTCATAGTGATGAATTCTAGTTTTCTTGTTGGCTATATCCAGTATATAACGAGTTCTGTGTTTTGGAAATATCTTTGAATATCATATTTCCTGTTAAAATTTTACGTTCAACAAAACATTACAATAGCAACAGTTTTAAGTTCTAAAGTAACTTTTAATTCTAAAGCAACAGTTTTTAATTCTAAATTACAAAGACAAAACTCTGAATTATTTTCACAACAAAAACACGAGGTCTATCAACTGGTTAAAGTGGTTATATTTTTTGTATTTTCCATCCACGAGAAGCCGACTTGTTCCTCGTGGAACATCGGAAATTCCCGCTAATTTTATTTCAGGCATACAACAAAATCAGTTCATACTTCAGAATTTTGTTGGGTTTTTTAATTTTCTGCTTTTAAAATGAACACAGCGCTTCAAGTATTTGATGGTGAACTCTCAGTGATCACCACTCCACCTCCCCGTGTCTCGTTACCCACAGATGTTATTGTTAAGGTCGCTTATTCAGGCGTTTGTGGAACAGATTTGCACGTGTTGGCAAGAGAGTTTCCTTGTGCGAAATCTGTTGTCCTTGGGCACGAATTTTCTGGTGTTGTTACAGAAATCGGAAGCGATGTAAAGCATTGTTCTGTTGGAGAAAGGTACAAAGGATATTTCTTCCTAGATTATAAAATTAGTCACTTTAAATAGTGTAGCAATTTTTTAAATTGATACACACCTTCCTCCCCCCGGCCGAGTCAAGAGAGAGTCAGTCTACCAGGGGGGGATGAAGTGGAATATAAAATTATTGTTTAAGAGAATTTGCAATATATTTAATATGTTTCCACATCTAACCTGGTAAAGACATAAAAAAGTTTGATTAAACCCTAAATAATTTTTTAGAGTCGTTGTGAATCCAAACTCTAGTTGTGAAAAATGTCATTACTGTTTCAAAGGCCAGCCACATTTTTGCCCAGTTGGTGCAATTAACTCAACCATAGGTCTTTGGCGTAACGGCGGTTGGGCGCACTTCTGCCGAGTACCGGCCTCTCAGGTTCACCCAATCCCAACACAGATTACCCTAGAGGCAGCTGTATTTATCGAACCTGTGTCCTGTGTTCTTCGTGGTTGGGACCAGCTGTCGCCGTTACCCACTGATGCTGATATTCTTATCATGGGAACGGGTATTATTGGGTTGCTTTTTGCATGTATAGCTCACTTCAAAGGTTACCGGCGGGTCATATTAACCGAGGTAGCCGAGCAGAGAAGGACCATAGCGTCGGGAATGAAATTGGGCTTCAATATTGTCCACCCAGAAAGCTTGGAAATCTTGTACAAACGAGGAATAAAGAATAAAGATGTGAACTGGGGTTTTGATGCTATAATTGACTGCACAGGTTCACCTGAAGCCGTCCAGCAAGCATTCAATTGGTTACGCCATGGTGCTACATTTTGCTTGTTCGGCTGTTGTCCAAAAGTGTCAGAGATTAAAATTAATCCGTTCGATGTGACCTTCAAAGAGTTGAAGATTGTTGGTTCCCTCATTAACCCCTTCACGTTCCCAAGAGCCATACAATTGGTGCAAGACATGGCTGCAGACTATTTGAATTACAAAAAGTTGGGAGTTGAGTTGTTCCAACTTGAGAATTATGCACAAGCACTGGCAACCTTGAAAAGTGGGAACATTTCAAAAGCTGTTTTTGAGATTTAAAACCTGAAAAATTAACTAATAAATGTTATAGGAGGAGGTTTTAAATGCAATTATTCCCTTGCCTTATATATCTGATTCGATTAAATGCCATCTAATTTTTTATAAAACAATGAATGAACTTAGTAGAGGTGGTATAAAATCAAAGAAATACATCTGAAAATTATTTCTTGCTGTCAAGGTTTTTCAGGAAGAAAACACAAGACAATAATGACTAATTCTGTTTAACATCAGCAATATAGATGTACAAAAACATTTTATTGCCAAAATAGGAATATCACATTCTTGTTTTATTTGTTCAAGGCTTGCATTTGCCAACTTAAATAAAATTGGTCAGTAATTACTACAAAATGTACAAGTAAAGGTTTCATGTTGGAGCAGTAGAATGTAGAATATATACAATATGTTGTATCCTTGCATTAATTTAAAGGAATCTAGGAATCTAGGAATGTCTTACATCTCACATTGCTTTATTTTATCTCATTCCATCACATAAAAAAGAAACAGTTATTGACCATATCACATCCTTCGTATGTAGCTCCTGTTAGCTCTCTAGGGGCTTGTGCTTTTCAGGAGGAATAATTAGATAATGCAGATTATACTTGCAAAAACACGATTGATTTTGAGTATGTGGATGGATTGAGATGAGCATTGACTCAGAGGGACATTAAACAAATTAAATATGATATTTCTACATGCATGTCTGCTTATTTTAGTGCAACCACTCAAAGCTAAAATTCTGAGTCTGAATCTAGTAGCATAGTTTCTTCAGAATAACCAGTTTTACTATAAACAACTTTAGGCTTTGGGCTTTCCTCGTTCGTCTGAACTGCCATTCCACCTGCATACTGTTGGTAGGAACGTGAAAAGTTATGTATGGCATCGGTGACAATGTCTTTTGGGTTTAATGTTTGTCTAAAGTTACTTGAAATGCTCTTAAGTGCAACTGCTTGGCCTTTTTCATTCAATTTCCGTTGGTTCATATATCTTGAGTGTGGAAAGGCAAACCTCAGAGCTATTGCAGCGAAAAACATTTCAATGCATATTAAGAAATCTTGACAAGCACTTGCGATCTTCCCAGATGAAATATTGTTGTATGTTCGGATTACACCAGCACTTTCAAAGATAGCCAAAGTGAAGCCTTGATGGAAAAAATAATAAAGAATGACTCACCAGTGAATACTGTTATCAGTAAAAAGCCTGCTAAGTTGTAGGCTAACTAAGACATGAATATTGATTGAGATGTGGTTAATTGTCAGGAATGCAGGTGGATTTCACCTACCTTGCCAGAAAGATAAGAATACAACTGATTTGATAGTGAAGAACTTTAGTAGGGGGTTATGAGGTGCAAGAAGCTCTTTTGTAGCTGAATAGAACAGAAACAATCCATATAATGCTAGGGTGTAGGAGATATTGTATACCACAGTTACATAAAGATAGCCACGATCACCTCTGAAATGAAAAAGTAGATATTATGCTCTCAGCTCTATGCAATTCTTGGAACAGCAGTTCTATGCAACTCACCTCCATTCTCCTGGATCATAATATCCAAGAGGAAACAGAATTAAAATAACAATCACCATGATTGGTTTAACAACACAAAATTGAAGCGTTGCCTATATATATTGCAATGAAAAATAACTGTCACAAATTGTTGTTATAGATCCATAAAAAGGAGGGACTGACTTTCTTCATTCAATTCATTGTACCTGCTTACAAAACTTTAGAAAACCAACAGTATATTGCATTCCATTCAGACAGCAAGTACAACTGATCCAACTTGCCCTGAAAAGTATTTAGACAATTGTAATTTTAGATAAAGATTAACATTTATTAACAAACAGTTGAAACATAATTTTCTTACTTGATTGGTCGCCCACGAAGCTCATTCATGATGGAAATCTCTCCACCAAGATACTCGTAGCATAGACTTATGAAATTATATATCACAAAAGCTAAAAACAGAGGCAAAGGAGTTTGTAAGATGTGCAATGATGAAGGCATTACATTACATGTTTGTCTTTTTTGGTACTACGTTGTTGTACCTTCGTAACAATCCCGGACTGTGTCAAAGTAGATGGAAAATGAATGTTGAAAGAACATCAGGCTTAGCCAAGAATGAAACCCGTATATGGGAATGATGAACAGGATACGGACAATCCATCTCTGCTGGTTGGGATTTGTGTAAAATTTCAGGTGAAGGTAGATCTGTATGAAAAGAAGTATTTCTTTCAACATTTATGTCTTGTTTGAAACCACTGCTTAGTGGGTGGGAAATTGTGCAAGTCCTTTACTGTTACTACAGTGTAGATCAAACAATGCAGGCGAGTGGAAGCAAGTTTTTCAAACTGAGGTGATGCAATGGATCTCCGCCTAATAATTTTGTGATATCCCCATTGAGGATAACCCACTCTCCTTTCTGATGGCTGATATTGATTGGCATTTGATAAAATTAGCATTAGCTATTCAAGAGCATTTGGGTTGATACAAGGCACTTCAACTTGGTGCTTCAGATATGACATGGCAAAAAACTACAAATAATTGAATTCTGTATGGAATATTGCATGGTACAAACGGGATTTCCAAAGTAATCAATAAACCTGTTAACACGATATGGATCACCCCCCAGTACGAACAAGACAATTTGATTTTACAACAATGTTTTTACTTCCGTTCTGTGTTTAACTTTTATCGTTTTATTGTTCTCGCGTGACAAAATACTACGAAATATGACAAAAATGTACGGTTTCATTGTCATATAGATCAACCTTTGATCGGTGATATTTACGATTTAAACCATTGAAACAGCGTTCAAATATTAACGATGTGTAAGAATTCAAATATAAACAATTTAATACTGTTTGATCGTTATTTTTTTAAATAAACACCAGATATTAAATGTAGTTTCGGTGTATCGTTTTTAATTTTATCAAATCTGGAAGCTACACTTGCCTGGTGGACAGTAATTATGATTGCTAAAGCCACAAAGAGGCCAGAAATCCCTTGTGCAGCTGGTGTTTCGTAAAAAACATCGCCATTATCAGTATTTGCTTTCACAGACGAATTCTCGCTGACAGCGCTTGCAACGAAATTTGTCGGAACTGGCTCGCTTCTTGTGGTTGGATCAAGCATGTTTTAACCTTTGAGTCTATTCCCTTAAACTTTTCTCCGCTTGAAACACAATAAAATAAACTTTTCCTTTTCTTTTTTAACCCAAAGTCATCTTCTGATATTTGCTAATGTTTGTTCGAAGATTATGTTTATGTTTTTTACTACACGAAGTACTTCTCCATTTGTTTCCGGTTACTGAAATGATGACGTAATTTTGCTATATTTGGGGTTGCGTCATTCTTCGGTAATGACGTCAAAGTGTTGCGCTTCGTATGCTAATGTACAAGTATGCTAGGGGAACAGTGAAAGGTAACCTAACGGAGTAACCTGGAACTGAGGCGAAACAGAATTGGGCAGACATGAGGATACATAAATGAACAATCAACTACCAGTAGATATTTTGCAACAAGTCGAGATTTATTCACAATTATTTCATGACTTAAACTAGGCGAGTTAGTGCAGAAACACAACAATCCAGTGAGTACGCAATTCTAGACCAAATTCGCGCGGTAATAGACGATGAATCTGATGTGCTTTTCAGCTCATTTTCACAGCTACCAAGACTACCCTCGATACACCTGACGTTCACGCGATGAAGTGTTGAAAAGCTTGCTGAACTTATGCCCTCATCTGAAGCATCACAGCACTCACAGAATGAACTGATTCCTGATTCTCTATCACACTCACACTCGTCTGAACAACAACAAGAAATCGTTGAGTTGCTTCGACTGCTCTTCACGATCAATTCAGATACCTCACGACGGACATTTCTCGAAATGCAACTAGAATAATCTTCGAAAACTTGAATTGCAATATCTTTTGTCTTTTGGCTACACGACGTCGGTGTATTTGCGTCAAATTTAGCTCCTTTATCGTCGTTCATTCCGCTGTAAATTGCCAAATCCTTTCTCAATCCGTCATTTACGTTTTCCTCCAAATTCTTGCCAGCTTTGATGCCAGATGCGCTGTCTCTTCCTGTCTCCTTGTGCCTAGAATTTTCTCCTAGACAATCTACATCGTCGTTCTCATCTTTTACCGTATTGTCTCCAAAATCAATGCGATACGCCCTATTTTCGGAACTGGATGCATATTTTTCTGCTGAGATGCTCTCGCAAAATCCTTCCCTAAAACTCGCAAGGCTATTTCGTATTAGATTAAACGAACCCTCCAGAGAAAAGTCTTTGTGTGTTTTTCGACTATCATTTCCCCGAGGTATGAGGTGTCTTTCACTATTCACGTGGTAGTTTTCAATGTCTATATTAAATTCATACTGGATGCGTTGCTTTGAACGAAAATGAACAATGTTATGACCTATGCACGACCCATTGCCATCGCTGCGATTAAAACCAGCCTCGCTACATCCACACCTGCATTTATTGCACGAGGTATCGTTGCTTTTCTCACACCAACGATTCGCATATACGTGACAAATTCCACCAGTACTGTTAATAATTTCATCTTTGATACTACGAGAGTTGTTGATGACACTAACGGCGCGGTCATTGTCTTCAGTCTCACATGTGACATCAACTACTGTACTCAAGGCTGAGTCAATGTTGTCATCGACCTTAGTGGAATCACTGTTGAGATTGTCTGCACAGTCACTGTCTGCATTCTTATTGATACATGCAGTTTTTTCGCCTTCTGTAGAATCATTAGATTCACAGACTTCATAGTTATCACCACCATGTTTATGGTTATCACCAACAGTACCATCATAGTTATTACCATCATCTTCATAGTTATCACCACCATCTTCATAGTTTTCACCAACAGTACCATCTACATCATTGAGATCACAATTGGTTTTCATACTGTTCCTTTGGTAGGCACCATATTTATTCTTACTGTCTCTAAGATTACCAAACCATTCATTGGTATCATAACCATGATCTTTACCATCGAGATATTTACCATGCATTAAACCAGTGTCACCATCATCACCAACGCCATCACCAGTTTTGCTGTTAACTTTGTCACTTTCGTCACCATTCAAAGACCCATCACCACATCTTGTACACACTTGGTGTACACACTTGGTATTCCCTTCAACAGAAGGACAACTATGTTTGTCTACATTCTCGCACGCAGCATGTACACCAGTAACAACCTTCGCATTCGCAAAACCCCAAATCTTTATTTCTTCCCCATCACCGCTTTGCGATTGTCCGCTAGTAACTGTTGAGTTACCATTCGTATCGCAATCACCGCTGATCCCAACGTCAACACAAAGCGATTTCGGGATGTCTTCATTCACCACATTGCTACCATCGTTACCAACATCTTCACACTCAACATCACCATGTTTACGACTCTGCTTGTTGGTGACACTTGAGCTACCAACGTTTATGGTAACAAAATCACCATCAATTCCAGCGCCACCGCCACGCTCTTTCTGGCTAGTATCTCCATCACCAACGCTCTCACGCTCAACATCACCAGGTTTTCCAGAAATGTCAGAACCAGCGACATCTACACCCATATTGCCAATCACCACTTTTCCATCACCATCACCCTGGTGATCTCTGGTAACGTTAAAGTTATCAATGTTAATGGTAACACAATCAACATTGGTACCAGCGACATCACAAACCACCTTATCGCAACCACCATCCATTCCTTTCCTACCATCTTCGTCATTGCTCGTCGTCTTATCCTGCTTTGTTGTCGGTTCTCCCGGTTTCTCGCCAGCAACTTTTGCGAGTTGTGTTTTCTCTTTCTTTCGTTTGCTTTTCCTCGATCGTCCAAAACACATAAATATCAATTGCGTTATCAGAAAACCAAACACAGAAACGCTTGCCAAACCGCTGAGAACTGCGGCTGAAATGATCATCTCACTGTTCGACATCTTCACCTTCTTTGAAAAAAACCTTTGAAGAGAAGAAGAAATTGACTGACTGCATGAGAATGTGAAATCGCACAATTGGGGGATTTTCGAAGTTCTGTTATTTCAACACAGTTATTTCTTTTACTTTATCCTTTTTTAAATGTCGTAATTAAAAACATTTCACCCAGATTTGAACCATCGACTTACCACTTGCGAGAGCAACAATGTTGTCACTTCATACAGGATGAATAGCGCAGTTCCTTTGCTTTCGTGTGTAGAAAGCCTGAAATGGTGGTAGTAGGCTAGAAAACCAAGGGCGAATGCGGATGACTGTATTGATGACGTCGTATAATGAAATGCGCGCGCTATTTCACATTAGACTGATTTACCTTGAGTTCCCGACTTCCCGTCTTCTGAGCTAAATCTGCCACTCATTGAGTTGAATAAACCAGGTTTATTCATCTCAATGCTGTCGCTACTTCCTAGTTAACTTTGACTCGAAGGTTTGCTGCATAACTACTTGTAACAAGCTTCAGTTGTATCTAATCACCACAGTCTACGGACCCAGATACCAACTGTTTCTTATTAGCATAAAAGGCGTTCTAAGGCTACGATCGAGCGCTTCCGTACGAGCAACCGTACGAGCGCTTCTGTTGAAAGGAACATTTTGGTCTCTCTTTGAACGTTCATTAATGTATCCCATTATCCCGTGATTAATAAATAATTATTAGAGTATATAAAGCTACTCGGGCTTTATACATTCCGGGAACGAGATTGATCGCCGGGTATTAGTCCCTTCCAGTGCGCGCGGTCTTGTAGTCTGAGGACGAGTTGTTCACGCCTTTGGCGTTTTGAAGTAAATTTTGTTGACCGATCAAGTTTACATTGAGTTTTGGGAGTTCTGCATGTGAGTTTGTGTAGTTTTTTCGCAGAATGTTACGCTTTACGAGAGGAAGAGGGCGAAAGCCGGACCCTAAAGACAAAATTGCTCAAGAATTATTGTCTTTCGCCAAGGTATGTGACGATTTTTTTGCCATGACGTTGCTACGAACTGTTCGCTCGCTTCACAGTTATGGGAGGCCCGTGTCATTACGACATATTACTGTATTTACTTGCGTTTTCTTTCCCAGACAATCGAGCATGGTTTTCCACACAAGCCAAGTGCTGTGGCGTTTGATAAAGAAATAGGACTGCTCGCAATCGGTACATCGACTGGATTTTTGAAAATGTATCCTTGATTTATTAATACAAACATATTTGACGACAAGCTCAAATTTCTTATAGCTCAAGGCTTCACGCGGCGTGAAGCTTATATGCGTAAGCAAAACACAGACGAAATACCCGTTCATACGGTGTATTTTTATTCGAGAAATCGCTGTAAATATTCTCATGAGTTGGCTATTTTTGCCCTGCCCGCTCGCTGCCAATATTTCATTGTATTATTGTTTTAAATTGCCCATCGAAATATTGTCAAAATTCCCGGTTAAGCTGTTGTTTGAGTAAACGTCTGGGACACTTCGAATAACGTTAAAAGACTTTTGTAATTCCGGTGTTTTCAAGCGATAGTCTAAGCCGTATTTCACCGTTCATAGACGGCCTTTTATACACGCGATCGGTTCTAATGTCTCGATGTAAATTTGGAGACAATTAGAAATCTGCAACTGTTTTCGGCCTATGCAATGTTTTGGCGGGCGTTCAGATATTGCGATCAAAATTATATTGTATTCACTGTTTTGAAATGAAATGCTACCCCTAAGACTGCATTGTTTTCATTATAACTCGCCCTTGGCCGCGAATAACTCTACCGTTTTGTTTAGCTTTGATATTTTTGGCTGTGGAATGATAAGTATCGTAGAGGAAGTTCTACTAAAAGTTAAAAATGTTCTTTGTGTGATTCTGAGAAAATTCGAACGTTTTTTGTTGGAATTAGAACACGTTGGCCCGTTCTAAATTCAATTCTATATCTCAGAAGTCAATTTGATAAACGTTTTGTCATTGTGGCATTGGAAACGACCAGAATCGTTTGTTTTGGCATTGCTTATCTTCGCAGATAGAGTTTTCAGCATTTTTTATAATGGAATTTTACAACCCTTAAAAATATATTGTTTTGATTTGCGAGCATATTGGTAAAATTTAAATATTGAAGAACCTCTATGAAAGAATCTTTCTCGATGTTGTATCTGACAACAAATGTATTATTATCCTGACTTTTCATGCATGATATTCCCAAGGAAATTGATCACAAAAGATTTTGCGATCTTGCATATTGCGTTCATTTCATTGTTAACATCAGTCTAAGCCAGAATTTGCGAATATCTCCAGTTTTTCAAGGTCAAGGGCGATGCAAAACACACAAGACAGGTGTATTTGGCTATATGTCTGTAAATGATTTTATGTCCTCATGTAGATAAAGGATAATTTATTATTAATAGATTTCCTTTTTTGCCAATAATGCTGTGTCCTGTTGCAAAAGAGCCTCAAAATTTGCATAACCATTTTCCTTAATAAAAAACGTAATCATACAGATTGCTATATTAAAACCTCACCTGTTTTGTGTTTGATCTTTAGCAAGTTTTTATTCGATATGTCATCCGCACCTAAATACTCCTAAATAATTTATTTTGAAATTTTATTTGGTAAAAACACTGGAGTTTTCTGCACAGCAAGTCAACACGATACTTTTTAATATTTCATGCAATAAATATATGGCTGTCAGCGAAGAAGCCATTTGAAATAAATTAAATCAATTGTGTATAATTTACTGTGGCCATATGTCTCAAAGCATTAGTATTGTCTGGGATTTTAATGATTTTGATAAATAGTTTGCACTCAACAAATAGGGATGTATGTATTATTGCAAAACATCTTGCACAGTTGAAAGAGCAATGCAGTTTTTAATAACTAAACCATTGACCCTTGGCTTGACTGACTGTTGTACTGAGCAGGCTTGTCAACCTTAATTAAACATGCTTTGCTGTGTCTCTGTATGTCAATAATGAGATTTTCTACCTATGCATGTTTAGAATTGTGTTTCAACCCATCCCGGCATAGAAGCAATATGGTGACACAATTAGATGATTTATACATGCAAAAGATAAGCTGTCCTTGCATTTCTGTGCAACCCTGAGTAAATTCCCAGCCTAAGTCTTGATTATTTGTATTAATGTGACATTTGTTTGTTCAAGGTTTTGGTTCTTGTTTTCATAAAGCATTAGCTTATATTAATAGCAGTTAAATTGGTAAATTTATACAATTGTTTGCAACCTGTGGTTCCTTTCTAGCTAGCTGTGTATTTTCTTATATTGGTCTTTGAATGGGTGGTTTAATTGCCACTACTTAATTCATATTTCCCTGGTCGTCTCAATATTCAAATTCAAATATGTGGTAACATATTGATCATGTATTCATTGATGTATAGTAATGTGGTCAAACTCTATTAACTGAGAGTTAGTCCTGCTGTGCTTACTGTGATATTTTACTTTGTCCAATGCTGGAAGACTTTACATACTTGTCAATAAATGAGTATGGTCAGTTAATCCGTAATCAAAACTCTCAGTTTACCATACCTGTTGACCCTTAAACTGCCAATATAATCTCTTTCTAAACAAATATTTTTATATCTTTAAGAAAAATACAAGCCTTCCTTTTACTTAAGTTATTAATAGCACGCAGCACACATTGAGAGTTCCTTGACAACCATAAATAGTTACGGAAAACCAGGTGTAGAATTATCTGCATATCACACAACAAAAACAAGAATACAGGAGCTACATTTTTTGCCCAAACAGGTAGGTTCACTTTTTTTCTGAGTCTGAATTTAAGCTGAAGTTTCCATTAGAAAGTATCTTGAATTCAATAGAAACTGCACAAGACAAATATTTGGCATTGTGATGGGTTTAATGCAAATGAAATGTGTCTATAAAATATGTTCATTGATTCTCTCAACAGGGCAGGGTGATCAGTGTCTGCGATGATGTGACACATGATAGCATTCACTTGTGGGAAATCAACAAAAAAGATGGAAAATCGATTTTAGAAGAAGTAAAGACATGCACATTGCAAGGAAGGTAGATCTTAAATCTTGTTGAAATAAAGTTTAAAGCAACCCTGTTTCTCTTTGGGATATTTTGTTGTAGTATTTTCTTTTATATGGAAATTCTTTGTGTGTATCTTCTAGGCTAAAAAAGATTGCAGTATGTTCACTGTCAATGCGAACAAACAGACTCTACCTTGGTACAGAGGGTGGAAATATTTATCTTTTGGATATCAATTCATTTGATCTTCTTGATCATATTATTTATCAAGATGTTGTTATTCAGGGGTAAGTTAGCTTATCAAATTAATGGATCATGGCTGGATAGCATGTGAAAATGGGGGATATCAAGTACACTTGATAATCACCAAATATGACCAAATATATTTGCTCTGTGATATTGCAGCGTCCCTGAGGAATATCGGACAGTGAATCCCGGCTCAGTTGAAGCCATTCAAGAAAATCCTCAAAACAAGGAGCAGGTTAGATTTGGCTGTTAAATTTAGCTGTTTCAATTTCTTGCAGACTCCATGCTAAATTCAATGCAATAATAAGATGGGGGGTGGGTGATTCAGAGGAGGTATAAGGGGATAGGCTTCCCAAGCCACTTCATTAAGATAGACTGAAGGGGTAGGTGGCAGGTGCAATATACTTTATTATCAATATCAGCCTTTATGGCTGATTTGACTCCCCTTAAAGATATTTTTTCTTCTGCTGTTGCAAGCTATTCATTTGACCAACATATTCCTCCAGGTTTTGATCGGTTATAAGAAAGGTTTGATGGTCCTGTGGGATCATCAGTCTTGCGACCTGAAGCAATCATTCTGTTCGATGCAAGGCTTGGAAAGTCTACACTTTGATCACTCAGGCGAGAAATTTGTGAGTTCCCATGCCGATGGCAGCCTGACAGTTTGGAACTTACGAGAGGATGCTGAAAACAAGTGCGAATCCCCGTGCGAGTCTCCATGTCCTTTTGGACCTTTCCCATGCAAAGCGATCACGAAGGTAAATGAAAAAAAAAACACTTTATTTACTCAGCTTACATGTATACAAGCGATATATTAATCCTGCAGAATTTTTTATATCTCTTGTATATATAACATGTGCAAAATATCATACTCGGCTCCGAAATATTTTTGAATAATTTGCAAGCTTCGCTGTAGTAGAGTACATATATTTTTAACACGTAAGTCAAGTGTGCAAGTGTTTTACTTTGAGATTTTCTTTCTAATCATGGTGTTGAATTCAATCCTTTTTGCGGACATCAAGATCCAGTCTATAGCCTTAATCATCTATCGTATCTGTATATATTTTCTCTTGCACTAATGATATGTTATTATCGTTTTTTTTAAGGTTTGTTGGTTCGAACCGTATACCATATTCAGTGGTGGTATGCCCAGGGCGAGTTATGGCGACAGACACTGTATTTCAGTTATATGTGGTGACTCTACTCAAGCAACGTTTGATTTCACATCCAGAGTTGTTGATTTCTTCATAATATTCAAGAAACGTGATAAAAGTAAGCACTTATTCCGTAGCCGTACAGGCTTAACCGCCTAATATAACCTTAGGGGCTGTTTACATGAGCCGGTTACCCGAGATTCAACGAAGCGTGAGATGATTTTGAAGTATTGAAATGAGCAGATAACATGATCCTGGCAGTCGTATAATCACCACAACAATAGCATGTTCTTTTCTTGGTGCCATAAAGACTTATTTCAATACCTCAAAGTCCTCTCACGCTTCGTTGAATCTCGGGTAACCGGGCTCATGTAAACAGCCCCTTAAACCCCATATAGCCGAGCTAGTACTTCTGAACAACAAGCCAAAGGAAACTTGCTTGTCTGTGTTCCCTGTGGGCCAATATTCCTAAGCTAGTAAGTTCTTTTTGGGCAAGAAGCAAAGTTAGCAGTTCGTTTGTGTTGTTCAATGCTGATTTATCATGCTTGCTTGAGTTTTGAAGCACTTGAGAGAGAACTTAAGCACATCTGTTAAGTGCAAGCTTTGTCCTCGCTCAAAAACTCGACTGAGTGTCTCCTTGCTGTTAATCTATAAACATCTCCTGTATGTTTTAGACAAACCAAGTTATTTAGCAGTTCTCTGCGAGCACGAATTTGTCGTGATTGATTTATTGAAAGAGAATGGGTAAATATAAGTCATCTTTAGTTATACTAGTCCGATAACAGAAGCATCATCACGGACCACTGCTTTGAAGGTATTACCAACAATCTTCGCTTTTTTCCTGTTAGGTATTCAACATTCGCATCACCCTATTTATCCTGCCTTCACTCCTCACCGATCACGTGTTCCCAACATGTACACAACTGTCCAGATGATCTATGGAATTTATTGAAAGAAGCGGGCGCGGATCAACTGGGATCAAGTTATCCTCAGGAGGTGAGGAAAGCTTGCGTGAGCAAGTGGCCACTGATCTCTTGAGTCACCTGGAGTAGCCGATAAATATACTTTTCGTTTGCTAGGATTGGCCAATCACTGGTGGACGCTCATTGTTGCCAAGAAACAGTCAGCATGACGTATTACTCACGGGGTAAGAACTTGGAGAATTTTGAGAATGATTCTGAAATCTTTCGCTGTATTCTTCAGTCTGTTAGGCAAATTTGGATCGTCTGAAAAGACATTTTCTACCGTTTAGTCACGAGGATGGTTCGGTGCGATTTTGGGACGTCTCTTCACTCAACATGAGTCCACTCTACACGATACAAACGTCCAGGTTTTTCTCTGGCGATCACGAGCCACCAGATCAAACGGATGGCGAGGACGAAGGTTGGCCTCATCTCAGAAAAGTTGGTCTCTACGATCCGTACTGTGACGACCAGCGTTTGGGCGTTCAGAAGATCTACTTTGACGCGGAGGAAAAGATTTTAGCCGTGGGGGGACATGGCGGTCAGGTTATTGTCCTGGATGTCAACAATGAAGAGAGAAACGTTGAAATACAAGTGAGGAAAAGCGGTTTGATGCAGTTTTTTCTGAAACGCTTTTGTTATTTGTCTCCGTCTAATCCCAGACGGTTGTTCTTGCGTAACCAGGCAAAATTACCCTCAATTGTCCCTCGTGTACCCATAGCTGATGATGCTTGCGAGTTACGTTAGCCCTGGGACGTTTTAGGACGTTATAGGACTTGTGTAGTTTGAAATATTGACTTGCAGTGCATGGAAATGTCTTGGTTTACTGTTCGTTCAGGATATTGATAAGTGTTTTAAATTTATTCTAAATTTCTTCAGCTTATTGATATAAATCTCGTGAAAGAATTCGAAAACTTCAACTGGAAAGGACTTGGTCCGCTCACGCCAAAATCGGAAGCAATAAAAGTTAGCAAAGGTTTCAAGCCAACCATGATTGTGCAGATCACGCCTGCGTCTTGTGTGACAGCGGTCGCTTTGAAAACAAAATGGGGATTGTGAGTACCGTCTGAACAAACACTGATACAACCACAACACGAGAATGTATTGAAACTCGCTTATCACGACCAGTGACTTTCAACAAATCTTTTCTTTTCTGTTTTCTTGTAGACTTGCAGCAGGGAGCACGCATGGGTTCTTCCTACTCGATTACGTTCAAAAAGTTCCGATTCTACACCGATGCACGCTTAGTCCTGATGGTAAGTGATGGAAAATAGTGTGTAGCTCTTTCCGTTTTAGTTCCCCGTGCTGCAGCGAGGACCATTTCTCAATTTTTTATAATTTTTCCCGCCCTTTCAGATATGGGGTCCGAAGGTGGTACTTTGGTACGTCGTAGGACATTGAAAGAATCTCTGCGAAGGTCGTTTAGACGTTTGAGGAGCGGCAGACGCAGCGGCAGGAGACGTCAAAGTTCCCGGTCGGGTAAAGATCCCAGGCAGCAATCTCCGAGCGGGGAAGAAGCCCCCGTACAGAGACTGATTGACGAGAGTATCAAAGTCGGAGAAGGGTATCAAGGACTGGTGCGATGCTTGTATATGGTCGATACCTTCCTCAAGGATGGTGAGTAAAATTCTTAACACTGAGACTCCTAAAATTAAAATCTAGAAGCAGACGCTTTACTATAGTAAACATGTTTTCAATTTCGCCAGGTGTTCACCACGGTCCCTCGTTATGGGTGGGCACAAATTCCGGGTATATCTACCCCTATACGATCGAACTACCCCCGGAAGATCAGCGACGCACGAACAGCGTTCTGGCGCATCCGAAGAAACCAGAAATTCATCTGAAACACAACGCGCCTGTTATCACGATGTTTGTCGTCGATAAAGATGGAAACCCCATCGGTGAAGATCATTTAGTTGAAAGCGGTAAGCCGGAGAAAAACATTAAGGATGAACATATTATATAAATATTAAATGAAAATGTGATGTGAAAAAAACTGAAAATTGAAATCGGCCATGTTGGATTCGCCCGAGGATTGGTCAACGCGTTTACTTACAAAAGACTATGGGGCGAGTTTTAATCTGTCCTCACCTTGTAGCTCCTAAAAATCGGCCATTTTCAAAAGTTGATCTTCCCTGCCTCTAGACCAGTTTCGTCTTAACGGTTAGCGCTAACCATGTTCTTAAATCGCTCTGTTTCATTGTTTATTTTCAGCTGCTGATATGAGTGGCAATCACTCTATGATAATCTGCTCTGAAGAACAATTCAAAGTTTTATCTCTCCCTCAACTTCGAATAAAACACAAAGAAAAATTGACCGCAATTGATGGATCAAAAGTCCGGAAACTTGGAGTAATCTCTTTAAGAAATCAACAAGGTAATAGTTTAACAATTTCTCAACGCCGGACATATGTCCCCACGCTAAGGGTAGAGGGTAGTTTTGACCCTTTCGAATTAACTGCTTATTTTTTGGACAGTATTCTTGATTTTTACCCTTACCTGCTGGCGGGGCTGCTGCCAACATTTTTCAAATACGATATTCTTTTTCTTAGGTGAAACAGATGAGACTTATCATTGCCTGGGATGTTTGAGCAATCAGGGCGATCTCAATGTGTTTGCCTTGCCCAGTTTAAGACCACAGTTGAAGGTGAATTGCATAAAACGCGAAGATCTTCTGGGAATACAGTCGTTGTTGTTCACAAGACTTGGTCAAGGCTTTTACCTACGATCTCCTTCAGAATTACAGAGGTTCACCTTAACTTCATCGCAAGAGTGAGTGCATATTTTGCTGCTAAGTCTCGTTAGCATGAACGTGGTTTCTAGTGCAATTACGCATGAATAAAAAAAGTATATCGAAATAATTTTCTATATTCTTTACCCAGGCTTCGACCCGAATGCGTTCTTAATTTCTCTCGCGGAGCGCAAGATACGGATGAAGAGAAAACTGCGGAACGGGATGAGAGACTCGCCGACGGCGAAGATAATGCAAATATAGGGTAAGATGATTGGAATTTCGTATGTTTTGAAATGCCGAGGATTGGAGGTCGTTTGAACGTATGTACACTCATCAGTCATCTGTATTACTAGAAGTGGTAACGCTCGGGGTTCCAGCGAGGATATCACAGGGCAGCAAACGACTGTGGTGAAATATGATAACTCCGTGACTGAACGTGATGGAAATGTCGTGAGGACTGAACCAATCGTTGCGAAGAGTGCAAGACACAGTTCATCGAGAAGTCAGAAAAGTACAACTACAACAACGACTGTTGTCAAAACGACACAAAGCAAAGTCCTAACGAATGGTGATCATGCAGAGGTAAGGAACAACGCTCTTTACTCTTTCAATAACAAGATGAAACCATTATCGTATGGTCTCTTAGATCACTGCTTGTTTATGTAGGATTTTTCACTAGCGGAACCTTTCTCTTTCAACCTTCCCCAATGTCAGTTGATCATGGCAGTACTTGCTATATTCTGACTGAGTGCTGACTGCCGTTACTAATACTAGCCTAACTAGTCTAGTACTTACTGCTTTGTAATGTTTCTTTCTTTTTACCACTCTAAGTCTTCCTAATCAACCGGTAAGCCAGCCCACGACACATGATTAAAACTCTTGGCATTTGAAAAATGAAAAATATTTGTGATATTTTTTTAGGAAAATCGTCATGGCAGAAAGTCAAGTTCGGCGTCATCTAGCGATGGAGAGGGGACGACATTCAAAGCCCCAGGAAAGGCACACAAAAAGGAGGGTCATATGGGTGGGGAGTTTGAGATAAATGCTCGTTACTAGAACAATATTTTCCCACTGAATTGAGAAGAAAAAGGTAGAAAAATACATGGACAGGGCAAGACGTCTCAAATGGGAGACTATTAGGAACATCAATTATATTGCAAGAAAATAACCATTTCGTGAACTGGTTTCAACAACACTACCAAAGAACTTACTAGCGTTTTAAGAAAGATCTCAATCTTCGAAATTGAGTGATTTCTCACGTAGAAAGTACTAAATTATATTCACAATTTAGTGGAGGCAAAACTTGAATCTTTAGGTTTTAAATTGATGTATAATTTTCGATGAAATTGTGAACAAACAGTTTAGCAATTTTTCCAGCGATTCTTACTTAAAATGTTTCTGTATCCAAAGAATTCAATATTTCTGTATATTCATCTTAATTTATTTCGCTTGTTCGAAAAGCAAAGTATTTGGTTTTCAGTTGAAAACCAACCTTCAGTTTTTATTAGCAAAAATAACAATACCTTGTTACTGAAAAAAAGATATGTGAGCATTAACGTTTTGATTTCCCGCACAGATTACATCAGAGGCACTAACTTTGCTCCGTCTAGGAGTGGAAGATTGAAAGCTGCATGTATTTTTTTTATTTTAAAATATTTTAGGTATTTCTATGTCAATTTTACACTGTCAGTTGCTTGCCTCAAAACGAGAGTTAAACTGTAACGTGTTGAACTCTTGTTTTGGTCGCTGAATTCATCGAGACTCACAAGATTATAGTATTTAAGAGTTTTCAAATTTGAAGTTGTAGTTTGGCTGTAAGGTCAGACATCTATACCACATGGAAATAATATACAGTGTAGAATTTACGTTTAGCTTGAAAATCACTCTTAATACAGTTTAGAAATAAATTTAGCAGCAAGATCAACTTGTGTGTGTGTCTTTTGAAGCGATTGCCATTTTCGATTGCGTTTAGACCAAACGCCATTTCAACATTCTTGAAGTGACCACCTTTTGTGTTGTAGCTGACCTCTTCAATTGCAGAGGTAGTTGTCTCACAACTATAAAGTCCGATGGTTTGAATCCCAGACCCAGGTACAATGTTTTGCTCTTAGGCCCCGTTTACACTATACCAGATTGCTTCCGGAGTGGGTCACATTTTGTAGCTATTAAAAGGCAGTAAAAAATTTTACTGTCAGAGATCGAAACAGATATACCAAAACTATCAAAATAATAAGTATTTGCTTCTAACCATTGTCCTTTAAAAGCAAACGAAGATATCGTGAGAAGCGAATCCGGTACAGTGTAAACGGGGACTTAATCACAAGATTCTGCAAAACTTTGTCTAATTTATTCCAGCCAAATCTTGCGTAATCTATTGTTAATCGTTCTGCACATGAAAAGCACGTCGTTTGAAACAGGCCTTATTGTTATGTGTCGTCGATGCATGAAGTGCACTGTCCGTTGCAATGTTTTTTGAGGTAATAAAAGGTGGTCAATTCGAGGGATAAGTCATAATACTTGGTATACTCTCGAAGAAGGAAGGATCACTCGAAGAAGTTTAGGGAGAAATTTAAAGAAGCTTTGCTCAGGTACATGGTCATGGTTGGTTTTTAAAGAATCTGTTGTCTTGACCCAAAAAAGGCTTTGCAAATTTATTCATCGCCGTGTTGATTTGAATTACCAGAATACATTAGCGACTTGAGGCATATTCTTGCCGATTTTCACTGCCATATCTTGTATATTTCGATTGAAAATGTAAAATGTAAGTGAGCAACAAACTTGATTTTGTTTTTCCTTCCTTATTTCATTTTAGAACGAACATCGGCGCCGAAAGATGGGAAGGCGAAACACAAACGCTTGCTCGCAGCGAATAATAGGTATTGTTATATTAATGTATGTGCATTTTGCATTTGTGACTTGAAACAACACGTTTGTTCACGAATAATGGAACTTCTCGGGGCTTTATCCTAAAATTTTCCCCAGAAATGGCTGAAACTTTCCCGTCTGACACAATGCGGTTTTCGGACACGCAGTATCGTGAAAATTCGTCCCTCAACGCCTTAGGCTCGAGTTAGTTTTGTACAGGGAAAGACCTTTAATTACATTGGTTATTGCATGTACTTTATTCAAGACCTGATATGTGCCGAGTTATTTCAGCCTGTTTACTGTAGTTTTCTATTTCCAAAGTATCTCATCTTGCTGTAGTGATTTATTTGCTTTCCACGTCAATCAGTTTTACCACAAAACAAAAAATACTCGGAAAGCAAGTCCCCTTTTAACTAGGCTTCATTTGACCGTGAATTGTTTTGTTTTACCGAGATTTTCTATTTTTTAGATTGAATGAATCGTCGGAATCAAGTGTGTCGGAGCTGCCTTGGGACATTTATGCACGCAAATACAAAACTCAATTTGATTTCGGTGAAAATATGCATGGGTAAAATTGCATGGGATTTGGCTATTTTGTCCAAGATATGCGAAACAACACTCTTCTGTTTACCTCCTTCATTTTTAATTTTTCGGCTTGCGGCTTTTGCATGGGTTTAACCTGGTCGTGTCAAGCGCATGCGGAGTAAATACAAGTGATTTGGGGCCCCATCACTTGTAGTTCCTCCATCTTGAACGACGATAGTCCGGAAAAAAATATCGCTCACAGAGAGCCTGAACATAAAATGCATGAGAAATTGTATTTTGGAAGGAGATAATAGCCGAGTGTTTTAGTTTTCTCAGGAGCATGAAGAAAACGATGATTATTTCGTACAAAACGTGCATGACATTTTGTATTCGCGTGCGCAATGCGAAGGCCTTGGACGAGTGGCGTTGAAGTGCTGGAGGTCTGCTATCGGGTTTTGAATGATCATTTTATCTTGAATGCTTTATACATAAGTGATATTTCTCTCTTGGAAAGTAATGATGTCATATTTGTTGTGTAATCATATTAGATGTCGAAGGATCGTCGCAGGATCAGATGATGAAGGATCGTCGCAGGATCAGATGATGAACGATCTTCGCAGGATCAGATCAGATGATGGACGATGAAACGGGTGTACAAGTAGAAGCTGGTTGAGGTATATACTATAGGTATACTAATTAGAGTAATGCATGATTCATGTTAGTGCATGATTTGTGCATGAATTGATTCCTGATGGTGGTCTAACCTAGTATATTCACACATCAAGTGACATTTCACCCTTTCCGACAATGCATGATAACAGGAAATTTCTCACAGCTCTTATGAGAGTGTTTTCGAGGTTTCTCGATGAAAAATTCCAAGTTTTGTCACTTGCGTGTGAATTTTAAATCCGGAAGTTGCATGATGGCTTTAAAGCGTTGAAATGAAAGTAAGAAAATGCAATTAGCATGCGCGACGCGCGCGCAGCGAGAAAATTATCATCGAATTCGTATTAGCCTAATTTTAGATTAATACGAATGTAATCGCGAGTACTTATATGATTATATAAGTTCTCTGTTCAGCCTGCTGTCGATGCGAGCGTTGCGAAGGACCGTCCGTCAATGGCAACAAAAATTATACTTTTGCATGGAATTTTGAAGTTTGAAATAAAGAAGAAAAAATGACTATTTGATGTTCAGACACTACACTCTTCTGTTTTCCTTGTTGGTTTTGATTTTTCGGGTTGCATGCAGTTCCTTAAATGAACCTTTATGATTTTGAGTAACTTGATGAAGTTTGTATGAGAAAATGTACCCTGTATATTACATGATATTATTACATTGCATGATAACTGGACACTTGTATAATGGAGGGTATCTGGGGGCATGGTCTTGAACTGTAGGTTAATATTGCAAGTACTCTCTTAGCTAAAGAAGAACCTTTACAGTGTTTTTGACACACTTACTATGTTTTTTAATTTCTTTCACGCTCCACCGTCGAGATGTTGTTGAAGAAGAACGCAAGTGTTTTGAATGGAGCAACGAAGCAAATAAAATGCTGTCTACCAAAGATAGTTATACGGTGGGAAAGGTGAGGGACATTATTGATTGTTGTTGTAAATAGTTGATATTGAGTAAATTGCATGTGGGACAGAATAAAAACAGTGCATGAGGTGCATGTCTCAACAGTGAGAAGAGTGTTGTTGTCTACATCGGTTTGAGATGAAAAAGCATGCAAGTCGTGAACACGAAGCATTTCTTTTCAAAATGCCGGATAATTTGAATAATTGAAATAATTTTTGTTGCCATTGTCGGACAAAGCGCAGTTTTCTATTTTGCAACGATATGCGCGCGCAGCTTACGTTAGACCACCATCAGGATGAAATTGACAAAGCTTAAGAATTGCATGATAATTTCTAGCACTCGGTACTATATATATATATTAGTACAGATAAAAACTAAACTGGACTGTCATTGCGGACGATTTCTAATAAAAATACCAAATTCGGACCGCCGGTCAGGTAACCTGAAATTCAGGTTGCCTTTGGAGGGTTTTTCTCCGGGCACTCCGGTTTCCCTCCTTTTTGTTTGGCTTTAAAAAACAGTGTCCATGTCTGGGGCCAAACCAAAACGTGATAAACACGCGTGTGTGGCTTCTGGGTTCGATTCCCAGAACACTGACGCAAAAGAATCTACAAATATATAAGGCTGTGGAATCATTAATTACATAATTAGCGAACGTTTTTCCATCCAGGGTTAGCGTTGAGCTCAGAGTTTAAATGCGCATGCGCTATGACGTTCGCGTTCTTGTTGCCATAGTAACAAGGATCAAGTAACAAGGTATTTTTGAAAAACTGTTTTGAACTGTCGAAGCCTCTAAAAACCGCAGGATTTTTCAGTAATTTTGCACTTTAGGAGGAAACATTTAATGATGGAGAACACGACAGGAGATTTTGCACAGCTAGAGCTGGTTTCAACCATCGGATTTGCCGGTAAGCTGTTAAAATATTAGGAATGACAGAGTTTATAGAATGGCAACCGGTTGCCTGACTTGTCTTCAGTAGATCTTTAATTTATATTTTGAAATTTGTTGCTTGAAATCCTGCAATAAATCGCGATCTTGCAGCAGACAGTAGCGGAATTTGACTGTGAAATGGCAGCGATTTGATTGTGAAATTAAACTTAACAAATGCAATTAATCGTTGTCGTTGATTCTTTCTGAACAAACTTTTATATTAATTGATGAATTACGCGATTTTCTCATTTCTGCATATCTTGCTTACGAAGGCTATATTCGCTGTATAGCCCTGCAATATTTGTTGCTTTACTTGTAAGTTTTGCATTTTGGAGTAAAAAAAAGTTGTATAGAGAACTTGACACATCCAGGTGGCATTTTATTTAACCAAGATCTAGATGACTGGACAGTTGTGCTCTAGCCTTTTGATAGTTGGGTTTTGACAAACTATAATATTTTAAGCTATTAAATTCAACATATATTAAGCACCGTATCTGGAAGTCCTCTCCATAAATGATAAAATGATCTAATTAACGGCAATGATCCTTGTTACTTTTAAAGGCTGTATCCCAGGGGGTCTGATGGTACATCCAGATGAACAGCATTTAATCTACTCTGTTGGAAACACTATAACCATCCAGCATATTACCAGTGGTAAACAGAGATTTCTTGTTGGTCACACTGACAACATTTCATGCATTGCCGTGTCCAAAACTGGCCGCTACATAGCTTCGGGCCAGGTCACACACATGGGCTTCAAGGCGGACATAATTGTCTGGGACTATGAGACGTGCTCTAAATATTGCTTGCTGACTCTGCATAAAGTGAAGGTGGAGGCGCTGGCATTTTCTCCAAATGATAAGTATTTGGTTTCGCTTGGAGGACAGGATGACAATAGGTAAGGATGAATTAAGATGTATGAATTAGGTTTTGCAGAAAGAAATGTGTGTACCTATGTAAATGTAATGTTCATATTTTTGCTCAATCCAATTTTGCTAGCACTTTCAGTAGTAGAAATTTTATTCAAAATTGTTCTTAGTATATGCCAGAAGAAACAGCAGCATACTAGAAAATTTGATTGCTGTCGGGCATGAAAAGTAAATTGATTATTGCTAAATCATATTTCACACTAAAACTTAGCCAATATATCTGACTGTTATTGGTATATATATTTCAAAAAATGGCCTGATACTATTTCATGCCAACAAAAATAATAGATATTCTATGATAACGTAACATTTCTGTTGTATTTTAACTTGTTTAGTGTTGTCATCTGGAATATTAAAAAGAAAGAAGCAATCTGTGGTTCACCAGCTGCGGTGCCAAGCTCTGGTACCTCGTATGTTGTTGCTTTTTCAAATCATAGCGACGAACTCTTTGTCACAGGTGGAAAGTAAGTGAGCTACATCGGTTTATTTATCCTGGTTTGACATTCAGAATCACAAAAAATCTGGAGTGTTTTGTATCATCTAGATGTGTTCCCTATTTCCCCTGTTTCCAAACTCCTTGTAGATTAAAAATAAGGTTATATATTATACTGTAACTCTCCATGCACTATTAAATCTTCTGTTTTTCCTGTAGTAAGACCCTCAGAGTCTGGGAGCTAGATCTTGAGAACCGCAAGATCAGGCCAACTGATTGTAATATGGGACAGTTGAAAAGGATCATCAAGTGCATCAAGGTACCGCATCCATACAACAATCTTGTTGCATTCTGACCATTTTATCATATGAAACCTTGTTCAAAGTTGAATTTCAAATGTGTCTCTTACAGGTTGCTGAAGATGACAAATCATTTTACTGTGGAACAACAAGCGGTGATATTTTGGAAGTAGGTGAACAGAGCAGGCATGGCCCTAGGAAGGTGATAGGTGGGGTAGGGTACCCCCTAGCCTAGCTCAGTGCAGAGGAGGGTGTTCATGGTCTTGTTAGTCATAATGGAGCACTTTCAGTGTTAGACTGCAGCCAGTTATAGAGCAAAGGCTTTTGTCAGGAGAGATCGATGTCCCATGGGTCGCATTGTCACGGGAACGTTCTTATTTCATGTGTATGATCGTTCTAGATGAACATAAAAACGAGGCTGTTTCGTCATCATGGTCCACAGAAAGACAAATTCAGCCTGGGTATTCAGGCATTACAGATACTAAAGACTGGTGATGTTTTGATCGGAGCTGGAGACGGTAGCATTGCGCTGTTGAAGAACCAAACATACAAACGAGTCAGGTAATTGAATTGAGCGTATCTCAAAAACCTTTAAATTACAGCTAACTTCTAGTTAGAGCCGTTCATTTCATGTGTAGAACCCCAGGCTTGCTCAATTATTGCCTTACGGTGTCTATGTATTGTTGCCATTGATTCATTATAAGCAAGAAGTCTCAGTTTTAACTTGTTTTATGTACAGGACAGCCAAAGTTGATGGTGCTGTCACGTCGTTGACGTTACGCGGCTCCGGACATCAGGTGAGTGAAGATTACAAATTAGGTAACGCATCAACCGAGGATTAAGCTAGCCTGACTTTGCATCAATTTTTTTCTTCGTCTGTAGTTCTTCGTAGGAACGCAAATATCTCAGATGTATCGATTCAATCTTAGCGAATTCACCAGCGAACTCATCAACACTTGCCACTATGAGAAAATCTTTGATATCGTTTTTCCACAGTAAGCCTACGTTCAAGTATTCAAACATCTGCCTTGATCTAGTTAACCTAATATCATCTCTTAACAAAAAAATTGTTCATTAACTTTGAGTAGGTCCAAGCAATAATAATATTGAAGCTGCAGTCTGCTGTCTTAACTCTATAATTGCTGGATATCTTAAGATTCAAATGCAAGTTGTATCATATCTTTTCCTGCAGTGGATATTCCGATGTTTTTGTGACCTCGTCGAAGAATGATATTCGTGTTTGGAACACGAACACCAGCAAGGAATTGTTGAGAGTCACTGTCCCAAATATGGATTGTAATGCTGTGACTGTCACTAATGACGGCAAGGCTATTGTCAGTGGTAGGTTGACATGAGATGATAGAACTGCATGATAGAGCTATCCAGTATAAATAAAGTAAGTTTAGTTTAGGTTTCCTCCTGTAGTAACACTGGATCAATAAGAGATGATCTTTACTGGACCTCTAGGAAGAACAGTTTAGAACTGATAGAGCTATCCAGTATAAATAAAGTAAGTTTAGTTTAGGTTTCCTCCTGTAGTAACACTGGATCAATAAGAGATGATCCTTACTGGACCTCTAGGAAGAACAGTTTAGAACTGATAGAGCTATCCAGTATAAATAAAGTTAGCATAATTTAGGTTTCCTCCTGTAGTAACACTGGATCAATAAGAGATGATCCTCACTGCAATGAATCTGTTACTTCTCAGGCTGGAGTGACAACAAGATACGTGCTTACTCCCCTCAGAGCGGCAAACTAATATACACAATTAACGATGCCCACAACAAAGGCGTGACCGCCATAGCAACCACCTCAGATGGACAACATTTGATCAGTGGGGGAGGGGAAGGACAGGTTCGTGTTTGGGCAATCTCACCTGTCCAACAAAGGATGTTGGAAGCGATGAAGGAGCACAAAGGTATTGCTGGGGACTCGTTTATTGAACTGGAGTGAGCACAACCTTTTGTGGTTAAAATTCAGAATATCCGTGATAAACTGAGGATATTTTGTTATTAAAGACTTTCCCAGAGGCTTCTTGTTGTTTGTGCATTAAAACCTTGTCTTAGAATCAGTTCTTAATCTTTGTGATTCTTAATCTTTCTGATTCTTAATCTTTCTGATTCCTAATCTTCCTGATTCTTAATCTTTCTGATTCTTAATCTTTTTTTCAATATGAAGGATCGGTTACCTGCATCAAGATTCGCAAGAACGACGAAGAGGTATATTGACAGTTTTTATTCTGCGCCGACCTTTTTCCTTCCTGATTGATTTCATCCTGCGATGCTATACTCATTATCCATATCGTTACCGGTCTTATAGCTCAATTGGTATAGATGCGTGCACGTTGCTGTTAGTATATTTTGTGTATATAATTGCAAAAAGTTATATTCCTTTTTAGTGTGTGACTGCCAGCACAGACGGAAGCTGCATTATATGGGATTTAAAGTAAGGAAATGCTTGAATGAATTAAACTGGAAACAGGTTTGAACGTGGGTATAATAACGTGAGTATTTCTTGCTACAGGCGTTTTGTACGAAACCAAGTAATCTTCGCCAACACTTTGTTCAAAGCTATCTGCTATCAGCCAGACGAGTGTCAGATTTTAACAGCAGGCACGGATAGAAAGGTGCGTGGCAGTCAAATTTGTCTGAAATGCATTGAAAATGTTTGTTTTGTGCTTACGACACTTGGTATGACCGTGGCAGGATTCATTTCATTTCACTGACGTTTTACCACCATTTCAATTTTTTAAGATTGCCTACTGGGAGACATTCGATGGTTCTCAGATTCGTGAACTGGAGGGGTCGAAGTCTGGATCAATCGAGGGCTTAGACATCTCCTCTGATGGAACATACCTTGTCACGGGAGGCGCTGATAAACTTATCAAGGTAACTGACTGTCTAGCGCTCCTTTGACCAGAGCTCTAGGAAGAACAGTTTAGAGCTGATAGAACTATCCAGTATAAATAAAGTTAGTTTAGTTTAGGTGTCCTCCTGTAGTAACACTGGATCAATAAGAGATGATCCTTACTAGACCTCTAGGAAGAACAGTTTAGAAAGGATGGAGTTATGCTGTATAAATTTAAAAACGTCTTTTGTATAGGTATGGCACTACGGGGAAGGATCCATCACGCACGTTGGTCAAGGTCATAGTGGTGATATTACAAGATTAAAAATTTGTCCCAACAGACAATGGATTGTCAGTGTTAGTGCAGATGGTGCCATACTTCGTTGGAAGTATCCTTATTAGATAAAACAAAACATTTTGTCATTTTGTCTTAAAATCTGCAAATTAATGTATGTACATATGAAAATAGTTGAAAGACAACGTCGACTTGCGTATATTAATGTATATTGTGTTCTACAGTAACAGTGCCTTATGTTTAAAACTAATATATATTTTATACAAACGTATATGTCTAGGAAAACCGATGGATTACGTCTAATATTTTGTGGTTTGTTTTCTTAGCTGAGTATTAAAAGAACGAGACTCCAGCTTCTCATATTGAGATAAATCACCAGGAAAATCGAGCGTAGTAACTGATCTTTTACAGAACACTGTAGTGTGCTTATTCTGGGGGGATTTTTAATGCGTGGGTACAAGACTGTATTATGTATCTTCATTTGGCTGTCTGTGGAGATATGTTGATAAGATCCAGAACATATATAGGTTATAATAAATGTATTAAAATATCGACTCCATGCATGATCGACCTCAAATTACGGGTGAATTTTATTCACATATTGAACTATTTACAGTAATGTTAATTATCTTGATTTTTACAAATTTCGTGGTAAGTTCTAGCATTTGACTTTACAATTTGTTCTATCTGTTTCGTTCGGTCTGCTTCTCAGCCCCATGCCTGTGTCTTGCAATAATACAAAACTAACTTGCCATCAGCACCAAAACACTGTAAAAGAATTATTTGTCATTCACAACAGTTACTACCTTGGATGGTGATAATGGGGGATGTAACTCTCAATTGGGAACAGTTGGTGTTAACTAGTACAGTAGGAGTGAGGATAAGATAGGTACATACTTGGCTTCAAAGGGATTTACAGAGGATTTTGGAGTGAGAGTTGACCAAAAATTATTGCGATGCTGATTACTCTCATCCTTAGTATGGGTACCTGGATTGATCTCTATATTGCAACTGGATGAATATTTACTGACCTCATAAAGATTCTGGATGAGTTGGTCTGGATAAGGTGCAAAGCACTGATTGACATACAGAAACTAAAAGAAAAGGTAATAGTTTATTATGCTTTGACTTTTGATGGAATATTGAGTCTTTATTGACCACCTACAACACTGACCAGTGAATCTGCAGGGGTGCATTTGATGTATTTTCTAATGAATTCCACTAAATATGCAACGGTTTTGTTTGCCTCAACCGCCCACTTTTTTTTCTTCATAATGGGAGCATCTCCAGCGGCTTTTAACAAAACATCAACTAAAGGGAAAAGTATGTAAAAAAGTGAGAAAATAACCAGTTAAAAATAAACGAAATATCAAAGTTAAGGCAACATACTTTTGAATTTTGCCTCTTTAGGCGAACTACTTGTATTACTCTTTTCATCTGTCTGTTTCTGAGCTTGTGCTTTGTCGGCTAATTCGATGTTTTGTTTTGTTTTTTCGCCTTCATTTTCACCGCTCTTGACTTCCGCCATCTTGAAACTGACGCGTTCTCGTTCGAAAAGCCCGCGTTTCCTCGCTTCGCGGTATATTTCTCTTCTATACGTGATGTAACATAAATCCGAAACTCCCAAATGTAAGAGTTCTTAGAATATACTTGTACGTGAAGCTCAAAAATGGGAACAAAAACAAGATGGGATGAGTTTAAAATCGCAGTATTATTTTGATAAACTACTTTTCGAAATTGAAAACCTTAAAAATCACCTCATTCATTGCACCCGACTTTTTCCAATCCGATTTTAATTTTGAATATGTCTGGTATTTTACCTTGTCTGATGAAATTCGAGCAAGATTCCTAGTATCTCAGAAATCACGAGCCTACCGCACCCAGTATTATGACTTCCTTGCTCTGTGACGCAATCTCTCTCCTTTTATAGGGTCAGCCTGCGTAATGCGTATGAATGAAAAACTCAAAAACATCCGAAAGCATCAACTCATCTCAGTTATATCATAAGGTACTTTGCATTTAGGCGATATCTTCACAAAAAAAAGCCTGAAAAACGTGCAAAAATTTAGTTCCTACACCCACGCAGAACGTAGTGAAAACCTTTTGCCCGCATATAAATTTATTCAAATCTACAAGTTTGCAGCCGGTGTACCCACAGACTAGCGTCTCACTTTGGCCGGATAATATGGCGGACAATCAAGAAGGTGGAGGTGGAATTAATCGTATGAATCGACGTGGCGCTATAAAAAAGCAGCAAGTCTCTGTCGTTAAAGGGCATCAGTTCGTCCTAACGTTTTTAAAGCAACCGTCATTTTGCGCCCATTGCAAAGATTTTATCTGGTGAGGCTTAAATTGATTTTGTGTCTGGTGTTAATATGAAATGAACTTTGTTTTCGAGGCTCCAGTGTGTTCCTATCGCTGACTCTGTGGTTTAAAATGTAATGATTTCCGATGATTCTTGACTTTTAGGGGATTTGTGGGCAAACAAGGCTTTCAATGCCAAGGTACGTATTCATTTTGCTGAATGGCAGAGGATTTCGATTAAATTTTGAGGCAAAAGATTATAAACATACTGTATTGTGTATAAAAAGTGAAAGCTTGTTGGGAATTAATTGCCCCCTTCCAATGTTAAATTATAGATTGTGGCTTTGTCGTACATCGAAGATGCCACGAATTCGTGTCTTTCGATTGTCCCGGTGCTGACATCAACAGCACTGAGGTATCTCAAGCAAAACTACACCATTTAGTCCTGTCAGATAAGTAAATTGTTCCCACGAAATATACACACAAGTTGTTGTGTCTACGTTTCGTCGTTTAAATACCTAGAACGGACATGATATGGCTTGGTATAATATCGGAGCTTAGCGTTGATAAAGTCCTTTATTTTAGGCGCCCGTAAGCCCACATTCTTTCAAAGTTCACACGTATACAAGTCCCACTTTTTGCGATCATTGCGGATCTTTGCTCTATGGTCTGATCAAGCAGGGACTACAATGCTCAGGTACGTTTGTTTGCGTGCACGGCGATAAAAATCTTGCAATTCAAACAGTCGTGAAGTACTCTTTTGTCATTTTCGCCGAGCAGATTGTCAAATAAACATTCACAAACGCTGCGAGAAAGTTATACCGAAATTATGCGGGGCAGATCATACCGAAAAGCGAGGAAGAATTCACCTAAGCGTGTCATTCAAAGGGTCGAGTGGAGTTGGCAAACTTACAGTCGAAGGTGAGGGTTCTACGAGAGTGCAAAGCGTGTTTACAGAGGCCCAAATATCGTTATTTCTTTAAACGTTTGTTATTTTGCTTTGCGAGACGTTTGCATACTAGAGGAAGTATCTATGTTATGAGTTTAGCCGACAGACATGCAAGTGAAATATCAATAATATGACGGCTGCCACAAGTATTATAGTTTTTCGTCTGATGTTGTCCCAAGTTGCAAAGTTCCGGAAATGTGTCAATGCAATATGTAATGCATTACAACTTGAAATAAACGGTGTAAGGGTGTCTATTTTGGGAGTTAAAATTGCTTTTGTTCGGCTTGTGTTCTGCATCGGTGTAAATTAAATATTTCGCTATAGAGGGGGAGTGGCTTGCAATGTTGTACAGCTGTAACCTTTTTGTATATTTTCTCGCTTTCCACATAGTTATTTTCGCGGAAAAATAACATTGAGGGATTGTTCTAATTGCTCTAATGATCTCCAAACACATTTCTCGGCACTTACGTATAGAAAAGTCTTGAAATATCATTCGTGTTCTCCTGCAAGCATTAGGAAACAACGCGAATTATATGCATTTTTTGTGGGCTTTGTTTTGAAGGTCATTAAGCGTTTATGTTCGTTATATAACGCAAAACGTTCTCCCCTTTTTCCTTCTTGAAGTGGAAAATTTTCGGAGAATAGAATAAATGGTCACTTAAATATTCCTTGAAAATGAGTATTTATTAACATGTTGAAAAGCTGAACAAATCTATCTTGTAATACGCTTTTGAAAATATATTCTGCTCTATAATTAACGAGAAGGTTACGAGCTTTTAGCGACGCGGTGTGTTTTGTTATCCTTTTAAAAGAATCAATATGCATTATTCCTGTAAGAAAGGTTGAAATGTTAGATTTAATTTAGAAACCCCAGGAAATGAAAATTTAATATGCATGGCATAATTTGTTTGCTGAGTATGTGTATTTTCGATATTGGAGACATATGTTTAATAGATATAATTACGCCAGATAAGCTAAGATAGTGGCTCAGTGGATTACTACATTGTGTATTAATTAGCTTGTGTGGTTTTTCTATAAGAAACCACAGAATTCAGATAAAAGCTTTTTTATGCCTCTTGCCCCTTGTTTATTTAGCTCATTCATTTCTGAGCAAGCCAGCCAAGTTTAGGAAACAGAGGCCATGTGTTAAATAACTGTATGACAGTTGGTCTTAATTCACTGATGAGTAGCATCATCTGGCTGTACATACAGACAAGAGTAAATTTTTCCTCAAGTGGATTAGTGCATCTTGATGCAGGAGTGCTAGAAGATAGTTTAGTTCATCAACTGACAGTTAATGTTTTGAGGAATTAGACTAGAGCTTAAATGCATCAAATGTGGTATAACAACTGCCTAAGATAGCTGAAAGAACTTCTCAATATTTTGACTTAAAGGTCTTTGTCAGAAGAATTAGTATTCCAATATCATTAAGAAGTGTTTTTGTCTATATTTAGGCACTTGTTATATACCACATTTAATGCAAAGTTGTTTGAATTAAGACACTGCCATGCTACTCTCTTGTTATATTACAGCTTGTATACTTTATTTCAAACCCAAAGATCCTGTCTTTAACAGGAAAACATAGGCTCTTAGACACAATATAGTCATCCAACCGAACTCAAATAGGTTTTAACATTAGCTAAATTGCATGCTTCTTGTTTGCAGTCCGAGAAGCGAAGAACCTTATCCCAATGGATCCCAATGGCCTATCAGATCCCTATGTGAAACTGAAACTTGTCCCAGATTCAGGTACCACAACCAAACAAAAGACAGAAATCATAAAGAAAACATTGAATCCTGTTTTCAATGAAACATTTCAATTGTAAGTGCATCCAATTTGCTTGCTAAACCAAATTGTCATATCTACCAAGGTGGAAGATATTTCGGGCATTGCATAAGTACCATCAGGCCTGACCTTATGCAAAAGGGAAAGGTTTGAAACTCAATGATTTAAAATGCCAATTTAGTCAGCTAAAGAACTATTACATAACTTTCTGTGAAGGTTTGTTGACAAAATGCAATTCACTTCTGATGGTGGTTTTGATTTTTACTTTCCCACAGTTCAATTGAACAACGTGACCATGATAGGCGTTTGTCCGTGGAGGTTTGGGACTGGGATAGGGCGACAAGGAATGACTTCATGGGTTCCCTCTCGTTTGGCGTATCAGAGCTGCTTAATAAGTCGCATGAAGGATGGTTCAAGTTGTTGACTGCCGAGGAGGGAGAGTTTTACAATATTCCTATCAACGAGGATGTAGGACAAGCAATTGCTGAATTGTCGAAAAAATTCAAGGTATTTGCCTAACCCAAAGTTGTCTGGCAATTGTCAGTCTCTGCTCTTGTAAATATTGCATTTTGCTCTGTATGTTTTCAGTATGAGAGATGAGAAGAGAGATAATGAATGAAGAGTGATTACTCCTTGATTGTTTCCACAAAATGACTCTAGCTAAAAATGCTATAATTCGTGACTGACCAGTTTGTATAATCCATTTTTTTTTAAATTTCAGTTCCAACCGAAACAGGAAGTGGATCAAGCGCATGAGCAGTCGAAGTCTGAAACTCATGTTCAAACAAATAACAACAACAAGCGTCACAGCATGGAAGACTTTAATTTCCTTAAAGTTCTTGGAAAAGGCAGTTTTGGCAAGGTTGGTAAATTTATGACATGTGTTTGAACTACCTGAGAAAGATATCTCAAATGTGGTGGTCTAGTGTAGGTAGTATTCTACAATAAGCTGTCGTGGTTTGTGTCTGAACTACCTGAGAAAGATATCTCAAACGTGGTGGTCCAGTGTAGGTAGTATTCTATAATAAGCTGATGGTTAATTTTGATTGTTGTAAATTTTTCAAATCAGGTGATGCTTGCAGAACTGAAGTCTACACAAGATGTGTTTGCCATCAAAGTTTTAAAGAAAGATGTGATAGTTCAAGGAAATGATGTTGACTGCACAATGATTGAGAAGCGTGTGTTGGCATTGTCAAACAAACCTGCCTTTCTTACCAACCTTTTCTGTTGCTTCCAGACCGTGGTGAGTAAGGCCAAAACACGGTAGTAACAAAAACCTTTGTTGATAAACCATCTTTAATGATAGTAGACAAACCAGGAAGCAATGTTCCCCAGCCATGTTTCATGAACGTAGACAAACCAGGAAGCATTGTTTTCTAGCCATGTTTCCTGAGGATGGACAAACCAGGAAACATTGTTTCCTAGCCATGTTTCATGATGGTAGACAAACCAGGAAAGATTGTTTCCTAGCCATGTTTCATGAAGGTAGACAAACCAGGAAACATTGTTTCTTAGCCATGTTTCATGAAGGTAGACAAACCAGGAAACATTGTTTCTTAGCCATGTTTCATGAAGGTAGACAAACCAGGAAAGATTGTTTCTTAGCCATGTTTCATGATGGTAGACAAACCAGGAAAGATTGTTTCTTAGCCATGTTTCATGATGGTAGACAAACCAGGAAAGATTGTTTCTTAGCCATGTACTTTTATCTCTGTTTTTAGGATCGTCTTTTCTTTGTGATGGAGTACATCAATGGTGGAGATCTCATGTTTCACATCCAGAATTCTGGAAAATTTAAAGAACCACGTGCCGCGTAAGTTTCATGACGTTCCGAGAATATCTATCCAAAGCTGTTTGTCAATATTTGCGAATGTATTCTTGTATCCTGAAATTCACACGTACAATGAATTGTTTCTTTTAGATTTTATGCTGCAGAAATCGTCCTTGGACTGTTGCATCTACATCACAGGGGAATAATCTACAGGTGGGTGAGGAGGACCTTTGCAGAGGCAGCGACTTCGAATGACCTAAGGGCATTTGTAAACTTCTGATCTCAATACGTTTTTCATTCAGGGATCTGAAACTGGACAACGTGATGCTGGACAGTGATGGTCACATTAAGATCGCTGATTTTGGCATGTGCAAAGAAAATATGTTCCATCCGAAGAAAACGCAGACGTTTTGTGGTACACCAGATTACATCGCCCCTGAGGTAAGAGAGATATTATCATGACCTAGCAGGGAACTGTGGGGACTTTGATGGTCACAAGAGGCTCTATATTGATACAAGTTGATAAATTGCCTACAGAAGAATTAAGACCTGTCGGTTCCCTGTATTCCTATAGCGAAAATGGATAAGTATTAGAGAGACTAAAAATGCTCCTTTTCCCTTTAATATTTTACTGTAGATAGTGGCGTATCAGGCTTATTCGTTCGCAGTCGATTGGTGGGCCCTTGGCGTCTTGATCTTTGAGATGTTAGTTGGGCAGGTAGGGAAACCACTGACATATCTCTTCATCTGTTGACACTTGACTGAAAGTTGAACTCTCAGGAAGGGCTTGACTAAAAAACCGAAGACTCCTTTGTGGCTTGCATGACTGGCGGTCTCGAGAACTTTGGCTTGGAGCTTGTTATGACAGCTCTTGCAATCATAACAATTCTCCTGACGAAGGCCCTCAGGTCGAAACGTCGAGAAGTGTTTTGTCTATTTTAGGCAGTTGTTATACCACATTTGATGCTATCATGCTAAGTTTTTTGAAGACGCTGCCACGCTGCTCCCTGGTTATATTGGAATTTAGTTCTTGCGCCAGCCTTTCGAAAGTGTGAACGGGACTTAAAACTCAACAGAGTTCCTTTTTTTTAGCCTCCGTTTGATGGTGATGATGAAGATGAGTTATTCAACTCGATTTTAGAACACAGTGTCTCGTGTCCGAAGTCACTATCCAAGGAAGGAACATCGATTATCAAAGGGGTACGTATCGCGTCTTCCGAAACCTTTTATGCTTCATTGAATGTAACTGCAAAGAACCGGCGTTTTATTTTCTACTTCAAAGTTCTTATAACACAATATTCTAAACGAAGCTGATATTATTTTTAAAAGAATATTTCTGTGTCTCTCAAAAACATTTCCGACCGAGATTCTTTTTAAAACGACAAAAATTGCATCTAAAAATTGCATTCCAAGTGAATCGATAAAAGTTGATAAAAAATCTTTATATTCTTTTGAGAGGGAACACCGACCGAATATTGGACTTGTTTCTACAAAGTCTCTAAAGTGGTTATTTTTAGCTGTCAGGAAAAACAGAGATTGCAAGAGATAAAGAACTCTTTAAAACGCGAAGGATTAACAGGCGCTACCTCGCGAGAACTATGCGCAGCATTTAATGAGGGGGTGTAATCCAGTGTAATCTGGTGCCATCTGTGTCCAGTGTCATATTGCGGTCCGCGACGCACGTACGTTGCAGACTGCAATATGACACTGGATGCACTGAATCAATCCTAGCATGGGTTACCTTATTAGGAGTTTGTACATCAGTAGCATCTTGACTCCCACATTCGCAAATCTATTTTTAGTACAAAACTAATCGTAAATCATGGGAATTTCTTGAAAACACTTAAAAACACTTGATTTTTTATGTTCTTCTAGTTCCTTACGAAGCATCCCGACAAACGACTGGGCTCAGGTTCCAACACAGAACGGGACATCAAAGATCACGTCTTCTTTCGGTATATCGATTGGAGAAAGTTGGAAAACAAAGAAATACAGCCTCCGTTTAAACCAAAAATTGTGAGTTTCAGGCGTCTAAATTTGATCCACTGATCTGACAATAAGGCCTGGATAGTGTATCGATGATAGGCTAATTTGTTGTCACAATACTTCATGTAATATTCGATTATTTTCTTTGCAGAAATCGAAGCGATCTTTCGACAATTTTGACGCGGAATTTACGGACGAGGCCGCCAGGTTGACGCCTTGTGACAAGTCATTTATCGCCAATATTAACCAGGGAGATTTCGCCGGTTTTTCGTTTGTAAATCCTGAGTTTTCAAGCAATTAACACATGCATGACTATTTGGTGCTGTAGGTAATCATAGCGCTAGGTATGTTAAATTATATTATCTAAATTAATCCAATGCACAGAGTAACAAAACGGGCGTCCGTTTTTGTACAAGATCTGCCTTTTCGCACGAATTCTAGTTTGATAAATGCACACAAGCCAAGAGTTTTGAGTCTGCTGTTTAACAGGAAAAAAACACGATGTTTTACGACACATTTTCAGTTTTTTTTTGGCAATATGATTCAATAATGTTGTGTCTAAATCAAGCGTAAAAACGTTGAACATCAGCAGCAATGATAACTGTGGCAGAAAATTCTAACAACACAACTTAGGGGCTGTTTACATGAGCCCGGTTACCCGAGATTCAACGAAGCATGAGATGATTTTGAGGTATTGAAATGAACAGATAACATGTTCCTGGCAGTCGTATGATCACCACAACAATAGCATGTACTTGTTTGGTGTCATAAACACTTATTTCAATACCTCAAAGTCCTCTCACGCTTCGTTGAATCTCGGGTAACCGGGCTCATGTAAACAGCACAACTTAGTGTGAGCTCCACTTCATTTCTCGTGATGTTCCTTTGGACGAGACAACCAATATTGAGTAACTTGTACACGCGTGTGGTAGAAAGTAGAAGAAAGAGCATCTAAGTTATCATTTTAAGCTACATTCTCACACAGACAATCCTTGGGCCGATTGTTATTTAAAATATACGTGACAACGTCATTATGACGTCATTATGTACTTTCAACAACGGCCATTAACATCGGGCAGAAGCCTTTCGGATCGGCCTGAGAAATTGTCGTGTGTGCGTTACTTTTCACTCTGTTTTGTATAAAAATGGGATAAATTGATCTATTAAAATGTTATTATTACCAGTTGTTATGTCCCTAGTGTGTTGTAATTAAAGTAAAATTTTGATTATATTTTTACGTAACAGATGTAATCTCAGTAAAGATTGTTTCTTCCAAATATTTTGATTCAATACCTTTCTTGGGCATTATACTAGACATGAAACATACCCACTACCCAAATTTCATGGGTGTGGCCTTTACCTCTCACCTCCAGTGCTCACTCCGCACTATTGCGCGGTCACCGCGATGATCCTAATAGCCTAACTGGACCATGAACAAATATGTTCTTCGAGAGTTTTTCGACATTTCTGGCGACGGGTGAATAGTGCGAATCGGAGATAAATAAAACGTAGTTTAAAAATGGATATTTTTTTGTTTTTCAATTTTAATTTTTAAAGACCAGAAAAGGTTGGTAAAAGTGCCTTAAATCTTATTTTTTGTGAGAATATAGTTGTAGGAATGGAGAAGGCGTCAAAGTGAGCATTAGTTGACTTCAGAAACACATTTTTTGTGGATTTTTAGGTTCACAAATTATTATATTAAGCCGAATCATACACAGTTTATTTATTCACGGTTGTTTCATTGAAAAATTTGGGATCCTAGTTGTCAAAGATGTAAGTAAAATGTTATATTCTGACGTGGAATGACTTAAAATTAAGCGCTAACATTTAATATTTTGGCTAAAAGCTTTAAAAGCTAATTCCTTCAACAAAATTGTTTATTACAAGACAATTCAAAACATTGGATTTGTTGCCTGTTTTGCAAATATTTTCTGCTAAACGTCTTATTCTTTCTCATTTCTAGACCAAGCCATGAATATTTCAAGACACCATGTTGACCAACAACTGTGGTCAGATCATGATAATCTCTCCTTCAGCTTCAACTTTGTCAATCATATTTCAGAAGAAAAATACGGTGAGGCTGTTTTTAACAAGATTTGTGAAGCAATCTCAAAATGCTACAAATCAGAAATACCAATCTCGGCACGGCTTTTGGAAAACTACCAGTTATACCCAATATCCTCAAACCATTCCTTGCATGAGTTCCTCGATGAAGAATCACAAAGAAATCAGAATTTCTTAATTTTCATGAGAAGAGATGGTCATGTACTAGTCAGGTGGTTTGGACCTTTCGTCAATACTGACCATCTTGGCAGTATCGTCGAAAGGGTGACTCGTTCGCATTTGATTTTGAAAAATATCCGAGAAGCTATGACTCTAGAACAAGATGAAGAGGACAGTGATGAGAAATTTGAGTCTGGCAAAACTGATCTGATGGAAAAATATTGGAAAAACGTCAAGGATATATTGGCAAAAATTGAGGCAAAGAAGATTGAGTTAAAAGGTAAATTGGATAGAAATGGAGGCTAGGCTTCATTCATGTCAATTACTAGGTTTTTTTTGAGATCTTAGGTTTGTTTGAGACACGTTCTCAAAAGGTACTTGCAGTCTTATAACCAAGTGTTTTCTACAAGTCACATACAACTTTGTGTCACATCACGTTGACATCACTGCAAAAAAAGAGCTATTATATAGGCTTACATGCAGAAAAAGTGTATAACAAGTTCTCGGTGAAAGTGTTCAAATGTAATACAGCTTGTTATAAATTCAAACATCTTTTCCGACAGGGTTTGCCTATCAAGTCTTTGATGAACCAACTGCTGACAAATTAACTAAACAGTTGCATGCCTCGTCAGGAAAAGTGCTGGTCAAGGGGGTGGCCGCGATATTGCTTGCCGAGATTGCCGAAGAACTAGGCAGCAAGATTGCCGGGATGGTTGCCACCAAAACTGCAGCGAAAGCTGCGACAAAGGGTGGCTCCACTGGCTTCCACAAAATTGCTGCAAAGAGTGTGCCTGTCTTGAGTTTGGCTGTGGGCATCGGGTTTGGTGTGTGGAGGTGCTGGCGAGGGGATCTAACCGGGGCGGGATTAGAAGTGATGTCCGGGGCGGCGGCATGCATCCCTGGCTCTGGTACTGCTACATCGCTTGCAATCGATGCCGGGCTCATTGCAAGAGATGTGTATGAAGCAAAGAAACTTGATGCTGAGGGGATTGAGGTATTGAAGATTCAATATTTGAGATTTGATAAAGCATGTGATTATCATCATCATCACGTTTGACTATGATTTCTTGTTTTCCAGCAATTGAAAGAAGATATGAGCAATCTTGACCAAGGCTTGAAGGATTTATATGACAATTATGACAGCGCAATGGCAGAATACGAGTTTGTTAAAGATGTGCTTGATTTGGGATTTTGCGTCAGAAATATTGACCATGAGATTAAGATTTTGGACAATGCTGTAAACATACTAGACTCGCTCTACGATGAATACGTTCTCATGTAGTTTAGTTCAGAATACTAAAATTTCTATTAAGAAAAGTATGGTTGTAAGTAATTAAAACATCATACTGTACTCCAGTTTCTAGATATATAGATCAGTGGAAGAGACCACCTGGTTGTTAGTGGATAAGTGGGGTTAACCATCAAAACGACCAATTTAAACTCATCATGTCTAAAATTCCTCACAAGTCTCATCAAGCAATCGGTTCACGACAGTTAATAACTGATAACTATTTTTTCATTCGTATTCCAATATTAAAACATTGTTCCTTCATTTTATTACTTCCCATGCAAAAGTCATACTTTTTCAGTTTTCAAAGTTCCGTAAAACTCTATTCGAAATAACCTATTTTATTTCCTATGACGTACCGCAAAATATTAACAAAGAAATTAAAAATAGCCTGTGCTCACTTATAGCTCTTAGAGATACCCGGGAATTGTAAATATGTACAAAATATTTCAAATTAATTCATGTAAAGTATGTTATATCTTGTAGAATATTATAAAAAGGTTTGATAAAAGTTGTATGAACGTTTGTGTTACGTTATTCCCTGAATATTTCCGTGCATGTAGATTTGTAGAAAAACGATATTGCAAGCGATAAGAAAAGTTCTTTCTAATCATTTTGCTTCCTAGATCAAATGACGATGGTAGATGTTATGACACTCAAGGAATATCGTCACAAACACGTCATAAAACCAGGTGTTGAAACAGTTGAATCAACATTGATTGTACAGATAAGTATAGTATTTTTCAATAAGCTGTCGTGGTTCGTGTCTGAACTACCTGAGAAAGATATCTCAAACGTGGTGGTCTAGTGTAGGTAGTATTCTACAATAAGCTGTCGTGGTTTGTGTCTGAACTACCTAAGAAAGATATCTCAAACGTGGTGGTCCAGTGTAGGTAGTACTTACTCTACAATAAGCATACGTCAAGGTCACTGAGCAATCGATAATCGCAATATATAACGCTATAATTAAACTGTGGACGCTAATCCAGTTATATCTAATTGTATTTTTCCTTTTCAATGAATATTTTCTTCCCAAACAGCCTGTTATAACACTGCAACAATGAGACTGTCCACATCAATTCATTAACATCGTCTGCAATTCAAAACCACTCCCTCCGTAAGTGAGTAACTAGGAAGCGAAGTCTGCATTACTAATAATTTCTGAGGCTCAAAATTCTGAGTATCAAAATTCCCAATCTGAGTATCAAAAAAATTTCTCAAGAGAGAATCGATCACGCAACTCCGTGCAGACCTGCATGCTCAAACAAACCTATATATGGTTTCTTTTAGAATAAACTGAATCGTGTATACGTTTGCAAACTAAAGCTGCTTCCTTGCCGTGAAACTGCCTCAAATGCAGCCAACCGTTAGTGTTCTGGGACCTTCCGTGAGGCTCGGTTTACACTGTCAAAGTTTCTGTGTTTACAGTTGCAAGTTTGCGCTGTTAAATCCAAAGTTTTGAAGATTTTGTATCAAGTATTAGGATTAAACAACTTAGTATTAATTGGTGTTACAGTTTACTCCAGGAATCTCAACAAATCCTTTAAAACCTAGAATTTGTTGTTTGAAAATTCCAACTTTGATCACAGAAAATTTGATAGTGTATAAACTGGGCTTAAAACAATATTAAAATTATAGTGCGAATGACGTCCAGGGAACAACAATAAATCAGTCAAATCCCCATGGTGATAAACTAATTGGGGTCGTTTAATTGCCTTTTAAAACTGTCAGTTTTCATAAATGTGTTTGATTAGGCACCGGTGCTGGCGTAATTGGAGTCGTATACTTGGGCATTAGCAAAAAGAAGGCAAAACTCTGTCGTAGGCGTTCGGTTCGGTGGATTGCTCCCGAAATTTAAAGGTACTGAACTGAATTTTTAGGCCACGTAGTTGTAAATACTATAAGCTACGCATTGCTGTTGTTTTTTTGCCATCTGCGACGCAAGTTTTGCGCGGATTGGATGGAAATTTTCTCCAAAAAAAACTGCAGCAAACATGACGAATGCAGTGTTTGAAATCAAGCAATTGTATATATTCTTGCATCTGGTTTTTGCATGTGTATAGGTTTTAGCAAGGTGGTTCTACGTTTTAAGGATTGATTTGCATTTGTCGTTGTTAATTGTCCATTTACCGTGATCCGCTTTGCAAAATTGAATGTATTACCTCATGTTGGAAAAAAAAATTCATTTTACATTTAGTATTTATACTTATATTAAAATAAAGCTCGTGTAAAACTGAATTTAAACTCCGCTTTTTTCGCCGTTATTTTCATAACTGTTTGGCTTTCCCAACGTAAAATTTATTTATTTACCGTGTGTGAAAATATCGTCCTTATTGTGTGAAGCACACTGCATGACTCGCCGGAAATTATATCCTGCGGACAGCAATACAATTAAATTGCTTAATTTTGCTTTTGAACACAATGTTATATACTGATTATTAGTATTTTATTCTGACAACAATATATCCCGACGAATTGCATCATTTTTATTGCCGCGGGCAAGACGAAAGTAGTACATTCATGAGAAGTTCGGTGTTGTCGACTAATTCCGCGATTCCGGGTCCTATTTGCCTTAAATTCTAATCCGCTAGCTGTTTTAGTTTTTGTATTTCTGCACCACTGTTCTTTTTAAAACTTTACAGAATTATACAGAATGCGACTTCTATATTGCCGGATACAGAAAATATTCACGGAAAAAATATTCAACGCATAAAAATGCGTTCGTATAATATCATGTTTATTATTGCAGTCTTTTGCCTCCAAAGCGAGATTTCATCATTGTGTTAATCCACATGCACGCTCTGCTCAATTTTTATTGCTGGGTATATAGCTCTGAGGGGATATTCAGTCGTCTCATGCAATAAGAACGTCCAGCATCCAAGCTAACTAGTTCATGATCTACCGTTTGCCAAAGTTTGCAAAAACATGCAAATATATAAAATATCATGCATGCAGCTGAAATCCACTACCATTATATTATACCAGCGACATCCATGCACTAACTATCATAACCGGGTTATCATACTCAAAATGTAATACATCCAGCACGTTTATCGCGTTCAGTGACCAGCTTAAGTTGATAAATATATATTTCGATTGATAAATCTTGTATAACATAAAGTGACATTAATTTATTTTCTTGGGAACGCCAGCATATTTATTAATTGCGCTATGCCTATAATCTATATGTATTTCTTCCGTGTCAAAAACGCCCGCATTTAATTAGAATTGAAAATCACCAGAGGAATGATTTTTTTCCGCACCCAGGTCTCTATATATATATGTATTTTTATATGTTTTTTAAAAGCCTTCCGCATTTTCAATTTTCACATAAAACGCGGTGGATAGTTTAGTGTTTGTTTTATAAGAAAAACAAACCCGACGCTTCGAACAATGAACGCCATTTAAGAAGATTAGGAAATTAACATTTTTCTCACATCTATAAAGCCGATTCAAGAGGCCGTCTGCATGTAATTCGAGCAAATTACTTCCACAGTTTAAGAGAAGCCTGGAAAAGGTTGCGTTTCACCCGGTCACTTTATTAATGCAAAGCCTTCTGTCGGTGTAAGCCGCCTAAACTGAGCTGATCTGTCGAAAAGTTTCAGTTTCACTGATGATGCATAGCCTGGGTGTACTATACAGGCTGAATCTTTAGAATAATCTAACCTGACGTGTGCCTAAAGCAATTCTTAAACTCGATAATTTGTTTTTTGATATTCGGTTTTAGAAGAGAAAAGGGAATCTGTTCGTTCCTGAAAGTTCTGGGCCCCTACATAGTTTTTTTCACAGAGATCCAGCTTTGTAGATTCATTTCCCAGTGTGCTTTTCTGAAAGGTTCCAAACTAATTTACTTGTTTGTCTGATGACGATGCCTATAAAATATTTAGGTAATCGATTCTTCATTCCTTTTCGGTAACCCTTTGTACTGCTTGATAACATAATAGCATTTAATGATTATGTTATGTTTCATCATTTAAACTTAAAACTTATCTATACCTGCATCACGGCTGCATGTGTAAAATATTCCACAAATTAGGCCGAAGAACTACCTGAGAAAGATATCTCAAACGTGGTTGTCCAGTGTAGGTAGTATTCTACAATAAGTTGTCGTGGTTTGTGTCCTAACGACCCGACTGAAAAAGATATCTCAAACGTGGTGATCTAGTGTAGGTAGTATTCTACAATAAGCTGTCGTGGTTTGTGTCCTAACGACCCGACTGAAAAAGATGTCTCAAACGTGGTGATCTAGTGTAGGTAGTATTCTACAATAAGCTGTCGTGGTTTGTGTCTGAACTACCTGAGAAAGATATCTCAAACGTGGTGGTCTAGTGTAGGTAGTATTCTACAATAAGCTGTCGTGGTTTGTTGTTTCTGAACTACCTGAAAAAGATATCTCAAACGTGGTGGTCTAGTGTAGGTAGTATTCTACAATAAGCTGTCGTGGTTTGTATCTGTCTGAACGACCCGACTGAAAAAGATATCTCAAACGTGAATACCACCTGAAAAATGCTAAAAGAATTGCTAGAAAATTTGACGAATTGAATCTGAGGCTGGACCTTGTCAAATGTATACCTATCTAGACTTGTTAAATGAACTGGTATTCTCGCCTATGTTGTGACAGTCGTCTCTCGTTAGTATTTGATCATTCGATGCACCGTCGCGGGGATAGAGCACTGCCTCAATCAGTCATATCATTGTCATTCCTATCACAACAGGGGCGTATTTATCAAACAAGACCTCAAATGAGCATATTTTTATCTATTGTTGCTAATTGTATAGTGATTATTTCCCCGCCAGCGTCGGATGTGATCTTAGTTCATTTGAGTTGTACGCCGCTTCGAGGAGTTAGGATATATTTTCACCTGTCGTTGGAAACAAAGACCTCATAACCAAATGCTTTCCCTGCGTTCAAGATAAAGATTTCAGAGGTATGTATGCTATGTAGCCTTCGATTTCGGCTCATCCTGAACTTTTAATAACGAGCCTTAACTCTTCAAGCAAACATTTGCAAAGTGTCTTTTAAATATCACCAACGTGACCTTGCTAAACGAATAATTGTGTGTAGACAAACCTTTTAGCAATAAAATGGGACAATTTAGTAATCTGCATCTCTTATCACTTCATCGTGTGCTTAAACTTCTTCGGCTGGCCATAAACATGTGTTCGAATAGCGATATTTTTCGAAACCGGCCGGCCCTTTCTTTGTCCTGAAGGCCTTGAGCAATTTGCTGCAGATGTTTGATTCGGAAAAAGAGCAAAATATCGTCTCCTGCGAGAAGTATAGCTTGTGAAAAAAGCGGCTTTAGGTCGGAAAATTTACAGGGCTGCTGTCTTGATCAGCCCATAGGCGGCCCAAAATTGCGCGAGAAATTTTTCGGTCTCGATTTTTTAGTTTGAAATTCGTTTACACTACAAAAAAAGTCGAGCGCAGTGAAGCATGCCAGCAAGGACCATAATCCGGTTTAAAATGTAAACAAACATGACTTCCCTGTTCTGGGTGCTAAATGGGGTTCAGAGCGATGGCCGTTAACCTCGTACTTTCCGATTCCTGATGAGGGAGTGTCTCGATGCGCCTTGTAGCCAGTTGGCCTAGTTAGTGGGACAACGGTATATGTAATCCCTTTGCCAATAATTTATAGACTATAATGTGATTTTTGTCGGTTTCCTCTCATGCACGAAAGATTTCAAGTTGCCTGGGCGTATCAGTTTACTCAAATTGGTGTTAACACCTTTTGTACACAGGGCCCCTGTCCCGGTGCAATTTACTGAATATAGCGTTGGACAATCCTCACATCAAAAAACGTTCACATTGGAGGTGTTATTCTGAGGATATTGAGCCACAAACGGGTATGTTGCGTCCATGCACTACTTGTATCCGCAAAATTTAGACGTCAAATCTAGTTTTTTGTAGAAACTGTGGATCGACACGCGTATACATATTGCTCATTCTTGAGTCGTTGATCCATCCAAGATAACTTTTATTGGTGGTTCAATTCACTGCATTTTATCGTTCCTACATTGGAGGAAAAAACACAACGCTTGCATTCAGCGTTAGTTCTTTTGTGAGGGAATGGCGGAAATTTCAACACTCTGAGTCAATCAGGTGAATGTTTACTCCGAATTCTAATATCTTTCGTTAAGCAAAAAGCAGAATAAATATGGTTGAAGAAACTTAACCATATGGTCAAAATATTTATCTTTTATCATTAATATAAATAGCTAATTTTGCAATATGAAATTCGCTGCAATGGCAAGGTATATATATCAGCAAAACAGATCGATCGATACCCCAAGAAACATGCATGCATGGCCCTTTCCGGCATTTTGTGAAAACATCTAAATGTTTTTGTTATTGCGATACAACAACATCAAAATTGTACCTATATATATGCTCCCTAAAAATATACATGCGTTGACTTGGCTTTATAGTGATTTTGTGAAACTGATCATCTTTGTATCTCTGTTTTGATTAACGATAAGATTATACTCTTTATAAATTTGATTCAAGAAATGAATTTTTGCCTGGTTATTACTACCGTTGAGTGGCAGTAAAACGATAAAACTTATCTTTCTTATTTATTTATATATTATACGTATGCTTTATTGAATTATTTCCTTGTGGAATATTGTGGTTCGTAAGCCGTATAAAACATAATTCATCAAGTATAAAAATATCGCTTATAATATTCGCCTGTTTTCCCTATAGGGCCAGTTGTATCAAGCCCGTTTAGCTTAAACGGTGGATAAGTCGAGCTAAATGGGCTTGATAGTTGATACAACCCACCCCATGAATTTTGAGGTGTTTTTTTCTAAATTTCTAATATTGATCTAATCGATGCTTGTCATATATATGTGTACTTTTGGCTGTGAATTGACGATCGATTAGGTCAATATATGAATTTAAAAATGAAGAAAAAAACACCTTATATTTCGCTTGTTCTCAAGCGTTTAATGCAACGCAATATAGGTAGAGTATAAGTGCTGAACGCTCCTCATGCAATAAACTGCTGATTTTTACAAAAAAGCGGTTCACAGACAATTCAAAAATGATGTTCGAATAGTTGATGAGATACGTGGCACTCACTCTCGTTCTAGTTTGCATACACATTTCTTTTCACTTTTGCATGGAGCATGCGAGAGTATATATTTGGCTAGGATTGTTAGTTTACCTTGCGAAACATGCATTTTTTTACAAGTCCAATACCGCCAATTGTACATTTCAAATTACCTGCAATAATAATATAATGCATATCACTTATAGTGCAACACGTTACAGAACTGAGCCGGGAGCTCTTTCCCTAACTTAATTACACGTTCTCTCTTTTAGTCGTTGAAAAAGTTCGAAATGGCGTCTGTTCTAGTCTCTTTCTTTGTGATTTATTTGGTGAGTGCATGTGTGTATGGTTTTCTCTTATTTATAAGCGCATGGTATGAAAAATTGTAGCTACAATAAGTTTTACAAGCATTGGAAGGAATACAACAGAAGGTAGCGGGTGCCCTCATAAACACCTTCCTCTCCTCCCCCCCTTCCCTAGATTTCCTCCCTGAGTTTCCCGTTAAAACTCGCAATATTTCTGCTTTTCTTAAAATACAAAGTCGGGCGGCTTTTATTTCACAACGGTTTTTGCCGGCGGTTCAATCTAAGTACCTGTTGCGACGTGTTTAATTATTTATTCCCAGGTCTGCCATATCAATATTGTGTCATCTGGTACGTTAGCTGTGAACATTGAACTTGCAAATCGAGGTAAATATATATCTTATATTTGTTTCATCGTTTCTCGAACAAGATAAGCCTCCAAAGTCTTTTCAATAGTTTGTTCCAGTTGCGTTGCGGGTTCTTTCTTTAAATTGATCCGAAATTATCGTTTACAACTTGTGAAAAGTTTGTTAAATTGCACATGACCTTAACAAACACATCGTACAATTAATTTTTTTTAAACGGAATGAAATTGCTTCTCTAGAACCTCAATATTTTGGTCAATTTTCAAGAGCAGCGATTAACGTGACTCTGAATATTTCATCTTTCACTAACGTCGCCTCATCTCTTGAACAATGTGCTGACGCTGGTCATCCTTATTTGTTCGTTCAAAATACCACCATATTGGGGTGTGGTACATTACTCCGGATGGAAAACGATAATATACCATCAAATTGTACCCTCAACGTAACGTCAGCGTTTCGTATCAGCGCGAGTGGTACCATGATTCCTTTTACAGATCATAGGGTACCAGCAAGCGTACAGACAACAGACGTATTGGTATTGACCACCAGTTATATACCATCGAATGATAGTCAAGCTGATGGCTTCTCTAACGTCACCCTGACACCATCACCAAATGATACCTTGTTATCCACCCTCCAAAGAAATGTTGTGGTGACAGAAACAATTTCACCATCAAATACCACGGCGCTTATGTCATACAACGTTTTACGATTAAATAGTACCCATTCTGTTGGTACATCTGATAGTACTCAAATATTGTCTATAATTAACAGTTCATCCGCATCGCTACTAAACGCAACTTTACCTACCAATGCCACAATCCAACCATCTGGTGTTATGGTTAACGATGGCAGTAGCTTGCTGGTTGCAAATGTAGTTTCATCCATTGGTAACTATTCTGTCAGTCCAACGCCGCTGTTATCAACCAGCATGGTTGATGTAGCCACCACCATCTTCCCCAGAATAAACACAACCTACACCCAAGATATTGAACCATCAAACACCAGTTCTGCTGGTCCAAGCGTGAATGCCCTGTTTACAACAAGAAAGTGCCGAAACGCTTCAATGCAAAATGTCACAGAACTTGTGAAAGCGTACAAAACCGAATACTTCCGCAAGATCTCGATCGCCGCGTTCACAAATGTGAACTACACGCTTCGGCTACCAAACTACGAACCTGCCAACTGTAGCTTCATCTCAGGGGACAAAGCGCCGGTGGTCTTGGTGAAGACCAACACTTCATTGGCGAGCTTTTCCCACCGGTATTTCAGGCCAGGAAGGTACAATGCTCGTGTAAGTTGTATAAGAAACGAAACGGTGGTAGTTGATGCCTACAAACGAGTTGTGGTGGATTTACCGGTGGTGTTAAACGGATTAAGCTGTCCTAATCTGGTTCAAACGGATGAAATGTATCATTGTGTGTTTAACGTTAAGCAGGCCTTGGCTTTGAATATGACGGTTGCAATTGGGGACAAAAAAGGAAGGCAAACTTTGGCAGGTAAGAACTGCAGTTTGAAAGTTCATTTTCTTGTAAGAAGCCAGTCCATGTTTGGTAAATCCTAAATACGAGAATATAATCCTTGAGATTGGGTTGGATTACGGTTAGGATTGGATTAGGGTTAGGATTAGGTCTCGTGTATTTAGGATTTACTGATTAACATGGAATGATTTGTTATAAATGGCCCCTCATCTTCCAGAAACCGTGATGGAAATCATATCTGTCGACGAAGCTCTGGATTTAAGGAACATCACACTAGGAATCCACTCTCCATTGCTGACTTTCAAAAAAGCGATGTTCGTTCGATGTATTGAATTGGAATCCACAATATCTGCAACGATTAACTTAAAGGTGATTATTATCTAAGAGTTGTATTTGGCGATCGTCAACAGAAAGGTAGAACGTGTCGTACAAATAATCAGATTGTTTTTGAGACGGCTTTTCTAGAGTCTACAAACTTCTTTTCACTATATTTCTCGCACTTCGTGAAACGTTGTTTTGAGGGGGGAATACCTGCGCCCATGATACGCACACACACCCCCTGGTAACTAGTTTACTCTTTCGACCATAACTTTGTATTTTCCTAGGTGTTTAGACCAGTCGGTGATTCTTACAACACGTCCAGGGTGAGCATTGGTAGCCTCTGCTGTTTTGGATTGCAAAACCCCAGCATCTGCTTCCAAAGTTCCACCAATATCTTATCTAATTCGTCATATCACCTGCCAAACACGAGGTTCTCCGTGATACACAATATTTCATTAACCATCGACATGGGAGACAATTTCCTTACACTCACTGATGATGACGTGTTCGAAGCTCAACCTGGTGATGTCATAGGCTACACCGTTGTCCAATCACGCCACTCCGATCCTTCGCCAGTATATACCAGTGCTTTACCACGAAACACGACCTCGGTCCCAGTACATCAATCAAACTCAAGTTCAAGTTTAAATATATTCCAAAACTTCTCTTTATACGGTTTTGTACCCTACGAGACACAAATTCTTATACATCATACGAGCCCCGGCGTTTTGTCTCTCGGAATTACTATTGATGACTTCGAAAGTGTTGTAAGCACATATCGAAATCTCATCACCATCCAGACACCAATATCAGGACTAGAGCTCAGTTATAAAGACATTATAATGGTAAACACTTCGCGGTCTCTTGGATTTAAACTGTCACGTGGAACAAACGCGACCTGTGATTGGCTGCTCACGGGACATATGGTCAGCATCAACGGCTCCGTAAATTCTTCATCGTGGATCGTTAATAAGACACTTCAAAATAACGAAACCAATGCAGATGAATTTGAAGGACTGGTGACAAGTTTCCAGTACCCGCACAATATTCCAGCCGATCTAATCTTTCTGGTGAATTGCTCCAACGAGGTATCGACGATTACCGAGAACGTCACGATCAGCGTCCGACGAAACATATCGCATTTCAAAGCTTCGCTGAAATTTGCATCGTTCGCTTACGCGCATGCTCAGACGAGCTGGACATGCAGGGCACAAGGGGAACATGTGGGTTATACATGGACATTTGACCACTATGTCTATTACACGGCTGAAATGAAGATGGAATTTCAAAGCAGAAATCTACCGGGGAACAAAACGAAAGTCTCTGTGAAAGCCTGGAATGTCGTATCTGAGAGGAATTTGCTTTTGTCTTTAGATGTTTTGCATAATCCGCTGAGAATTCAAGTTTTACCTGCCTTGACTGTTGCTAGTAGGGAATACGTCAACATCACCCCAGTTCTAAGCTGGTCACCTCGTTCAAATGGTATCGCATTTTATGCAGATTATGGGATAAACATCTCAAGTACCCTGAGGAAATTTATCGAATTTCCAACATTTACAATCAACGTGGGCGATTTCTACACCGCACAGAACATTTCAAACGGGACTTCGTTGAACTATAAATTTTCGAAGGTGGGCTCAGAGACTCGTTCCTATACTGTATACATTGAGGCTAAAGATCACCAGGAGATGAATCGCAAGGTTGAAATTCGTGTTTTGGATAAAATTAAGAATCTGAGGATAATTGCATCTGATGATTGTTCGAACGATGTCGTTATTAATACAGCGTGCACATTTACTGCGAAATTTTCCTTAGGCAGCGATGTGAGGTGCAACTGGATCGTTGGGACGAAGAAATCAGGTGCAAATAAATGCAAAATCGACGCCCTTTTGAACAAGTTAGGTAACCTTACAATATCCGTGGAAGCTAGGAATGAAATCTCTTCAGAAACAGCGGTTATTAACATCAGTGTTGTTCCCGAACCAAAGTCACTAAGTGTCGTGCTCGCGTCTACGATCACGATGGCACGGTTAAAACCTTCACATGGATCCATTACAACACCGTTAGGAAACATGACTTCATTTACAAAAATTGTCCTGCCTCAGAGCAACAGTGTGTCCAACCAGATAAACCCTTCTTCTTCTTCAAGAAGTGATCTTTCGAGTCGAACTACGGACCACCACGTCCTACAAATCACAGGCCCTAAATACGCTGCCGTTGACGAAGAAGTAATGTTTCACGTTTTAAACATTTCCTCAGCGAGACGGAGAATCTTCTCATGGATTGTAAATAACACTAAGATAGAGACAACGAACAACAGTATTTCCTACACATTCAGAAAATCAGGCGAGTTTGAAGTGGCAGTTTCAACATTTTTCCCCAACCAAACTGCGCGAACAGCAATCATCGTTCAGTATCGAATTTTCGGGTTCAAAGCTTTCGTTTATCAAAAACCTCATCATAAGCGCGTGGATGTATTATTCGCTATAGTCTCCGGAACCGACGTCAACTACTCGGTCGATTTCGGTGATAGTTCGGCACCGAACGTAGGCAAAGTTCGTAAATTGGAGAGAAATATTTCAGTGTATTATGTCTATACGAGATCAGGGCTTTATAATCTTACAGTTTCAGTGTTTAGTATCATCGGTCCAAATGACACCGAAAATTTCTTGGTCTACGTGAACGATACGTGCAAATTCGAATCGGTGACACTGTACGGTGCTTCTGAGAATGTTGAGAATTCCAGGAAATTTTCAGAGAAAGAGGAAATCGTGATGACGCTGAAAACTACACTGAACTGCACCAAAGATCCTCAGCTTAAATACAGCTGGAAAGTGGAAAGATTGGATAACAGCACTCCGGACGGATTGACCATACGTTTACCTCCCTTTGATGGATCCACTTTACGGCTGCTCGCCAGTCAACTCAATATCGGAGACTACAAAGTTCAGGCGATCGTGGAAAATCCCATGGACGGGGGGTCATGTGAGACACGTATTGGCTACTTCAGCAAAGTTTTGGAAACCCTTGCTGTGCACATCACTTGTGGAAAGACGCGCATGATTCCTGTTGGCAAACCGCTTATAATGAATGCTACTGTGATCGCAGGTTCGGCTGGGATCAAGTTCGAGTGGTTTTGCGATCGCGCGTTCAATGTCACGTGTTTTGGAAACCGAGTTCAGAGAAACACCTCGCTGGTACGGTTTCCCGGAAACTTTTTCCGCGTAGGGGAAATCTACGAATTCGTTGTGCAAGTCAATGATAAAGAAAGACACGGGCGGGATTCACAAAAGGTCGAGTTTGGTTTTGAGAACTCAACACTTGATCTGTGCATAATGTGAGTACTGCAACACCACCTTTAATAGACCTCTAGAAAGAACATGTTTGAACAGATAGAGCTATCCAGTATAAATAAAGTTAGTTTAGTTTAGGTTTCCTCCTGTAGTAACACTGGATCAATAAGAGATGATCCTTACTGGACCTCTAGGAAGAACAGTTTAGAACTGATAGAGCTATCCAGTGTAAATAAAGTTAGTTTAGTTTAGGTTTCCTTCTGTAGTAACACTGGATCAGCTACTTTAGATCTTTACTACTTTGTTTATTCCTCGACAATAAGTGTACGCATTCCATTTTTCTCGTTCTTCCAGCTCGTCTCAAGCCAACAAGCACTTCGTCTTAAGCACAAAGGAAGTGAAAATAATCTCTTTGTGCTCTCGATGTCCAGCGATACCAGACCTGACATGGACTTGGCGTGTTTTAAAAATATCTTCTAAACCAAACTCTACAAAGGAAGATGAAGTCAATGGCCTCAACGTGAAGTCAAGAAATCTATACATTCCTCCCAATGCTTTGCAACCCGACTCACTCTACAAAATACAAGTCAATACCACAAGCTTGGCTCTAAATATTAGCGGCTATGTCGTTTACGATTTGAGAACAAACGATGTACCGAAGTATGGCTTCTGTAACATCGAAACTCACGAAAGTTTTACTCCACTAAAAGCGTTCCAAACAGTCTGTCGTTCTTGGTACGATAAAGATCAACCGTTGAGTTATGAGTTCTGGTATTCAAATGATGGAGTCAACTATAGTTTGTTTTACAACGGGCTTACGCCGGACTCAGGAAAGACGTTTTTGAAACCAGGAAAGGCGGAGAGAGGTTATGTCGTCAGCGTTAAGGTTGTCATTAAAGATTATTTGGGCGAATCTACCGTCCAGATTTTGCCTGTGGAGGTAGGAACGTTTAGTCAGGGAGAGAAAGTTAGTTTAGTCAAGCATTTGACCGTTAAAACAGCCGTGGTTATCCATATCAAAATATTTGACATCATAACCAAAGCATGGTCATATTGTTTAATGTTTGTATATGAGCACGAAACATGCTGGAAACTTTACATAGGACAAGCATTTGACCATTAAAACAGCGTGGTTATCCATTTCAAAATATTTGACATCATAACCAAAGCATGGTTATATTGTTTAATGTTTGTATATATGCGCGCCAAACATGCTGGAAACTTTACATAGGACAAGCATTTGACCATTAAAACAGCGTGGTTATCCATTTCAAAATATTTGACATCATAACCAAAGCATGGTTATATTGTTTAATGTTTGTATATGAGCGCCAAACATGCTGGAAACTTGACATAGGACAAGCATTTGACCATTAAAACAGCGTGGTTATCCATATCAAAATATTTGACATCATAACCAATTAAACCAAAGCATGGTTATATTGTTTAATGTTTGTATATGAGCGCCAAACATGCTGGAAACTTTACATAGTAATTTATCTATTATTTGCCAATAATCTTTAAATCGAGAGACATTTCAGAGGCCTATACTTCAAAATTACCCTGACTTTCTTAGCAGGCGCGTGGTTCTGAGCCCCAGCAATACGCAAAACGCTCGCGGTCCCTGTAGTAACACTGAATGAATTTTGCTTTCAGAATCTTCCGCCTTCTGATAACGAAACTAAACAGTTCTTCGCCTCACCTCAACAAATGAACAACCAAGTTGAAAAGATGGTAAATGAAAGCAATATTCAAGGAGCAGTACAGTTCTTGAAAACTGTGACCGGCTTGTTGAATGAAAATTCAAATGAGAATGAAGAAGATGTAAGCAAAGGAACTAAGGTATACAAATTTTCAAACAACAATGTTTGCTGTAAATATAAACTTTGCGAAGAACTAGCGATGAAGGATTTGTTGTATGATCTTTAAGGTTCGTGAAAGCATCTTGGATAATCTCAAGAAACTCTGCTGCAGAGATGGCGTTGTAATAGAGCAGACAGCGGACACAATATCGTCTGTAGCGAGCGTTCCTTCTCAGTTAAGCCTTGATGCTCAGGTAGAAAATTATCTTTTGCTTTTTAGAGAAAATTTACACCAGATCAGTATCGATGTTTTTCAATACACCGCACAGAAATATGAAACGATCTCACTAGTCAATATCCGTAGCTTTAAATTGCTGATAAAGGACTAATAACGTTAACTTTCCTTCAAAAGTCAAAACTATCTTTGAACATATCTACAGTTGCAAGCTTCAACCATCTACATCAACATGACGCAAAATCTTCATTTGATATCAAAGAGGAAAGTCAAGAAGGTTGTCGAGAAATTAGCGAATGCTCTCTCCTTGTTAATGTCAGCTGTTGCAATGCTTGGTGATTCAACATCACAGAACTCGAAGGTTGGTATTTGAGACGCGTTTCCAGGTTGAACAAGCAACAATATGGCCGAAATTCTTTGATATATCCGAAGAATACATCAAACAACCACTGCCTGAGATTTCGAAAGCAATAGTTTGCTTTTCATGATAAACAATTAAGTGATTATATATGAATTAACCGCAAGCAAGCGCTTACAGACTTTATTAGAGGGAAGCTATCGACTCTTGTCAAATTTTAAACCAGCTGATTGTCGGTTCTTTAAATCTTTTTCAGGTCGAGTCTATCAACAAAGCCTCGTTGCTTGCGATCGACAGAATGGGAGACGCTCTACTTCACCAAACAAAGCCTGGTGAGCCCGCTCTGGTTCTGTCATTGCCTTCCTTCATCGTCGTCGTTCAGAAACATTTCGTCTTTGAGTTTCCTGGAAAACAGCTTGCCGTTCCCAATCACATCACAGAATTCATAGTTCCGAGGAAATTGAGAGCCATTCAAGGTCCGTTTGTTAGTAGTAAGGTGAGTATTCAGGTTAGCTTCGGACAAGCAATCTCCTCGGTAATTTTTCAAAGTCTCTTCCTCAAGAATTGAACAGTAATCACAATTTCTTCATCCAGAATTCGACTGTTCTCGCTTCAGATGACATTGACGTCAGATAATCCTTTCTCATGGCAAAACTCGTCGCATGGCAACGAACCAACGACTGGCGTGGCCTCTCTGGTACTGACTGACAGTCAACAGAATGAGATAAAAATGAACAGTCTTGCGGAGAGTTTCCACATTTTCCTGGACAATCAAGACTCCTCTCCAAAGCAGCACCCACTCCATCATTCGCCTCAAAGCTCGGCCCAGTCTACCTTACCCCCCGCACGTTTAACCCAGAACTCTTCCCAGTCCATCACTCGACACAATTCAACGCTCACAGAAGAGTCCGCGCCAGACCTCTATCAGATCAACACGACCAGAGGAGATTCGGCTATCATGATTACCATCACTCAGATCTCGGCGGACTACAAAGGCCAATTACGCATGCGCGTACTTAAAGCTGACCAATCGATGATTAGCGGAAGTGAACGGATCCTCTCGACAACTTCTGCAATACCAGTTTCCCTGACATGGCGCAGCCTTTTAGGCCGTGGCACATATTACGTCAGCGTTAGATTTGAAAGTCTCTCCTTCCGAAGGGCAGGAGTGCCGAACAGCATAAAGTACTCGCTATCTTTTGGAGAAATCAGTTGTCATTATTGGAACGTCACTAGAGAGGAGTGGATGGCCAACGGATGCAAGGTAGGCGCATTCTTTAGCATTCTTTTGAATTCGTGTTGCGCGTAATCGTTGCTTTTTTGCAACTCGAGTACGCGTTTTTCACAAGCTAGGCCATTATTTAGCAGTGTGAATCTAGCATAGAAGTAATTTTCACTCAAGATATTTTATTTTAAGGTTGGGCTACGAAGTACCACGACAGCAACCCACTGCGAATGCAATCATCTGACATGGTTCGCTGGTCGTGTGGTCGTTCCTCCCAATTCCCTGAGTTTGGTTAATATCGCAGAACGGATAGAAGACCCCAGTAATTATATCACTATCCTGTGCGTGTTCGCCTGCGTGTTTATTATTTACCTTCTGGTCCTCGTCTGGGCAAGACGACGGGATGAGAAAGACGAAGTCAGGGTTAGTCAGTTGTTATTTCGTTCGCATCACCAGAGTAGGAGAGACATTTGACCACCATCTTTGTCAGTTTATTGCAACTCCTACCGAAATAACCCCCGCCCCATGTAATGATATATATTAATATATAATGGTATATAATGATATACAGTGATATACAATGATATACGATGATATATATTGATATAAGTTATATGTCCCTAACTTCAGTTCATTTATGTTCTTGATTTCAGCGAGGTATCACGTGGTGTCCTAGCAATCGCGCGGGAGATTCTAACCAGTACCAAGTCATTATTCACACAGGAATCAGACGAAGCGCTGGTACGTCGGCAAATGTCGGGCTAATGCTCTCGGGCGAGCACGGAAAGAGTCGGAAATGCTTGCTGAAAAGTTCAAAACGCGAAGTCCTCCAACGAGGCGACGTTGATTCGTTCCTCATCACGACAACCGGAAGTCTCGGCGCCCTAAAGCACCTCTATATATGGCATGACAATACCGGAAGTGACCCTGCATGGTTCTTGAACCACGTGGTCGTGCTCGACTCGGAGACTGGGCAAGTTTACAATTTCCTATGCTACCGCTGGCTTGCAGTGGACGAGGGCGATGGTCAGATAATGCGGTTGCTGCCTTTGGCAAAGACAAAAGATCTCAAACGGTTTCGTCATCTGTTTGTTTCCAGGGCAACAAACGAGCTCACAGACGCACATCTTTGGTTCTCAGTCGTGTTTTGTTCCCCCACAAGCCCGTTCACACGTGCACAACGCGTGTCATGCTGTCTCACTCTGCTTCTGTCCTCCATGATGGCGAATGCAATGTGGTATGAAACAGGGGGAGGTGAAAACGCAGCGCACATCAACCTTGGATTGTTCATGTTCTCCTGGGACGAAGTCGCCATTGGCATCTGCAGTAGTCTCGTCGTGTTTCCAATTAATCTCATTCTCGTTCAAGTTTTTCGCCACTGTCGGTCAAAAACCAAAAAGCCTTTGAATCGGCCCTCAAAAAATACCGCAATTAAACAGGAATTTCTCAACCTGCACACGATGACGCACGGTTCACGTGCCAAATCAGCCGAATCACGTGCTCTTCCAGCGCTGATGTCGTCACACCTGCACACGTCAGCACAGAAGCGGGAGGTCAGCCAGTTATCGTATACCGTGACCTCGTCCCAGGAATCTCTGCTGCCCGCGCGAATTCTGACCCCGTCTCTTCCCAGCCTCCCGAATTCCTCGACTCCGGAGCGTAATCGCGCAAAGCATAAACATTTATTACCGCATTGGTTTCAATATCTGGGCTGGATTGGAGTGATCATTACCTGTGTAACATCAGCAGCCATTACTTTCAAATATGCAATCAAATTTGGTGAAGTTAAAACAAGAAAGTGGTTGTTATCCTTGACAATTTCCGTTATCACCGATGTTTTTATAGCGCAACCGTCAAAAGTTCTTTTTGTCACCGTCATTTTAGCGTACATTTTAAAACGCCCGCCGAAAGAGCGATACGCAAGCTATGACGTCATACAGCAGGAGGTCGCCCAGGCCGAGTCCACACAAGAGACTGAGCTCGAGGCCCCGGATTTCAATCTGAGCGCGGCGGATGAATTTTTGCGCGCGGCCAGAAAGAAACGAGAGAAGGAAAGGTTTATGTATGGCATTATGAAGGATGTGTTTTATCATATGTGTTTTACGCTGTTGGTTTTGATCATTGCTTACGGTCAGAGAGATTTAAACGGGTATCATCTTACTGCCACGCAAAGAAATACTTTTGTTCTTCGAAACTTCAAAGAGAGGTCTTTAAAGAAACAAAGTTATAAATTTTCCCAGGTACGATAATTCAACAGATCAACTATGGTCCTCTAGGAAGAACTGATAAGATCAATCATCAATAAGAGATTATTTTTACTGGATCTCTAGAAAGAACTTTTCAAACTAATGGTCTCTCACTTTTTTCCTTCAAAGGTCGCGAATGTTAATGATTTCTGGCTTTGGAACAGGAAGATTCTTCTGCCGGGTCTTTCAAACAATGAATGGCACAACTATAGCAATGTTTGGTCAACATTTACTGCCAATTTTGGTGGTTTTCTCTTTGGCGCCGCTAGAATGAGACAGAAAAGACTTAAGAAAGGTTACTTTCGACGCATTTCTATATTTTTACCCTTTTTGTAATAAATGAATAGCGTTTAGGCTAGAATCCACTCAAGATGCATTGTCGTTAAGATCTAGAGAGTGGAAAGGAAGTTTATCTCACACAGCAAGGCCAATTCCTCATCCCATTCAGTCCTGCGGGAAATTTCCCTTACTGGAAACACGCCTTAGGATTGTGTTAAGATTTATATCATTCTCTATGAGCTCTTTTCCTTTCAGGTGTCTGCAAAGTATTGCCGAAGTTTAAAGATATCATTGAAGGATGTTCAGGAACTTACGAGTGGAAACATGAGGACGAAGCTAGCTACGAGAGGTCTTGGAGTAAACCATCCGGTAACAACTTATGCAATGTTAAAAACGATAGCGCTGATACCCTCCCTCGGGATCTTTGGTGCTACACGCGCTTAAGTAAGGTAATAACTGCTTCGTATGTTGGTCGCCTTGACACATACTCCCCAGGGGGGTATAGTGAGGAAATGCGGCAGAATTATCAAGCTTCGTTAAACCTCACCCAGGAACTAATGGAGCACAATTGGATAGACAAGTACACTCGGGCTGTTTTTATTGAATTTACCCTATATAACCCAAATGTGAACCTGTTTTCGATCGTCACCTTGCTATTCGAAGTATCTGCTAGCGGGGATTTTAACCCCCTGTCAAAACTCCTATCAATACGGCTTTACAACTATGTGGGAAATTTTCAAATAGTGGTTCTCATTTGTCAGTTGTTGTTCTTGCTCTCGATCTGTGTGTACACGTACAATTCCATGAAAGGTATTTTCGGAGAAAAATGGGGGTATATTTCGAAACCTTGGAACTTCTACGAACTTGTGATCGTGATAGTTTCGTGGGTCGGGATTGCGATATATTTATTTGCGATGGTTTTCCGAAAACGAATCCTTCAGGAGTTCCGTAAGGATCCGACGAAGTTCACGAGCTTCGTGTTCAGCGCCTCCTGGCAGATGACGCTAGAATACGTTATCGCTAGCATCGTGTTTTTGGTTTCCTTGAAGTTTCTGCGCTTGTTCCAATTCAATCGTCGTATGTTTCTTCTGCCTCTGACCTTATCTAACACTGCTCGGGATTTGATAAGTTACACCGTGGTTTTCTCGGTAGTATTAACAGCATTCGCTCTCCTCTATCAACTGATTCTCCGAGCATACAATCCGGACTTTCTCAATACGGTCAGTACCTTAGAGACGCTTCTGCGTGTCCTTCTGGGCAGATCTGATCTGTTTATTGGACGATACGAATTTCCCGCCCTCGAACAAATCATCTTCTTCACTTACATGTGTTTGATGAAGTTCATTCTGCTGAACATTTTTGTCGCCATTTTAAACGACGGTTTTTCGCGTGCCCGGGCAAAAAACGACAGACAGCGAAATGCGTTCGACTTTTTTGACTTCATTAGGAATACCGTGAACGAATTGTTGGGAATACGGCGTCAGAGGATCGCGAATAAAGCGGTGAACAAGTCGTCGCCGAAAAGACGGCGCGTGCGGTTTGAAGACGAGGCTGCAAGGACGAATGTGGAGAACATGCTGGCGAAGATGGAGACGAAAATGGAAAAGTTGCTGAATCTTGTGCAATCCGACTTGCTCGAAGATAGTTTTTATGATGAAATGACTGAAGAATTTATAGACATGGGAGTGATTTAGGATAGTCTATGTCCAGAATTAGTCTTTGAGATGCAATTTAGGGTTTTTAACTGACTTAACTGATAAAATGGCGCTATTGGTAATAGGCTGACATACAAACCAGGTTTGTGTGTCCGAACAGTTGAACACTATGAAAATTTTCTCCTATTCTCTGTGCCGGTATGTTTTGAGAAGGCTGTAATTCTATCCTTATTTACACAGTCACGGTCATGCATCGTTTATAATTGCGGCCTTTTTTTACGTCATACTCAGAGGATGAAGTCGAGCTTCTTCCCAGAATTTTCGCTGAGGTTCTTCAACTTTTGCATTGTTTTGTCTTGAACAGTGCATTATCGAAGAATGATCGTGTGATACATTGCATTTTCAAAACATCAGGAACATTTTTATTCTCTTTATTGTCCGTTTTGCTAAGATCCTTCACTGCGGGACGCGAAACAACCAGAAGATTAATAAATAAAACCACAGACACGCATATTGCGTTTAACCGAAAGTTATAGCCATCAAAGTGGCTGTTGGACAATCATCAGCACTCTAGCTCGTAGATATAGATCAAAGTGTAGTTTATCTTTGCAATTAATTCAAGAATAACTAGTGCTACAATACCAGTCCCTAAAACTCCTGCTGAAAGCGAAATAGTGAACTAAAATGCTGGTCATTTATATACTAATTGAATGTTTGGGTTAGTTTAAATAAAGTTTGATAAAACAAAATCATGTGAATCGGTTTGTAAATAATGATTACAATATCGGATGATATTTACTCGTTTCAATATAGTTTATGGAGTTATATCGTTACTGAGTACAAGGCTCAGGGAAAAAGGAATACACTTTTTTTTTGACGTTTTCTCGGTACGCCATTGTCAATTCCACTGAAAACAAACCTTAAGTTTATGTTAATTACTATAGGAAGGAATTTAAATCCTGTATTCACAGTCAAAGTTGTTCCAGGAAGTTTTAAGAAAATACCACAGGAAGGCGAAATAAACAGTCTGCATATAACCTGGATTCTATTCAGACTTAGGAGATCAAAGAAAATCAGCTATTTTATACTATTTTTACGGTTTTTACTGTATTTTTACATGATTACCAAAATGATATATATACAGATATTTTTGTACAATTCATACAAATTTCACTGTTAAATAGGATACGGATATTTCAACATATAATCCTCGATGGGTTGAGGCAAATTCAGCGCCATTAGTTCCTCTAAATTGAACGTCCTGTTAACAGCCCTCCTGCAAAGATGCTTTAAAGTTGCTGGCTTTGAGAATAAGGGCTTTTTTAAGACGAATTGTACTTCACGCTGTGGAGTATCCGTTGCTGTTTCGCCGTCTGTTTCCTGATTTTGCATCGCAAAAACTTTTCGTCCATCAAGGTTATTGCTGACTCGCGCATAATAATAAATCAATTTTAATACGCAGTCGAAATTCGGCATACATCTGTCTGTAGGATCGACGCTATCCAAGTTAAAACGACCTTTCTTGTACAATATCCGTACGTTCGTCATTCCTTTGGCGGTGCGAACAGACAACGTGAAAAGATGTCTTGCATCCGAGCTGTCACGTAGCAAATATGTACCAACCGGTTGACATTTCAATTTGTTCATAGCTTCGGCGCTGTCCATTGCGCCCCAATACCAACAGGAACTTTCCAAGCGCTTTAAAACCTCCGAAAGACGACTAGGCGAAGTCGGTCGCCGGGCTGTATATAGCAACGGTTTTACTTGCATTGCACGTATTAAATGCCATCTGGTCGAAAGGTCCGCAAGCGGAAAGATTTTGAGTTTCTCTACAAAGGATACAATGGATTTAGTGTTTATTAGACTCCTGTGTTTGCCAGTTCATGTTTGCTAACATAAAATTAATATGTAGCAACGCAATACCGAAGACTAGATCCGATGATCTCTGCCTATCTTGGAAACCGTATTCCCAGAATTGAAAACAATTATTTCCGCTTTTACTTTCGCATGGGGGAATTCCCTGTGACGATTTAGCTGAACATATTGGCTCGTCTTGGCATATCCGAGGCTCAAACATGTCGGGATAATTTAAAGAAATACACTAAATTGCATCGTTAATGATTACTCGTTAATTGATTTCAATTCCAGGTCGGTTAATTGCACCTGGGTTTTTTTACGCCTTGGGTTAGGGCAATAAAAAAGTACCAGGAACAAACTCTAGAATATCAATAAAACATCTTAATCCCTCACACGCACATTGTTCATTCGTTGTTCAATTTATACTAAACATTCAAAGTCTTCTCAATGTAATTTCGTTTGAATCCAGATTTAGTAGTTTTACTTTTAGCGTGGCAGGCTCGCACATGCGATGAAGGGTATTCTTGAGTCTTGCGGATTATCTGGTCTTATGTTTCTCGCCGAGCTGTGTCGTCTTATACTGAATATTTGTTATGCGATTACCTTGTTATTGAATGGGCGTTAATATTATAAAACACCGAATTTATCAGAATAGATAATTGTTTGTAAGAATATACTTCATTAACTGCATTGTCTCAATGCATTCGGCAAATCACCGTGCCATTTTGTTGTGCAAAGCATCAGAAAATGCGGTATTTCTGTAGAATATCTATTGTCATTTTGGCGTTGTTTACATCGAGATATTTCATGCAGTCTTGCTGAGTCTCAGCTTATTCGAAATCAGCCCGGTCTCGTATGTTGTTACTTGTTATAAAATCTTCATTAAATGGATTACGCGAGGATGTGACGACAGCCTTATCAAGGAGGAAAATTCGTAATCGAGTCAGAAACAGATTTCAACCAGAGCAGATAAAATATTCTTTGACTGAAATGCTTTTGTTTATTATCAATGGTTTGTTTGACCCTCGTATGCAAGCAATCTCAACCTCGTAAAGACATGCATATATATACGAAGAACTCATATTCAACATTTTATAGCGTTTGAAATGTCGTAATAGCTTTCATCTTCAGCAACTTAGTTCTGGTCTGGGAGAACGTAATTTCAGACATCGACGACTTCTGACGCTTCATACGCTCAGATGCAACTTTCCATGTAATTGTGGAAGAGTTTTTGTTCGCTGGTCAACCAGACTGAAACACAACCTGGCTAAAAACGTTTTCATCAAATCAGCCCTTGGCAGGTTCGGCTTGGGCCACGGTGAGAAGACGAAAGTTGGTAGAATTAACAGCGTATATTACGCGATCAAATTACTATATTAAACAGCCGTCAGTCAATTGCATATATACAAAGTTCGTCTTAACTGTACAATTCAACTGGATACCTTTAAAGACAACCTGATGCAATATTACAATCAAAAATCGTATTTCAACTGGATGTATACTATTATTAACTTTCACTTTATCAGGTATGAGACGTTTGCATAATTAATGCCTTAATTACAATACAAGGCATTCGCTCCGTTGGCTTTTTTTTATTGACACATGAATGCCTTATGCCTTCTCAGTTGAACAGAAGCTCTGGGTAATTCCGAATACAAGTCCAGCATCTACTATTGATATATTATATCTATTAGAGTCCATTCAGAATTTGGCGTCGTTCTTCATCTCCTAGACTAAAGGCTAAACCCACCTAATTGCCGAATGTGACGATCTTGACTTTAGTAAAGCGCACATTACTTCACAGCACGCTCACGTTTATCAATTTAATTTCATTTATCGACATGTAATATCGACAGACTTTATAGAAAAACGTTTCGTGAATATTGCTCGTATTCACTGAAACATATACTTGCGCAGTTATCCTTACACCTGCAGCATTTTTTGTGCAAAATTGTACAGAACCCTAAGTTCATGCGAATGTCAGCATGAAATATCATTGATTGTCATTCTTAAACATTTTGACTCCGAGCAAAAATCTTAGCAAAAGCGCTACAGTATTTCATTTTAAAGGAGTATTAAGTGGAACACTTTCAGTATCATCTGACTGCATGTAGCGTATTGTGCGGGCTAGGTTGCTACCCGGCATTCCGGCGCAAAAGCGAAAACAGTTTTTTGTTTATATTATCATAATTTCAAAGTCTTTGGTCCGTCTAGAAAATATATTCTTTATAATGTGTTGTATTTTTTGCGAGGTGAAAATATTTAGAGGCTTTTTTACACTTTAACAATACAACATGCATCGGCACGCTTTCTAAATATGAAAGCAACCAAAAAATCGCTGCATACCATTTTGTTTTTGATGATTGCAAACCTGCTCCATAATGATCTTCTCTCGTTTGAGTCAAAGTTTACAAAGCGTCTTTCTTCGGGACGAGGAATAAAATAATCAATTTATTGCAGCAAACATGTTTCCTCTCCAAGCCACAATGACCAAGTGATACATATTACTATTCATGGCCTCTTTCAATTGTAGTATTCCAGGAAAATGTATGTAGTTCTTTGAAATGTTGCCTGGCAGCACGTCAGAAAGCATTTATAGATTTTAATCCATATTCATTTTCAAACAAGCACGTATATTTCATCTTTATAACAAATTTAATTTACTTTATTTTATCATTGAGTATTTTATCGTAAAAGATATTTTATTATTTAAAATTTGCGATGCTAATGATAAACTCAACCTTCACCAAAGTGAAAGTGCATGTGACATTATTGAATTACAATGCAATGTAATGCGCTCGATAATACGATATTCACATGCATGTCATTGAGTTTTGATCCGATCGCTAATAAAGTCCATGGTTATTGCATTATTTTAGAGAAATCTGTAGCTCTCCAATCTTTTGACTATTTCTCCTATAGAGGTCTTATATCTACATAGAGGACTAATCCTGAACTAAACTAACTTTATTTATACTGGATAGCTCTATCTAGGTTCTAAACTGTTCTTCCTAGAGGTCCAGTAAGGATCATCTCTTATTGATCCAGTGTTACTACAGGAGGAAACCTAAACTAAACTAACTTTATTTATACTGGATAGCTCTATCAGTTCTAAACTGTTCTTCGTAGAGGTCCAGTAAGGAACATCTCCTATATATTGACCCCGTGTTACTACAGGAGGAAACCTAAACTAAACACACTTAAAAATAATTAATTATTAATTTTTTAATTTACTTAAACGCACTTAGTCTAAGCTAGCTAAAGTAATCTTAAGCCATATACATGATTCAAGATATTTCAGTTTTGAGTATAGAAAGCCATAAATTTGTTTCTTACTTGCTTGTTCCTCGGTTAGTACTCTAGCCATTTTTCGTTAATCATCGAGACATATTCGTTTGCATTATAAAGCAGTAAAAGCCAGCGTGTGCGGTGTGTTAAAAGTAGTACACTACGCGTGTGAGACTGTGCTTTGTTGGTCGTCTAATTTCACTTTGTAATTTCACTGAACCAGCTCGCGATTTTTGCTGTAATCACCGAAGGACCGAAGGTCATAAACTAAAGAATATCAAGGTATAGATTACTGTCAAGAGGTCCACGAAATATCCCTTTTAAAGGTTTCGTGACGGAGGACAAGTTTGCTCTCGAAAATCAGCAAATTTCATCCCAGTTTCGTTGCCTTTACTGGGCACAGTTTCCGCCGATGACGCAAAGTCTTTATTTGTTAAGGATCGTGGAGAAGTTCTTACAAAGTGTATTACTTCCGCAGCTTCCCGATTCTGTTGCCATATTTAGCCCTTATGTTGTGAAATTCGTACGATATGGGACTCTCAATTCACCTTCGCAGTTTTATATTTTGATTGGGAAATCATGCGATTCTGCGATGTTCAAGGTTTAAAATTAGACTTCCTAGGCGGAGATTTCTTGCATTTTTTTGTTTCTTGTTTTATTGGGGCGTTTGAGACGTGGTTGGTCAAAAGTAAATAGTTTCTTGAGTTTCGAGTCACGCGCGTTCACACCAGGAAACCGTATTTAAATATCGAAAAGTATTTCAAACAAACGAAAGCAGATTAAGAATCGATGAATATACTGCTGCTATATCATATAACATGGCTTAATTTCGACTCGGCAATTCTTATGAATAGTTTTTGGCATATTAATGAGAGATGATCCTTACTAGATCTCTAGGAAGAACAGTTTAGAACTGATAGAGCTTTCCAGTATAAATAAAGTTAGTTTAGTTTAGGTTTCCTCCTGTAGTTACACTGGATCAATAAGAGATGATCCTTACTAGACCTCTAGGAAGAACATTTTAGAACTGATAGAGCTATCCAGTATAAATAAAGTTAGTTTAGTTTAGGTTTCCTTCTGTAGTAACACTGGATCAATTAGAGATGATCTTTACTAAACCTCTAGGAAGAACAGTTTAGAACTGATAGAGCTATCCAGTATAAAAGAAATTGAAACCGCACAGTGATTAATTTATTCATCATAAATCATTATCCATCTTTATTTATTGTAAAAAGTTGTACTTTTTTTCTCCACTGTGTTTTAACACATTGTATATAGAAATGACTATAGATAGAAATCAAAGTTTACATGAAATCAATGTTTTAAGAGACAAATAGCGAAATGACTATATAGATAATCAAAGTTTACATGAAATCAGTGTTTTAAGAAACACATAGCGCAGCTAAGAACTCGTGTCAAGGTGGAAATTAATATAATAAATTTTTCATTAATTATTTCAATAACTCCGAACAAGTTAGTTTACTAGCCTTAAAGCTGTACTGACAAGTGAACAATGTCAATGACCTTTTATCCAACCTGCACTTTTTTATTATCATCCAACCGGCAGACACGGTAAATCGCTAAATTACGTTTTTATTCACCATACAAATATAAAAACATGCTACAAAAAGAAACAAAGAGACTTTATTTGCCGACCAATGCTGAAAAAATGAAATGAAACAGATGGATTGATATAAGTTGTTATAGAAAGCAATTCGGCCCTGTTTATCGTTTAAACAGTTGGTCTTTTTCAATTTACTGCGGAAATGACAGATAAAAAAGAACTAAATTGAGATATTATAAATAGTAATCGTCGTAGGCGGTAGTCCTATACTCAAAGAAGACAGGAGTATTGAAACTGTTCAAATCGTTTCGAAAATGGCTGCTATAAAAGGCATTATATTGCAGTGTGTTTTTCTTGTGGTACTCTTTGCCAAAGTAGAAAGCACAAAACCTGCTTGTTGTGAAGAGATAAAAGTTTTATTAAGAAACAAAACAGTCGCATATGAAACGGTGTGTTTGGGTAACGAGACCAAACTCTCCAGCAAATGTTGTCGAGACATCGAAAAAGACATCGAGAAACGTCGCTACGCTTACGAAATGTTGTGTCCACCTGAACCTCATCCAACACTCGTTGTTCCAACAAGTTTGTATACTGTAAATGCGATAAGCATGGTTGTAATAAACTGTCTTGTGCACAAGTTATCATGTATCGGTTTTTAAACTCACTTTCGTTAGTATTATCCTTAAGTTCAATTCAAAAGTGCTGCACCGCATACAAGTGGAATTGAATTCAAATGAAACGCTTTTAAGTTTAAAGCTTTTATAGATTTATAGATTGGTTTAAGCGACGAGCTTTAATGTAGATGCACCAGTACTAGTTGATTTGATAAACAGACAATTGTCTTTTAGACATGAATCATAATCTAATCGAACGGCCGTAATGGTGAGTTTTTCTACCCTCCCCCCTTTTGTTTCTACCCTTCCACGTTCCTTTTAGAGTAGAGGATGGTAGAAGAATTCAGAATATACAGAACCCCAAAGTATTTGTATTTTAAATTTCATTTAGCGTCTTCAGCTCCTCTTTGTTATAACGTCCCTCTTGGAGTTGAGAATGGCAGCATACCAGATTTTGCTTTGACGTCATCGTCTCTTCGAAGTGCCACGCACTTACCACATTTTGCTCGTCTGAGAAATCAACTCGGCGACTGCGCATGGGCACCGGAAAGCAACGCTGGTCAAAACTCATCGTGGCTTCAAATCGACATGGGCAGTCTGGCAAACGTATCAGCGGTCGCTACCCAGGGAAGTTGCTCTGCTGACGAATGGACAGAGTCTTACGTCATCATGTACAGTGAAAATGGCGTTGACTGGTCATTTTATCGAGAACTTGGTAGAATTAAGGTAGCTGCAGATACTGAAACTTGGATTTTGCTCATGATTTTTCCGGAAGTATAATCTGAACATTGTTCTTTTATTTCCAGATATTCGTTGGTAACAGTGATCGTATTAGTGTGGTAACCAATCGGCTTAGGTCTCCAGTTGTTGCCAGGTTTGTGAGAATTTCACCCAGAACTTGGCATAGAAATGCTGCCTTGCGTGTTGAGCTGTTCAGCTGTCATGAAGTAAGTGTTGTGTTGGTTTCCAAACAATCTCCCTCAACGCATAAATAGAGCTAAGTGTCTATATCCAGAATACGGGAACACGTTAAAGTCATTTGCAAGTAGGCCATTATAGAGGGTGGCCTATATCAGAAAAGTGTCCAATATTGAAGAAGGACACGATACTTTTATAGGTGATAATTCATATGGTGACTAGTCAGTGTGGCTAAATCGTTTGCTATAAATCCTGTTGTTAACCAGTTCATGGGCATTCATGGCAACATCTACAACTTGCCAAGAATATCTTTCAATTACACATTCTGAAAACTAAATATCGAAGAAATCTTCAGTCTGGTCTAGTTTAGACAGTTTAGGAGAAGAATCCGGTGTGTTTGTGTATTTTTTATTTCTGTCTGTTTTCTAGTCGAATCCAACTTGGTCTGTAGTTAAACCACGAAGTTGTTTGGATCATGCAAGAAACGGTTTAAAAACCAACGGTTACTACAATATTTATGACGCCAGCTCCAATCTCATCACCGTTTACTGTGATATGACGTCAGAGGCAGGAAAAGCCTGGACACTAGCCATGTCCTGGGCTACAAGCAATAAAGACATGGCAGAATTTCAAATCACATTTTTATCTGTGGACGCCCCAGTCGATGCAGGTTTCCCAAACTGGAACAAATACCGAATGAGTTTGGGCATGATGAATGATCTTAGTGCCCAGTCTACTCATTGGCGAGCGACCTGCAGCTTCCCAGCCCATGGCGTTGATTATGTTGATTACGTTAGAGGAAAATTCCGAGACTTTGACATTGTGAACTTTAGGCAATGGAGAGTATGTAAGAGGGTAGAATACGTGAATATCCGTGGTCATCAGTGCAGTGATTGTGACATGCCGTGGTGGCAAGATTTGCAATCATCCCTTCATACAGACAGCAGCTATAAAACTTGTGGTTTTGACCCAACACAGGGCGCAGTTTCTTCAGAAGATAATTTTGGTCATTATTCCACAGTTAATCCAAATTTCCGTTGCACGGCTAACGCAAGCGCCACAACAAACTGGTGGTTCGGCGGTGATGTCGTGTAAAACATTCTCAAATCATGCCTGGGATTTTACGGAAAATAATTTACTGTTTCAAAATTGTACAAAACTGTACGAGTGAATGATAATTTATGCTGAAAAAATTCATTACTAAGCAGTTACAATTGCTTGTATAGTTGTATTTGATTAACTACATCTGTATCCTTAGTAAACTACTGTATTCCATGCAGTGTTCTATGCCTTGTTTCCGACAGAAACAAACCTCTTCCTTGTCTGCCCACATGATCCAATTTGTTGGGTACAGTTTACTTCTGATGGGTGTTTTTGTCTATTGCTGCAAAAGCCTGCAATGTATATGGTCAGCAAATAAACTGTAAAGCCAATGCAATACTGCTTTATCCATAACAGACTTTATTCCACACGTCAAGAGTGAATTGGATTCGACAAAAACGGATCGTGTGAACAAACACCAGAAATGATCATCCCTTGTTTACCAAGAAAGGTAACCTAAATTCATCAAACTCTATCACTAAACTGTTCTTCCTAAAGGTCCAGTAAGGACCGTAGGAATCGAACCTACGCTTTTGCGATGCCGGTGCAATGCTCTTGCCACTGAGCCCCGAGCTACAGAGGTAGCTGACAAGAGCAAGCGTGGTTAATGTGTATAGGATGGTAATGCAGGGAATAGGTGAGGGTAAATCAATTGGGATTTTTGGCCCTTTACTCGATGCACGTAAATTCTAGGGTTCAAACTGGTATAAAAATTAAACTAAACACATATGTATTATGTATATGTACATCGTGGTCGAGCAATCGTCCCAATCGACTACTAATGAAACGTTCTCGACAAGAACAAGTATTGCAAAACAAAGACCGCTCTCGAGTATGGCAGGCTCGTCTCGTGTTGATGTTTAGTGTTTACAATTTACATGATTCAGCTTTGATATCAATGGCAGAAGGATAGTTTAAATAAGTTTTTCTATAACCACTAACCACTACATTTTTTGAAAATAATAATATTTTGTTCAGTTTTATCTCAGCAGTTGGCAAATAGTTGTGTACATTAAATTAATAATTCTGCATGATAGCGCAATTCTAAACTAACCTTCTAACGTCTAGGTGGAAAGTAAAAACTTCGTCTATTCATTATTTCATTAATAGTTCAACAAATCCGTTCGAATTAGTTTACCAGCCCAAAAGCTGTACGGACAAGTGATTAATAGGTTTTATGCAAACCGCACTAAATTTAATTTTTTCACCATTCGAATATTTATCCACCATTCAAATATTGAAACCATGGCATATTCACGGAATAAAAGAGAGAACAAGTTTCTATTATCATCTAACCGGCGGACACGGTAAATCGCTAAATTACCTTTTTTTTATATACAAATATGGAAAGATGCCACAATAGGAAACAACTAGACTTTATTTACCAACCTATGCCCACTAAACTAAAACGAAAAAGTTTAATTGATGTAAGTTGTTATAGAAAGCAAAGAAAGCAATTACATCGAAGATCGGCTCTCTTTAATTGAACTAATTGACTTTATATCGTTTGAACAGTTGGCTTTTTGCAATTTCATGAAACAACAGATAAAAAAGAACAAAAAATTGAGATATTATAAATAGTCATCATCGTAACCAATATTCTCCCACACTCAAAGAAGACAGAGTATTGAAACTGTTCAAATCGTTTCAAAAATGGCTGCTATAAAAGGCATCATATTGCAGTGTGTTTTTCTTGTGGTACTCTTTGCCAAAGGAAAAAGCACAAAACCTGCTTGTTGTGAAGAGATAAAAGTTTTATTAAGAAACAAAACAGTCGCATATGAAACGGTGTGTTTGGGTAACGAGACCAAACTCTCCAGCAAATGTTGTCGAGACATCGAAAAAGACATCGAGAAACATCGCTACGCTTACAAAATATTGTGTTCTGCTGAACCTCATCCAACACTCGTTCCAACAAGTTTGTATACTGCGAATATGATAGCCGCGGTTGTAATAAAACTGCACGTATTTAGTATTTTTCCTTATTTTCTAAAAGTTGTCGTGTATCCGCTTTTAAACTTGGAAGTGAACTCTTTTCTAACCGAGCGGATAGATTTCATAGTCAATAAAAAATGTAAAAGATTATGGTTAAGATAGACTGAGCCTTTCTGCGTGTGATGCGGATTTCTTTAGCCCCATGGCCATGATCAAGACACTGTTAGATTTCACATGTCTTGATGGCCTCCGTAGACGAAAACATTGTCAAAATTATATTTCATCTTCAGCTCCTCCATGTTATAACGTCCCTCTTGGAGTTGAGAAAGGCAGGATACCAGATTTTGCTATGACGTCATCTTCCGTTCAAAATGCCGCGCACTTGCCACATTTTGCTCGTCTGAGAAATCAACTCGGGGACTGCGCATGGGCACCGGAAAACAACACTGGTCAAAACTCATCGTGGCTTCAAATCGACATGGGCAGTCTGGCAAACGTGTCAGCGGTCGCTACCCGGGGAAGTTGCTCTGCTGACGAATGGACAGAGTCTTACGTCATCATATACAGTGAAAATGGCGTTGATTGGTCGATTTATCAAGAATTTGGTAGAAATAAGGTGTGCAAAAATAATAATGGCAGCTTACTTTTGCTCGTGAAATGCCTGGAAGAATTATTTCATCATTTTTCTTCCAATTCCAGATATTCGTTGGTAACAGTGATGGTACTGGTGTGGTAACCAATCGCCTCAATTCTCCAGTTGTTGCCAGGTTTGTGAGAATTTCACCCAGAACTTGGCATGGAAATGCTGCCTTACGTGTTGAGCTGTTCAGCTGTCAAACAGTAAGTGTTGCGTTCTTTCTTAAACGATTCATAGACGTCTTGTTGCTATGGGAGTTTCTCTCTTCACAGTAAAGTGACTAAATCGAGGACAGGGAAACACGTTAAAAAAGATTTTTTAATGTTATTCAAGTCAACTTTCAAAATCCGTCTTAAATAGCAAAGAAGTAATCTAATGTGTCTGTGTGGTTTTTATCTGTTTTTCTAGTCGACTCCAACTTGGTCTGTGGCTAAGCCACGAAGTTGTTTGGATCATGCAAGAAACGGTTTAAAAACCAACGGTTACTACAATATTTATGACGCCAGCTCCAATCTCATCACCGTTTACTGTGATATGACGTCAGAGGCAGGAAAAGCCTGGACACTAGTCATGTCCTGGGCTACAAGGAATAAAGACATGACAGAATTTCGAAGCACATTTTTATCTGTGGACGCCCCAGTCGATCCAGGTTTCCTAAACTGGAACAAATACCGAATGAGTTTGGGCATGATGAATGATCTTAGTGCCCAGTCTACTCATTGGCGAGCAACCTGCAGTTTCCCAACCCATGGCGTTGATTATGTTGATTACGTTAGAGGAAAATTCCGAGACTTTGACATTGTGAACTTTAGGCAATGGAGAGTATGTAAGAGGGTAGAATATGTGAATATCCGTGGTCATCAGTGCAGTGATTGTGACATGCCGTGGTGGCAAGATTTGCAATCATCCCTTCATACAGACAGCAGCTATAAAACTTGTGGTTTTGACCCAACACAGGGCGCAGTTTCTTCAGAAGATAATTTTGGTTATTATTCCACAGTTAATCCAAATTTCCGTTGCACGGCTGACGCAAGCGCCACAACAAACTGGTGGTTCGGCGGTGATGTCGTGTAAAACATTGTCAAATCATGCCTGGGATTTTACGGAAAATAATTTACTGTTTCAAAATTAAACTGTATGAGTGAATGATAATTTATGCTGAATAAATTCATTACTAAACAGTTACAATTGCTTGTATAGTTGTTTTTGATTAACTAAATCTGTATCTTTAGTAAACTACTGTATTCCATGCAGTGTTCTATGCATTGTTTCCGACAGAAACAAACCCCTGACCGCTAAGCTCTTCCTTGTGACCTTGTCTGCCCACGACAGTCTTTCTTGTCTCCCCACACGTCACCGGCCACACGATCCAATTTGTTGGGTACAATTTACAGTTCTGATGGGTGTTTTTGTCTATTGCTGCATGTATATGGTCAGCAAATGAACTAAAACTAATGCAATACTGCTTTATCAATAACAGACTATATTCCATACGTCACGAGTGAATAAATCAGTGAATTGGATTCGACAAAAACGGATCGTGTGAACAAACACCAGAAATGATCATCCCTTGTTTACCAAGAAAGGTAACCTAAATTCATCAAACTCTATCACTAAACTGTTCTTCCTAGAGGTCCAGTAAGAACCGTAGGAATCGAACCTACGCTTTTGCGATGTCGGTGCAATGCTCTTGCCACTGAGCCCCGAGCTACAGAGGTAGCTGACAAGAGCAAGCGTGGTTAATGTGTATAGGATGGTAATGCCGGGAATAGGTGAGGGTAAATCAATTGAGATTTTTGGCACTTTACTGGATGCACGTAAATTCTAGGGTTTAAAGGGTTGGCACTTCACTCGATGCACGTAAATTCTAGGGTTTAAACTGGAATAAAAATTAAACTGAACACATATGTATTATGTATATGTACATCGTCGTGGTTATTAAGCAATCGACTGCTAATGAAACATTCTCGACAAGACCAAGTATCCCAGGTAGTTACTTTATGTGACCCCTATTATAATGTATCACATATTATAGTGTATCACATACTTAGTCCTCCTCAGTCTCCCTCAGCCATCCTTAGCCCTCCTTAGACATCCTTAGCCCTCCTTAGCCCTCCTTTGGCCTCCTTACACCACCTTAGCACTCCTTAGCCCTCCTTAGGCCTCCTTAGCCCTCCTTAGCCCACCTTAGACCTCCTTAGCCATCCTTAGCCCTCCTTAGACATCCTTAGCCCTCCTTAGCCCTCCTTTGGCCTCCTTACACCACCTTAGCACTCCTTAGCCCTCCTTAGGCCTCCTTAGCCCTCCTTAGCCCACCTTAGACCTCCTTAGCCCTCCTTAGACATCCTTAGCCCTCCTTAGCCCTCCTTTGGCCTCCTTACACCACCTTAGCACTCCTTAGCCCTCCTTAGGCCTCCTTAGCCCACCTTAGACCTCCTTAGCCATCCTTAGCCCTCCTTAGACATCCTTAGCCCTCCTTAGCCCTCCTTTGGCCTCCTTACACCACCTTAGCACTCCTTAGCCCTCCTTAGGCCTCCTTAGCCCTCCTTAGCCCACCTTAGACCTCCTTAGCCATCCTTAGCCCTCCTTAGACATCCTTAGCCCTCCTTAGCCCTCCTTTGGCCTCCTTACACCACCTTAGCACTCCTTAGCCCTCCTTAGGCCTCCTTAGCCCTCCTTAGCCCACCTTAGACCTCCTTAGCCATCCTTAGCCCTCCTTAGACATCCTTAGCCCTCCTTAGCCCTCCTTTGGCCTCCTTACACCACCTTAGCACTCCTTAGCCCTCCTTAGGCCTCCTTAGCCCTCCTTAGACATCCTTAGCCCTCCTTAGCCCTCCTTTGGCCTCCTTACACCACCTTAGCACTCCTTAGCCCTCCTTAGGCCTCCTTAGCCCTCCTTAGCCCACCTTAGACCTCCTTAGCCATCCTTAGCCCTCCTTAGACATCCTTAGCCCTCCTTAGCCCTCCTTTGGCCTCCTTACACCACCTTAGCACTCCTTAGCCCTCCTTAGGCCTCCTTAGCCCTCCTTAGCCCACCTTAGACCTCCTTAGCCATCCTTAGCCCTCCTTAGACATCCTTAGCCCTCCTTAGCCCTCCTTTGGCCTCCTTACACCACCTTAGCACTCCTTAGCCCTCCTTAGGCCTCCTTAGCCCTCCTTAGCCCACCTTAGACCTCCTTAGCCATCCTTAGCCCTCCTTAGACATCCTTAGCCCTCCTTAGCCCTCCTTAGGCCTCCTTACCACTCCTTAGCCCTCCTTGGACCACCTTAGCCCTCCTTAGACCACCTTAGCCCTCCTTAGCCCTCCTTAGGCCTCCTTAGCCCCCCTTAGCCCTCCTTAGGCCTCCTTAGGCCTCCTTAGCCCTCCTTAGCCCACCTTAGCCCTCCTTAGGCCTCCTTAGCCCTCCTTAGGCCTCCTTAGCCCTCCTTAGACATCCTTAGCTCCCCTTAGCCCTCCTTAGGCCTCCTTAGCCCTCCTTAGCACTCCTTTGGCCTCCTTAGCCCACCTTAGCCCTCCTTGGGCCTCCTTAGCCCTCCTTAGGCCTCCTTAGCCCTCCTTAGCCCTCCTTAGACATCCTTAGCTCTCCTTAGCCCTCCTTAGGCCTCCTTAGGCCTCCTTAGACATCCTTAGCTCTCCTTAGCCCTCCTTAGGCTTCCTTAGCCCTCCTTAGACATCCTTAGCTCTCCTTAGCCCTCCTTAGGCCTCCTTAGCCCTCCTTAGCCCTCCTTAGACTACCTTAGCCCTCCTTAGACATCCTTAGCTCTCCTTAGGCCTCCTTAGCCCTCCTTAGCCCACCTTAGCCCTCCTTAGACATCCTTAGCTCTCCTTAGCCTTCCTTAGCCTACCTTAGACCTCCTTAAAGTGCTACTGCAACGAAATTTTCGACCCGATTTTTATTAGCCTAAACAAATATTCAGCCTTTTAGAAACAATTTGATGTATATATGACTTTTGTGTGTTAAGTAGAAGTTGACTAATTTTGCCCTCAAACCTCGGTATCAAATGCGAACTTTTATAGCCGCCATGTTTGCTGATGTGACGTCATAACGAGTACCGATATTTCGAAGCTTATGGTAATATATATAGCTTGTGTGTTGTCCGCTTCAAATTTTCGAGCTTGACGCGGAGAACCAAATCATTTTATTTTGAAATGGAAGTTAATTCTGTTAACTAACATATATTGAAGAAATGCCTGGTAAAGGGTCTGAAAATATACGCCGATTTGTTAGAAAATTCAAACTAGTCTTAGCCCGTCTGACAGAGATATAATGTAGTAATATATGCCATATATAAGCATGTATATCTTGTGCCGCATAGTCCTTTATGCCACAAAGTCCTACGTAAGACGATCTTGAAGAACTTAAAAAAACTGCTTAGCCTTTCAGTAAAACAAGACGAAGGCAATGATATGATGTCCTTGTTACTGATAATATTGGTGTATGCTATGCGATATATTCCCGCAAACCATAAACAGTAATATACTGGCTATTGTAAATGCCACATTGCCACTGTTTTGCAATAGCGCGTATCGAAATATATCAAACTGAAACACACACTAACACAGGTCCTTTTATCTACATGCATAAATACTCAAGAAACACCATCCTTGCTGATTTAAATTGAACTTCAATGTCTTATGAAACGGCACTCGCCGTGCACATTAAGACACCAAGGCCAACATCAGCTTTATTCAGCATGAATGCATGTGCGCGCAAAGTATCTCCGCATTGATGGTAAAATCAGCCTTTGCCTATATATCAGTTAGCTTTCAACTTGTGCTACGATCAGTTCAGACATCAAATGTATGCACAGAATCTTCTTTCGATACTCTTTTATTTAAGGGATCTTGCTAAACAAGAGTCATATACGAATCTTTGAAATCGACTTAGCCGCGCAAAGAACCGCACCATGAAACAGAAAGTCGGAACAAAATTCAATATTTCTTCGACTTTGGCGATCCATTTTTTCGTTAGGAACATATGTAAGATATTTAATAATTTTGATGAATACTGGCTTAGTAGGGACTGTAAGAAACGCAGCTTCTTCGTCGATGAGGCTACTTAACACTAGTATTTTTACGCCATGCTAAGAATCGGTACTCTTTCTACGTCACAAACTACATTATGGCGGAGCAAAAGTTCGCATGTCTAAGTGGCAAAAATCGCGACTTTGGAAAGCTATAAAAATCTTTTGAGAAAGCCAATTTTGATTATGTTTTCAAAAATGAAATCAGGAAAGTCAGAACTTTAAATTGAGCCAATAAAAATGGGGTCGAAAATTTCGTTGCGGTAGCACTTTAAAAGGTATGTTATGTATTTTCCGTGTAATGTGATATATTTTTGGAAAGAAATAAGAAGATAGACGGCTAAGGAGGTCTAAGGTAGGCTAAGGCGGTCAAAGGAAAGCTAAGGAGGGCTAAGGAAGTCTAAGGTGGGCTAAGGAGGGCTAAGGCGGTCTAAGGAGGTTTAAGGAGGTTTAAGGAGGTCTAAGGAGGGCTAAGGAGGGCTAAGGAGGTCTAAGGTGGGCTGAGGAGGTCTAAGGTAAGCTAAGGAGGGGTAAGGAGGCCTAAGGAGGGCTAAGGAAGGCTAAGGATGTCTAAGGAGGGCTAAGGAGGGCTAAGGAGGGCTAAGGAGGGCTAAGGTGGTCTAAGGAGGGCTAAGGAGGCCTAAGGAGGGCTAAGGGGAGCTAAGGAGGCCTAAGGAGGGCTAAGGGGAGCTAAGGAGGCCTAAGGAGGGCTAAGGAGGGCTAAGGTGGTTTAAGGAGGGCTAAGGTGGTCCAAGTAGGGCTAAGGAGTGGTAAGGAGGCCTAAGGAGGGCTAAGGAGGCCTAAGGAGGCCTAAGGAGGGCTAAGGGGAGCTAAGGATGTCTAAGGAGGGCTAAGGAGGGCTAAGGAGGCCTAAGGAGGCCTAAGGAGGGCTAAGGTGGGCTAAGGAGGCCAAAGGAGGGCTAAGGAGGGCTAAGGAGGCCTAAGGAGGCCTAAGGAGGGCTAAGGGGAGCTAAGGATGTCTAAGAAGGGCTAAGGAGGGCTAAGGAGGCCTAAGGAGGGCTAAGGAGGGCTAAGGAGAGCTAAGGAGGCCTAAGGAGGGCTAAGGTGGGCTAAGGAGGCCAAAGGAGGGCTAAGGAGGGCTAAGGGGAGCTAAGGAGGCCTAAGGAGGGCTAAGGAGGGCTAAGGTGGTCTAAGGAGGGCTAAGGTGGTCCAAGGAGGGCTAAGGAGTGGTAAGGAGGCCTAAGGATGTCTAAGGAGGGCTAAGAAGGGCTAAGGAGGGCTAAGGAGGCCTAAGGAGGGCTAAAGAGGGCTAAGGTGGTCTAAGGAGGGCTAAGGAGGCCTAAGGAGGGCTAAGGTGGTCTAAGGAGGGCTAAGGTGGTCCAAGGAGGGCTAAGGAGGGCTAAGGATGGCTAAGGAGGTCTAAGGTGGGCTAAGGAGGGCTAAGGAGGCCTAAGGAGGGCTAAGGAGGGCTAAGGAGTGCTAAGGTGGTGTAAGGAGGCCAAAGGAGGGCTAAGGATGTCTAAGGAGGGCTAAGGTGGGCTAAGGAGGGCTAAGGAGGGCTAAGGAGGCCTAAGGAGGGCTAAGGAGGCCTAAGGAGGCCTAAGGAGGGCTAAGGAGAGCTAAGGATGTCTAAGGAGGGCTAAGGAGGGCTAAGGAGGTCTAAGGTGGGCTAAGGAGGGCTAAGGAGGCCTAAGAAGAGCTAAGGAGGGCTAAGGAGGCCTAAGGAGGTCTAAGGAGGGCTAAGGAGGCCTAAGGAGGGCTAAGGAGTGCTAAGGTGGTGTAAGGAGGCCAAAGGAGGGCTAAGGAGGGCTAAGGATGTCTAAGGAGGGCTAAGGATGGCTAAGGATGGCTAAGGAGGGCTAAGGAGGCCTAAGGAGGGCCAAGAAGGGCTAAGGAGTGCTAAGGTGTGCTAAGGTGGTGTAAGGAGGCCAAAGGAGGGCTAAGGATGTCTAAGGAGGGCTAAGGATGGCTAAGGAGGTCTAAGGTGGGCTAAGGAGGCCTAAGGAGGGCTAAGGAGGGCTAAGGATGGCTGAGGGAGACTGAGGAGGACTAAGGTATGTGATACACTATAATATGTGATACATTATAATAGGGGTCACATAAAGTAACTACCGTATCCCAAAACAAAGACCGCTCTCGAGTACGGCAGGCTCGTCTCGTGTTGATGTTTACAATTTACATGATTCAGCTTTGATATCAATGGCAGAATCGGGTCGATTTGACAAATGTTGTAGCCAGAATTCTGTGGTTTTTGGCTGTTTATTATGCCTAAATTAGGGCGCAGTTATCGAGCTTTCACTCAAAACCATGTCCGCTGTTAGATCGAGAATGATATCGAGAAAGATGGGTCCTCCAAGGCCCCCTTTGCCATCGCGAATTAGAAAGGGCGACGCGACAGTTCAACAACAACTGCAGGACGACAGTCCAAAGAAACCGGAACAATTTTCGATCCGGTTCAGACGAGACGATGCAAATGAATCCGACGAGGAGATTTCAATCGTTCGCAAAGAAAGCTTGCCAGATGTTCAGTCTGAGCGGACTGAACCGATTAATACGGAAGCGAAAAGTGAAAGCTCTCCGAGCAGTGAGCATGGCGAACAAGCTTCTTCGCCTAGTTCTGGGACAAGTTCTATATTCTCCGCCCTGCCTTTACCGTTTCTGCCGAAATCACCAAGTCCAAACAGCGGCAACGAAATGCCGAGTTTCGAAGAGCCGACACAACAAAGTGAGCCGAATGACGACGTAGATGAGATTGTTTTCAAAACGTCTCATTTCGAACAAGAACACGAGTCTTCTTCTCAGAAGAACGACGGAGATTCTGATGGAAACGACAGCCTTTCTGCGAACCCGCCAGAACATAAACGAGGCGACAATTTAGTTGTCCATTCTAAAATGAAGTTCAGCTATTTGCAAAAAATGGACAAAAGAGGAAGCCCCGAAACGGAAAAAGGAAGTTTAGGAAAGAACCATGTGGAACTCAAGGGGGACACTAAAACAAATCGCTTTGTTGTCTCAGCTCTGGCTGAAAGCTCTAAATTAATCATGCCTTTTGGCCTGGGGAATGTAAATTCTGCTGTCCACTCCTCGGTTAAACAGGACAATGCGACAACCGAAATTGAAATACCTTTGTACAACATGCTTATTGTCTCAACCATCCTTTTCCTCTACTTTATGCTCCCGTCTACATCATTTATGAACGGATTTGTGTTTGGGGGATTTCTGATGTTCTTTTTGGTGTTCGCCCTGATGTGGTTGCTCACGCCGGAGATGAGCGACGAGGAACGTTACAAGAGGGACGTGTTGGAACATGAACAAGAAATGAAGAGGATACAAATGGATTCATCCAGCAAGCTGTTTCAACCCTACCAGCATTATTATGATCTAGAGGTGAGTGTGTGTTCTGCAGCTGTGTTGAGCTGTCTGGAGGTTCAATGAATCTCAAGCCTTGATAGAGACTATCTAATGAAGGTTTAATGTGATTGGCAATCCATCTCCTTTTAAATAATTTCTTTTTTATAAAAGTAGCACCTAAACTGGGTAGGCTGATATACATCAAACCCCAGCCCAACTAACTTAGCTTAGGGTCTATTTGCTGAATGACCATCTATTAATTAGCTTCTAGCATTCCCAGGAATAATCCCAGCCATGTTTTTTATGTCCAGGGCTGGTTCTTCAAAGCCACAAGCTATAGTCCACTGGAACCGGTTGACTTTAGTGATCCAGAGAAAATTCAACCGGTATACGCCAGCCTTTGTTCCCACATTCTGACCTTGCACACCCCACGTGAAGACGATCTTCCTAAGATCAAGAGAAGTAGTATGCTTGTTGAGAATGATAGCGTAAAGTTCAGCAGTTTGAAAGAATATGATTTGGATAATGGTGGTGAGATTGAGCTCGTTCCTGATACAATGACGCTCAAGAGACTCTGGGCCAAGAAATATCCAATCCATTTGAAACTTTTTGAGAAGCTGAGTTCAGAGGATTCACCTGGAGTCCAAGAGTCCTTTGTGTTGCCTTCGGTGACAGAGGAAATCTACCTGTTTAGCCCCACAGGCCGTGCTAAAGAGGAATGGTAAGTAATCTTTAGCACTGATCCAAATCTTACATCTGGATGGTAATTTCTGTATCAACAAAAATCGATTTAACTTTACTTCCTACTAGAGCCCTAATCCAAATTGTAATCATAACCCTGTCTTTAAACTTAATCCAGCTGTTGAATTCAAAACCCTTAATCCTTTGACACCACCACATTTGACATTCATGGCGGTCACCCAAATATCCGAAGTGGTCTCTGATCTGGTTATAAAAATGGATTGACAAATGAATGAATACTTTCCCTAGGTATTACCGCATTGAGAAGGTGCTCAAGCCCAAGACTCATGTATACAACATTGAAAATATATTCAATACTCAGACAAACTTTCATCGACACATGCAAGAGCTGATAGGCACTGGGAAAGAATCTTCATCGCAAACGCAGTTGACCTGGGTGAATGCTCTGCTGGGACGACTGTTTTGGGATGTTTGGAAAAGTGAATATTGGAATAACAAAGTCAAAAACCGAATACAAAATAAAATATCAAGAATGAAACTTCCTCTGTTCATTCGCTATTTAAAGGTGGGTTCATTCACAAAGTCTTTACTAATGAAAGATTTCAAGGAAATATGTAATATCTAAACATGTTCAAGAAGTATTTTTGAAGCTGTTGAGAAATTGTTGAGAAGGTTGAAGAATTTTGAATTCGTCCCCAGGTCACTGATATGAAGTTGGGTAATGCTTTACCCAAAATCCAACGCGCTCACAATCTACACCAGGATAACCGGGGGATCTGGGTCGACTTGGAAGTCGATTATGAAGGAGGAATCATGTTGACCATTGAAACGATGATCAATCTGGAGTATTATTTGAAGCAGCTCACAGATCATGGTAAGAGTGATGGTGATGAGGTCATTCTTAAATTTAGCCGCGAGGATGGTAACTATAGTGACGTCAGCAGCACAGAGAGTGAGCATAGCGACGTGGATGAGGGGGTCTGGGACGATGCCCCGACGTCGTTCCATGCTGCAGAGAGTCCAACACCCTCAAGCGATGGTTCAGCGAGTGGTGGGGAGAATCTGAACTCTGACAGCGAAATGGATGGTGAAAAAAGGTTGGTATCGTTAGACTCTGGGTTTGAAAAAGCAACCTTGTGGGAACAATAGTTGATTCTAGTCCAGAACATATTTTGATCTAGACTATTATCAGCCCGAAACACGAAATATGAAATGTTGAAAAGCTTGTGGAAATTACAGCCGTCCGAACTCCGAAATTCACTGATTTTATATCACAAGCGAATGTAACGCTGTAATTCTATAAAAGTGTATAATCTTTCGCGCGTAATTGCGTAAACTTTAAGTGGCAGAAATAGTACATAGCCTGAGCTTTTCTGAAACAATGCTACATGTAGTATATTAATTCTTTTCTAACAACTATAAACGGTGTATTTGTTTAGGTCGGTCACCTCGAGTGCTTCATCCACGCCAGAGCAGGAAAATCAAGGCTGGGCGGGAAAAGTGAAAAATCCGAAGGGAAAGAGAATTTTGAACATGCTGGAGAAAGTGGCGAAGTCGAAATGGGTGCAGAAAGCCGCAGAGACGAAGGTCGTACAAAGAGCTGTTGAGAAATTCTCAAATTTGCCCATCGAGTTGAGCGTTGAGGTCGTACGATTGCGTGGCACCTTGGCAGCAAATATTCCACCCCCTCCTTCAAACAGATTATGGTAAGATATTAATCTGGTGAATTCTGATATAAATGATACGAAATCACGGGGGGGGGAGTGTTTAAGGATGCCTAATAAGGTCATGCCTTATTGGTTCAGTGTATGCCAAATCTAACAATAATATTCATCTCGCTTTGCTTCAGGCTTGGTTTCCATAACAACCCATTATTGAGCCTGATTGCGAGGCCAAAACTGGGGGAACGAAACGTTCGTCTTACACACGTGACAGAATGGATAGAATACAAGTTGAAACAAGAGTTTAAGGTAACAACACATTGCCAGGCCTTTACAATTGTCATTTCCTCTTCTCCATCCTAGTTCAACCTATTCCTGACGCATTTCTTGTTTTTAGAATATGTTCGTTCTTCCAAATATGGAGGATTTGACGATACGGATCATGGACAGCGGTTTCGAGGAGAAATTCCCGCCTTCTTAGCGTGTAAGCTTTGTGAATATGAAATGAAATTTCAGGTCACTGAACTCCAGATGACCTGGAACGTCAACCTGTTCGGGCGACCGTTTTGATTTTGCAGGCAAATTTTTAAAAGTACGGTTTGTGAACTCGTGTTAAATGTCTCGAATCCAGGGCTCTCGAGTCACGGTGATTCACAAGAGACTGACTGTCCAGGTCATCTCGAGTTCAGTGGTTTAAGCCAATAAATTTTATGTAAATATGAAATCGTTAAAATGGGTAAACTTTAGTTTAAATTGTCAGTGGTTGTACAAAGCATAGGTTACTTTTAAATAAAAGAAAAGAATAGAAATAAAATTTAAAAGTATAAAATGGCATTAATTTAGACTAATAACAAAAAGCTTGTATTTTAGAAATAACAGGAAATATATATAAAAGAGAAAATATGTTAAATAAAATAAACAGAATTGTGAATTACGAGTGTTGTAATTGAAGTAGTATAATCTCAGATGTCTGGTCATAAATTATAAAGCTCCCGTGATCATCAAAATCAATTTGATTTCTCGTTATTCCAGATTGATCTAAAATAAGTAAAAAGACTAAATAATGATTTATCAAATAATGTTTTCAACTTGAAATTATATTTACTAATCGGTTGATTTAATAGCAAGCCAGTTCGATTCTAGGAATTTAGGAGTGAAGATTTGACCGTGCAGTGACTCACCTAAAATTAAGAGGAATTTTTCGAAGGTTTCCTTATTTCTGATCGTTGAAGCGATGTAAGCTACAGGCTGGTGATTTTGAACTCTTTCGCTGTGCAGAAATTAGGAGGAAGAGAGGCCATGAATTAAAATGGTCGAGGTAATGCCGGAAAAAACTTATTAGGATGAGATTTTGACATCAATCAAAGTATTCACCGGGTCATTGCCCGTTCTCCATAACAACGAACTAAAACTTTATCAAAATAAATTACCTCAAAAGAACCTTGATTAACTTAACTAACGTCTCGAAACTGCTCGGATCGAAAATGACATCTAAAATGGTAAAACATAGCTCGTGTTTTCTCCAATCCTAAATACTCGCTGGGAAGAGGTGGGAGGAGATTGCAGGTAAGGGTAAGCACAGGTTGTGAGAGGAGATGGCACCGGCACTTCCCTCACCCCCGTCAGATCAAATGGTCCATGCAAGTCGATTGAAGGAGGCTGTTGGCTGTGGTTACCTGAGGCAAGAATGACATCAGGGCGATATTTTCTTATCTCCTCCACAGAACATCTTTCCCAATCAATTTGATCAACTACAGCGCAACAGTCATCGTTAAAAACACTCTTATCTCTTTGTAAATTGCAAGCTCTGCACGCCCGACCATTGAATGAACTGAACAGGCCTCTCAATTCGTCTGAAATGTTCGTCTTTTCTTCACCGCTAGTTCCGCCTTCATTTTGACATCGCTGAAATGTTCGTTTAGTTTTCGCCGAACTGAAGCCATTAGTCTTCAGATTTTCTATGACTTTGTTTAACACTTGTTCATGGCGATCGGTGAAGGTGTACGTTTGTGGGTTGCAGGAATGCAGAGATACCAGCCCGAGAAGACCGACACCACAGCCCAATTCCAGGATATTCCTTCGATTGATAAAATATTGATGTATTAGACGGGAGGTTTGTTTATGTGGATGTTCATATTAGAGAGGTTTTTGTAAGTTCGAGTGGTGTCTAATTGAGAGATGTCCAAAGTTTTCCAAACAGAGAGATTATCATATTACAGAGGTTAGAGGTCGTCTTTATTGGGAGAGGGAGAGGGTATCCGTATTTGAGGTGTCAGTTTTATTAGAGAGGTCTCTGTATTAGAGAGGTGACCATATTTGACCATATTCACAATACATACTTTCCTTCCAATATGTTTTTGTTCTGTACAACCCAATTACTGAGGTACATCCCTGCCTAGGAACCAAAGTCAAATTCCACTAATGAAGATTAAGTAATTATATGATTGCTCTAAACCCATGTTTACTCACTTGCCAAGTGTTGAGTCCAGTTGTACCTTGTGAAACAACCTGCTTCGACTCACAGAGCGTCACAACTTGACCGCATGGCTGATAAAGCAAGATGCAGGAATGTGCAACAGCATTTCATGATATTGGAAATTGTTTTTCTCAAGAGGATAGGGATTGAATGAGGTGGGGTTGATTTTAAAATGTTAACTTAGTATGCCAAGTCATTTTGGCAGGTTATTTGAAATATTGAAGGAACTTCCAAGTGACCAATCAGTTCATAAGTCATGTATTGTTTTGTAGTGAGCTTACCATAATATATGACTTGTAAATAAAGTCATTTCCTGGAGAATGTTTCTCAGCCATAAGCTTGCCTATAAGGCTGTACAGGTCATCACATGCCTCCCTGCCCTGGTTCTCATACATGGCCAGTAATGACTTCAAAAATGATAACTTATAGCTGTCTGATGGCGGGTATTTCTGGCTCAGAGGATGGAATACTGTCTGACAAAGAATGGTATTGTATTTGTATTAGGATTATAAGCCACTAGCCGCTGAAATTTTGCAGTAAGGGCAAGGCCAGTTTATTGAGAAGGACGTGCTCATGCAGTACAGCTCAGAAATCTTTAATTACTTGGATATAATATTATTTAATCATTTTACATACTGCATTTAAGACAGCTATTTGTTGAGAGCTGGTCTCTTCAATGGTCAAATTTTTCAATTTTTCCCAGTCAAAAAATTTCATTCCTACCACTTGAAAATACTGTTTTTGTACGGAGCATAATGCATCGTTTAAATCTGCCATGGAATGGCTGCTTTCTGCGACTTTTTAGCACAAAAATATCGATTTTTAATCATATTTATCTTACAAAAACAGCATTTTGCGAAGCGCTAGATGGTAGTACTACACACACGGGCAACCGCTTAATATCGTGATAACTTGGTGGGCGCAAAACCCGCCATCTTGATTTTTGTTGTCATTTTTCTCCAAAAATGTAAGTAAAATCCTATAATCCTTGCTAGTTATTTGAAATTTCTCTGTATTTTTGTGCTAAATTTCGAGTTCAATGTGTATTCTTTAAAATGCTCTTCGTTTTGCACTAAAAGTTCTTGCGTTCTGTCAAATATCTCGACTCATTATCAACGTGTTCTTGCAGGGCGAAAGGACGTAGTCGGTCAGAGTCACCGAAGGGAAAAGGTGCAAAAAGCAAGGGTAAGACTACGAAAGCGAACAAGAAACCCAGTAGAGGACGTAGCCCTACAAAGAAGTCGACAAAGGATAATGCAAAAACTAAGAAACGAAGAGCGTCGTCAAGCAGGTAGGATACTATGATACAATATGACAGGAATAGTTGGAGTAATGTCTATGTCAGATGCTATTATTTGCCGTATTTCTGAAAGAAAATGCAGAGCATAAGAGCGCTTTTGCCTGCTCTAGGAAGAAATGAAATATTTTACTATGCAAACTGCCTGTTACCTGGCAGGGCATAGTTATTCTGTGAAGAATCTCACTATGATTGATTTCAATGATTTTACCAAGATCTTAACTAAGATCTGTACACCATTATCTTACCATGATTTCAGTTTTTGCTAAGATCTGTGAACCATGATTCTAACATGATCTTGCTGGTTCCATCATGATTTTACCAAGATCTTACCAAGATCTTACCAAGATCTTACCAACAATCTTACAAGCTGAATGCCCCATCAGCAGACAGGTGAATATAAAATACAAACCTTCATAATTTTTCTTTAGTGGTTCATCGAGGTCAAGCAGTTCCAGTGGCTCAAGTAGCGGCAGTTCTCGTAGTTCCAGCAGCGGCAGTTCCAGCAGTAGTTATTCCTCAAGCAGTTCAAGATCATCCAGCAGCTCCAGCTCTAGTGGTGCTGGTAAGAAGGGAAAAGGTAAGCTTTGAGCAAAAGCCTCAAGTAAATTACAGCTGCTCTCAGACTCATGTTTGCCTTTAGTGTCGTTGTCAAAGCATTGCATTTTGTATTTCAGCGCGCTCTAAACCCTCCACGAAACAAGCAAAGGGAAAAGAGACAAAAAAACCTGAGAAAGTTGTGGAGAAGAAACTTGAACCTAAACCAGAGCCCACTCCAGAGAAGAAACCAGAGAAGGTAGAGCCCAAACCAGAAGCGAAACCTGAACCAAAATACTCCCCACCTCCCAAGAAGTCACCCAGCCCTCCACCTGTGATACCTCCCAAGAAACTATCACCCTCACCCCCACCCCCGCGGGAGAAAACCCCACCTCCCAAACCTAAGGTTGCCCCCTCACGCTCAAGATCCGCATCCAATGAGCGGATCCGACCCAATGTTACGGAACGTCCGAGACCACCAAGACAGTACAGGTCACGATCAAAATCTTCCACCCCCGGGGCACGCCGTCGCAGCAGATCCCCCTCGGACTCACGGTCAAGGTTAGACTATTACTCTAGTATTATTATTATCTTTTTGCTCTCTTCCTCTGACGTGTGAAATCATCTCCCAGAAATACCATTGTGATGGTGCTATCTTGGGTAACCAACTGGTCAAGGTTAAAAATCACCATCACCATGGTGGAATCTGGTAATTCCCACCATAATAAAGAAAAATTTGAGCTTGCCCAGTCAGTTACATAGAGTACAACTAATGCAATATTATTACATGCAACCATTCGACGACTAAAATGCCATTGGCATATTGGATGCATTTCAAGGTAACAGCCATAAAACAACAAACACTCACATACATTTGCTGTCATATTAAATTGCAATCACTCGTCTAGCTATGACTAAAATCTTCAGGCATTAAATTGCAAGCAGACCTTCATGAGGGTTGAAAGCGCATTTTTTTGCAGTAGAGTTACTCATTTAACAGTGAGATTATATTGGACTGCATGGTAAAAATTTAAAAAATCTTGGTTGCCAGGCTTTAAACTAATGAAATATCTGAAATAATTTTTAGGTCAAGGTCCCTCTCTCGTTCCAAGTCTCCTCGAAAGCGACGCACGCCCAGTCCAAAGACCAAGAAATTGTGCGTAAATCGTTTATCCCGAAACGTGACTCGCGACCACATCTTGGAGATTTTCAGCGTCTACGGCAAAGTATCCAGTGTCGATCTTCCTACCAGTAGGAATTTGGTCCACCCCGGCTACGCGTACGTGGAGTACGAAGAGTTTCAGAACTGTGAGAAAGCTATGAAACACATGAACGGTGGTCAGATTGACGGACAAGAAGTCTTAGCTCAGTTCGTCTTGGATCAACGTTTGAAACGAGAACCAAGACCCCGGAAGAACAGCCCCGTGCGGCGACGTCCATCGTGGCGACGCTCCCCTCCAAGAAGATCCCCCGGGCGTCGCTCCCCTCCTCGCCGTTCGCCACCACGTCGTTCTCCCCCGCGCCGTTCCTCCCCGAGAAGGTCGCCTGCTCGAAGATCACCCGGGAGACGTTCCCCACCGGCCCGAAGGTAAGGAATCAGATCTCACACCCCCCCCCGTTCAGTGACTTGCACATGTCAAAGTGTTTAATTAAGATGACCAACTAAAATATTTTTCAGGTCTTCGCCCGGAAGAAGGTCCCCTGTACGAAGAAGATCCCCACAACGGTCTCCACCCCCCGGAAGAAGGTCTCCGCCAAGATCATACAGACCACCAGCGAATCGTAGAAAATCTCACTCTCGTTCACGCTCCCCCCGACGCAAGGCAAGATCTTCGTCTTCCCGATCTCCATCGCGGTCACCACTCAAGGGACGCAATTTCAAGCGCAGATCATCCAGTTCCAGCTCATCTTCCGGGTAATATTAGACGCTGGAGTTCGCCACCTTGGCTTCATGGTACAGAACCACCTGAAAACCATCGTCCATACACTTTACTTTTGGTATATCATTGTAGATATGCAGATTTTTATCAATAGTGTGCCTGGCTAAGGCTTGTCCCCAGAGTAATCTCCTGTAACTTGCAAGGCAATGAAGTTTTCCTGACCAAAAAAGATAATATCAACTTGAACTGATCATTTCAACGACGGTTTTTTGGTTTTACCTAAAGCAAAAAAAATTGCGTTGCATCTTACGGTGAAGATTTAAAAACGCTTTAAAAATCATTGTATTTATTATTTCTCGTGTTCAACATTTCACCAACCACGAAATAGACAATTAAAAAACATATAATCTAATCTTTGCTGAAACAACTCTAGCTAACAACGCTGGGTTATCTGATATGAATTCATTGCAATCGTAAGATTTATCTATTTTTCAGAACCAAAGTTTTGAGTCGAGCTGAGAAGATCTATTCGTGACAGAGTTAATGCTTGAAAAGTTTCAAAACTCTTGGTTATTAGCGCGCTTTTCAGCTTTCGTAAAACCGGCCCTAGAAGGATTAAAATTATGTCAGATTTTTAGACACCTGTTAACATGTTATCAAGATTTTTTACACTTGACACCACGCATTCTCCTCGTATTATTTTGTCTTTTGTCTTTGTGCACGGTTGTCATGACAAATCGTTTCACACGGAAGAAAGCTGGTGGTGTTACCTACCAAAGTTTCCTTCCTTTCAATAGAGATAATAATGTATTGTATGAGCCCTGTGGGGTATCTATATGTTTTGAAATTCACTTTAGCGCTCGTGCGCTTTTAATAAAAGTAAATTAATGTGAGTTAAATTCCTGTGCACTATTGAGAACTTCATAATTAGCCAATCACGTTTGTCGGCTATTAAATATTAACCAATCATATTAACCATCGTAACCAAGCCCAGAATATTCAAATTTGTTCGGTGATTTCCCGTGATGCATCTTGTGTTTACCATGTCACAATTTGATACTCAAAAATAACAACATTCGAAAAATTGATATCCTCGCGCTGAAGGAATTGTATTTTTGAGCGAGAGCTCACGCAAATGGGCTCCACTGTCGACTCGGACGAGGCCGAGGGGTTGTTTTCGAAGCGATCTAGTTCCAATATTCTGTCAGATCCCCGAATTTTACAGCATTTACGAATCGTTGCCCGAGAAGCACACCAGGAAAGTCTCGCCGGAGTGCCGGAAAACGAAGAGACCGATTTGGAAAACCAGCAACGCGATTTATACGATAAAATAACAGCTTACAATAAGAGAAATCAGCTTGGTGCTTTTAAAATCTTGGCTAGGGAGGTTTGTTGCCCTTGCTTCGGTTTATTCAGGGCTAAAGATCACAAAAGAACAATCTATGGGGGGTTAGATTTCACATTGATGTCGGTGTACCTATTTGTGGCGAGACGCTTTTGTGAAATTCAAATACCACAGTGCTGCTGCTGAACGATTACATTTTATTTACTTAAAAGAAACTCACTGTATATAACCTTTTATCTGCTGTTCACTCACGGATAATCGTGTCTAAACCCGCTTTCACCACTGCTTGACAGGCCATAAATTTAGATGTTGTGATTTCGCATGTTTAGAGGCTCGTTAGAATGTGCAAATTCTGCTAATGTCAATAAATACTAGAGGTGAAGCACGTCGCTTCGCTGCTCGATTTCTGTATTCTCTTGCCAAAATACAGGAAATATGCTCGAATATAATTTTACTGTACTAAAATTATCTATCAGACTGATCTAAATTAGTTAACTACCGTGTTGTCTGCTATTAAACTGCCGTTTTTAATTCCACTAAATTGTGACAAATTTCGAACGTCTATTGTTTACATTTGACACATTCCAAACTGTGATTAGAATGTTTTCGAATTGCGAAATTTGCTACAAAATCGAATTAAAAAATGTTACAAATTTTCGTCTGTAAGCATTCTGTATTTTACATGATATTGTGTAAGCATTCTCATTTTTTTATAATCTTCGACGTGGAAATTTCTCCTGTAGATGGCCGTAACCTTTTGTCAATTTTCGTTTCCAGAATTTGAATTACGAAGGGGCATTGAGATTTTACTTTTTGGATGGAGGAAAAGAGCTCACGAAAGCAGTTAAGCTGAATAGTCGAACGACGGTCAAAGAACTTTTGCCTTCTCTTGTGGAGAAGTTTAGGCCAGGATTAGAAGCGGAACTCGTCGGATTCTCAAAGCTGTATGCAGTTCAAGAACAAGGTCAGTGCTCTACGTTTTTTCCCGATAAATTTTCAGACGTCTTTCCTTATGTGATAGCAGATTACAAAAGCGAGCGCGTGAGAGTCAGTCAGCGCGTGAGACAGCGATGCTACTCTCTCAAAGTGGCCTTTCTCTTATTGTAATGTAAATTTCTAGGTAATCTATGTGTAAATTCTCCTGCTAGATTGTTCTTTTTTAAACAAACTCCTCTTAGAAGTTGTTTATAAAAACTTCATTTGTCTCTCTCACCAAAAAAGGCAAAACAGGCCAAATATACCGTACAATTTCGTTTAATACCTCACCGAAGTAATATTGCGTGGGTTTGAAACAGTTTTGGAAGAATTTGGCATGTTTTTGAAGGCAATATCAAACGCTTTTAAACCTCTTTATTTACACAAGACTTAGTGAAACCCCGAATGAAGAAAGCTGGAGAGACGTCTACTAATTAAGGAAACATTTTTAAACTGTATTTTTGACAGCCTTCCAAAAGTAGACTTGCTTAAACCGGCGATTTCGTTTGTAAAAATACCAAAGTAAATAATCCCGAGGGGTAACATTTAAGTGGATGACAAGTGGTTAAGGGATTGTAATTACACAAAAAGTACTTTCCGTTATGATACAGCGCACGATGACAGACTAATTAAGGTATCGACCTCTACGTTTTGCGCAAAGCACAATCGATTGACAAACAGAGTTTTAAATAAGCCTTTATTGAAATATAAACGACATATATGTCAGCTCGACTCATATAGATAATCTCTATCATCAAGTTTGTCCGGAGATAATTTGTTTCATTGTTGGGACTTGTGTATGAGTGGGGTGTTTAGTTGCTTGCCCTTTCACCCACCTCCCTGTAAAAAAGTTTTTTTAATGGCCAATAAGAGACACTCATGGACACGCCTTTGTTATGGTTTAGTAACCTTTTTTTTGTCTCCCTAAAGGAAAAAAGTACATCCTAGTCTAACTCTGCTGTCACGAAAGTTTTTTTGAAAGATTTCGCGCCGTGCTAAGGGCTGAAATATTGTTCAATTATTGCCCCAAGTCAGTTGAAGAATTCTTACGATCTGCCAGAAAATAGTGGTTAAATTACTTGCGTTTTAACTTATACGATTTGTCGGGACGGTTTTGGCTGTTGTTCGATGTTAACGGGACAAATGTCGAGAGTTGATTATGTCGTCACGCTGACGTTTACAGCGTAGATTTCGGATATCATCGACGTACGTTTGAATCGAAGCCGACAACTTACCTAAGATCGATTTGCGCATTTTGACAGCATCGGCCTATTCCAGACGAACAGAAGTCGGTTCCACTTGATATACATCTTGTAAGATCTCAATTCTCAATCAACAATTCATGATCGTATATATTTCCAAGCGAACTGCAGGCTGATTTTAAACGCCCGACGTTTAATTCTGCCATATTCATTGAAAATGAAACCTCTCATCGCACCCACAAGAACGCTATTTCTGTCTCGCACTTGGCGAATACGAATGAGAATATTTAAATACGGACGTCTGTTTTTCGCTGCCGGAACTACGTACTCTTACCCAGTGATTTAACAAGCTTCTTTATTCTATTTTAGATGAAATCTGTTTGGATCAAACCGAGTGGCCTTTGGTTATTGCTCTCAATGCAACTAAACCAATACGCTTCATTCTGCGTATCAATAAAGACGAGAAGCTGGCCACAGATGTCCCGAATGAGGCAAACCCCGCGACAAACGGTAAACTAAACGCGGATGTTTTGTTGCGACCGGACGGAGGAAGGATTGAAAAGCGCGATCGACCGCTTAGCGGCGGAGTTTACGATTTCATGTACGCTGGCCGCGATAAAAGCATTAAAATGACCGCTGGAGCTGTCTACGACAAGAAGGCTCAAAACTCTCCTAAGCCTAAAAAGAACCAAGCTCACAGGACGAAGGGACGTTCTCTGGGAGCAGTCTTGAAACTTCCTAAAAAAAATCGCACTCTCGAGCGAGGCTCTGAGCTCTCAACGAATCACATGGTCCCTGGAGTGCTTAAAGTTTTCGGCTCAGGGATTTCACAGGATTCGAACTATAAGAGCGTAAAGGCCACGACAAATTCCGATGCGGATTCGATTGTCAGGCAGGCCTTGGGAAAATATAAGCTTGATTCGGCAGATCCGGAGGAGTTTGTGCTTTGCGATGTAGTTGGGTATTTTCGGAAGGTTTCCACTGAGAAAGAAACGCAAATGCGTTGGGTAACTGAGTACGCCAGGGTGGTTGGTGAAAAGGAGCACCCATTGGTGCTTCAGTCGCTATGGCAACCGTCTGGTAATCGTTCGCGAAGGTTCGAACTTCATCGGAAGGCTAGTGCCGTAGATGCTGTAGATGGCGCCGGGGCTGGCTCGGCAAACAACGGAATCGCCCGTAAGAAGGCGACAATCGTGAGTCAACCGCCAGATATAGCGTTACTTCGGAAACAGCCAAGCATTAGTACCACATCTGAAGGTAGCGAATCGGGGGCCTTTGATTCGCCCCAGCGCTCGCGCGTCGATGACGGCAGCATTAGCCATTCGAACCTTACTTTCAATGTGAGCACTGCAATTGAAGTCCCTTATTTGCTGCTAATTCGGGGAAGCGGGATCGCTGAGGACTATCTTCTTCATCGTCTAGACGAGGAAACAATGGTGATAGGTCGGCCAACCATTGGTAAAAAACACCCCGATATTCCGCTATACAGCGATGATCTACAGACACAACACTGTCAGATCTTTAAAAAATTCCCTGCAGACAACGAGAGCGTCGCTGAGTCTGAGGAAGGTGTCTTGGAGAATGTTTTTATTGAGCCGTTTCCAAATTGCGAGGTGTTGGTAAACGGAATGACCATCACTGAAGCGATCCTCTTAACTCCAGGCGACCTTTTACAGATTGGTTCTCACTACGTGTTTCTCTACAAAGATCCACTTAGGATCATAGATTCGAACCTTATCCTCGACTGGCTTCCCGGCGCGGCTGGGAACGGCCATCACGCAAGCGCGCATGGGAAGGCGCAGGTCATTCAAATGCAACAGGTTGCCAGGAATCCGAAGCGACTGAGCTTGTCCTACGAGTTGGAAGACGAAGACAAATTATTGGAATATTTGGTAACCATTTGTGAGCCAGCCCACGAGGATGATTTTGAGCTGGTTGCGTCGTATCTCTTTATTCTTGCCATAGAATTCTCCGCGTTTAATCATACTGACGTCGATACGCGAAGATTGATTTTGAAAGTAACGAACTTGATACAGGGTGTGGCTTGGGTGAGTCACTAGTTAAGTTTACCATGGATAGCTCTATCAGTTCTAAACTGTTCTTGCTAGAGGTGCAGTAAGGATCATCTCTTATTGATCCAGTGTTACTACAGGAGGAAACCTAAACTAAAGTAACTTTATTTATGCTGGATAGCTCTATCAGTTCTAAACTGTACTTTCTAGAGATCATCTCTTATTGATCCAGTGTTATTGCAGGAGGAAATCTGAATTACTTAATTAACTCATTTATAGTTTTGTATTCGTTGTATCTTTAGCGTTGTCACGAATGATTCTTTCTTTTTCAGGAAAAGACAAAAGGGATCACAGAAACTAATGTAGAAGGGTCCGTATTCCCAACTTAAAATATTATTAACAATTTCAATACAACACTGTAGGTCTCTGTAGGTCTCTAGAGCTATTTTATATAATATATTTTTATTTTCTCATTTTTTTAGTGAAATCGACCCTCTGAAGTCCTTGAATGAAATTATTCCTGACCTCAAACAGATATTGTTCTGGATGAGTAATGCTTTGGAGATGCTACATTTCCTCCAAGACAACCTGTCCACGTATCTACCAGGCACGTTTCACGTGAATAGCGCGTCTAACGATCCAGAGGAAGAAGCTCTAGCTAACGCCGACGAGGAACTGTTGAATGTCTTGGAAGAAGTCGCCATGTTTACCTTTCAGCAAACCGTGTATCATCTTACGAAGGTAGGTTTTTCCCATGCGTCGGATCTACACAATCTTCACGTGAACATTTATTTTGTCCTCGTGAGGATTTGTTTTTCTTCGCGTGATCTTCAATTTTGCTTATCTGAATAAAAACTTTATCTTTAAGGTGCTTTACGTTGCTTTGCCGCTCATTTTGGACACAAATCCTTTTCAAAAACTGGAAGATGACGAAGGCAGGGATGGAGATGAACTGGAGGGCGCCGAGATCGTTGTTCAAATATTTCAAACGGTCTACGACCTTATCACGTCGTTTCACGTCCACCATCAAATCGTGCGTCAACTTTTCGCGTATCTGTTTTTCTTCACGAACGCCTCGCTCTTCAACACGCTCATGGACCGCGGTGCCGGTGGGAAGTTCTACCGCTGGGCAAAAGGCGCACAGATTCGTGGCAATCTGGATTTGTTGGAAGGATGGGCTTTAGATGTTGGGCTCCAAGAAGAAGCCGCCGACTACTTGAGAAAACTTTCGTCTGCCGCTGATGTTTTAGCCACGCCCAAAGTACAGTTACTGCAGGTAAGGGGGGAGGGGTTAGGGGTCACCTCCTCCCTCACCCTCCCAGCTTCACACCCTTCAGCACAAGAGCTTCTTGTCCTCACAATACCTTTCTGGGCTCAATACACTTGTTATTAATTCCCACGCATGATTTCTGAGATACATCTGATCGTTGATTTTTCAGGCCACCTGGCAAAGTCTGCGTCACGATTTCCCTGTATTAAACGCCGCTCAACTACACAAAATCCTCACCGAGTATCAAGTCGGTGCCGGCAAGTCACGACCTGCCGAGTGGCGTCCAATACCCGACGAAGTTGACTCCGCGCTCAAGGACGGTAAGAACTTCTATCGTGCGTTGTAGATATACAATTGCCTTTTGAGAAACATGTTTCACTTTAGAAAAGTAGAAAAGATACTTTAAAAATGAAATATTATCGATTGTTTTAGAGGAAATATTAGAAAGCTTCTCAACCCACCCACCTTTCTTGTTTCCAACCTCCGACTATCTACTCGACCTTGAATCCGATTCCCCTCACCCGGTTGTAAAAGAAACTCTTGATAACCTCAAAGCGAGCTTTGGGTCTGGAAAAGATCCCCAACTGCTAACATCTACCCCAAGGCAACCACAAGTGCTGATCCAGGCCCCTGATTCGGATGGTACCTCTCGACATTCAACGCCTTTGTCCTCAGCCAAGTCCAGTCCACCGACCTCGTTGACCGCGAGCCCGAAGAAGCTCGTGAATACGTTCAGCTCAAGCGATCCGACTTTAAACAACGTTGATCCTAACCGCCTGAGCAACCGTTTAAAAAATCACGGTACGCTAATACTAGGCTTCTTTTGTGCAGTAAACACAACACGACCGTCTGAGTTTCCAGTATAGCTAATGTTTGTTTAGGTTTCCTCCTGTAGTAACACTGGATCAATAAGAGATGATCCTTACTGGACCTCTAGGAAGAACAGTTTAGAACTGATAGAGCTATCCAGTATAAATAAAGTTAGTTTAGGTTAGGTTTCCTCCTGTAGTAACACTGGATCAATAAGAGATGATCCTTACTGGACCTCTAGGAAGAACAGTTTAGAACTGATAGAGCTATCAAGTATAAATAAAGTTAGTTTAGTTTAGGTTTTCTCCTGTAGTAACACTGGATCAATAAGAGATGATCCTTACTGGACCTCTAGGAAGAACAGTTTAGAACTGATAGAGCTATCAAGTATAAATAAAGTTAGTTTAGTTTAGGTTTTCTCCTGTAGTAACACTACGTCAATAAGAGATGATCCTTACTGGACTTCTAGAAAGAACAGTTTTGAACTGATATCATCATCATATCTTCCAGTAAATGGTATATCAAAGAGTGCTTCCTGGGGCGACATAGCGCATCCCAGCAGGACTTCTAAAAAAGCTCGGAGATCCCGCGACGCGGGCCAGAAACCGGAATTTGAGGTACAATCCAACCAATCCGAGGGCGCTTTAGATGAAGAATATTATCGCCGAGGAAGCGATGCGCAAGATGACGTGTTCGTTGTCGAGCTAAACAAAGGTGATACGGGAATAGGAGTTGGCCTCATCGATGGCTTGGTAAGATTTCTTTCCCTGGCTCTCTGTGCCTTATTTATAGCTCAAGTTGACCGTCTTGGGAAGAACAACTGTGAGGAAGAAGCGTCGAGAAATTCCTGTACTATCATATTATTTATTTCTAGTACACGCCATTGAAGTCCAACGGAATCTATGTCCGGACATTGGTTGCAACAGGACCCGCAGCAAAGGTACGAATAATATATAACCTTGTTTACTCATATATTCCCAGGTAAAATAAGGTTGACTTACCTGATATACTGACAATTGATGAGTCTCTCATGCAACTCTTGTTCTCGTTTGACCAGGACATGACTGTTGATGAAACTCTCATACAAACTCTCGCTTGTCAACTCTCATCAACTCTCATGCAACTCTTGTTCTCGTTTGACCAGAACATGACAGTTGATGAAACTCTCATACAAACAAACTCTCGCTTGTCAACTCCCATGCAACTCTGTTTTCTTTTATCAATGTGCTAACTATTTCTATAGGCTGTTGTGAGATTAATTATTGAATGCATAAAAATGTGATACAATGCTTTCAATTCTCATGATATTTCTTACAATCGCAGGATGGCCGTTTGAAACTGGGCGACCGAATTCTCGCAGTAAATGGCACCAGTTTAGTGGGGGCAGATTACCAGAGGTATTTTTTAACTCAAATAAGTTGAACGGATTATCAAATGAATGGACTGTTTGCACATTTTAGTTTCTCTTTCAATAGCTAAAACAAAGTATGTTTTCATTATCTGCTAGTGCCATGAAGTTAATTCGAAATGCTGGTAATCACTTGACATTTCTTGTCGCGAAATCAGATCAGAGTGTCGCCATGAAGATCACTGCCTCAACGTGTTAGCCGGAGGTCTGAAGTAAAACTGCTAATGCAGATTCAATATGCCCGAGGATTTGAAGCGCGGAAGCCATGCAGCTATCAACCATAGCATTTTCTACCTAAACCTTCGAAGATTAGAACTTACGAACATCGGCACTTATCGAAATAGCAATATTTTAACCGATCTCTCTCTCTCTCGTGATTTGGGTTTGGTAAACGCCTAGCGATGATCTTAATATTTTTTTTTCAATTCAGCTAATCATCTAAAATCATTTTGCCAACAAATCTCAAATCTTACTCGTGCATGGGGGATCGAAATTTTATAGTTTTATACACAGATTATGTTGAATATAAATTATATATAGTTAAAATTTGGCTTATACTTAACAGACGCAATTATAACATCTGGAATGAATATTTATTATGGATCTTACCTATAGCTATAAAACGCTCGCAAACATTATTTAACTCTCTTAAGTGAGTCTAGAAAGCTACGCTTTATACTCTAGTGACCACTAAGCAATAAGTCGTAATGATTAAATTAAAATAGTTTTGTATACAATATTTTAACGAAACCTATTTTTGTATTTAAGTCTATCAGCAAATGTACAATGACTCTAAATCAAGGTATACGTTCTTATGATCTCGAGATCTTCTAGTTTAGCTAAATTGAACTATTAAATCGCCAGAGTTTTTGAACGCAGGGAGGTTCTAGTTTCCCAGTCACTGTCTGAAATTAGCATAATTCCCGTGTTCAGAACCTCACGTTGCCAGGCAACAGCTTGATTAGGATATCAATATGGCGGATTAAAAATGAACAAGAAACCAGAATATATTAAAAAAAATGTCTCATTCGTTCAATTTGAATGGTTTAGTTGATGATTTTGACGAGAGAAGCCAATCATTGTCATGTATCCTCTTATTTCCTTCTCATTTCCTTTGATCTTGATTGCGTTTTAATAAAATATGAGTTGTGTATTTTTTTACTTTAGAAGTAATTGGCTGTTGCATCGCGTATTGAACTTTGATCGTAAATCCTACTAAGACGATAATTGTTCTGTCTTTGCAAAATTATTAATATTGGAGGCTTTGTGAAATGAAAGTTCAGTATATAACCCGCATTTGTAACACATTGGATGACGAAACGTTTTATATTTGCTGTTTTAGTATAAATGTATATTTGAAGTAATTAGAAAGTGACACCGTCTTCTCTATATTTAACGATTTTCTGTGGAATTTGTGCAAGAAAATGGCATAGTATTTTGCAGCCATACCATATCCTATGACTGCCCTTACTTTCTTATCTTTCCTTCCATATCACTTTTGCCCCAACCTTCTCTTTATCCTTTGTCACATATTTCCCCTCCACTTTTTTCTCCCTTTTCGCAGTTATCAACATCTCCTTTTCACACCTACCACTCTCCCTTACCACATGCTTCCATCCACTTTATCCCCATTTTTCCCCCCACCCCTTCTTTATTCCCATTCATCTCTCATCATCCTCTCTTCAGCCTCATTCTTCTCACCCTCCCACAGTTGACACTCCTTGACTTATCACAGCTCCAGCTGGTAGAGTGGACTCCATCGATGCCATCAGTAAGAAAATAAGCAGCTTGGACACAGAGTTGACCTCATTCTGCCCAGAGAGTGAACTAGTTATTGACAGTTACGCAGACGTTCAAACATCATCGAGTAACGACAACGTTTTCGGTTTTGGAAATCTTGAAATTGATTACCGGTTTCCAAAAAATGTCGCAAGCAGATCCAACGTTTCAACAAGAGGTTGATAACTTGATATCAGCTTTGGTTCTTTGATAATTTCATTGTAGTTCATGAAAATCATTTCAGTCATTTCTGGTTTATGGTCGAGATATTATTTTCTCAAATTTTTATTGCAGAGAAAGCGAAGAAAGATGTGAATAAGTTTGCAGGCGTTTATTCAATGAGAACTGGTGAGTTGGTAATGTCCTACCATGAGGAAGATATATACCACTGAATCCAGTCATCAAAGGTTTAAGTATAATCTATCATTTTATATTCTAACTTTCAAGTCATGGCTAAAAATGGAAATCCTCTTCATGTTGGCGAAGAAGAGACAAAACTTGCTGAAAATCGGTACAAGAAGAAACTATTAACCAAGGTACTGCATGTGGAGATAAATATATGATGGGTTTTGTATTGTTTGCCAAACAAAAGATTGATATGATATCAAACTTTTTAGGTTCACAATAACCCAACAACAGCCGTTTCTAAAAGGCCCATGCTGGTAGAGGTATGGTGTAGTGCATTGCAAAGTTTTACTTTCACAAACATGTAGTTTTATCTGTGACATGATTGTTGCAAATATGATTGTTGCTTTGGATCTCGGAATTTCTCACCAGAAAATCGAAATTAATTGCGACTAGTCTATGCTTGAAAGCAAACTTGCTGAAAGGCAGTTATCATGCAATTCATATTTCTTGATGACAAAATGATGCAACATTTTTTAGTTACACACTTTTCCCGGGTTCAATAAAGACGAACTGACTCCGTTACCGGCCTCTCTGTCAACGAAACATGTTTTAGACATCGTTACCCGCGCTCAGGAAGATTTGCTGAAGAAAGTAAGTCTATTTTGTCAACTACAGCACCACTCACTGACTCACCAGAGAAATTTGTCAGCGTGCACAAACCTTGCAATATTTGGAGATAATTTTCCTTTTGTAAAGTAAACACTTCGCAGAACATGTTTTGATGTTCGCTGTTTTTTCGTGTGTTTTTTTTCCAACAATCATATAACCAGTGGCGTAGCCAGCCTGACGATTTTGTCCCGCTATGTAAATTTCGAGTTATAATTATTCTTGTCTTTAGAAATCTATTGTTTTCACAGTCAGTGAACACCAAAATACTAGCATAGCGGGACAGATTGACAGACTGGCTACGCTACTGCATATATAACTGAAAACTAATCGACTTTTCTATTTTCTCTTTTTCCCAGCCCAGTTTTAGAAAAGAATTTAAAAGAATGTTTCACAGCTCTCCATCTCAAGCCATTGTTCAGGTATTCTTAGAAACTCCAGTGCTGATTCGTGTTTTTTCTTCAGCTTAAACATCTTCATCTCAAAATCACTGGTAAAAAAAGCTGTGCATTTCTAAGAATTCTTAAACTTTATTTTCGGTTTTTGCAGGACATTTTTTGGTGGTTCTTTATTGAAAAGTATCAGGTATTGTTAATTGCAAATCTTTTATTTATTAACCTGTTTGAGGACCGATCTACGATGCCAGAGAATTGTTTAGCGATTGACCGTCAAGTCGCCCGATTGCCAGGAGATTCATGTAAAAAAATCGATTTTTATTTCAGTCGTGTCCCGAGGTGCAAAGTCAGCTGTTCTCTCGCGTAGCGTGCAATTACGTCAACCTTATCATAAGTGGCTCTGAAAATATTCATCGTGAGGCATTCTTCAAGCGTTTTCCGTCTCTGGTATCTCAAGCGGTTTACACCGTATTTTGTCGAGCATTTCCGACTTCCTACCGGCAGTTTGACGATCGTTTCAAACAAGATCTTGCCGATGTTATATTCCTGTGGATTGTGGGTAAGCGTAATAATTTACTGCATTAGCCAAAGTATTAGAAAAGGTCTGAATATCATCTCTTATTGATCCAGTGTTTCTACAGGAGGAAACCTAAACTAAACTAACTTTATTTATACTCGATAGCTCTATCAGTTCTATGACTGTTCTTTCTAGAGGTCCAGTAAGGATCATCTCTTATTGATCCAGTGTTGCTACTGGAGGAAACCTAAACTAAACTAACTTTATTTATACTGGATAGCTCTATCAGTTCTAAACTGCTCTTAATTCCTAGAGGTCCAGTAAGGATCATCTCTTATTGGTCCAGTGTTACTACAGGAGGAAACCTAAACTAAACTAACTTTATTTATACTGGATAGCTCTATCAGTTCTAAACTGCTCTTCCTAGAGGTCCAGTAAGGATCATCTCTTATTGGTCCAGTGTTACTACAGGAGGAAACCTAAACTAAACTAACTTTATTTATACTGGATAGCTCTATCAGTTCTAAACTGTTCTTTCTAGAGGTCTAGTAAGAATCATCTCTTATTGATCCAGTGTTACTACAGAAGGAAACCTAAACTAACTTATTTTCATTCATTGGTTTAGGAACGCGGCCTATTCGGCGTGTTTGGGAGAAATGGCCTCTGGCATCTCTTGAACCAGAAGGCATGAACAAAGAGGAAGAGATTCAAAAAAATGTCTCAAAAGGTAACGCTCATGTTTGGAGAAGAGTTGAAATAAACTCATGTTAAACCTCCGTTTTTAAAGCCAAAATTCATAGTTTCAAACGACAGAATGGTATTTCAAAATGATATACTCAATTGAGAGCAACTTATGTATAATTTTTCTCGCTCTAAGTGTCAGTATTTAGCGCACCATCGAACCCAAAACTTTTCCCGCTTTTTTTTAGAATTCGCTCTGGGTTTATTCGGCTCGGAATCCGTTCAAAGTATGAATCATCCTTCACAAGTCGGAAAGCCCGAGCGAGGACGGAGAATGTCGAGAGTTTACGGTCGTAGGTCGTTCGCAGATGAGCTGACAGCTGTGCCTGTCTCTGAAGAACAAGTTGCAAAGAAGAAATCATCTCTCAGGAGTATACATCGTATAAACGAGAGTGACGAGAACGTCACGGCCAATAACGAAACGGTTACCTCGAATAAAAGATCATCGCTCAGGATGAGTTTTAGCCGACTAGAGGCAGTCCAACCAGGGGAGAAATTGGTTGAGAGAAATGAAACACATTCTGATCCTAAATTAAATATTTCTAACTCCTTTCAGTCAACAAATACAGGTGATTCGTCGTTGCTGAGAAATTCAAGAAAACGCGAGGTAAAGAGGCTTACTCAGGGTTTCAGGGGCTGTCTGAGGGTCTCATAGGGACATTTGTGGTGAAATAATTCAGCTACCGGGTTCTCTATGAGCTCTGGTGTACAACCATGATGAATGCAAAATGACGAATACAACCATGGTCGTATCATGGTCGTATTGGCCGGAAAATGACGAATACGACCATGGTCGTATTTGCTGGAAAATGACGAATACGACCATGGTCGTATTGGCCGAAAAATGACGAATACGACCATGGTCGTATCATGGTCGTATTGGCCGGAAAATGACGAATACGACCATGGTCGTATTGGCCGGAAAATGACGAATACGACCATGGTCGTATCATGGTCGTATTTGCCGGAAAATGACGAATACGACCATGGTCGTATCATGGTCGTATTTGCCGGAAAATGACGAATACGACCATGGTCGTATTGGCCGGAAAATGACGAATACGACATTGGCCGGAAAATGACGAATACGACCATGGTCGTATCATGGTCGTATTTGCCGGAAAATGACGAATACGACCATGGTCGTATTGGCCGGAAAATGACGAATACGACATTGGCCGGAAAATGACGAATACGACCATGGTCGTATCATGGTCGTATTTGCCGGAAAATGACGAATACGACCATGGTCGTATTGGCCGGAAAATGACGAATACGACATTGGCCGGAAAATGACGAATACGACCATGGTCGTATCATGGTCGTATTTGCCGGAAAATGACGAATACGACCATGGTCGTATTGGCCGGAAAATGACGAATACGACATTGGCCGGAAAATGACGAATACGACCATGGTCGTATCATGGTCGTATTTGCCGGAAAATGACGAATACGACCATGGTCGTATTGGCCGGAAAATGACGAATACGACCATGGTCGTACCATGGTCGTATTTGCCGGAAAATGACGAATACGACCATGGTCGTATTAGCCGAAAAATGACTGACCTGGAAGCTCGGAGATGTGAGTTCAACTCAAGTTATTTAGTTTCTTGAATAGAATTAAACGTAATTCTTCTTTTCACAGTCTTGTCATGCGGGAAAAGGCCCGGAATTCCAAAAGGTTGTTTTTGATCTTCATGGCCAAAGTCCGTTGGTGAAGCATTTCCTTCAGAACAAGCGGCTTGCGAAAGATTCCGGGACCTCAATCCTCGTACAAAGGACAGAAATCGACAAACTACCCCCGTATCCTTTACTTAGAGTGTAGGCAAACGTAGCCAGTCAGATACTCTACGAAAAATTGTCAAGGGGTGGGATTGAAATGCGCCTTTCTTTGTCAAGTATTTTTCTTGATGGTTTCAGTATAAATGCGCCAACGTATAGTGATGTCATCAAAGAGTCGCTGAAATCTTCTCACAACCTTGAGAGGCAAATACAATGGTAAAATACTCGTCCTTTTTCTTTCTCTGAACGTCATGTAAATATTAATTTAGTTCCTTCTCAAGCTTGCTAGATCAAATGTCAAATGAAAGAGCGGTTTTTGGACGGCAACAGAGGAAGGACAGAGAGGAATTCAAAAAGTATGGAAAAAATTCTCTTTTTTTCATCAGTTTGTTTATTGTTTCCCTTGATTACGAGAGTACCATTGCACGAGCGCCATCACCCATGGTGATGAATCTTTGATATTTTTCTTGCTTCTTAAAAAGGAAAGAAATGCAAGTGTTGTCGCGACAAAAAGAAGTGAAGAAAATAAGTGATTTAATCCTTCTTCGATTGGCCGTAAGTATCGATATAATATGGATCATCACGAGGTAACGTGGGGAAAGAGGTAGGACCGGACCCCTCACCCAACGTGAATGAACAGTCTACTTTTACCCCGTCATATATTGAAAATACCCATTATTTTCCTCTAGAAAGAAGACACTCCGGAGAACGAGAAATTGATATCCGCGTCGATAGCGAACATGTTAAAACTAGATGAAGAATTATTTAAGTCGTAATATGTAAATTTCTTTGTATATAGATATAATTATCCTATTTTAATATGCGTCTGATATTTGATTTTTATAGACATGCATGCACAATTATATTAGAGATGCGTCGTAAGTATTGTTGATGCTAATTTTACAGTAAGAATATCCAAATTCTGGCGTACATTGACCAGGATCTCTGCAACTCATGTGAGTGGAGAGCTCGCCCACGAAGAAGGGAGGTCGGTGGAACGGATCTTGATTCTAAATCACCCCTACACTATGGTGTGACCCTTCACCTGCCAGGGCTACGACCGGGGATTGATCCAAGGTGATTTCATCCGGTTCATTTCCCCGGGTTCGGTTTCAACCAATGAGATTGCACGTATTATTAGCCAATTACACTTTTCGGACGTGAACACTGTTCCTTGTTGTTTTTGTAATATCCGGTATTCTCTCTTTGTTCATTATAATAGTTACAAATTTTCTGTTTATGGACAAATTTTATACGTTTTGAAAGCGATTTGAAACTCCTTGGCCGCCTCGAAGATGAGGATCGGTCCTAAGACGTACTTCGCGTTCATTCTGCTTTTATTTATCGGGATTCTGAGCTATTTCGCCTCCTCGACAGACGATAAGGTTTGTGGTTGATAAATGTTCGAATCACTGCTGCATTGAATTTGTCTTCTAATCTTATAATTTGCAACAACTAACCTATTTAGAAGACGATTTAAAAGTAGTGATTTTCAAGTAATTTCATTATTATTTTATATATATTATCCGTCTCTTTACAGAAGCATTCCCTGAGCGTACCAAATTCGTATTTATTTGTTTCAACGATTGATGGCAGCATGCATGCAGTTCGTAAAAAGACAGGTCATATCAAGTGGTCATTCAAAGAAGGTAAACTTCCCAACCGAAACTCTATAAACCAGAACTTGTGTTTGTCGTAAAAAGAAGCGGTCTATCGTAGCTATTTCACCCCAATGTGTCGAAAGGGTATATATTTCAACGTATTTTTGGTTTATATTGAGTAAAATGATTAATTACTTTAACTCTTGCTTCCTTCATACTATTGATGTAAAACAGAATACAACCACTTGTAATGGCTGGCTGGTTAACCCTTTGTCTCATTTAAGTCGCTTTAACACGAGCTCCAGCTAATTTCGAAGCGATTTTAGTTTGGTTTTCAGCGAATGTACTCCTTTGTGGTTTCACGTGGGCCATATGAAAAGGGCCTGTTGTGTTTAACTAGCTTTTATTTTTGTTTTTGTAAACACGCAGACATAGCTATCGACTATCGTTTAGGTGAGAACGCGTCTTAAATTATTCATGCTTGTTTGACGCGAAAGTCGTATCAGATTAGTTTTAAATTGCTTTGATTGTGAAAAAATGAACGTTATTTGCCTCTGTTGTTCATTTCAGTCGCCTGTAGCAAAGTGCTACAAAGGAGACCCCGTTATAATTGCTGTTTATTTTACGATAGCAGCTGTCCTTTTGTGAGGCTAATTTAGGTAATTCCCTCCGACTTTTCCCAAACATATTCCATCGCAATTAGCTCAAGATTGGATGACAATTTTATAGGCAATTGCAATGGAAGTTAACCTATAGTGAAAAATTATAATGATTACATTAAAATTCTATAGAATATTGTATGTATACTTGTATATCAATATTGCTGATTCGTTATGTGAACTTATTGCAGGAAACCAATTTAAATATTGGATGATTGACAATTTGTATGGCTGATGCAATCTGATATTTTTAATATACGTACATTTATGGTTGTAATTTCCTTTTTGCCCTATGCCTGGTTTCTATTTTGATTGCTATCATGTTGTAAACATTTCACAGAGAGTGATTTGGATAACCAAGAAAAGTTTCTTAAGAAAGCTTCTGCGGTTTGAGCAGATTTAGATTAAGGACGGAACATTAAAGATATCATGGAACTAGCCAAAAATGGTGTGGTGTTCCTCCATGAGTGAGGCACCCTTGATGGGAACATTCTTAAGTTAAATCTACCTATTACTGGCATGGCAACTTGTTTTTATGTGTTAGTTAGAGAAAGAATTTGGTTTGGTCTGAATCTGTTAACCATCAGACACATAACATCTTGAGCTGATAGATTGATTACCTGAAATTAAGCAGATCATAGGTTTTTCAAGTAGTTTGTCTATCACTTTGATCAATATCTTTGAAACTGCCTACAATAGTAGGCTCATTTTTCATGAGTAAAATCTCACAACAAATTTTTCATTCCATGTAGATCCGGTGTTGCAATCTAAGTTTCCGCTAAGACCAGGGTAAGAAATGAACAATATTTGATTAATTAGCTTAATACCCCTTCACTGATAAAGCATTTTCCTTGGCTTAGCTTACCACCAAGTAATAGACATACAAGACTTGATCAGTATATAGACCGAATTTAGCCTGCAGTAGTTGGCAATTCATGTTTGCCAGGTTTGTTTCATTTTTTGTTATTTTTCAAAGGTCGGTTTTCCTTCCTGATCCTCATGACGGAAGTCTTTACGCTTTTGGTGCCATGCCTGAAGGACTGAAGGTAAACACTGTGGCTGGTTGTGTGTTGAAGGTGGCTTTAGTGAAGTATAAAAATTCAGTAACTACCAGTATCACAGCAATAGATTCTTATAATTATTTTTATTTAGAAATTACCTTTTACGATTCCTGAATTAGTTCAGGCATCACCATGCAGAAGTGGCGATGGAATGATGTATATAGGTATGTCACTGTTTTGAGAGAACCTTTAGCTGTAGGCACACCAAATATGCTAGAGTTTTTTAACTTACTTGTGTGATTTCAGGTCGTAAATCTGATGTCTGGTATGCCATTGACCCAGAAACAGGCCTTAAACTACAGACGTTATCCATAGATGACTCACAAACTGTTTGCCCCAGCATGACTAGTGGAAAGGCTCCTATATTCCTTGGTAGAACAGGTTGGTTAAACTTGTATACATTTACTGTTTATTTACTTATATCTGACTCTGTGATTGGGATTCATTTGATAAACTAGACTCAAAGAATTCATATGCAATCTTTGTGTTTTTTTAAGAATACATTGTAACAATGTATGATGGTAAAACAAGAGAGAAAAGGTATTGCAACATTGACCATATCCAACTGCATTTTAACCATTCGTACTACTGTGAGTTACCAACAGGACGGGGTGAAAAATTAGCTTGACGACAATGAGAAGTCAGAGTAGCACCATCACATAATTTTAGCCATTTACCTCCTTCTGACAATTATAACTATTTTTTCAGGTGGAACGCTACGTATTTAGAATATGCCTCAGTTAACAATAAGCAAATGGAGCATGGTATGTCATGTGTGTGTGTCTACATAGCTACTCTGTATGAAAACCTTACCATTTTTATTCAGCAAGGCATAACCGTTACAGCATTGAGGCTGATTTATTTTCAATCATTCAGATATGTTCCACTTTGCATCCAGTTCAGATGGTATGTTTGTTTCAATGGAAATGGATTCAGGTATGTGATAAATTCAAAGATATAAATTTTTCCTTTTGTATCCCTCCATCTCATTTCTTGTTCAATTTCCCTCTCTCACCCCCCCCCCCCCTCTTTTCACATCACCCTTTCTATTCCCCCTCTCATTCACCCCTTCTAATTCTCCCTCTAGTGCCTCTCTTTTCGCCCTCTAATCCCCCCTCTCATTTGTCACAATTTACATTCATGTCCAATTCCCCAGGCAAAATCCACTGGCAAAAGATATTTGATTCTCCGGTTGTTGGCATATACGAATGGGACGGCGACAGCTTGATCCAAGTTCCCATCACGCACATCGCTAAAGAAACGTTAAGAAAATTAACAGACAATATGACTGTTGCTGATAAAACTGGGACAAAGTTCGTGGATTCTGGCGAGTTATATTTTGAGTAAGTATCGAAATTTGTGGCAAACAAAATATCTCATTCAAAGAGTTAAGCTTTGTTTGTGTTGCAGAGGAAACTGTAGACTAAACAGACGATATTCCAATTGAAAATTCCAGTTGCATATCCCATGAAAGCCTTGGGAAAACAAAGACAATCATCAGTGCTTCAATCTAGTCAATTTCAGTAAAGAAATACATCGAATTTTTTTTCAGTGCTACCTTGTACATCGGTGAACACGAGGGAAGACTGTATGCCTTACCATCGGTGATAGAGGAAGGAACTCAACTTATTGAGGTAGTTTAATGGAATGCCAAAATGACTTGAATCTTGGCTTCGTTTGCTCTCAGCTTGTTGGCTTAAACCAACTATAGTTGCTTACAATGATTTTGTCGGATCACTGCAGTCGTTTGTTCAACCAAAAAGACATGGAAAATCTAGAATAGCCTGCCTGAATTGCAATGTTTCGTCTCATTACGATTGAGTATATTGTCGAATGAAATATCTCAATATCTGCTACAGTATCATCCCAAATTAAACATCTTTTTTTACTGGGCGCTGATTTTGGGATGGTGATTTTTGTTTGGGATTATGATTACAATCATCAAGTCTAAGTAGTCAAATACATTGGTAAATTAGCGAGTAACTGGCTGAATTTTTCCCTATGAATAACTTAATAGCCCAAGGTCCCTCTCATCGACGGGCCGCGCGAGACATCTGCCAAACCAGCGCAGTCAATCCAACCACATGATCACCTCATCAAGATGGTGATTGGTGGAGAGAGTTCCAAACTGAAAAACGAGAAACAGAACAAGACTCCAGGAAAGATTGAGGAGAAATCAGATACAAAGAGAGATAATAAGCCACGCACGAAGAAATCCAAGGAAGAGCAAAATACAATCGCTGTTGGGAATCATAAAATACCCCTGGATGCTTCGCCAAGGTTGGTGGTGGTAATGGTTGTAAAAAGGACCATAGGGCATAACCTATCCAGGGTCTGTAAAGTCTTCATCGATTTTCTACCTACCTTTCGACTTGATTCACAAACATTTGTGATGACAGATGCTTTAGTAAGAATCTCCTGTACGTAGTATCTCATTTGGTTCCAATCCCTTTTCCTGAAACGATAAAAACCAACGCTTCTCTCTGTTAAGATTCAGGATCACCCATCTGGCAGATCCGTTTATACCCAACCCAAAGTCGGCCGAATACGATGATGTTCGTTATTACGAAGACGAAGATGATGCTGGTGGTTTGAAGGAGAGTAATGAAAAAGATAATATGTCTCAAGAACAAGTCATGGAGATGTTGAAGATGCACGAACGCTTGTTGTACACAATTTTGGCAACCATTGGCATACCCCTTATTCTTATCGTGTTATTCTATATTGAGGTGGGTGGAGTTCATGTTTTGTTCTAGTCAGGGCGGGAGGGGGGTTGCCCTGAGATTCAGGCTTGTGGGGGTGCCGAAATAAAGAGGTACAACGGTAGCGCCATGGGGAAAGGCCTTCAAATCTCTCAGCTAGGTCGTGGCGTGTGTTTTATGATTGTGGATTTGTGGTTATGGTTGGTGGTGATGATGTTAATGATGATGTCTTGTGGTGGTGGCTTGGCCAGTCTTGGTGATGATTGTTGAAAGAGATATACCAGTTGTTTGGGGACAGGCTGAATACCAGTATTTACGACTTATCATAACGTTGTTTATCCGTTTACAGAAGCGTACCACCGCAAATGTCATACCACCAGTTGATGTACCTGGTGGTCTCACCGTGAACACACCAGAGCACGGTAACATCAGCGCAAGTGATGATGATGGTAAGATAGACGAATCTCACAAGAGGATCACTCTTCCATTTAAGCTTTTGGAGTCGAATTCAGCCAGAACTAACTCGAGATTCTTGTTTTTAGCTTCGTCAAGTTTGATCACGGTTGGAAAAATTTCCTACAACCCCAAAGATTTACTTGGTAGGGGTTGCGAGGGGACCGCTGTGTACAAGTAAGTGGTGAAGGCTAAAAGGTCTAGCTCCATCCTAGGGATCAATACGCTGTACAAAGATATGATGTATGTCTCCGTCTTTCTCAGGGGGAAATTTGAAAACAGAAGTGTCGCTGTTAAACGCATCATACCAGAGTGTTTCAGCTTCGCCAACAACGAGGTAATGATTGGTAATGATTATTTTCAATGGAGACAATGATTTCTATTTGAACTCGTGTAGAATCTAAGTTCAACTTTTTTCTTTAAGGTGGCTCTGCTACGAGAGTCAGATGAGCATCGAAATGTTATTCGCTATTTCTGCACAGTAAGTTTACTCGCGACTTTTTATTCAGGGGGAGGGTGGAGGAAGAAAGAGAAGGGGGGGGGGGTACCTGTGAAAAAACGAGTGATACGGTTTAAGTAGAGGCTGAGTTGCTTCGATGGGGAAAATTCTCTCTAAAGCCAATCCAAATCGACATGGCGTGTTTTGGAGTCGGTGATACTTAAAGTCTCCTATTTTTCATCTTTCAGGAGGAGACTCCGCAGTTTCGTTACATTGCGATCGAGCTGTGCGCAGCAACTGTTCAAGAGTATGTGGAAGATTCAACATTTGATCGTCACGGACTTGAACCAATTGAGTTATTGGAACAGACGATGATGGGTCTCAGTCATCTTCACTCCTTAAACATCGGTATGCGCTTTGATGCAGTGTTGTGTAGAGCATGTGTCTTTCATAACACTCGGGGGCAAGAGCTTCGTTTACCAAAAATACTTTACCAAGTTCTTCCACGAGTAAAACCATCACAAAGAGGGAAGTTTAGAACTGTGGGAGAGCAAGATTCTATAAGCTATTCGAGAGTCAAGCAAGCCTTCCTTTGGCTTTGTTCAATTTTCCTCCCGTAATTCATCCCTTCTCTTTCAGTTCATCGTGATATAAAGCCGCACAACATTCTCATCTCGAAACCGAATGCCAAAGGGGAAGTCAAGGCGATGTTGTCAGATTTTGGCCTTTGCAAGAGGCTAGCTCATGGTCGACACTCTATCACGTCGCAGTCTGGGGCTATCGGTACTGATGGATGGATTGCTCCCGAGATGTTCAGACCAGAGTGTAAAATGGTAAGTTGTCAGATTAACACCATAAAAACGTCCTGGATTATTCTCAATTAGTTACCACTCGCTTCTTTTCTAGACACGAGCTGTGGACATATTTTCCGCTGGATGTATTTTCTACTACATCTTGTCTGGTGGATTGCATCCATTTGGTGACAGGTTCAAACAACAAGCGAACATCATCAACGGTGATTTCAATATCGACATGATCAAGGATTGTAATGGTAAGCTGGGAATCATTTTTTATCGCCAAAATTCGATAGATTGACGTTTTGGATTACAACTTAGCATCAAATGTGGTATAACAACTGCCTAAAATAGATTACATATGCGTCTTTAAACATGTTTTTACAGCGGGTGAATATACTACAAAAGAACTTCTCAAACAAATGATTGAAGGAGATGCTACTAAAAGGTAAGCTGTGGTCACGACTCTGGTTTGTGAAACGACAGGTACGTTCTTATTTTGCATGCTAACACAGAGTCGCTTTCCTCTTTCAGGCCGACAGTTCACAATGTGTTGAAACATCCGTTTTTCTGGTCTCGAGCAAAACAACTGGCATTTTTACAGGTAATTGCAGATCTTAGTACTGTTTGTGTACCTATAGGTACACCCTCGTGTCACACCATTCATCCTCGTCTGACACCATATATCCCGTTCCCACACCATTCACCCTTGTCCCACCAATGTTCACAGTGTTCTTCCGATCTCTCAATCTAGGACGTGAGCGACCGAATAGAGAAGGAGGATCCTAACGAGTCATCGTTACTACAAGAGTTAGAGAAAGAATCTATCCGAGTGGTACGAGGCGATTGGAATGTACACTTAGGGATAGAGTTACGAGGAGGTGAGGATGATAAATAGGATCTTTGGTATATCGCTTCACCGCCGAAACCCACAAAATAATCTACATAGAATAATGATAGTTGTTTAGATCTTCGATTTTAGATTTTCATTTTAGATCTTTATTTTGTTTAGATCTTCGAAGATTTCGGAGCTATCGGGGGGAGTTGGTGCGAGATTTATTGCGAGCTATTCGTAATAAAGTATGTATTCATTGGACATTAAATTGTTTCCTCTTTGAATTGAGTTAAGAATTTGTTTATCATGACCAATCACTTCACAAAACGTGACAAACTAACTCGAACCTATCTTTCACAGAAACACCATTATCGTGAATTGCCCGAAGATGTTCGGCTCTCGCTCGGCAGTGTTCCGGACGGTTACGTGAAATATTTCACGTCTCGTTTTCCACGTTTAATCATGCACACGTACAACGTGGTAAAACCTTACAAACACGAACCTGTATTTGAATCGTATTACGATCTCAGACCTGACACGAACGATAATGTCAAAAAAGCCGCGGAGAAAGTTTCGTAATTTATGCCTTTCGGTGTATCCTTGGGAAACAGAAAAGCTAAGAAAATGTGCTCCTTGGTAAATTTGGAGTTTCAAAAAGGCATTCAAAACCCTTTTGATAGATACGAAGAACCACTGAACCAGAGATTCTGGTATATGCACAGAAGGTGAAAGCTGTAGAATTTGGAAAGCACTGCAGTCAAGTGACAGGATTTTGGATGTATTTGATGACAGGTCTTGAGAGATGTTTATTTAATGTGGAAACCTGGAAGCGACTATTTATCAAAGGATTAGAAGAGAACTGGAATTCCTGGCTGTTGGAGGAATGGTATTGCCTTCCAACGCTTGTGGCGGAACTAGCTGCGGGCTTGAAGCTACCCTGCAGGCTTGAAGCTACCCTGCGGGCATCCATGCGGGCTTGAAGCTACCCTGCAGGCTTGAAGCTATCCTGCAGGCTTGAAGCTACCCTGCAGGCTTGAAGATACCCTGCAGGCGTGAAGATACCCTGCAGGCTTGAAGCTAGCATCATCATGAATTTCATGAATGCTTATTACCAAAGCCAGAACAATGTAAAATATTTTTATGACAGAATATGCAATTTTCTCGAGGCATTCGAGGACTGCTTGCCATTTGATCGTCCCCAGGACGACCTGTGGCAGATGTGGAAGAAAATATTGTCATTATTTAAACTAGACTATTTCACATCTCCTATATGTCACTAGTAAATAGCGACTACTAGTAACGACTAACGACCAAATGGCAACCAGAATTTAGATCGTACGCACGTAGCTTTTAACACAATCACGCTCACAAAAAACAAGGTAGAAAATAAAATAAAATTCCTCGTACATAAAATTATTGAAGCCCTCGCGTGAACAACATGCAGACGGATTTTAAAAATTAACTCTATCATAACCATACTATAATTACTTCACCATTCACGTACACGGTATGATTTCTCTTACATGACGTTTCCCATTATGGTCGAAAAAATATTACAAAATGGATTCCTCTCCAAGTAATTCTGCTACCTCAGCAAGAATCGAAGAATTAGAGGTATGTTTTTCTATGATTTTGTTTTTAATTTTCTTCATTTAGTACATATTATTATCGTCTATCTTTTTGAGTCGATGTTTTAATAAGGGTCAATGAAATAAGTAATATAACAGAGTTATTACAAAATGATTTTTGAACACGTGTGCAATCATATTGCATGTATGATTTAGTTTTAAAGATCAGTTAAATTGAACGCTTTTCTATGTCAACAGACTCGTATGTTTCAATAGCTATTGAGGTATACAGCACCCTAAAATACTGCTTTTTACTTTCCCTAAATTTGTAATAATACTTTTATTGATAATTATGACTAATTTCCTTTATATTTCACACTTGGTAGTGGTGCAGAAAAATGTATTCATAAATTAATATCAAAGCTTTTAGTATTCTTAATTTGTCCAACAACTTTTCTTTCACACTCCGTATCGCAGAGCGATTTTTCTTGATAGTGCCAAAGTATTTTTGACCGTCAGCCAAAGAAAAAAGTTTCACATCATGTGCGGTGCCGTTTATATTCTAGTTACGCACTTTCCTAGTTCCCTGAAGGGGAGGGTTAAGATCTACTGCTAGAGAAGAGAGGTTAGTGGGTGGTATTTTGAATAGATTCTTAAGTTTTCTTTTTTTAACATCAACTTCCATAGAACCTCGATGATATTGAGGATGAAACTATTACAGAAAGGTTGATTGGTCTCACGGAAATGTTTCCAGAAAGTGTACGAAACTTTTTCAGCACAACAACAGATCTTGCCATCAAAGGAACAAAGAAATTATACAGTTTTGGTGGTAGTACATTGTGGATTGTTAGCACGTCGTTTATGGTATTGGCGCTGCCACTTATATTTGAGGTTGAAAGAGCACAAGCCGAGGAGGCTGAGAAACAACAACAGAGACAGGTATGCAGATGTTCAATGATTCCATCTGTCTTATTCCTAATTCTTGGGTTTAATGTGAGATGATAGATTTCCAATGGGGATCAACTTGAAATTGGAACTTGGTGATTGGATTTAGTTCAATCTTTAGTGTATGCATTGGATTGGCTGGTTGCAAATATGAGCAATTTCATATGAATGACGCACTTTTGCACTGCACATTGGTGTCCAAACATTTCGGGTTGAAACATACAAACAGGTTGGAAAACGTACAAACTACAAAACAACTATAGTACTGCTCATTGAAGTGGCAACACACAATAAATCTTTCAAAGTTTCATTCTTGCAACATCATGTATGCAGGCTATCCACATTTGATGTCGTTTTGAGAAAGGTCTTTTGCAAATAATTTAATCTCAATATCATCAATATCTTGCCTGAATATCATTCAAACTTTGCTAGATTCTTCTTGGTCCAGGAGCAGCCACAAACCCAGGACTCGGAGGTCCAGGTATGGCACTGAGGTAACAAGAGCCAGAGAGGACATTGACATGGTAAAATCTATGGATTTTTTGTTTATATCTATGACTCAACACTTGGCAAGTATGCACATTTTATACTTGCCCATCATTATCAAGTAATAAGTATATCCTATGGTGCAGTAAACCAACTCAATTTAAACAAGATAACTATGAAAAACTTTTAATTTCAACCACATATTTACAAATATATTTACAAGTTTTACTTTACTGCTGAAAACGTCACTATCTTTCGATCAATATTTTATAAATAAAATTTGAATGTAGTTCATAATGTATGCCCTAACCTTGCGCTAACCTAAAGCAGTAGGAAGCTTGTGACAAAAATTTTTAGGTACATATTTTAGTTTGTACATTCTTGGATGTATTGCTCAAAAACTGGCTGTTGTCAAATTATCTCTTGAGTGTAAATCTCTCATAGCTCTTAGGGTATCTTTTTTAGCATTCCTGGCACAAACTTCTTGTGTCAAGAATTTTTCATTGGACTCTTGTGCTTTTTTGCTTTGTTAGAACTTCAACTTCCTCCTCAAGTACCATTAGGTCTGCTTTGTTTGCTGCAAGCTGAAAGTAAAAATTAGTTGAACTTGAATCAGATGAATAAAATTTTATATTAGGCACACATTGATAAGCCATTGGCCAAGCTTGTTAATCAATTACAATAGGTTAAAATGATTCCCATTTCTCTTTCTAATTATAAGAGATTTAATGTCTAACCATCCACAAGTAATACTAATAAGACTAACCATATCTAAAAGTATTTCAATCTTATATTGTAGTAGATTGTTTTCCTCTTTCAGCTGTAGATTTTGTTCTTTTAATTTACGTACTTCGGCACCACTACTGCGACCTCCACCAACACCTGTACTTTCTGCAAAGCAAAACAGATTGGTGATATTCAATGTGCTGTTCATGAAACTGTAGTGGCTTGTGCATGTTACTTTATTATCATCAAACTGCTTCAATTTTGGCAAAAAGGTTGTTTCTAGTTTTTGTTGACTAGACTTTTGTATCTATTGCATGGCGGATAAAGGGTATACCCTTAAGGTGATAACATTGGATCTTTTAGAATATCCTTTACTGGACCTAAATCAACACAAAACTTTACCGCGTTATATACCTGATGTCCATACTCCATCTTCAAAAACCAACTTATTGTCCCCTAGGTTTAGTTTAATTATTCCACTTTCTCTGTCCGTATCATCTAGATCTTTTGTCTTTATTGTCGAGGCTCCGGCCTCTATATTCCGTGGAGGAACCTTCCCTTTTCTTTTAAACAAAGGCATTTATTTCAAGTTGTAAACTTTCAAATTTTGCTCGAAAAATTTTGAACAAAAACACTAGTGCCCAAGCTCTTGCACGATAATCATGCGCGCTGTGTTCTGGAACAACCACTGATCCAAATAAATAAACTGGGGTTCGACTATGAGTTCTAAACTGCCGGCATCTTATTGATCCAGTGTTACTAATTGACCCAAACTAGTATTTGTACTGTTAAGTGAAACAAGAGCCAGGTGATACGTAAAATCGTAATACCCATTTATATTTTATTTACAAACATTCACAATTCTGCATCATTCACTATTACCTTAGTTCTAAATTTTATACAATATGAAGTCAGGCAGTTTACGACAAAATAACGTCATTTCGTTGTCGCTGAGGATAATTTAAATCAACACGCAAGAAACAGTGGCGAACTTTCAGTTTACCGGATGAGAAAAAAATGGCGATTCAACGCGTACAGCAGACGGTAGACCTCCGACTCTAGGCTCTGGGCAAACCCTCCGGTTTGCTGGTCTGAATGCTTCTCAAAGTTCCCCACCATTTGCGTCAATTATTTCGCGGTTCTTTGCATTTGTCGCGTCGAGGTCCTTGGTACGAAGTCGTCGTTCGCGAGCCCTTTGTCGCGCGAGCCGCCCATCCGACGCACGCCCGATGCGTTTCCGGTTGCAAGCGAGCCGCGCGTGTGCACGCCCGACATGCGGGACGGTTCTCCGCGCGCGTGTTCGCCAGCGTTCGTTTCGCCCATGCGATGAAGTCGCATGCTGACTCGGCGATCACGTTCGCCTCTTGACACTGGCCTTGAACCTCCTGGATGAACGAAAAAAAAGTGTGTTTGATTGGTGTGATTGATCAACACCTTGGGTCAGCTGAACTGATAATACACTGGATTGACCAACCACGCCTTTCAAGCCAGAGGCAATGTGAAATCCTGCAGACCCAGAACAGCGGGTAATACTGCATTACGGTCGTCCTTTCAACTCAAGACTTTGAAATTGCATTCAAAAATGATGCAAACTGAAGGCAATGGAGTCAGAAAAATTGAGAAAAACTCTTCCTGGCCTCGCGTGATATCTTCAACTCTTTTATTTAATTCTTAAATATGGGCTCCGGATGTTCACTACTTTTGGCTTAGGTAAAGTTGCTTATGTCAAGTGTATAATCAGATTACTGGGTAATACCGGCGGTCAAAGCTGTTTAATCTATTTTAAAGCTTTATCAGTTCCTTCCTAGGTTGTCCCATTGCGATCAAGCTGGACTAAGGCAGTTATGGTTTAGAAAAGGGGTTGTGTTTGCTGGATGAAATTGTGTCCAACTTACCAGCTGGTGAAGCCGCAATACCACTGGTGAGTCGTGCAGCGGTTGTTCCCATTGTAGCTCTGTTTGCAGAACTCCTACCATGGTGGTGTCTGTCTGCTGGCATTTCCCTGTCACGATCACGAGATCGCTCTGCAGATGGGTCGTCTCGACCATTCTAAAGAGATGAAACATTTGACCAGATGTACTTTGCTGAAAGGGTGTGTCTCACCCATGACTCTAGAGGTACCGGTATCCTTCTCAAAGTATATCTGCAAAAACTTACAATCTTTAGAAGGTTCCAATCGAAAATATAATCATAGGCGTATCCATGTCGGTGAAATAAATTACGGAATAACTGTCTAAGGTAGGCATAGTCTGGTTTATCATCGAATCTCAGAGAACGACAATAGTTCACATAGGTTGCAAACTCCGCTAGAAAAACAGATAAAAACATTTATTATAAAGGATAATCTTGGAATGACATAGTAGTCATGAGTATCTATCTTATCTTTGCAGTGAGGTAAACTGTTTTCTGGTCAACCTTTTTCACCAAATCAACTTGGAATAACCATTGTTAAAGCGATGACCAAATATTCTAGCATGTATAATAAAAGCCCTGTATTTGTTAATGATTTATATTACATTGTATTTGAACAGAAATGCTCGTACTTGGAAATCCTTTACATAGAACTTCAATAGGCGTGGACATTTTCTTTTCACTGATTCGCTCATATTTTTGTTTCTTAGTCGCTGCCTTCAAGCCTTGCCAAGGTAAGCTACCCAGGTTGAAATACATGAGAACATATCCTAGAGATTCTAGATCATCTCTACGACTTTGCTCTGCGAGAAAAATGAAGAGGTTTTAATTGCAAATTCCTGAATTTATGATGCTGAATAATACAGAGACTGTGACATGTTGTGCCACATATTGGTCAATGAGAATTTTATTCAGTGATTTCAGTTGTGGTCAACTAGAAATACTTCAAACAGCACAGACTCCTGTGCAAGCGAACTTATTCTGAATACAAGTTTAGATTTCAAGTTAACCACTACAGGAATCAAGGACAACTCATGAGACCCTTGGAAGGAAAGCATCAATACCTATTCCTAAATGTGTATTTATGCTGGCATATCTTGCTGTTCCTGTGAGGTTCTTGTTCTCCCGGTATGGTATGTGCTGATGTGTTCGGGCGTCCCGATATTTCTTCGCCAAACCGAAGTCAATTATATACACAAGGTTCCCCTTTTTGCTCAACCCCATTAGGAAGTTGTCTGGCTTGACGTCCCGATGGATGAAATTCTTACTGTGGACGTATTCTATTCGGCTAATCTGCAAGCAAAATTTCATGATAATTCTTTAGTGGTAAAGGGGGAAAAGGCAAAATTGTAATGGAAAATCGAATTGAGAAATTGCGTATGTAGAAGAAACTGCTTTGAAGCCATCTGGCTTTGCACCATAGTGGAGCTTTGCATATGAACTTAGAGGATAACTTTAGTAGTATCACTAACCAATTGATCAGCAAGTAGTAGTACAGTTTTCAGACTAAACTTCCTCTCACAAAAGTTAAAGAGATCTTCAAGACTTGGACCAAGTAATTCCATCACAAGGACATTGTAGTCGCCTTCCGTACCACACCATTTTATTGTTGGGATACCCACTACATGAAATGAAATGAGAGGTATGTGTTATGCAATATCTCAGGGTTCATTTTTTTTCAAGAACCTCATCTAAAGACTCCTTTCATGGAGATTTTAGGGAAATTTTCAACATCTTAAAAACCCAGACGGATCAAATGCGATTTTTTTCAGTTTATACACAAATCTTCCTCTTGTTATTTGCGTGATGTTTCCCTTTGTGTTCTTACGAATGATCAAGCACATCTAAAAGCCACCTAAGCTATTTACGAATTTACGAAAAAATGAGATTACTATCTAATTCTTTGCAATAAAACCTCTCAGTTATAAAAATAATTGTGCAATATTGGAAATCTCAACTGGCTTGTCACTGTCGGCACGATGTTTACATATTTGCAAAATATAAAAGCAAGCTATTGTGATTTTAAAATAACCTATCTGTCACAAGCTGTGTGTTTTAAATGCTCAACGGGAATTTCACGCTTATTGAACATGAAAATCAGATTTATTTTTAAGAACTACTCGGGGAAGATAATACCCTTAAATAAATAGACATTTGCCACGAAATAAGACAAGCGTGGCTTTGAAAATCGCGAAATGTAAACATAATTTTGGTTTTGTATTTTCAGTGCTCTGCACGAAAAAGAAATTAAATCCATGAACAAATGTTATTTAAAACAATTTAAAACGATGTCATGGGTTGGGAATTCAAACTGAGAAACGATTAAGTACGTTTACGACTTGAATAAGCGTGGAAGTCGGTTCAAGTCGAGCACAACAAGTTGTTTCTGACCATTATTCAATACAATATTTATATTTGGCAAAGTTGTCCTCAAATAATAAGATGTGAAAAGGCACGGTTGCAAATAAACGAAAGGACACTATTTAGGTGTATTTTAAAGGATTATCGTCTAACCTCCTCCTTGCATCATTTTGTAAAACTTCGCTTCGATGTGAAGCTGCGGATGTTTCGTTTTGACGCATTCAAGTTTGATGGCGACCTCTTCGGCTGTAGCGATGCTTGTCCCTGTCGAGAATCAAAAATATCCGGTTTCAAACTGTTCTAATACGCGTTTATCCTTTTTTCCCACTTGCTATACTTATATTCGATTTCTACTTTCGGTTGCAGATACTTTTGGAGCCGCGAAAACGGTATTTTTCAAACGATTCATATTGTTTATACCAGAAGAAGTTACTTGACAACGCTATGTTGCAAATGCTATAGAAAACATTGTTGAATACCACAGTTTCTTACCAAGATAAATGTCGCCGAATGAACCACTGCCGATCTTCCTTCCAAGCCGGTATTTATTGCCAACTCGTAGCTCCATCGCCGAAAAAGGAACACCAAAAATGACAACAACAAAAAAGACTTCAGTCTCAGTCGCGTATTTTAATGGCCGCTACTCGCCATGATTCGAGGCTATTTTCGGTTGAATATACCGCGACTTGGTAACTTTGCACGTGAAATACTGTATTAATTGCAGCCTTAGACAAAAGGATTTTCACATCAGACTAGAAACATTCCTTCGTCTGAGCAAAATCTGTCCCGATGGACATGGATTTTTTTATTCCCAACGAAAACTTTAGAAATTCATTTGTTTTGCTATTTACCGGATAACACTAAAATTGACACTTGCCGACGTTGTCCTTATTTGGAAATTTCCGGAAAGTCGACCCATCACGAGATTGCCATAGCCAATAGCCTGAGGAAATGAGTAGGCAAAAAGACGTTTATCGCTTTTATTGTGCTTAAGGAAGCTAAGATTTGCTTTGAAAAATGAACCTGAAAAGTGAAAAGCATTTCATTGTTTCTTTTATATGACGCGACAAAGTGGGAAAAACAGTGCACCTGTAATTAGAATTTTAACAATGTAAGATTGCACAGAGCTCGCAGTCTCGCACAGTGTTATAGGAAGCAATTTGACATAATCGCATGACAGAAAAAGATTCATAAAAAGATGTGTGTTTCTAGATTAGACCTGGGTCACTCTTGAAATTTCGCATAGTAAATTTTCAACCATAATAATTCAACCATACCAGATACTTTTTTCGCAGTTCACTGGTTGGATAATATATATAGCTCAGTGGTCTGTTCGATGAAATCCAATATGGCCGCTGAAGCGAAAAACGAAATCCAGGATTTAGTTTCAATTTAAGACAATATCTCAGGGGCGATTTAAAAGCTGGAAGATTTCTCTGTATATTAAATTGTTGCTACAAAATGGGAGGTTTGTTTAGTAAGAAAAAACCGGAGAAGGAGTCAAGAATTACCGAACAAGACAAGGCTATCTTGGTACAAAGCAAAAATTCTTTTATAAAATAAAGGATAGCCCCTTCCGCCCCTCTCTCTTCTTGTGAAATTATTGATTGTATGTTTCGTGGTTATTTAGGCTTTAAAGCAGCAAAGAGACAAGCTGAAACAGTACCAAAAAAAGGTATGTGATCAGTATGATGGTGTCTCTCTGAGTGATTAATTACTAATTAGCTTGACCAAGGGTGGAGTTGAACCGTTCACCTCTGGTCTACTAGTGGTCAAACTGATTATGTTTGGTTGGTAGCTCAGAGAAGCAGTCCACTCCATGTTGATTCCCTAAGATACACCTATTCTTCCCAGTCAGTGTGGAAAGTATGTATCACGCAACCAAAATACCGGGCACTCAATTTTGATGTCTTCTATAGATTTACTAGTATTTTTTGAAATCTCGGTCACGCAGTTTGCATACTTTCCAGTCTGCATCATAGGCTACACGAAATGCACATTCTGCGTCATGTTATATCATCTCTATCTTAGATACAGTTGAATCTTGAGAAAGAGCGACAAGTGGCTAAAGACCTGCTTAAGAATGGCAAAAAGGAGTTAGTTACAAAGGCAATTTTCATAGTATATGTTATAAAAAATGCACCTGTGGCAATGTCAATACAAGCACTAATTGTGGGTTGCTTTTTTTAATTAAGCAAAGCAATGTCGTTGTTGAAGAAAAAGCGTGTGCAAGAGCGACTACTGAGCGAAACAGATGGCCAACTTGATAACTTGGAACAAATGGTATTTTTGTGTGGATATGAAGAAGGGTGTTAGCACCCTTTCAGTGTTTATGATGTAAGATATTTATTTCACTCTTTCTCCCTCTTGTGTTAGGTTCAAGACATTGAATTTGCTCAGATTCAGTCCCAAGTAGTTGAAGGACTAAAAGTTGGTAATGAATGTCTGGACAAAATGCACAAGGTAATAGAAATAGAAAAATTCTTCAAATTTAATCACTTTAGTTCCCAAGAGCTCAGCCATGTGCAAGGCTTCTTCACTCTGACATATTGTTTGCTTAAAACATTGGGATTTGCATTTTAGCTCTTGTCCATTGAAGATGTTGAGAAGATAATGGAAGATACACAAGAAGGGATTGAGTATCAAAGGGTAGGAAAATATCAAAGAGTGGAGGGAATGATTTTCCTGCTGTATGAATTAACCGAGATTAAACTGCCCCATGTTTTTTCCTGTCATTGAGTAGCTTGAACGTTTTTTGTTTAAAAGGAAATCGATGAATTATTGGCAACAAATCTTAGTGAAGAGGACGAGGATGCTGTGTTGAGTGAGCTAGAGGAGATTACCAAGGTGAGGTTGCAGCTCATGTTCTAAGACATGTAAAATTTCCAGGAAACTAGCAGTAGCTTTGCGGTCCTGGTATGCAAATATTTAGCATCCTTTAACTGTAAAAACAATCAATAAAAAAATAAATTTTGCAACTCAATGTTAGTGCCGTAATAGCAGGACTAAGTGTTCAGACTGGCTACTCATAGGATAGGTGTCAAGCACAGGGTATAGATCTAAAAGTTTATGTATGTTATTTAGACGATGGAAATGCCTTCTGTACCAACACAAGAGCCAGTTGAAGGCATCACCTTACCAGATGTACCAACAGCTGAACCAGGTATATATTCATGACTTTCTAATCTATTATGTTCTACTAAAAAGTGCTAGTGTTTGACTTTGTGCTAATTTCCAGCAGAGAAAGTCAAGACCAAGGAGAAAGAACGAGAGATGGTTCCAGCCTGATGCAAGATATAAAATTTTAGGACATACAGTACAGCAATTGTAGGTAAATTGAATTTAGTGTATATGTATATAGTAAATTAGAATGATTAGAATTTGATCTTTCAGATCAAATTGAGCAAGGTGTTCATCTTTCAACATATGTTGGTAATTGAACATCCAGTATGGAATAAAATGAGACATCTCGGCCATCAATAACAGCATATTTTAGAGGAACTGGATGTGCTTGAGATGCCATAAAGTTCATTTCCCCTATCGTCGGAGGAGGTTCAGAAAACCTAGGTAAATGTAAGCAAATATACCTTAGACTTTGTCTCCTGGTTTGTTCAATAACACTGAGGCCAAAAAAAGACCATTGCTCAGAAGTAAACATCTGGAAAGAGTTTCTTAGAGGTAATTAATGTATGTATACCTACTTGCAAACACAAATACAATAATTTGGTAATCCAGGATTAGTTTTCCTGAAGTTTTTTTGTGGCTGGAATACATCATAGGTTATCTGAAATTTACATTCGGTCGTGTGTTGCGATGCTTCTTGCCTTGTCTGCCCCTGGATAACTTGAAGTTTGTTCAAGATATTTTCTAAATGGAAAATGATTTTATTTATACAAATTAGACTTCATTGATTAAACTTCTTTGGTGAAGACTACATAATTATTCACCTAATGATGTAGCATCACTAGGATGAACCAAAGGTCGGGATTCTTTATCCTCCCAGTAATGTGAAACAGGAGTATTCTTCTTTTCTACAATCTCATGTTCACTTTCAACCTCTTTTTCTTCCACTTTTTTTTCTAAATCTCCCAGTTCAAAATCTGGTTGAGCTTTCTTATCTTCCACAATTTTTTCATCTATTATCCTCCCAACACGTTCCTTTTTAACATCTTCAAATTCCTCCTTGGGATCTTCCCTTTTGTATATTACTTTTTCCTGTGATGTATTTTTAACATCCACATCTATCTCCATTGATTTATCCAACAACGTATCAGTCATTTTCCCCATCTCTTTATCCACTTTGTTTTCTGTGTGTTCCATGAGATTTCCTCTTTGTCAAAAACATGAATGGTACATTAGTCAAATGCATTGTGTTTTGGAAGTGATGATTCTCAGAATATATAATTGCTTCATTCGATGCCCAAGCAAATTACCTTTTATATCTGAGGACAATGTAACCGAGATTTCTAAGATAACTATAGACCTGTGATTTGCAAAGAAATGTTTGGTCATCAGAGAAGAATAAAGAAAAAGAAAGAGATTTGGTGAAACAGTCGAGGACTTACAACATATTCATGGAGTGGAAACTCATCAGATAACAGCAGATCATAAGCCTGGAAAAAGTAAGTTCATGTCTTAATTGATGTAGACCTTAAAGCTTAGTTGAAGCCATGTAGGTAGCAGCAATTAGCTGCCATTTTGATGTATCATTTTATGTAGCACTATGTATGTCAAGTTATTTATTTTTTACAAGTTATTTATTTTTTACCTGCTGAAGAGAAACTGGTAAATCATTATGAAACAACTCCAACATACCCTATACAATTAATCAAATAGAATGCTATTGTTTCACCTATTCATTGAAAACACGAATTTCACTCCATCTTATACCAACTGATTATTTTTCATTATTCCTGGAGTACTGGCTAAGATAATGGTTTGAACAAAGAGTGTTAAGTAAACACGATATTCAATGCATCATGCTTGAAATATTTTTACTCTTGTAGGACATACATGGTCAAGCATATACAATGCTTCATCAGGCTCCAAGACTAGGTGACCGTTGATGGACTTTCCAAAGACATTCCAGTGAACACCCTGTAAATAGAGAGTGTTTACCATGAAGAGTGGCTGCTTCTTAGTGGAAGCTTTGGTAAGTTTATTATCAATGGTAATTGGTGAAAATTAACCTTCGCTATTAAAACCTCCACAAGTCTTCTTTCACCATTCCATTTTCCAACGGATATATTTCCTCTATTAAATGAGAAATTCCGTTATGAAAAATCATTCATCTTTCGTTCTAGCCTGGCCCTATCCACGATATATTCTAGTAATTTCTCATCTCACTTTCTTAGAATCCTTTCCTCAGACAAAACATCCTCCATTTCGTGAAGTTGTTCCTCCAATCTCTCAGCCTGGCCGTCACTTCCGTCTACCACAGAGTCCTTGGGACCACTTCGACATGGCATTTGAGCTTCTGTTAGCTTTTTTCGTAACGTTTGCAGTTCCTCAGCACTTTGAGAAAAAGAAACGGCATTCAATATATTGATATAGTATAAAATACAATTTGTACTGCAAAAGATTTACTGAAAAAAGAAACAGGATATTCAATGCATAGGCTCAAAAAATACCGGCAAACCTTTTGTGAAAATCCATAAGGGTACTGTCGTAATATAAGAGCTATTTAGCAACGAATTCGTAGAGGAAAATTGATAAGAATTTGAAAATGGCGGTCTTTGAGAAATTTAAAGTCCAACCTGAGGGTACTTCATTTTAAGAAAATGAAATGTGTACTTGTTGAGGCGGGTGGCTGAGTTCGGGTTGGTTTGCATCGCACCAATTATCTTGAAACTTATTGATATAGAAATATCTAAACCTTTTGCAAGGAATGAAATCCCATACGATCAAATTTGTGCTTTCAAATTCTCTGAAAATAATTCAGGAAGTCTGAAGAAAATGGACAGCTTTATTTAAAAAATGTACCAGCATACCAGCACCCTTAATTTCGCGGGCTGGAATTGTTATTCTTGGAATTTCGACAACAGACAAAGAGTCACAAAATGGCCTTATTACTAAAATACAAGTATGAAGGCCCATATCATGCTTCTGATCTGGCTAAATGGTTTCATTCCTCACCGCATAAGGATCTGCAGTTAGACGATACCACCACGATATTTACTCCATCAGATCAAAACTATCTCCAGGTGCAGTACATTTAAATCAGATCACATAACTTTTTTAATACACACAAGAACCCGGTACTTGTACATGTGAGTCTTTCATAGCTTTGTCTGGCTTTCATAACTCAAAATATATCGCGTTGTTTTCAATTTTCAAGCGACATTTTGCAGAACTAATTTGCATAAATCAAGGGCTTTCATTAAAGTTGGATTGCATTTTGTTAAATATCTTATTAAACTGAAATTACATTGTATTAAACAGATGCTTGTTTTATAAGTCTTACAGTCTTGTTCTGTTGTTCTCATGTTTTGATATTTGTTAAATGTCCTGGCAATCTTTCGTGCGCACTTATCCAATTTTGAAAGCTTTAAAACACGTTATATAACATTTACTTTTGTAGTAAGACTATAAAAGTAATAAACTAATAAAATAAACGAAGCGCATGCTGTTAATACAAATAAATTCACACCCAGCTATAGTACTAAAAACCCATAGAGGCATAGATCTATAGTCCTGTCTATACAGTAAAGCACATTTAACAGATCAGCTTGGAAATTGTTTATCTTATTTTAGGCTCTGTATGTCTTGGCAATATTCATATCATCATTTGGGGTCCTCATCTTCCTTCTTATCTTAATGTACTACACCTGTTGTTTCTGTATTTGCCGTAAACGAAAGAGAACAAGTGACAAACAGTCTTCATGCTGTTCTAAAGGCTGTTTGCAACTGCTAGTCTTCATTTTGGCATTAATTTGTTGGTACATAATATGTTTATACATACATTGACTCTTAGTCTCCTTAGATATCAGTCTACTAATCATTCTGTATTGATTGTCACTGTACACTTTTATTTCTTTAGCGGTGCTCTTGTGGTTGGATTTTTTTTCAATGAGAATATCAGTGATGGTGTTGATCAGTTTCGAAACTCTTGTAGCAACATTCAGGATGATATAAATGCTGCCTTTAATAGTGTAAGAACCACAAAAAATGGCTTTCTTCATTCTATACTTGAGTGAATATTATAGGATGGAACAAAGGTAATAATGATGTTGAAACCTCCAACTTTGTTTCAGGGTCAAAACATTGAAAAACATTTATCCTCAGCCAATAGCACCATCCAGCACTATTTTCCAGAGCCACAGCATTATGAAGCCATTGAGTTTATTAATCAGTTAAAGAATGATCTCAGTCTTGTAAAGAGTGTTCTGCCTCAGAATGTTGTGAACAAGAGTTGCAATGCTGCAGATAAAGTCCATCATTATGATAACTACAGGTAAATTACCTTGACGATTGGATGATAATCTTCATACCACTGGGGAAAAATTACTATCTGGTGAATAGCACTATGCAGCCTTTCAAAAATAGCCCCCTGATGTTCAACTTGTATGAGAAACTAAAGTTATGAATTTCTAGATGGCTTGGTACAGTCATTTTATTGTCCTGGTGTATCCTGTTTTGCATATTCCTATTCTGGATTGCCTGTGAAGCTAATCGTTGCATTTTAGTTGTGTAAGCTAAGTAATGCAATTTATATAATTACAAATAATTAGTTATCTATATATCAGTTCTAGACTGTTCTTTCTAGAGATCCAGTAAGGATCATCTCTTATTGATTCAGTATTACCACAGGAGGAAACCTAAACTAAACTAACTTTATTTATACTGGATAGCTCCATCAGTTTTGAACTGCATGTTCTTCATAGAGGTCCAGTAAGGATCATCTCTTATTGATCCAGTGTTACTACAGGAGGAAACCTAAACTAAACTAACTTTATTTATACTGGATAGCTCCATCAGTTTTGAACTGTTCTTCATAGAGCTCCTTCCAGGTGTTATCTCTTGTTTATTATTCTTCTGTTGACATTCTTTAGGGTAGCTATTTCTTGCCTTCTCACAGTTTTATGTGCAATGGCAGTTGTTGGGGTAGACTTTGGTATAGCAACTGTAAGTTTGTTAATATCTAAACAAGTCATGTGCATTAATTTAAATGGGAATTTTTGCAATAACAATATTCCTAATCCTCCCATGCAATTTAAATAGAAATTTTTGTACATTATAGGGTATGGGGGACTTCTGTGTCCATCCAAACAAAGCTATACAAAAAGTTGATTCAGGAAAATCAAGTAAGAAGTTATTATATTCTCTCCTGGTATAGTGTTGACAATTTGTTTATTTATATATATTTACAATTTACATACATTCAGTACTTCCAGTATCATCCTTTTGATATTTCAACTTTTTCATAGTAAATAAAATTTTCATTAAGTTTTATTATTTTCTTGTTTTAAAACACTTTAGAATATGTAATTTCATACTACTTAAAATGTGATGAAAAATCAACGTATGGTCCCTTTGATCAAGTAAGATATTTGTATTGCCTTTACTATTGCCTTTATATATTCACACAGTCTAATCCCAAACAGATTTACTATATTTAAACAATTTAAATTATACCAACGCGGCGCGCCTGTATAATTATGATTATATGAGCACTCGAAGGGAGAAATGTATGGAATACAATTGGTATGACGGAGTCATTCCGTGTCGGAGCCATACCAATTGTATTCCATACATTTCGACCGGAGAGTGTGAAGTATAATTAACTTGCAAATTTTGCAAACAGATGTACCCTTCTTTAGTATTTTACTTTGTCTCACATCAGATGATAATGCATTCGGGCCTGCAGATTTAGCACAAGCTAGTTACACAAATTGAAAAGTTTATTTCATTTTCTTAATCCAGCTTTGTAATATCAAATGTGTTTTACCCTGCTATTTTTACTTCAGTACTTTGAAGACCTGAATGGTACATTGGAGCGACTAATTATCCTTATTGGGAAAACGCCTGTCGAAGAGGTAATTTCTACTTTTTGCAAACTTTTTGTCATTCTTACAAACTTTTTGTCAAAATATCCAGATTTAGAAATTTTTGTTCTTTTTTAGGAAATAAAAGATTTGATTCTTAATAATTTAAATAATACAAAGAATGACCTCCCCTTCTTTGAAGCTAAATTCGCCTGCAGGGGTATCCACAAGGTATGTTTTGTTTTGTTTGGCTGATCTGTTTCTTCTGAACTTTATCTTCTGCAATAGCAGCTAGCGTTTCCTTCAGTTGCTTCACAAAACATGATAATATCCACCAGCAAAGTATTAGGAACATCCAAATATGAGCCTTATAAAAGTTCTTGGCATGTGAGACCTCTTTTGAGTCGTTCCTATCATTGTAATTCAATTGTTGTTTTTTTGCACTGTTTCAGGAATATATGAAAGCAATGGATGGGTTGTGTGGCACTGCTCTGTAAGTACAGAACCATTATTTTGCGAGTAAATCCGAAGTGTTTTGAGTTTAAAAGCAAAGTTATTGAACTTTGGAGTTGGGATTCAAACAGTAGTACTGTACCGTACAGTAAGTCAGTATTTTCTTCTAAAAACTAAGCCTTAATGTTTTCACCAAAATGCTCAACGCGAGGTATAACATTAATACTTCTTTCTCATCCAAAAACGTCTGCAGACTCATCGTAAAAACTACTTGTTTAATCTTTTCCACAGCAACAGTCTTGGTGTTGTAATTCTGTCAGTTTTCATCATCGCAATTTTCTCCGGCCTTCTCTCTTGCTTCGTCTGTCCCTTGTGGAAACAGAGTCGACCAAGTCCAACAATGTACAAGTGAGTGCAGCAAAGTACTTCCTTGTGGATTCTGATGTGTTTTTTCTAATCTTTATTTTACCGTATTCTGAGAGCTTTCTCAAAGGCACAGTTTAGCTTTTTAAACGGATAGATTGAAACGAATTTTAAATGCAGTTTTTCACTGGAGACTATACTACTATGGTTCATCTTGCCTTCTTCTAGCGACATAAGAGGCTCGCAAGATGATGTTGGGAACGCTGTGTTGTGGTGGCCCCACGATGTCGATGCTGAGTGAGTATAAGAACGGAGGGGGGAAACAGGAGGAGAAAGGGGGGAAACAAGGGGAAGGTAGGGGGAAACAGGTGGAGGTAGGGGGAAACAGGGGGAGGGGGGCAGGAGGTGATCCCATTCATACGAGCGAAAGGGGGAAACAGGGGGGGAGACAGGAGGTTATCCCATTCATACGAGCGGAGGTGGGAAACAGGGGGGGGCGAAGACAGGAGGTGATCCCATTCATACGAGCGGAGGGGGATACAGGGGGAGGGGGAGACAGGAGGTGATTGGTTCACGGCCATGTGTTCATCATTGGATGTTTAAGATTAGTATCGATAATCTGAACGAGTCAAGATACAAGTAGAAATTACTTTCGGTTTCCTTCTGCATGAACGCCGTCGGCTGATTTATCCTAATTTAAATTTTTTTAAGGCATGACTTTGGTCATTCTTTTCGTGATAATTTTAGATCTGAGCAGTCATTTTATCAACGTCATGGTGAACGAACTCCATTGCTTGTTGAACGTCCACACACAAACGTAAGTAAGGCTCTGTTCACATGATCCCGCCCGCTTAGCCGAGATTCAACGAAGCGTGATGTCAGTTTGAGGCATTGAAATTAGTATATAACATGGTCTAGGCAGTGACGTAGTCATTCCAACAATAGCAAGTGCTTGTTTCGTTTATAAAGACTTATTTCAATGCCTCAAAGTCATCCCACGCTTTGGTGAATATAAACTGCAACTCATCATTCGCCAAATTTTCGGAAGATTGTCGGAAATTTTTTTCTATAAAATGCACGGATTTCTTCCTTCGTTGATGCCGCGGTTTCTATCATGTTGTGAGAAACCAATTCTCAATCAAATCGTTTCCAAAGTCTATTCATTCCTCTTCAGGCTTTGAATTATTTTATTTTCTGTAGTATGAATCTCGAGATCATCCGAACGAAAACATTGTTCAAGTTGATTACTATGGCGGTGAGACCAGGGTCGATGAATATGAACGGCAGTCCAACATAAACAATCGACACAGTTTTTAAATTGTGTTCAATTCTAATGTCTTGTGCAGGACGTAAAACCTTTTGATGAGCCTGAAACTCGAAAAAGAATGAAACTTGTATTTTGTACGTATATGTATAGCTATTTGGTGTTCCTGTGAGGTTCCTGTGAGGTTCCTGTGCAGTCCCTGAAGAGAGTGAGTTCTAAGGGAGGTTTAGAAGAACTGTCTAGGGTTCTCAGAACTATAATGATATCTGCATTGAAATGTAAAAGTAAAGCTCTTTTCTGCTGAAATATGTAAGCATTGTGATACAAACCTTGAAAGTTTTGGTTAAAACATGCAGAACAAAATGAGTCTGTGAAATTTCCACCTTATCGCGAAATTATCATCTGAAGCTGCAGTTAATCTGGTAATGATTTTGCAACAGAATCAAAATATCACGAACTTTTGTTTCAGTCTTTATTTAGGACTTAAGATGCTCATCTTCGAGTCATGTTTTGTTCTGTATTTTGTAAAAATAAAAAACCCAAATTTATATCATTTTTGACTCTAAATTTTTCAGTTTCTATCCATTTGTGTCAGATTCAATCAAGATACCTTCATTATACAATAAAAGCATTCTTATTAGCCGCATTTTAATAATCAATGCTGGAGAAAAGTGAATGCGTTTAATGTTTAATGCTCTTATGTCAACGAATCTTTGGTTATACTCGGACATTGAGACGACATTTTACATCCTGAGCTTTGAAAATTCAACAGAAAAGTCGTAAAGGTATGTCTGTTACGATTGTTAAATATTATATCTCCAGTTTACTTTCAAAACTTTGGTTCATGTTGTGGTTTTGGGCTGTTACAAATATCGAATTTATAATGTCATCGGATACATTCTGTATCAACGTTTTATATTGCATTTGAAAAAATGCTAATATGTTCTTCCTAGAGGGCCAGTAAGGATCATCTCTTATTGATCCAGTGTTACTACAGGAGGAAAGCTAAACTAAACTAACTTTATTTATACTGGATAGCTCTATCAGTTCTAAACTGTTCTTCTTAGAGGTCCAGTAAGGATCATCTCTTATTGATCCAGTGTTACTACAGGAGGAAACCTAAACTAAACTAACTTTATTTATACTGGATAGTTCTGTTCTTCCTAGAGGTCCAGTAAGAATTATCTTTTATTGATCAAATGTTACTGTTGCAGCTAATTTAATTTTATTTCTTTAAAAATTTACAGCGTCAAACGCCAGATGAGGTTGGACCTTTTGTCGTTTATCTTTCTCCAGGTCAGTCAATAACAGAACATTTTTTCACTACAGATAAGGCCGTGGTTTTTTTGACCGACATTTTATCCAGCAAAAACATGACCTTAAAGGCTTAAACTATCGTATTTCCTTGCCAGTCTTTCTTTTCTTACTGATTTCCCCTCAAAGCAAACCACAATAACTATATTGATACACAGAACGAGATTGAAAACAATTAGATTCGAGATCAATCCAATTTATTATTCATCGAAGCTGCTGCCGTATTTCACGACCCCCTCTGTGCAAGTTTTTTTAGTCTATTTTTTGATATTTTTTAGCTGATTTTCAGCAAATTCACCATCGCTCTAAATAACTCAACAACGAACAACGCAAATGTGAATAATCATATTTCAGTTTTCTGGACCGGATTCGAAGCAGAAGATTCAAAAGCACGCTTGTTTAAACTTGCGGGTCTGTTAGGAATCCTAGCCCTAACCACAAGTAGGTCCAACCGTTTACTGGAATACGGTACAGAGCACTACAATACCGTACAGAACACTACAATACCATACAGAACACCACAATACGGTACAGAACACTACAATACCGTATAGTACACTACAATACGGTACAGAACACTACAACACGGTACAGAGAACTACAATGCAGTACAGAACACCACAACGCCTTACAGAACACTGCATGCAACATGGTACAGAGCACTACAACCCATTACAGAGCACTACAATGCAGAACAGAACACAACAACCCGGTACATAGCACTGCGATACAGTACAGAGCACTACAATGCAGTACAGAATACCACAACGCAGTACGGAAAACTACAACCCAGTACATAGCACTACAACTTATTACATAGCGCTACAATGCAGTACAGAACACAACAACCCGGTACATAGCACTGCAATACAGTACAGAGCACTACAATGCAGTGCAGAACACTACAATACATGGTTACAATGGCTAGAATGGCATAGAATACAAAGTCTCCTTCATTATATAGGTTTAGTCTGTTGTTGTGTATGCAGCTTCAGAAAATCTCGCCGAAGACGTAAATGGGTTCTTGTTGAAAGAGTTGGGATAAACGATGAAGACTTCTTGCTTCCAGAACAGCACGATAATCGTGGAATGCAGATGACCGACTTAAGAAACGAACGTAAAAGACTAGCTTTGTAAAACTTCTAGTACCATTAGCGATGTTAATTTCATTCTTTTCGGGAAATTTTTGCCCACTGACTTTGCCGAAAAGAAAGATAAACATCCGCGCCATTATTGAAGTTTGAATTCGTTTATCCCGTTCCGACAGAAGCAATCAAAGCTAATTTAAACAGAAAAACTCATTTTGGTGCAAGTAAAAAAAACATTTCATTTCCCCCGACATTGTCTGCATTTCATGTTTTCACTTAAACTTGGTAATCGGCGTTGAAATTTAAACCATAATTGCAAACAGACGGAAGAACCTTTTATCATTTTTCGATTTCCGTTTCTTTTCAAAGTTTAGTTTGGAAAAGGAAGCCTAATTTTTCAGTAAACAAGTAAATACCTTTGCATGGTGAAGCAATTCGAGTCAAACCGAAATCCGTTCTTGCAAAACAGCAAGTAAATATTCAGAAACAGCTCCGATGGAATGCCAATAAAATTTAAAAAGTCTGCACGTAGGCGAGTCCATGCAAAGGCGTGTGCATGCATCTTACAGAGCGTCTGAGATTGTGTACCCACTTATCACGTAAGAATTCCGCCTCGCAGGCAAAAAAATGGCTGATTCATTTAAGTGATAAACGATAAATCATCTCGACGTAACCTTCCCTGACGAGAATTTGAAGGCTTGCAATTTACGAGCGAAAAAATGTCTGTGTCATCTGAGAATTACCACAATGCAGTTATATAATGCTTTAATTATAATGAATTATCTACATGCCATCAACCCTCTAATCTTTTGAAATATTATACGTATGAGTAAAGTTCAAATTCCAGTTGAAGTGTTGTGGGAAAATCGCGCACAAATACCTACAAAATACGGTATCTTTTCAACTCTGAAAAGTCCTGAAGCCTATAAACGTTTACGGGCATTTGGCTCGGTATAACCTCAAAAGCTAAATGTGGTATACTACCTACACTGGACCACCACGTTTGAGATATTTTTCTCAGGTAGTTCAGACACAAACCACGACAGCTTATTGTAGAATACTACCTACACTGAACCACCACGTTTAAGATATCTTTCTCAGGTAGTTTCAGACACAAACCACGACAGCTTACTGTTGAATACTACCTACACTGGACCACCACGTTTGAGATATCTTTTTCAGGTAGTTCAGACACAAACCACGACAGCTTACTGTAGAATACTACCTACACTGGATCACAACGTTTGAGACATCTTTCTCAGGTAGTTCAGATATTTGAGATATCTCATAGAAAATTAGTGAAGCAAAACCATGTTTAGTTTTAATATCCACGTCCTTTCAGAGTTTCAGTTGAATACGTTTAATACATTTACTAATTCTAACATAATTGGAACTATATTCTAAAATAAATATACTGTAGATTACTGAACAACCAGTTTGTTGAAAACAGTTTGTTAAAATTGAGTCAGTGATTGAGATTACTAATGTTACGACGAATCACGAATGTTCTCTTGCATACTCGCTTCAGTTCTATCATGCATCAATGAATATCAGCATCTGATCATTTAGACTAATCCTCCAGCTGAAATTTACAAGTACTTTATTCGTAGTGGTCTACGTGTGTGTTCATTCTTTTTAATGTCGAGGACATTTTAAGCATTTGCACTGCTTTGCGCTTGGAATTTTCGCGCTGACCCTACGGGATCCACATGTTAACGTCACGTCCACATCTTCGCTGTCAGTTGGTTTACAGCAGTCGCAATCCGTGGAGAAATACGGATAAGTATCTATAGGTGTTTGTCTTGAGATACACTCCCCTAAACACGCTTTTACGTCAACCTCTTTCGATGTGCAACCATCCCTCGTTACAATATGTGTGTATTTTTTTGGATAACAAGACACAGCGGCCGAGTCGACGCTCACGAGAGATAGAATCAATCCGGCCACGCAAAGGCTTAGCACAGTGTAAAAGCTTGTCGTCTTCATTGCGTTTCTTTACTTTGATTTCTTCTCGCGGATGCTCTTTAGAAACAGGTGACTCGCAGACTAATGTGAGTTACTTTTTCCTCCGTGGTCCTTTATATCCGGTGTCTCGCGCCTTCGCAGGCTTCGCTGTCGAAATTTTGTCATCAAGTGATGTCAGAAGATTAATGGAGAAATGTGAACGGGCTTTTTTTTTTGAAACCTGATAGGCAGAACGAGACGAGAGATTGAACATAAGTGATTCAAGGTTCGCATTTGTTCGGGAGTTTTCTTATGAGAAACAGACAGAATGCCAGGTTCTTTCGTGTTCAATTAACGAAGGGATGTTAGCCCGGAAGAATGGAAAGACGAATACAAAAGAGGATGTGGAATCTTGTTATCATTAAGGCCACATCGAACAGCTGCTCAGCAAGTGTTATATAATATCATTCACCCGAGTTATGCTGGAATTTTATTCCGATAACAAAAACGATTTTTCTGTATGAAACAACACGTAGCCTACGTTCTTTTTTCAATCGCAAACAAATAAAAATTACACAATCCTAGATTTAAACGCCTGCGTGTAATTAATACGGTAGCTTGTAAATCATGTTAATTTCTCTGCTAAAAAAGCGAAAACTGAAGATGTCTATTGTGTTGTGAAACGCATTACAATCGTTAAGCAAAGGAAGGCACAAAGGGAATTAAGATTGTACGTGTTCTGATCCATTGATAACCAGGGTTGCCAGATTACTGAATAAATTAGCCAAATATTATTACCACAATCGCTGTTTTCCTTTGTTTGAAACAAAGAAATCAAAGGATTTTGGCTAGTTCTTTTTGCAGTAATCTGGCGGCAACCCTGTTTGATAACACGCGCTGTTCGAAAATCGTGCTACACGCCATTCATTTGCTATTCCGTACTGAGTTCAAGGACGCTTTAAGTTTACCTGACAAATGGAATGGTTTCTGTCTGCATGTGGGCGAAACGTCTCAAAGCACATTAAAGCGTCCCACGGCAGTCAAAAAAGGGATTAAACGGATTTTGAAATTCGAGAGCTTGTTTGTTGAAGCACTGTGAGTGCCTGTCGTTCGTCGCCGGGCATAAAATCCTTTAGTCATGTTTATCGGAAAGAAATTTTCGAAGTATGATAATAAAGACTAAAGAGAATGGATTAATCTTTCAAGTCAAGACTCCCTCGCCATAGAAAGAAAGTCAAGAGACGCAAACTAATTTGAAGGTAATTATTCTGTAGTTCTGTAATTATAATGGTTCTGTAGATTTATACATTTTGTACAGTGTAAATGGTCCAGTTTTCCCTCAAATAAATTCTTTTTAAACAAGTATTACGCCGATTGGATAGCACTCTAACAGTTTAGTTCTAAATTGTTCCTTCTTGTGGTACAGTAAGAATAATCGCTTAAACTAAACTAACTTTATTTATACTGGATAACTCTATCAGTTCTAAACTGTTCTTCCTAGAGGTTCAGTAAGGATCATCTCTCATTAATCCAGTGTTACTACAGGAGGAAACCTAAACTAAACTAACTTTATTTATATTGGATAGCTCTATCCTAGAGGTCCAGTAAGGATCATCTCTTATTGATCCAGTGTTACTACAGGAGGAAACCTAAACTAAACTAACTTTATTTATAATGGATAGCTCTATCAGTTCTAAACTGTTCTTCCTAGAGGTCCAGTAAGGATCATCTCTTATTCATCGAGTGTCACTACAGGAGGAACCTAAGGAAAGTTAAGTAAGTAGGTTAAGTAAGACTCATCTCTCACGATAAATTCTGTAGCCTGTCAAAGTACGTACACAATAGCAATCATAAATCATGTAATTGATTCGTCATTTCATCTCTCCAAAAACGTGGAATACAATGGTAAATTTTTGTCTTTAATATCAGCAGTCTATTTTCAATCTAATAAATCCTACTTAGCTGCATGTCCATGTCTAGTTTGAGCATTACTGAGATTGCTATGATTTCTATGATGTTTCTTTCCCCATCCATAAGCTTTCTTGTCCTGCGACAACGTTCAGCTATTAACAATCCTGGCATGTGCAATTTCTAACGCTAGGAACGGTAAAAGTTACATTGGTTGAATTACAAGAATAGGTCACGTTCATTATGAGCTCATTTCCAACGGATTGGCAGCAACTGCATTTCCTCCTAACAAACGGAGGTCGCTCGAAATGCAATTCTTGAGAATAGCAGTAGCCTCTGCACGCGTTCACAATGAACTCAGGTACCTGACAACCATTACGATTTTGAGTGCGTCGTACCTTGTGAACACGACAGGCCTCGGGAAGTTGCATGTCAACTCTGGTGAACAAAACAAGAGCTGTTATTGCACAAAGGAAGCAGGCGCCTTGTGGATATTTCATCTTCTTGGACCAACTTGGTATTTTTGCTGAAATGTGGATTGTCCGCAAGTGGCTTGTGAAGTATATGCTCTTCAAAAGGCTCGTTCAATGCTCGAAAGCGATTTACTGGATTTACTCTCGGCTTTTAAAACGCTCGGTGACATGAACTTGGCACTTTATACATACATTGCCCAGATTAGCGGCGTGATGCATGCGAACGCGTCATGCTCACATTGTCATCTACGAAAATATGTATGTGAAAAACCTATGTTCCATCAACAGCTCACAAGTTCACGCGATCAGAATTAGGCTTAAAATTCTTTGTGAACCTGCCGACGAACGACCAGTCAGTGTTTTTCACGAAAAAACCAACGCCTGTTATTCGGCAAAGCTGTCCAGAGAGACGAAGAATGTTTGGTAATTTGAAAAGAAATGAACTGAAAAGATGTGGAACACTTTTTCAGAAACGTAATCAACAGATGCGGGCGCTATTTTTGTTGAAAAATAAAAGAGTATACGCTGCCCTTTTTCTTCAGGGATTAGGGAATGTTTGAGTGTTAAAATATTTGTTGCATACCTGAGGAATATTTCATTCGCCGCTATTTCACTAAATTGTATTAGACATGATAAACCCTGCGTTCTGTGAAGTACGCATTAACATAATACATCATCTTCCATTCATTCTAATTCCAACTTTTTTACCATTCATTTTTTTCAACCAGCCTTATTGGTTCATCAGGCTTTCCCGAATCGCATGAGTGACACACGAAACATTCTTACCTTGTCTATTTTTAAAATGTTAACCCGACGTGAAGTGGTTTTGATGAAGTAGCTACATTGTCATGAAGTGGTTGAAAACCACATCATGATCCCATGTCGAGAGCAGTTCAACTGTTCAAGCAATTGCTTCCCTGGCTTCAAAGCATAACTGCATATGAATGATTGCTCGCATTCCAAGACTGTTAAGCTATTCGCAGTATTTAACAGCAACCCACTTTGTGGTCATCATGTCTATCGTTTTTTGACTTCCTAAGTCTTCCTTTACAAGATTAAATTCCAGAGAAACGTTTTAAACGCTTATCTCATAATGCCATTCACACATTTAAGCTATCAAATTAGTTTTGAACATTGTTTGCCGAAGTTCATTGTAAGATCTGCATCAAAAACTCTGCCGCTCACCCCAAGTTATACGACATTTTAAAATCTCAGTGTATTACACCGACGTGAAGCAAGTAATTTATGCAAATTATATATTTGGTGGCCTGATTAACGTATTCAGTTCTCCTTCGTCATTGACTCTCCGACAGTGATGATTGTCAGTGTGATCTATAGTATTGCAATGTGTCACTTACTGTACCTGATTGAACTATATCCATTATAAATAAAGTTAGTTTAGCTTAGGTTTCTTCCTGTAGTAACACTGGATCAATAAGAAATGATCCTTACTGGACTTCTAGGAAGAACAGTTTAGAGCTGATAGAGTTATGCAGTATAAATAAAGTTAGTTTAGTTTAGGTTTCCTCCTGTAGTAACACTGGATCAATAAGAGATGATCCTTACTGGACCTCTCACCTCTAGGAAGAACAGTTTAGAACTGACAGAGCTATCCAGTATAAATAAAGTTAGTTTAGTTTAGGTTTCCTCCTGTAGTAACACTGGATCAATAAGAGATGATCCTTACTGGACCTCTAGGAAGAACAGTTTAGAACTGATAGAGCTATCCAGTAAAAATAAAGTTAATGAGCTTACTCTTGCTGCAGGAAAAAACAGTTTAGAGCTGACAGAGCTATTCATTGTAAGTATATAGTTCAGAAATGATAGAGCTATCCGGCATAAACGTTAAATACTTGTTGAAAGTTTGAATTTCCTTCACATCTGGAGGTAAAGTCGCTAAATCAATCCAAACTCTTAGGTCTTGTCATCAAATTCGACTTCTACTCGGATGTTAGACTGCGTGCGACATCCTGTTGGGCAGCACCCTGTGTGCGAATGATATGGGGGTGTCAACTCCTTCGACCAAAACCTCATGATCGTGTTGACTGAGAAACGTACGAAATACTGCGTAAAAACGCTATAGTGAAATAACGTTTTCACGCCATGCTTGAAACGACTTGCTTTCACAAATCGCGTGACATGTCGTCCTACTTTAGCACAGTATATGAATGTTTTTTCGAGTGTTGCCCGCCACCCACGTTCTATAAGGAGTTCTTAAGAACAGTGTGACCATTGGGTGTGCCAAGTCAATCAAGGGCTAAGAGTGGGGATAAAGAATGATTACATTATTTGCATCAAAGTTTTCTCGCTAAACTGTTGAAAACACTATTCCGTGTCTGTAGGACACTCAGGAAAAGGATGAGAAAGCGCCTCAAAGGCGTTTGAGTATAATTTTAGACGGGAACGCGAGCTTCCTTTAATAACAAAATAAGGAAGTCTAGTTCAGTTGTTATAACCACACGTTCTACAATGAATATGTAGGTGTTCATCCTCGAACATGCAAAATATTATATTCATAATAAAAAACGTTATATTTATTCGAGGGATCCGTGCTCAGTTTGAATAACCTGGCTGGTCTATTCCAAAGCTATTTGCAGTGAATGCTCTGATAATTTCCGGCTATTTACACTTGGCACTTCGTGCCAAACTATTATACCTCGAGGCTACATGAATGCCAATCTCATTTGAGTTAAAAAACCGTTTTAGTTGGACAAACACGAGTGTAAATCCTACAAAGAGTCGTAATAGCAACAATTGCTTTGAACGGAACGGAGAACGGATACATAAATCATGTTTTTTTTGGTGACGCAAGTTTTGCTAAAACTCTCTTTCCAATTATAACGTCCGGTTGAAGTACAATTGCCTAGTCCTCAACTCTGCATTGGACACCGTACAGGAAAAAGCCCTTCTGTTCTCATTCTTTTAACTGTGGCTCTACTGACCTTGAAATTTCCAGCACCGCAACCCTACGGGGACCACACCCCTTCAACTATATCACCCCCCTCAGCGAAGACACATTCTCCATACTTCATCTAATTATCTCTTGCACACTAGCCAAAATTCATTATTTTCTACCCGAAATAAACAAGTATCAGTATTGAGCCTTCATATGCTAGTTACATATAGATCAAAACAAATGCATGTCTTCTGTTGGGAGCCAATATCTTAAATTGTGCAATTAAATAATGTGAAAGTGTAAATTCGTGATAGCGAGCATTATTCAGGAAATCGCGTTTCAGAATTACTTGTTTTATCTCGGAGAAATTTTCCATCACGAAAACGCATGCAATTTGCCCGGTGGACGCAGAATTTTCATGAGATGCTTTGGTTTAAACGGGCATCAAACAATATAAATCATTATTAATGTTTTAAGTTTCTAATTTGTGTATAAATAAGTATTTCAGTGCATGGACATGCCATTATGCACGGTTAAGTATTATGAACCTTGTAACTTCTTGAATATTAGTCGCGTCTTGAAGTGATCTTATGATTAGCATTGCTGTTGTGAGTATGATTGGTTGATGCAGATTTGTACGTGTTCTTTGATTTGAGCTGCCTAAATTTGTGCTGATGTTGTACAGAATTCACTGCTGAGTTAAGCATGGTTAGATCATGCAGAGGTGGTACATGTTCTTGAATGTGAGCTACCTTAAAGTGGTCTGATGTTGTACAGGATTCGTTCCTGGGTTAAGTATGGTTAGACATGCAGAGGTGGGAATCTGATGTCTTGAGATTGCTTTTGTCAATTGACTCAATTGCACAGATACATGACTGTGGCACATTACTTGAATGATAATTTTGAAACAGCATAAATTAGTCTTTTTGCACTTGCATAAATGAGATTATAATCACAGCATCTCAAGAGCGTGACTGCGTCAACGGTGAAGTACAGAACAATCTCCACAGCTGGGGTTTAAATTTTCGAGGAAGGAAACGGTATATTAGCGATATTTCACACCCAATGAAAATGGATATAAATTATCAATGTCAATGTGCTTTATTGACATGCCCCAAGCACGTAATTACCGTTCATTACCTCATCATCATGCAATGCAATTGCTCATATAATTTATATACATGCAATTGTTCATATAATTTACCAACACTTTATTTGTTGTAGCCTGTTATCACATAGACTGACATAGTCCAATATTTTTTACTTTTTGCTCGGCTCAGCGCGATGCTTGTTGAATTGTTTCATTTGTTTCAACTATAAAAACTATAGTGCTATAGTTCTGAAACTTTTTTGTCAGGCGTTGAGTGAAGTAAGACTAATCTCTTATTGGTTCGGTCAACTACAGGAGGAAACCTAAACTAAACTAACTTTATTTATACTGGATAGCTCCATCAGTTCTAAACTGTTCTTCCTATAGAGTTCCAGTAAGGAACATCTCTTATTGATCCAGTGTTACTACAGGAGGAAACCTAAACTAAACTAACTTTATTTGCGGATAAAACACTAGTTAAAGGCTCAAAGACTCCCTTAAACTGCACAGTCCATACACAGGTTCTGGCTCACCTACGATGATTATTTTTCTTGTTTGTCTAGTGCTCTTTCAGTCAGTCAAAAAGAGAACTTTGTATTTTGCCCTAACTTGCGGTTTTCCGTTTGTTTCATCTAGATGATGTTAGAATGACGTTCCGGAACCTCCATAGTCTATGTTTGACCTTACTTAGCTGTTTAATGATGTGAGTAATATGACTTTCAGTTTAGTTTTCTATTTATTTACTTATACAGTTTCTTAAAATGGCTGTGTTTAACCTCAAAACGAGATCTCTGCATGATGCATGCGTGGGACAGCTTCTTATGGTTTTGGCAAAGTTTGCTAAATGCTTTCAAATCCTCAATGTCTTTACCAGAAAGCTGATGAAAGCGTTTATGGCACTGACAGGGGGTGGGGGGTAGTCAGTGACAAAATCTATACCCTGAGGGTTGAGCTTGCATTTCGCGTCTTTCATCTGCATGCAAGAAGCTGTCTGCTTTGTCGTCGAACTGAACCAAACATACATGTCATGTTCGTTTCAAACTGGCTATGAATTCTATCTCACTATGGATGGAGAACTATAGAGTGTAGCAGGGATATTATTCCAGAATACGTTTGCATGTTTTAATCAATGTGTTCTTTCTGGTTCACATAAAAGAATACTTTGTAAACTAAGTCATAATGAGTTGTTGCTGCATGCAAACAGTCCAGTCTAGAACACTAAGTGCATTTTTCCTATCGTCCAAAACCTTCTGTATTTCTGTCAGGTGGGTTTGTGTTTGTGTTTCCTATGGTATCACTTCACCGGTATGACTTTCCCACGGTCATCTCATCTAGCTTATACTTACTGCATAGTGCTGTCACTTTCAAACTGTTCTGCCTCTAGAAGTGCTGTAACGCGATCATCTTTTATTCATCCAGGAGGAAACCTCAGCTGATCTAACTACATATTTATAATGGATCGACTGCAGTTTTCGAAGACAAAAACCTAACCTGGGCTATTCTTCATACAATAGAGGCATTTCATTTTTAAACGATATTGTATTGTCTATTCACTTCATTAAGTTCATTTGAATACACCGATATATCTTACTACCTTCATTCTGATGAACATTTGAAATAATTCAATTCCAAAGGACGATATCACTTTCTCATCGCTATTGATAGTTCAACCTGTATTCGCTTTCACATGAGCTCTAGATACTGTTTAAAACGTGTGTGATATTTACTGACCATACAAAGAAAACTAAGCGTAGGCGATTTTAATCTCTTTCGTCCAATATTACAATACTAAACACAATCGCTTTAGCTTGAGAACACTAACGCTTTAATCGTTTGGGAAAGAAATAGCGTGTGGCTGTCTTACAACACCAGGAAAGGCGAGAAACGAAACCAGAGTCGTAAAAAGATAAGAGTCTTCAAATAACTGTGTTTATTCATCCAGGGTTGTTGCCATAGCAAGCTCTTGGGCTTTATCCTTCCCTAAACTCACTCCTACAATTAATATTACATGAGATATTGTGTCTTAAAAGAAGTCGAGAACACGTTATTATTTATATAAGCAGTACTTGCAAAGCCATTAAAGAATCTCAGTTCCTTCTCTCGCTAAGTACCGTGTCCAAGAGGGCGTGCATTTTTAAATATGCTCAATGTCAATAAAAGTCTATGTACTTTAATTCAGGCGTCACTTTATTTAGTATTGACATCGGTCAGGTGACTTTCAAGTGAACTAAAATTACAAGGAAGTCCATATAAGATTTGATATTGATAATCATTTGACAAGAGCAATACGTTACAATTCAGACTGGGCTTCGTCTTCCAAGGTTTAAACACAATTATAACGTCCTCATAACAACCATCATCGCTGCTTATCAAGACATCGTGAAACAGCATCCTTTCCAAAATGGTAGCAAATAAAAAAATCTATGGACAAGACGATAATCCAAGCTCAAATAACGTGCATTCGTTGCTATCGTTTATGAATCTAGCATCGAATAAAGTTAAGACCGCCTTGGAGAAACCCAACACTTTTAAAAGGAACATTAATCATCGAAGATTTTTACAAAAACAGTTCAGAGCTATAGTAAAGAATCCGGAGAAAGGCGGCGCTGGCAAAAAATCTTTCACCAAAGATAGCATTGAGTCGATGAACTTTACGCTTCGTGAATGCAATGGTCAGAGTTATCCGCCACCCCTTACGCATAATTTTTTGCAGTTCAATACGCTTCAAACATCAAATCCAAATTTGGGCTTTGCAGAGCCAAGCTTTCCCATTCCTTTTGCAAGGAATGCTGCTTGTGGCATTGAAAATCTCCCAGAAAGGCAAATGACGTGCCATGGACAAATAAGGAAACAGAGCAGCTGTCTATATCAAGCACCAGAAGAGTACTCGTCGATCACGTCAACACCAGAGCTGGTTGTCGAAGAAGACTTTTTGACATGCGAAGAGCTGACTCAGGCTCTTGAACTTAAAGATCTTTTCATTCCAGACACGGACCTAACTCAGTATCTTTTGAATGGTAAAGAGAATATTGGCGATTTTTGCAACAATGATGGATCCCTAGGCATGGACAATTGGCAAGCTCGCGGTAGTTTTGGATTGCAAGAAGATATTTTAGTATTTTAGCAGTTTCTTTGAACATCGACCAGGAAAAACTGTCCTGTCTTCTCGATGTAATAACTGTTTAGAGTCTGTAAGTCTCTGTGAATGAGTTGATAATTTGGTATAAATGCCTCAGGCAAAAGAAGAATAATTAGGCTGCTTTCGTTCGTTTTGTTTGAGCTGCCTGAATTTATGCCAGAAATATGACCAACTAAGAGAATATATTTTCAAAAGCAGAAAAATATCGAGTTCTTCAGGTAACTCAGACACAAATCACGGTATCTCATCGTAGTACGTGGGCTCGCCTAAATCAGAATTAGGACAGCAATTTAAAACAATATTTGTTTAAATGCTCAGTAGCTACGTAGCGAAAATAGTTGATAGGATAGACTTGTATTATATTGTAATTATAAATTTTATTGCTTACAACAGCTCGCTTATATTGTAACTGTCACGACAGCACCGCGCGTTCAACAGTGAACTGGTGCTAAATTATAATGGAGCTTGTTCAAGATTTGGCTGGTCCAAATTCCGACTACGGCAAAAACTCATTTAACATTGGACTACAAGTCCTTTCTATATTATAAATGAGATTTGTGTATGGTGGAATTCTATAGTTGTAAATAGGATATTGAGATACAGTTTACGGAGTAATTTATGTAGCAGTAAGTAGAAAAACCTTGAAAGGACGTTAATTAAAAGACTTCCGTAATTCTGAAGTGAATTCTGAAGTGTTTTTGCCATTGGCATTGGTTGACCGAATCGAAACATGCCGACGTAGCACTGACTCATGCAAAACATAGATCTGGTCCGTATGTGCGCGAATATTGTCTGGACAAGAGGGTTTGGATGCATCCCAAACTCCCAGAAATTTTGGTGAGAATATTAAAGGAAATGCTGGGGGTTTTTATTTTTAAACGATCCTCCCGTTTCAAGCCATCGTCAATTTTGAAGCATTATCCGCATTTGTTTCAAGTTAAAACAATTTCGCGGTGAGCAATGTGTTTTAAAAGCAAAGACATGCAGCTGTGAAAAGTGTCGGAAAACAAATCTTTGAGTGAATATTCTTCCTTAGGTTCGATATTTGTTTTTGGTAAACCAATTGCTTTGTCTTAACGGTAATGAAGACGGCTATACGGAGACGATTTTTCTTCCTGAAAATACGGATTGCCACGAATTACTTCCCCCAAAAATTTAAAGTCAAACACAAGATTAACATTAACCAAATGGATTTTTCAAAAAATCTCGTTCTGACTAGTTCTGTTCACAGCTTAGAAATAACCAGAATATGACGACATACGCAATACGCAATTGTACTGTTTTTTAAAGTCCATAATTTGTTAGCAGCGAAGACATCATAATGATCTTCTTTGTGTCGTGTGATTAGGGTGGAGTTTTTGAAAGCTTAAAGGATGCTTGATGACGGACACGATCTTGTGCATGTGAGCGTAATGTTTGTGAGTAGGTTGAAAGAACTGAAACAAATTAATACTGGTCGGGATAGCTCTATCAGTTCCAAAGACCAAACTGTTCTTCCTATAGAGGTCCAGTAAGGATCATCTCTTATTGATCCAGTGTTGCTACAGGAGGAAACCTAAACTAAACTAACTTTATTTATATTGGATAGCTCCATCAGTTCTAAACTGTTCTTCCTAGAGGTCCAGTAAGGATCATCTCTTATTGATCCAGTGTTACTACAGGAGGAAACCTAAACTTAAGAGAAAACTTGAACTTAGCCAATGAAAACCGTAACAAAGTAACAAACACTGCATAGCTTCATTTCGTAGTATAGAGGTCCAGTAATGATAACCTTTCCTACTGTTACTTCAAAAGGAAATCAAAGCTTAACATGTAAATCTCTTTATACTAAATATTTCTATCTTCACTTATCACCAGACTACATAAGGTAAAAAACAAATTTCGAATAAACAAGACATCTTGAGAGTCAAAATATGAATAAGAGCAAGGCACAGGTTGAGACTGTGTCTTGCTTTGGCTCATATTTTGACCTCCAAGATGTCTTGTTTACTCCGAAATTGTTTTTTTTTTACTTTCCTTTTTTTAATCTTTTTACTAGACTACATGTCTATAGTAGGATTCAACACTTATTGCCCTATCACGTCTTTGCCAAGTGCGTTGCAAATTTCGACCAAAATAGAGCAGTTTGATTCATTTGCATACAAAGTTTGTTCTGCAAGGTCCTTGAAGTACAATAAGCTCAAAATAACACTTTGCACTGAAACACACAGAAAAAGAAAATGTGTTCCCAAACAACCTTTCAGATGGACGAGGGTCATTCCAAAAAACGTGACATCATGATTCTTGTAAATATGATTTAAGTAACATAGATTCTACTTTCTGTTTTATTGAAAAAATATGATATTTTCACTGGCATTGTTTCGCTAAAAAGATACTGCTCAGTTCTTGTACTTTTGGTTTAGTTAAGCAAGCAAGTTCAACCAAATCAAATGACATTGACCTTTTCCCTCTTTGTTAGTTTCTAAATGCAGTTATGCCGTGCTTCTTTATTCCAAATCATAGAATTTTCATCTTTGTATTTGTCCTGCAGAAAAAACCTGTTGTGCCTGTCATCCTTTGTTCCTTTGCAATCGTCCCGTTTCTTTTGAAAAACCATGGTGAATGATGATGCAGTCTCTCACGAATACCCGAGTGGTTCTTTTTTTGTCATCGATAACTTGTAAATTGTAAAATGCACACTTCAAGTGAGGGCGAAATATTCTCTTAACACATTCTTGAAGCATTATCACGTTTAGTAAAAAAGCAAATTTGCACAGCTTTACCAAAGCTGTATCGATTGAAAACTGAGAGCATATTCAAAACGGAAAACCCGAGACATAATCGGCATGGCATGACGTCAACATCTTGCAAGAAAGCAGAGATATTGACGTCGTGGTTCAATCGACATCTTGGGTTCTCTAGATCATCTTTCGGCTGATATTTCTCGCTTGAATTCTGGTCTTTCCACAACTAAACGTACTGTTTCCAGTAGCCAGAAGGAATGTCGTATATGAGAGATGTTTTTGATTAAATTATTCAGTCACTCGCGTGCAGTTTTTTTTTATTCAAAATCAAGGGCCACTTAGTAATTACGTTGTTCGCCAATTCACAGACTATGGTTTTTCTGTTTGGAAATATCAAATAGCAGTGGAATTAACAGGGTGATCCCGCATCCGATAATATGATCTCATATCATTCCTAAAAATACAAAATGTATCGGCCTGGCTGTTCAGTATTTATTTTCAATGATCACCAGGAAATTACACAATATTAAATAAATATGTTCTGTTATGTCGTTCCTCAGTATTCTCCATTTCTTTCTTCCTAAGAATAACAAGACAGACTGCTCCATCCCCTAACTGTATGCCGAGGTTCCCAGGTTGTTTTAATTCGGCCAAGGTTGGACGTCTTAAGGGCTGTTTGCATGAGCCAGGTTACCCAAGATTCAACGAAGCGTGAGAGGACTTTGAGGTATGAAGATAAGGGTTTTTACACCAAACATTCACCATACTATTGTTGGAATAACTACACGATCACCAGAATCGTGTTACATGCTCTTTTCAATACCCCAAAGTCACCTAACGCTTCGTCGGTGAATCCTCGGCTAAACGGGATCATGCATGCCAGAAAAACACTAGTGAAAAACAATCGTCTATCAGCAGACACCTATCTAGATCTCTCACATGCAAAAAATTTGCTCAGATCAACAATATTCTCCGTCGTATGAAATGATATTCAATTAATCTGCTTTAAGCTTATTGACGATTTTCATTTTCATAGATCATTCGAGTGTCTTTGAAAAAGCCACTTACATCAATGACCATCTTACCTCGCTGTAATCATCTCAAATAGTCAAAAACTCTTAAGTCTATTTGCATAAGCCAAGTGGAGTTTTTTTAACATTGTCGACACTGACCGTATCTAAAAATGTCGACACGACTTAACTGCGTCACGAGTGTTCTTTGGCAAGCTAGGTTAGTCGAGACGGTTACTTTAGGTTCGAAATATCGGCAGATGAATCGATTGCCATTTAATCTTTGTGACTGGGGTTTGTTTCTTGCACTATATAGTTGTCTTTCCTTCAATGTCTGCCAAACTGTAACATATAATTCAGCCCGAGAAATGTCTTATGTTTTTCCTCATATGCCTGACTCAGTAACCATTCGTCCTTCAAGGTATATTGGAAGGATGTGGGCGTATTTCTTGCCCGGACAATCATACGGAGTTGTATGAGCTGAATCAGCTGATAAATACGATGCCATATTACACTAATTATATGTTTTCCAAGTACCTACTTCAGTAATTGGCACGGTAAACAGAGTTGAATATCTTGAAAAACATTGGTACAAAGAACAGTGAAGAAAATCTGAATATGACGTAAATGCCTCATCAGAACTGTAATTCACAGTCGGAGTAATTCGTATGTCTAATATTCTTGAAGTTGCCTTTCTATCTATGCAACTTTCACTTCATTTTACTCTTGAACGGCTGGCACGGCTGAATATTTTTTCTGCAGTACTACAATGGATCGATAAGAGTCGAGTCGAGTCTCACTAGGTCTCTCGGAAGAACAACTTCGAACTTATGGTGTTTACTTTCAAAGAAAGCGGAAACTACTTATGTCTTTATGATGCAACCTAAATGACCAAGAATCTGGAATCATCACAAGATATTGCATGTGTGATGTATATTTTAAGCAATGATGATCACTTTTTCTTCGACTGAAAAAAGTTTCTTACTGAGGTTACGAAGCTGCGTGCATTGTTGGCAATAGTCGTTCGCCTTTCTTCTTTAATTCGGTGGATTTGTAAAAAAAGGTTTATGAAAATTTTCTGTACATTCCTGTCGCAAGCTGCCGACGATTCCACGAAGAGACACCCGAACTCCTTCGCCGTCTCTCGTGCTTCGTTTCGGCTCACTTGGCGTCCCCGTCGAAGCTCGCGTTTGTTCCCGACAAGGATCGTCGGTAGTTCGTAATCAAACGGAGTCCCGAGTCGTTGATACTCTTTGATCGCCCTCAGATAATCCTTGGCTGTCTCAAAAGTGTAACGATCTGTTATTGAATATACCACAATGATTCCTTCGGCCTTTCTGATATACCCAGTGCAGCTTTCAAACTATAGAAACAAAATATACTTTGTCAGTCAGTGTGGATAGTATTCTACGCCTTAACTATACCTGAGAAAGATATCTCAAATGTGATCGTTCAGTGTAGGTAGTATTCTACAATAAGCTGTCGTGGTTTGTGTCTGAACTACCTGAGAAAGATATCTCAAACGTGGTGGTCCAGTGTAGGTAGTATTCTACAATAAGCTGTCGTGGTTTGTGTCTGAACTACCTGAGAAAGATATCTCAAACGTGGTGGTCCAGTGTAGGTAGTATTCTACAATAAGCTGTCGTGGTTTGTGTCTGAACTACCTGAGAAAAATATCTCAAACGTGGAGGTCTAGTGTAGGTAGTATTCTACAATAAGCTGTCGTGGTTTGTGTCTGAACTACCTGAAAAAGATATCTCAAACGTGGAGGTCTAGTGTAGGTAGTATTCTACAATAAGCTGTCGTGGTTTGTGTCTGAACTACCTAAGAAAGATATCTCAAACGTGGTGGTCCAGTGTAGGTAGTATTCTACAATAAGCTGTCGTGGTTTGTGTCTGAACTACCTGAGAAAGATATCTCAAACGTGGTGGTATAGTGTAGGTAGTATTCTACAATAAACTGTCTTTGTTTGTGTCTGGACCACTGCATACTGAACTACCGGATACGGCACCTCAAAAGTGCTGATCCAGTGTAGAGAATCACTAAAAATGAACTCACCGATCCAGCAGTGTCCATAATGCGCAATATCGCCTTCACATTTCCAACCTCTTGCAATTTTCCGTAAATCATTTCTAAAAGGTAATTGCCTTTCAGCACACATATATAGTAAACGTAGTTTTTGCCGAGACACTCTTGCGTATCATTAAATCGTCTGTTTCTTCCTGGACAGCCTTAGTATCTTACCTAACGTCGGGTCGTACTCGTTCACGAATCTCCCAGTAACGTAACGAACAACCAATGCTATAAAAAAAATAGAAAACATGCAATCCTAAGCATTCATTTTCAATCTTTTTTACGCGAAGCTTATTCACAGGGAAAATATTCCACTGATAACGATGAAATTGTATCTGGTTTTGTTCAATAACACAGTATGGAAACATGCAATTATTATACAGTTTCCATTGTTTTTCAGTGATTTTTATATGTCGTTTTTAAAAACATATGTTTTTAAAACGCGATGTTTATTCTAGGTGGGCGTGAAGCATGAAATTCTGGTGTCTGTAAGCTAGCGTCTCTCCTTCCACGATGAAAGCAGATGGTCGAATATCGTGGGAACAATTGCAATTACGACAAATTTAAGGTGCGTTTGGCTTTTGTGACCCTCCCCCCCCCCCCCCCCGCTTGTTTTGACGCCTTGTTGAACACAGCGATTGCAAAAAGAATGGGTAAGGTGCCCAAGACGTGCGTTCAGATTTTGCAGTCGATAACCACATGAAACAATTGTAATTCTGAGCAGAACTTATCCTGACCTGGGTGCCCTCAGCTTACAAGTTGGTTCAATGATACATCCAACTACTAATTTCGATGAAGATATTGATTATTCGGCGTTTCTAACAAAGGGCCAGACATTTTGTTGCCATTATGTACTTAATAATAACAAATTGTGACAATTTAATCTTTTTGCCATGCAAGTGATATCCCTTAGTAAGTGAAAACTGTCATGTCTTTGTTTGAAAGAAAACAATTGGTTTGTTTTCTGCTGGAATAACAGCAGTTTTTAATTGTAATTTGTCGTACGTAACTTATAAGATAGAGGATTAAGTCAATAAGATAGGAGTCTATATTTATTTTGAAGCTTTTTGATAGGTATAGGTATATATAACTTTAAAACTGTTCTTCCTCGAAGTCCAGTAATCTCTTATTGTTCCAGTGTTACTACATGCAGGAGAACTAACCTAAACTAAGCTAACTTTATTTATACTAGACAGCGCTATCAGTTCTAAACTGTTCTTCTTAGAGGTCCAGTAAGGATCATCTCTTATTGATCCAGTATTACTACAGGAGGAAACCTAAACTAAACTAACTTTATTTATACTGGATAGCTCTATCAGTTCTAAACTGTTCTTCCTAGAGGTCCAGTAAGGATCATCTCTTATTGATCAAGTATTACTAAATTTAGGGGAAAACGTTTGCTAAAAAGTCTTCTCGTGTCTCCTAAAATGCGCCTGAGACAGATGATGACATGTTATGTACATCGGAAATGATTCTTTGATAGCTGAAGAAACCACGAATCATACGTCGATTAAACGCTAATCTTTGACGGGTTTTTAATTCGAGGTAAAATTCGTGTTTATCCAGAGCGGATTAACGTTGTCACAGAAAGCGGAACCTGTTAATATTTCATTTCCGAAGCAGTGCAACAATGTGTACAACATACATTACTTCGTGTCAATAAAAAAATTCGGTTTTATCAATCAAGAGATTCTGAAGGTCAGAAAAATCTAAGTTGACGCGTTCGATAACAACCTGGCCGGAACTCTTCGAAATCTACTTAAAGGAGATCTTGTGGTTAGTTTAATTATAACAGTCGACACCTAGGAAGAACAGTTTAGAACTGACAGAGCTATCCAGTATAAGTAAAGTTAGTTTAGTTTACGTTTCCTCCTGTAGTAACACTGGATCAATAAGAGATGATCCTTACTGGACCTCTAGGAAGAACAGTTTAGAACTGATAGAGCTATCCAGTATAAATAAAGTTAGTTTAGTTTAGGTTTCCTCCTGTAGTAACTCTGGATCAATAGGAGATGATCCTTACTGGACCCTTTGGAAGAACAGTTTAGAGGCTGATTATCCAGTTTGAAGATACATGATGTGTAAATAAAGTTCAATGGGCTCCCTCTACATGTGGTAATGATTCTAACCGTAAGACCGAAGCAAATTTAACCTTACCAGTCTTTCCAACTGCAGGCGAGCCAAGTATGACTGTAAAATGACTTTCAATATCTTGTCGTTGCATCTCAAAACGGTTTGCGGAAAAAGCGCCAATCTGAAACGAGTTCTTACGTCTTCTTTCCCGAGCCATTGGTAGTGTCATGCTACAGGCAGATGTTCTTCTTTCTCGCCGTCCACTCATGTGTTTGTCATAATCCTCAAACGTTTCTCCCGTGCTAAATTCCGTATTGTTGTTGTGTTTGAGACGCATTTTATTTTGTTCATTAATCGTGGATACAGAATTTGCTTGGTTGAAAGAAAAGCTTCTTCCAGGAGGCAAAGCCATTCCTCTTCTCCTTCTTTTGTGCATATTGTTTCTTTTTATGTAACACTTCAAATCAATTCTTTACTTCTTTAGCAGTACCATGTTTGTTTCATCATATATCAGGCTGTCGTGCAGAGCTGTTAATGTTGATGCATGCCTGCCTTACGAAGCAATAAAAAGCATAGTTTCTATTCTTCGTCGGTCATCAACAGTCGTCAAAGTTTGCATATCCACTTAGTACAAAATTAATTATACATTCATTGTCGACAAATTTACATTGTCGCACAAGAGATATTTGTTTGCTTGGCTTAAGAGATTTCCACTAATTACTCTCCGACCCCAAAAGAACGGCATGTTCTTCGTCATCGAAACGTGTGTCGGAGACTCGAAACTTGACGGCATCATGTCTTGGTTCATGTTACAGAGGCGAAAAAGTTGAAACATTCAAGGTATCGCTTCTGGTTTGTTTATTCCATGCTGATTTTTCAAATCTGAAAATTCATTGTGAAAACTCATTGCTAGGAACCTGAAAGTAACGTCGAAAAAATTTCCACCGTGACGCAGCTGATTTTCTGAGGGCAGTTGAGTAGCTCGTCTGTGGCATTAGATTATAAAACTTTGAACTTCGAGTTATTTTCACTGAACACAGATCAAACAGTTTTTTACCATACCATAAAACGAAGATCTGTTGATATTAGATTTAAGCGAAATATATACATGTAAATGATCAATACATATACAATACACAGATTCTATTTATATAAAGCACAGTGCAGGGGTATATAGATTTATACCAAGTCCCGAAGCCATAGAAAAAGAATTAATTTCCCACTTATTTATTTATTAATTTCAGTCAACTGGATGATTCTGCTCTCAAAATATTCTTCATACGAAATGGTGACAAATATACAATTGTATTTGGTCAAAATCATTCGTTAAACTAATTACTCCGACCGTGCAAGCCATTCAATATAGATACATTAGCAGTTGTTAGCACGTTCCTTTTGATCAACGTTTAAACTATAAATAATTGGAGTTCGTTCGCTGTCTTCCGAGTCAGATTTATAGCACAAGAAACCGTGAAAGAAACCTGTAATAACGTACTTCCAATATTCAAAAACTCGCTTATTTGAAATGCCGAAGAAAATACTGTTTGCGAATCCTTGGCCGCTGTCCCCGAGACCCTGAAAAAGAAATAGAATTTGAAGATTCTTTCTGGAGGCTGCTTGGAGTCTCAAGAGAAGGCGTGGCGAAGAGTTTTGTAACGAAACGAACCGAGTATGACATGGTTTGGATTTTGAACTGGAAAACTTTTGGACAAAAGAAACAAATGCAAACAAGGGAACAATATACTCGGTGGTGATAATTGAGAATTGGCAGTGAAATGATGGAGTTATATCGATAATGAAAACAGAATGTGATGAGAAGACTTCAGATGATTCACTGTGTCACATCGAACTGGCTCAAACTGAGAATGAACTGCTGGTGAAGTCTGAAAATTGAACCAGTAGAGACAAAAGGATCGGATGAAAATAATACTTAATCAACACGTGTAACTTCGCTCTTCATAAAAGGTTAGTTTATTTATACCTGCATAGCATAGAGCGGTATATTCTTGAGGACGCTGGTTCTAACTGAGAGCGTACTAAGGAAGGCAAAATATCTCACAGTTCCCCAGATCCTTAGCAGGATAAATGCAATTGGAATGAACATCATACGCCTTTCAACTTTCCTGGCTTCTGCCAACGTGTCCTCGCCAATCGAGTCTGTTTCTTGTATCTGAAAAGTGTCAATTTCAAATAGGCTCTAAGCTGGCGTCTGTATAGGATTTGATTGAGTTAAAACAACTGTATGTTTATTGTTTAATAATGTTTAATCATCTCTAGCACTGCCCTATAGTTTATTCTTTAAAATAAAAGGATTACTCGCAGTGCCAGTAGCAACAAAGATCCCCTAATATCTAAGGAACTTGTAGATGTTTCGACCTAAGGGTCTTAGTCGTCTGAGAATTATAAAGTAACTCTTCTATTATAAATGACCCTTTGATCTATTGGGTGGAAAAGGTTTTAGGCGCTTGCAAAACATATTTCATGAGAAAATAATCAGTCTTTACTCATCTCTCCCAGGTCTAATCCAGATATCCTTTGTTGCAACTACTAGAGAGTTGCGGAAAGTGACGAAAACTCAGAATTTCTCACCTTGAAACGAAGTGTCAGGAAAATTGTCAAACACAACACAGTGATGAGCAGATACGAAGAGAGCTCCCAAAATTTCGAAGTCATCATCGTCCACGCAAGAGTTTTCCTATCATCGTGGAAATCTTTGATCCAGCACCATCCACCCGTGGTAAGCTTGATATAACTTTCATTTTTGTTCAAAGCCGGCGAAGGCCCTAACGCATTACCTCCGAGGGCAATAAACGCAAGAATTAGCGGCAGACCCCAGCCTACTGCGTGGAATATGAACATCTTTTTGCTTGTGGAAATGAGATGGTTCTTGTTCATTATGATAAGGTATAAATGGATCGTGAGACAAGAGGTCCAGAAGAATGAAGATGTCATGGAGAAAATGATAATAAAACCCTCAATTTGGCAGGCAGGGGTAGCTGTCTGCGTTTGGTGCCACACACCTGAAATATTTGAAGCTGCGGACAAAAAGTCAGCTGAAAATAAAAGAATAATGGACTTATTTTGTGTGAACAAAACTTGGTCGCCAAGATATCTTTGTACTGATGTATCATAATACTCGATGGTACGACTGGTCAGGCGTTGATGCAAGTGGAATTTTAAACAGAAACTACTACTGGACAGCTCTCAGGTTTAAAAACTGTTCTCAGTTCTCTTCTTGCATATAATGTAAGTAGCTCTTTGGTATCTTTTAAGAGCGAAACGTGTTTTTTTTTTATAAAATTGGTAGTTACGTAATAAAAGATTGTCAAGATTAATAGGCGGAAGCTATTAAGCAAACAAATTGGGAATTTAATTTGTACTTGTCGCAAGTTCTGCGTGAAGCTTAACATGGGAAATATTTTTGCTAAAATGATTGCTATAATGCTATTATAATAACCTAAATTTGATTTATGGTAGCTTTTGAAGTAATCAGACTGTTCAGGTCGCTTTTGGCGTTTCGTTGAAAGAAACTAGCTCAAAGAGGAAGCATATTGCACGCAAACTAATGGAGCAAAAAGATTTTACCCTAATCAGATCAGATTTTACCCTTAGGGAGTAATAAAGGCATTTGCTGATCACAATTATTTTACCTGCAGAAATGAAAAGCAAAATTGTCTGTGCTGTAGTTCCCCCAACTCTGTACTTTACCAGTTTAATGTAAGAGATGACAATAAATATGACTCCAATCATGGATAGACCACCACCAATAGTGGTCGTTATCACGTTAGCTTCAAGGTGATAGTAACCAGGATTCTGTTCAACGCTAGTTGAAATATTTTTCATTCTTCCAGTAAGCGAAAAAGAATGGAAACTCTCTGGCGTGAACATATTCACGTATGTTTAGTTTGCTGAATCGTGTTTGTTTCTTTTTATTGCAAAGGTTGACCTTTGTATCTTGTAATGTGATATGGCTGAAGAAGAAGAAGGGATGTTTCATGTTTGTTCTAGTGACGTCAACTCGTCACTGATGTTAAACAACGATATATCTGATGTTCTGTGTAAATGAAAAAGCGAATTGAAATTGTTGGTTTCAAGTCTCACCAACGCAGTGGTTGGCTGACTTGACTCATTTAAAATCTATTGCCTACATATTGTAACAATACTGGATCAACAGTAACAAATTATCTTTACTGGACCTCTAGGAAGAGCATTTTATTAAATGAGAGTAATCTAGTGCAAATGAAGTTAGGATTGTTTATGTTTCGTCTTCTAATAACACTGAATCAATAAGAGACCATCCTTGAATCCTAAGAGTGAATAATAATTATTTTCAAAGGTGGCGTTTGGGTGTGTTTTATTGATTTGATGAAACTTTCAAGTGCGAAAAAAACACTTTCTACGGTTAGCAGGTTGCAAGCTGGGACTGTACAGAATGTATTGCAGTAAGCCAAAAGTGGCGCAAAAATCAAACTGCTCCAGAAAATAGGTGTATCTGAATATACAGGCACAAAGAAGGGATTGGGCCTGATAGTGATAATAGAAAGATAGCTCGAGGGATTATGTCTTAATATGTTGTGTATCATCATAGATATAAGGTTACAGGCTGAAAACGTTTAGCAAACGCACCCCCTGTCATCATCATTCCTCTCAGTCATGCTCCGTCATTGCTTTCTCTTGTCAATCGTCAGAAATCTGCTCTCAATGCCAGACAGTTTGAAAACTTATCCTAATGGAACGATTTGACAGATTTCTGAATTTAACATATCAAGTCTTACTGGAGGTCATTTTAAATTGTCGCACTTTGCTTATAAACCGCTATGATAATTAATAGCTTTAAATTGCTTAAAATCAGTGCGATCTGTCACATCATAGAAAAAAATATAACCTTATCTGTCACTTTTTTTGATTCTTTCTAAATGGAAACATGACAACACGTGTACTAAGTACTTTATTCATTCGACTTTTATTTTCATTATTACCAGAATTACGAGCAATATTTATGATGAGAATACCATATAAGTTCTCGACGTGGGATGTAAGCGATTCGCATAAATTCCGTTTCGAAAATTACCTAATCTGCATTACGTGCGGTCCCCTGTGGGGGGCTTCCACTTTGGAGGAAATAAAGAAGTGCGAGCAAAATTTATCAGGGACGGATAACAAATAGATCAAAAATGAACCGAATTGAGCGACAATCGTTGATAGTGGTAGAGAATTATTTCTAACGTCTTCAAAAAATATAAATTCATATTATATTAAAATGCTATTTTTGGAACCTATTCAGTTTCGAAGGCGGTTATCTAAGGACGTGAGGCTTGCATAGTGGAAACACAATCCAATAAAGTATTTTGTTTGATATGCCGAAGAGAAAGCTTGAGGCAAAACATTTCAAACATATGTTGTTGTTTTGATAAATTTGACAGCTTTAGTATTGTTTCTGGGGTTAAACAAAGGACGAAGAGAAGCTTGTATGCTTGGGAATCGAGTGGATTTTGGCATAGCTTCGCACAGACGGACGAGCGGCACCTTGACACATGAAACGATATCTGTAGTGTTTGAGTGTAAGGCGCTATCGCAAATTATGAATGTCTGATGCTTGTTTGAACAGCACTCGTCTGCCGTTTTCGCGAGATAATTGGGAATGAGAAAGCATGGGAAAAGAGCAAGAACTTGTTCATTCTATCCGGAGGAACGATGTGGAGTCATTCCGAAAGATAATAACGAAATTCAAGTCGAAATCGAGTAAGTATTCGCTTGTGTTTTTCGAGCGTACGTTCGTAGGTTGTCATTCAGCGTGAAACATGACAATAAAATCTTAACTGAAATGCAAACAAATCACTTGTAACCGGCCACAGGAAACGTTGAGATATTCAGAAATTAACAAATAATAGAGGGACGTTTAGATCATGACCATTTTGTAAACCGCAAGGGGTACATTTTTAAACACGCTTTGATTGTGAAATTTTGCATATCAAAAACATGAATTCCGAAAGGTATGTGTAAACATATCTGTGGTGTTTACCCCTATCGTTTGTTTTGTTAACTAAGCCGATATATATATGGTCTGTTTTGGTCATTTATAACGCAGATAAAACGCCACTTCCTCAGCCATTTAAAGGGAACTTTGTTGGTGAAGATCGTAAAACGTAAATATTTATAGAGAGGTTTAATATATTGGAAGACGGCGTTGTGTACTTTGGATAACACAATTACTGTAATGCCGACACAGCCTTTGTCTCTGTCGACAAATACCGATAATCTATTTGTATGTCGACATAAAAAGCTTTCATCTGAGGTAGATATTGCATATTGCAAAGCTGGATTCCTCTAGAATCTACACACTTGAATCTCAACGGAAACTTGAAATTTATTAGATCCTAAACCCTTCTTTTAACTGTTGCTAATGTGTTTTATAAATAGATAAACACCTGTTCTTTGAATAATCCTTCTGACAGCATAGTTTGTTTGGAGATGTTGCAGGGATATTAACAACACTAGCGGTGCATCGACCTTTACTTTGATACCTAGTGATATTGTCAAAACGCATGTGACTTCTTTGTGTTATCCCATATATTGGAATGCGATCGATATACAAGGTCTAATATTAAGATAAATTGAATTAGAAACTTCATCATGAAGGCAAATTATTCCCGCTAGATATGAATCGTATTCGGCAGACTGCCAGCAAACAGCTGGTATTTTGCATTAATGTGTTCAAAGGAGTAGTTTATTATGTTGAATAATTGTAATTTCATGGCAACAGACCATAACATACCCCCTAGCAATATTCTTTCTCCCATGACCAAATTGATTTATCAGTGTTAGAACATTGCCAGTCAATGACTTAACAAAAAACCTTTCTGTTTCTCATTAAGCCATTAGATGTGCCATTGCCAAATGTACAGTGCTCAATGCATGCAAAATAGTATTTTGCCTGTGAAAGGTGCAATACTGTTATTTCAAAAGAGGGAAACAGTTACTTTCTTCTGTCCACTATCTATAAAGGACAGCAACTGTTAAAAATAGGGTGCTACCTCAGGAAAGTTACTAAGCTAAGATTTGATTCACTTTGTAAATTTAATCTCTCCACTTACAGTGATAATGGCATGTTCTTTGTTTTTCTACCAGCTCCAAAAGCTGATTGTCTTAAGTGGTTTAATAACAGAACTAATAGGATTAACTGGCATGATTAAGAAACCAGCTTTCTGTTTTCAACTGACTCTCCCAATAAAAGCCCTTGTGTAGAAACATCCAGAAGTTCCATGTGCATTTTTGGAAGTTACTCAACCTCATAATATAACAATTTTTTATAGGAAAAGGAAATAAGAAACCTTCTCTTCATATTATTGATCATGATGGGTTCGTATAAATTTTTGTACATCATTTATTACTTCAAAATGACTACCTTTCTTCATAGTCCCCAGCCTAAATTGAGTCTAATTTAAATTTCCAATTTTCTTACCAGATTCATTCCTCTCCATCATGCTGCCCTCAGTGGAAATGGTGAGATTGTCATGGGATTATTGGAGTTTTCATGTGATGTTAATGCCAAGGATAAGAAAGGTGTGTTTTCTGATTTTAAAGATGCTGAATTGGAAATCCAAGCCAGGCAAATGATCCTTTGCTGTCTCTAGCTAGGTGTAGTTAGGCAATAATAATGTAGTTATTTTCTATTTGTCGTTTCAAGGAATGACGCCGCTGCATCTGGCAGCATGGGCAGGGAAAGTGGAGCCTGCGTTACTGCTTCTTGATGCTGGAGCTGAGACAAATCTTTGCTCTCGAAGTGGAGCTACACCTTTACATCTGGCTTCAGAACATGGAAATTATGGAGTGGTAAGTGTGCAGGAATAAGATACCAATGGTCCATCTCTTATTGATCCAGTATTACTACAGGAGGAAACCTAAACTAAACTAACTTTATATATACTGAATAGCTCTATCAGTTCTAAACTGTTCTTCCTAGAGGTCCAGTAAGGATCATCTCTTATTGATCCAGTGTTACTACAGGAGGAAACCTAAACTAAACTAACTTTTTTTTATACTGGATAGCTCTATCAGTTCTAAACTGTTCTTCCTAGAGATCCAGTAAGGATCATCTCTTATTGATCCAGTGTTACTACAGAAGGAAACCTAAACTAAACTAACTTTATTTATACTGGATAGCTCTATCAGTTCTAAACTGTTCTTCCTAGAGGTCAAAAAGTATTGTCTGAACCTCCAGGAAGGTCCACAGCCACCATTATATTAATTTCTCCAATCATTATTCCAGGTTGAGCGCTTGGTTGATCATGATTGTGATCCTACAGTAGTGAACAATCAAGGTGAAACTGCTTTGGATCTCGCATGTCGATTTGGCCATTTGGAGGTATTGAGAATTTTCACAAATAACTGTAAAATTGACCAGGTTTGAGTTGCATTTATTAACTAAGAACTTTCTCCCAGGTTGTCCGAATCTTGCTCAACAACAGCCGTGGAAAATGCGAAAAGTTGTTGAATCCAAAAGAGTTTCAGGAAAAAGCATCGCCCATGCACATGGCAGCCAAAACAGGCCATTTTGACGTTGTCAGGTACATCAGTTATCAAATTTTATTTTATTCTGATGTACTGGTACTTGGGAGTTCAGAGTCTTATCCCGGGCTCTGGCAATCCCACCTCCCTTCTCCCAACTCCCACCTCCCTTCTCCCACCTCTCTTCTCCAACCTCCCTTCTCCAACCTCCCTTCTCCCACGTCCCTTCTTTCACCTCCCTTCTCCCACCTCTCTTCTCCAACCTCCCTTCTCCCACGTCCCTTCTTTCACCTCCCTTCTCCAACCTCCCTTCTCCAACCTCCCTTCTCCCACCTCCCTTCTTTCACCTCCCTTCTCCAACCTCCTTTCTCCCACCTCTCTTCTCCAACCTCCCTTCTCCCACCTCCCTTCTTTCACCTCCCTTCTCCCACCTCCCTTCTCCCACCTCCCTACAAAACCACACTGAATCCATCCCTCATTATATAACTCTAACATTTGTCCATTTTTGTCATTAAACAACAATCTTTGTATTTCTTTCTACTTGACTACAATAACGTGATACCTTTCAGGTTGTTGGTTGAGTCAGGCGCTGATATCAACCAGAGAGGACCAACTGGAACATGTCTTCATGAAGCTGCACTTTATGGAAAGACTGATGTTGTGAAGTACTTGGTTGAGGTTTGTTATCAAGCTGCACACAAGCATACTTTAATGTAATTTTTTTATTTCACGATTGTCTTGTTTTCATTTGTGGAGTTTGTTTCATCTTAGGCTGGAATTGATGTGAATTTGAAAAACAGAGAAGGACAGACAGCCTTGGATATGGTCACAGAGTTCACCAAGTCAGGAGCTTCGTCTGAGATTAAGCATTTGTTACGAGGTAAGTCAGTGTTTTGAAACAGTAATATTCGGTCGTGGTTTGTGTCTGAACTACCTGAGAAAGATATCTCAAACGTGGTGGTTCAGTGTAGGTAGTATTCTACAATAAGCTGTCGTGGTTTGTGTCTGAACTACCTGAGAAAGATGTCTCAAACGTGGTGGTCTAGTGTAGGTAGTATTCTACAATAAGCTGTCGTGGTTTGTTTCTGAACTACCTGAGAAAGATATCTCAAACGTGGTGGTCTAGTGTAGGTAGTATTCTACAATAAGCTGTCATGGTTTGTGTCTGAACTACCTGAGAAAGATATCTCAAACGTGGTGGTTCAGTGTAGGTAGTATTCTACAATAAGCTGTCGTGGTTTGTGTCTGAACTACCTGAGAAAGATATCTCAAACGTGGTGGTTCAGTGTAGGTAGTATTCTACAATAAGCTGTCGTGGTTTGTGTCTGAACTACCTGAGAAAGATATCTCAAACGTGGTGGTTCAGTGTAGGTAGTATTCTACAATAAGCTGTCGTGGTTTGTGTCTGAACTACCTGAGAAAGATATTTCAAACGTGGTGGTCTAGTGTAGGTAGTATTCTACAATAAGCTGTCGTGGTTTGTGTCTGAACTAATTTATTTAACTTTCAGAAGCATCAGTGGAGGTAGTCTATGCAAAAGCTGTGAAGGACTATGCAAACATAACAAATGATTCTTTCTTGACTCTGCGGATGGGCGACATTGTATTGGTAAGTTTACAATTCCTGTCAAAAAGATGCGGTTTATTCCAAAGATGCGCACGGTTTATTCCAATTGAGCTGCGGTCGATGAAATATTTTGTTGTGTTTTACTTAGGTTCTTGACAGACGGAAGGACGGAATGTGGAAGGGATGCGTGAGAGATGATCATGTGCGTCGAATTTTATCTAATATATGTTCTTGAACAATTAGGAAATTTATGAATGATGTAAGTACCGAGTTTAAACTGAGTGAATTTTGACTCACGTTTATTGTATCTTTTATCAGAAGGAAAGAATCGGATATTTTCCCTCGTCTGTTGTCCAAGTTCTTCGATCGCCTCGCAATTCAGGTATTAAACCCATTCCTGTTTTTTTCATGTCATCCCAACTTGGGCAGCGGTTTAACCTCTTGGTATTCATGTTATTTTCAGTGAAGCGTTCGTCTAGTTCGTCCAGCGAGGCTTCGAAATTCTCAACTCTTGGAACAGTTTCAAATTCGTTTGAGATTGTGACCGTCGCACCACGTAAGTGAACTTGTATTTGTGATTAGTTCAGGTTTCTCCTGTAGTAGCCCTGGATCAACAAGAGATTATCCTTATTGGACTTCTAGGAAGAACAGTTTAGAACTGATAGAGCTATCCAGTATAAATAAAGTTAGTTTAGTTTAGGTTTCCTCCTGTAGTAACACTGGATCAATAAGAGATGATCCTTACTGGACCTCTAGGAAGAACAGTTTAGAACTGATAAAGCTATCCAGTATAAATAAAGTTAGTTTAGTTTAGGTTACCTCCTGTAGTAACACTGGATCAATCGGATATTTCTTTCATTATCCAGCCAGTCAACCAGTAGCAGGCAAACCTCGTGCTCCGAGAATGAGTAGTTTCCGTAAGAAACCGCCGAATAGATCTCAATCAGAACCTGACGACCGTTCGTCTCGTGTTGCCCCGAACAATGGCGAAGCAGCCCGAAGCGCGGCCGAGCGTTCACGATCTGTGAACGAAGTAGATGACAGCAAAAAGAAACTAAACTATTTGGACATAATGATCGTGGATAATCAAAATAACAAGTCGGGGAACCCCTCATCTCCGAAGACGAAAACGGAATATGCCGATGTTTGGGTGCCGAATTCTGACGGTGCAGAGCAAATGGACGGCAAGAATGCTACAACCGCTCCCAAAAAGGATGTCGGAAGGACAAATGAAACTCAGAAATCGGTGCGAGTGAACGGCAGTTATGCCAGGCTGGGACAACAGATGCTCGGGAAGCAAGGAGCTGAAGACAAGGAGAAACTTCGATTGGAATTACAGAGACAGCAAGAGGAACGAATGAGAAGACAACAAGAGAGGGTTGAGCAAGAGAGCAGACAACAACAGCAACAACAACAACAACAGCAACAACAACAATCATTAACCTACAATCAAGAACAACAAGGAGCAGCTATTGTAAACCAGGGACAACAAGGAGCAGCTATTGTAGACCAGGGACAGCAAAGGTCGTTGTCCGAATCACAGCTTCCAGTGAACCCAGTACAAAAATCTCGACATTACACCATGTCATCGCTGGTGACGCATTCACCAGACCTTTCTCCTCTGCCTTTGAAGAAACGACACTCGCTGTCCGGGGAGAGACCCTCCTTTGATTCGGGGCTAAAGAACGATAAAAAGAATCGATCTTCGTTGCGAGGTGACAGAAGGATGACATCACCCCCTCCACCACCCCCTCCGCCACCCTCGTGCTCTACCACGCCATCGCCCGTGTCAAGTGATGTTTCATCTCAAAGCACACCAAGATCACCCTCGCCTTCTCTACCCCCACTCCCTAAACCCATGGATGTGTCGCCGCTTTCCCCGATTCTTCTCAAGAAAGGTGTGCAATCTCCAACATTCTTTAAACAGCCCGTTCAAATACCAACACCAAAGTCACCCCAGCCCCAAGCGGAAGAATTACCCCCCGCCGTTTTCAAGAAGCCCGTTCGACCACCCTCACCTTCATTCCCCCCTCCCCCAGCTTCATTCCCCCCTCCACCAGCATCCTTATCAGATACAACAGAAACAACAAATGTTAGTAATCAACTTAATGTAAACCCCCAGGTTAATCGTTCACCCTCGCCACCTCTCCCTCCTCCACCAGAGAACCTCACCTCTCCTTCAACTTCTTCTGTGAACGACTTCCCCCCACCGCCACAAGCACTCATGGAAGCCTCCCCTAAGGCCTCTCCGACTCATTCGCCACCGAGACAGATGGAGGATTCCCTTAACCTTAGCGATGAAGAACCCCACTCCGAAGACCGAGATTCTCTCCCCCACCCCCCACCTATCACTCAAGAATCAACCCAACCTTCAACCCCCGGAACTCTTCACCCACCTACGGGCTCACAATCAGGCTACGAAGATATGACGAGACTCAAAGGACAATGGACTAAACCAGAGGTTCAAGTTGACAAAAAGGGTTACGTTCTTATCAACCCGGTGAAGCGTTCCTCTTCCCCGGAATCCCCCGTGGTAGAGGCCCCCACCCCGCCCAAACCCTTGGCCATCTCCTCAAAGTTTTACGAGAACTTTGTCCCGCTAAAAACGCGCCATTATGAGGTACGAAAGATACCACGTCATGTACCACACGAGGACGCCGAAAATGCTGCAGAGGAGTCCAGCCACCTTAAGTCAGATGTATCCCAGAAACCCGAGAAACCTTGTCGTCACTGTTACGTAAACTGCGAAGTCAGCGGACAACAGCAGAGCACTGTAGAGCAAAGTAAGTTGTCCTGTAGCGGTATGTCGAGATTATAAACAATTGTTTGTTGTTTGTTATCAGCTTAGGAAGGACTGACTTCGTTTTGACGAGTTTTGCACACAGCAACCGTCTGATTTTTTTGTCAGTAAAAGCATAATTCTCTTATTTTTATCATAATGAATTAATGATTCATTTATACATCAGAATGATTTCATAAATGCTGATTTAATCAATCGTTAATTTACACGCATCCTACTGTATGTTGATTTCCAGATCATGAATGTAGTGGCGACTGTCAAAATTCTAAAGATGATTCGAACGAGAGTATGATTCTTTATCATTTTATTCATCATCCGTCCTAACCTTCTGCAATCTTGTAGACTAGTCTTTCAATCTTTCATTTTCAGAATCAACAGCAGGTTCCTTACCCGTCCTTCGTGTCCCCCCAGTGCCCCAAGTACCACCGGATTCCTCGTCGGATGCTCCAAGTTCAAGGGTAGGTAACGTTCTCTGATTGGTCGACATTGCCATGCAGTTAATGACTTACAACAGAGAAAGACAGCTGAAGTTATCTTCTCTCTACAGAAGGTCGAATATGATGAGTTGTATGATTGGCTGGCCCAATCCAAGCTGCTGGCGTACATGGATAATTTCGCGGGCGCTGGTTTTGACCTCTCTGCAATGGCTGGACTAACTGCAGAAGTGAGTGTGCATGATCTAATGTGCAGAAAACTCATCCTTTCAAAACGAAATATCGTTTCGTTAAAAGATTAGACAACAAATAGCACTAACGGTTATCGCACGAAAGATTTTCTAAGTGTCTTCTTCCTTTTCCATTTTTCAGGATTTATCTGATATGATGATAACAAAAACTGGTCATCGCAAAAGACTTTTATCCGAGGCTGTGAAATTGCCAAAACCAGTGATCACGTACGAGGTATTTAGACTGTGTGTTCATTCAGGTGAAATGGATAGATCGTTGGAGAGTACTTAACCTTCCCCGGGAGGATTCTGGGCAATATGTAGGCTTTCTTTAAAATTATGTGACATAGCTCTTGATCTAATCATATTTCTATTAACTGTGATATAATTTTACTCGTTAAATGGTCCTCTCATGAGCTTGAAATTGGGGTGCTATGAATTTGTACGCTGAATTCATTAAAAGTATACATATAGAACCTTTTATAACCCGACTCTGAACTAAACTGGATAATATCTTGGTCAATGTTTGCATATTTTCTGCAGAATACGAATATAAACCTTCAACTCTTTTTAGAATAACGTTCCATCATGGCTGAAATCTCTGGGTCTGTCTGTCTACGAGAGTCATTTCATGGATGGCGGTTTTGATGACATCGAATTCCTGTACGACCTCACGAAGGAGGATCTTGATGCGATCGGAATCACAAAAGTTGGTCATCAACGTAAAATTCTCATGGCGACCAAGAAATTACAACAAAGAGGTACTACACCGTGGAAACCGGTTGTTTAAAGAGGCGATTCTTTCCCTAAAACGTGGATAAATAATGCACAATTGAGATGGCTGTGGATTCACGAATGATTCCCAAGCATGCAATATACCTCGACTAATCATTTCGTATTTTAACATGCCCCATTTACATCGTATTTTTTCGAAACGATTTTCAAATCTTAGCTTCTGGTTTACAACGAACCCTAAATCCCGAAGATATACTCAATTTCTCGTGGTAGATCCCGGCTTACGGTGCAATATTTATACACAATAAACTTGATAAATCTGCGAGGACTCACAGATTGGGCATGCCTGCCAAATTGCACGCTTAAATGAAATTTTGTGTCAGATAGATATTTATTTTGTCGTCCACCTTGTCGCTCTGAAACCGGTCTTAATAGACGAGTTATACGCCCATACATGGTAAAGATGAATTCTTCGATGATGAGAATAAGGCTGAATATTGTCGTTCAGCACGCCACGAACACGGTTGGCGACGAGTTTTCACTTTCACTAAAGCTAAAAACAGTTGTAGCAACATATGACAACTACGTAAGATCGTGAGGTGCAGCACAACATTGTTCAGTCCTGTTTTCATCAACTTTTTGAAATTTTTATCCCCCATGCGAAATGTTGGCCATCCGTTGTGCGAGTCTGTTATCAATACTTCAAGTAATAATCGTCGAAACTCGAAAATAATCATATATAATAATAATAATAATAGAAATTTAACGAATATAATAATAAAACGCAATAAAATTGTAATAAAAGTAATTTTATGGTAACGAAAATTGATTTCATAATAACGTCGTTTATCGTAATGAGAATACTAATATCATCGTAAAAATATCGATAAAATAGCGCAGGAACTGCATGATATACTAAAGTTTCAAAGTTTCAAGAACGTTTAAACGTATAAACTGTGACTGTATTAACCAACTGTTAACTAACACTGATAGATTGTATCAATACCGGCTCGTCTTAAAAAAATAACTCTGCTTCAAGGTGGACTACATTTAGAGCAAAAATGTTGTTAGAATTTTAGCAATAAAATGTTTTAGATTTTGGAATTGCATTTTGTGTAACTGCCGAGCACTTTTGTTGACCAGTAAACACACAGTGTTTCCATACTGTGGAAATGCTGGAAAGAAATCGCCCTTTGAACAACCGGTCTTGGGCGATGTTATTCAATGTAGTTTAGTATGTAGCGGTGATTGTATATTGAGAAATATCCTGGCGTAGGTTGTACGAAGGTTCGATAACGCTATTCCCAGATAGTCGAAAAGCTATCCTATGGATAGAGCTGTCTATAGTCTTCGTACAACCGTCCCTTGTAATGGAAGCAAAAATTGAGATATATTTCAGCAAAAACTGATTTCAATAAATGCTTGTAGTACTCTGGCTAAATTTGGTGTAGGATGAGACAGAGGCAACTTCGCTTGTGGCAGGCGATAAGCAACTGTCGTTTGGTTGTCTGAGAATTAGGATCAATAGAATTCAGTTCTGCTTTCTGGCCCGGAGGAGTTTTGCCTTCATCGAAAACTGGCCAGTCAACTCGGCCATATCCTCGTTCACACACAACTCGTTCACTAGCCAGACACTCCCTGATATTAAGGACGCCTTGAAGGAAATTAAGCTATCTGTCGCTATTCCTCTCCCAACTGCAAGAGAAATATAGTTCATCATCTTTCTTCCACCTTTGAAAACACCATCCCAATACTCATCAATCAAATCCGAATCAATACTTCCATCCTGAAAATTTTTCTGGGCTATTCTGGGTTAACTAGGTAATTTTGTATAGAAACATCTCTTTGATTGTCACTGCTGTCTCCTGTGGCAACTCTGAACTTCCTGTACAGAAGGCGTCAGACCCCACAGCTTGTAGGAGTGCCCACTCAAGATGCTAATTTATGACTTGTTTAGTCATTACGTCTTTTTTTGGTAAAAAATTGCAGCGTTTAAAATGCATGAAGTAAAGCAGTTATATAATGTTGCCTTCTTAAAGATGTTGAATTTCCTTGGATATTGTGGCTAGTCATTGATTAAAATTACGCCCTGATATTACATAAGAAAAATTCTTTCAACTTAAACAGTGAATACTGCATTCATTTTCTCCAAACGCTACGACCCCCCCCTCCTCTAGTGGCACTCTAGTGGCACCCCCCTGAGGATTAATCTTGTATAATTCCGTTAATGATAAAAAGTCTCAAGCTGAAGCTATTTTTACATCACTTCTGACAGAAAAAATATAAACCATTAACACCAAATAACTTCCTTCAGCTGTGCATTATGAACGTGACAGTGCTTCAGTCTTTTGTAACTGTTCCAGAATCTAATGATTAGACAAATGAGAGAAGCCACGAGTCATTGCTAGAAGACCGTTCAACAGATCTGAAATTAGGATGAAACAAAATCCTTCGATTTCTTTCCCTGTCTTTAGAGCATCATCTGGAAAGATTTCTGCATGTGGGCCTCTTAAAGTTCAAAGTTGCCGATTTTTCTGTTTTTTCTCCAGCACTAACAAATCTTGGCTTAAGTCCGTGTTGAATTATGTTTATAAGCGGGTTAATAACAACAATATTTGTTTCCATGCGAAGAAAACAGAAAAAAACAACTTCTCTTTCAAATGTAGCCTCTCTCTTTCATACTCCTTCAAGCCCGTAAAGGCTGCCTTTCATATCCTTCGCTGAATCTTCTTTTCCAATATGTCTGTTATCTTTTCAAAATATCTTTGTTTTGTCGTGTGAATTATCCATTCATCTATTGCAGGGTCGACTGCTTCGTAAAGCTCGTTCACTAAATGTGTGACAGAAATTTCTCAAGAAGCCTTTGACTATTAATAGCAAGCGATGCAAAATCTTAACTTTTAAGACTAGTTTTGCATCGAGCCTTCTGCTAATACCTAGCAATAAGCCGAAAATTAGTAATGCAAATATTTTACAAGCCTCGTTACACCTGAAGCGAATCCATGTAAACAAGATTAAGTTATGTCTCAATCCAGGATTACCTCTTAATCCTGGATTATCTCTTAATAAACCTAATGATTGTCTTCCTTTTTTACAGATAACGAGGAAGAGTTGACGACAGAATGTAACTATGTTCAAGAAGATTGCATGCTAGAAACGGAACGGACACAGCCTTCTCATGATGACGTCAAGTCCGTGGGTGTCACGCGCGATTATGCTGACGAGTGCGTGGGCGAGTATGCAGTTCCCAGAGTATTGAATTTCGCCGGGAGTAAAACCATCAGTGACGATAACACGACAGTCGCACATCGAGAACTCAGTTGCTCGGAGGAGCAAATATCGGACGGAGAAGAATCGAAGAGAATCAGCGAAGATCTAGGACCGCAAGAGGAGTCACTCCAATTAAATAACGAAAATATCGAGAAAGATTTGGACAATAAAAACCTTACAGTTGAGATGAATGGGAACACGGAAGGCAGTGATAATATTGACGGCGTGAAAGAGCTTGCAGCCTCTTTCCAACACGCAATTCACGAGGAAACGGCTAAAGTGAAGGCCAAACCACCTCCAGTAAAACCCAAGTCGTATAAGAAAGCTCCACCGCCCGTAGTCGCCCCTAAACCCAAAGCGAACGGAGTGAAAGTTAACAAATTCAACCACAGTCCTACAGGTACGTCGCTACTATATTATATTTTATTTCAATCTTATGAAACGTGAATATTGCTTGGCGTCATCGGGCCAAGAGGATTAAGTTTAATGAGTGTAGATTATTTAAATCTACAACAAACTCTTGTTGAAAATCAACGGGATTCATTTATCACAAATAATTTCGATTTGTTTTGGTTTGTGATTTACCTTTTCCGTAGTCAAGGGTATTCGGTCATCTAGATCTTATCCGCACCCTATTTGAACATTTCGCGAGTAAGGTAAACATAGGCTACCGATGATCGCATCGTTGACATTCCTTCTGGTAATTCAACCTTACGAAGGAACGTTTGCAACGAATTTGCGATGTTCGAAGATCGTTCCAACCACGAACAAGCTACATCTTGTTTATTCCTAAGACGGCTTTGTGGTCCTAATTTGCATTTTACCTCGAACGAAGGCTAAATAAATAGTGGAATTACAAACGCGAGATTGAATGTTAAATTTGGCACAAGCTGAAGTGTTAGCTCAGGAAGTATTTAACACTTAGTGTGCTGTCGTAGCGTTCAATCGTAACAGAATACAACGTTCGTTTGTTGCTATGATCTAATTCAAAACATCGCCTCGCTAACCGCTTCTGGAACCTTCCCCCACATAAATATGTATTTTTGAAGCGATTGTATAATGTGGCAAGTTATTGTGTTCGGTAGGAACCCTTCAAGAAGGTCTCGCGTTCCGTCGGAAACTCAAAATAAGGCATATTCTTAGCTTAAGTAGGCGAAACAATGATTGGCATCGTTCGATCGAAACTGATCTGTAAGCAGTCTGTCCTAGATTCGTTTCACCGCAACAATAGATTAGACGATGTGTTGAAATCCGACGTTAAAATGATCACCATAGCGCGGGGAATACATCGCAGATGTTTTTTCCAAGAATCACTTCAAGAATATAGATCACGTTTATTTAATTAATTCAATGCAAGGGTGGTTTGTGTTTTGAGTTCATCCACTTTGCGATTCAGCCAGCGCTAAGTCGAGACGTTCATCCGTCATGTGAGTGATCCATGAGTCCATGACCCTGCCAAATATATTGGAACATGGATGTTTACAAATGCCTTTGCTGAAATTCTCATATATTGACGTTTATTATACATTCATGAGAAGCTTCAAATTCAAATGATTGCGAAGTTTTTCAATGAGTACGCCAACAACAGACTTTTCACGGTGGCTTTATTCATGAGGGGAAAACTCGCCTGTCGTTTTAACTTGTATCACCTGCCCACAAACGAAACGTCCCGTCAGGAATCGTTTGTACTTGTCTATGTAAAAATACATTACAGTTTTTGCAAATATATGTTTTGGAAACACGATAGGGGAAATTGTGTAAAAGCTGCGCATGTGTTCATAGTTTATAACTGATGTTTTTTATTATCAACCTTGTTAATTAACGAGATTAGAATCGTTTATCGGCGCTGGAGTGCCTGAGTTTAGATATATCACTTGATTGGTCTACGTGCATTCTAAGAGGATTAAACGGTTTTGAATACCGTTGACTCGTGTTGAACGTGATCTGGTTATCAAAGTAATTTCCGCTCAAATGCTGCGCTGTGTGGAGCTGTCATAAATAAAAATTACCAGCGTTTTAATGCGAAGATTTTTATAAGACGAAGTAAGAAAAAAAGAAGAGCGTCTGTGTACAACGCTCGAAGCAATTTCGTTCAGCCCACAGACCAAAAAGTGTTTGTTAAAAGTATTTTAAAAGTTATTTTAAAGATTTGTGATGTAAACGTTGTTTTGTCGCCAAAAACAAGAGGGAAAACAACTTTTCAATATCGCTACACTTCAAAGTATTTCAAATATTCATGTTACAACCCGAATTGCAAATTATTCCCAAAAAATCTGCGAGGCGCTTGGCATGAGATGATATAAGTGGACCATTGACCTTACCGCGATTAATTCTCACGACTTTTCCGAATTTTAAATATCGTAATTGTTTTGATGATTCTCAAATAGCATCGATATTTTGTCGGCAAAATTGTTTCCCAAGTAACGTCGGCTTTCCACCACACCTTACGAAAGTTGTTTCGATCATTTTTTTCACAGGCATGTAATATATGTTCCCGTCGTTTGTTCTTCCGAGTATAGTATGGAACAGGATGTTAATATTCCACTTACAAAATTTGGGCAAAATGCCTCTTAAAGGCAATGAGACATGTCTTGAGTTTATCTCGGTTCTATTAACCGTAGTTTATCACAAGTCATCATTGTGGAAAGCCTGGACTGATCCCGCCCTTAAACTGGACTCGCGGTCTCGTGATATAGCAAGTAGTGTTCCTAACTTTCTACACTATCTGATGTGAATCCAGTTCAGTGACTTCTGTCCAGTCCAGTTCATATAACGTAGCAACCCGCATTTCCCATACCACAGGACACACAAATTGGGACTTCAAATAATTATAGTTTTGTTTATATTGGCTTTGCAACCGCCTCGTGCGTTCTATTGAGACAAATTGCCACATGCTGTTTCAATATTTGCTCACTCGCTGTGAAAATAAATGACATGAACACACACTATTGAAAATATTCTAATAATTCTCTACAATAATAGCACAGTATAAATAGATGTTAATGAAATCCGGTTTGGGCATTCGAGCTTTTGCATCGAGTAATTGGAGTCCTGTCTAGGTTAGATTTAGAAAGTAATTAGGCACTTCAAACGTGGGGTCAATTGTTTGTGCCTCATGATGCCGTTGTTTTTGTCTGAAAAAGATATCTCAGTAGTGGTCCAGTGTAAGTAGTATTCTACAATAAGCTGTCGTGGTTTGTGTGTGAACTACCTGAGAAAGATATCTCAAACGTCGTGGTCCAGTGTAGGTAGTATTCTACAATATACAGGATCATAGAAGTAAGCTGGATGACGAGTAGCATCAATAATAATCAATCTGTGTGTCTCATTTCAGATCCCAATGCAAAGATTGACTTCACGGAGGTGATCAAGGAGGCTGAAGCTCTGTCAGAAAGTGGCTCGGAACAGTCTCCACCATCGACGCTCGGTCGAGATCGAAAATCAGAAAGTGGCATTTCAGTCGACAGTTCATTGGCTGGCAGTCAGGGATCATTGAATAGCGAATCAGAAGGTACGATGATCCATTCTCATTTTTGCAACACTTCATCGGTGAATGAAGAAACTGTTGAGGTCTCTTCTACTACGAGACAACAAAAATTGGGCTAATATAATGATGATTTTAGCTCAGTGCAGAATAGATTTGGTTTTAAGTCAAGGGACTAAGATTATTTTTTTTGACCAGTATATGCAAGAAACACTTCAATATTTCTGTTTAATTCTGCAGAATTCCAACGAGAAATCAAAGAAACTCTTCATCACAAACCTTCAACTGGTAATTCAATTGAAGACATCACAAAACAAAGTAAGCATCGCGCGTTTATCTTTTCAGACTCGGAATAAGCTTTCTTATAACATCATCGTTCGTACTGTGTTGTGAAATCGCTAAAGAGAAAGCTAAAGAGAAACACTCTTTTTTGACAGGTTATCTTACTTTGTCTCAAGAAGATTTGCTGGAACAACAAAGACGCGAGGAAGAGGTGGAAAAATACCAGCAGGAACAAAGGTGCTTTAGGATTGAAACTAAACTAATTTTAAACTCATTTTTGCACGACGTGGAACATTCATGCATTGTCCAGTCTGGTCTCTATAAAATCGTCTCTCTCCCTGTGAAACGTTCCTGACAATGTTTCTCGTTTCTTTACAGTAAAACAGACATGCTTTTCAACGATATCCAAGGAATGTTGGATAATCTAAACTCGGAACTGGACGATATGTTTAAATAGATGTGAGTGAAAGAGATCAAATGATAATATATTAGACGGAAACAGGGCGGCGAAGGACAAGAGTTTGGTTGGTAAATTGCAGCATTTTGATGGTCAGTTATAGTATGGTGGTGACCAATATCCAGATATGCTTTGATAAATAACTTTTGGGTGGTAAAGTCAAGTCAGGCTTGTTCATGGTGCATTGGAAATGGATGTGTATGTAGTAGCTAGTATATCTAACTCTAGTTTTGCATCTTTGAATTTGCAAGGCTTGCCGCTTGCTACGCCACCAATCAAGCCCTTGTCTAATAGCGTTCAAGTATTTGATTCCAAGGGAACGTTTATAAATATTCACTGTTTCTATTCAGTGGATGATATAGAAATATCAGAAACTATTTATTGGCTTTGAAGTACATATATAATTTGGTCGTTTACCATTGTGGAAATGATGTAAACTTGCTTGTTGGTTAAGTTATTCTTCTGTCTGCGTTCCATGCAAATAGGAACCATGATTATAATAGACAGAAACGTGTCTAATTGGAAACATTCGTTTATGAGGTCGACAAAATCTAAGTGAAGTTGCATTTTTTTTCCACACTACGTTAGCTAGAAATAATTATGTATCGCAAGATTTTGAGAGGCAGAAATTTTACCAGAAAGTCGGCTTTCCTCTGTCGCGTTTTTCGCATCCTTTCAATGATACTTATGAAATCAAGGATTGAATGTAGATTCATAGAGTTGGATTCTGTTGATGATTTGGTATGTTTGTTCTGGCATAAAATTATTTATACAACAACTTAGAAAGCTTTTACGTGCGTACACGTACGTGCAAAAAACGCGACAGTGGAAGGCAGCCCTTATCCCAGAGGAAAGAGTAGTAGTAGTTCATAACTCTTGACAAACTAACATTCGTCGTTTCAAGTTTTTTACTATGACTCAACTATTTCCTATCCGCAAGGAGGACACGTCATTTTGACACGTTGTAAGTCACATTTCCTAAAAACGTTTATGGACGACACAGTTTAATAATACCTTCACATCGATTGAAGTGTCCATTTTTGATACATAAAATAAGAGCAAAACATTGCAACTTCAAAGTTGCTTCTCATGTAGTTAGTTTGTCCTGGGTTTGCAATAGTTTATTAGTGTGATAAATTTTTTTAACAAATCATAGCTTTGAAATATTCCCCGTTTTTAATGAAGTTGTAAGTATATTGTAGAATTTTAATGTATCAATAAATATGTACGTGTGAGTTTGGTGCAACTTGAAACAGAATTGAAAGGTTTTTGGTATTTGAAGCTGTGCTCAATGGCGCTGGTTCGGATACACAAAGAATACAGAGAGATTGGGTATGGAGTATTTTATTGTTTCTATTAAAATTGATGAAATATCATTACTAGTTCTAGTGCATTGAGATTTATTATTGAGAATGTAGTGCAGCTCAGCATCTGTTCATTGTATTGTCTTTTTACTTGTTGTTGATCTTCAGTAATTCAATATCAAATTGGAGCGGAGAGTTGGCTGGGATTGTGGGTAGTGTTAAGGAAAACAAAGTTGCTTCTAGGAAGGTAAGATGAGGTCTTCAATGCATGTGGTAAATTTGTACTAGTCTGAAATTGGTTTGCAATTTTGGGTAGGGAGCCTGAAATATATGTACATGTTTCTTGAAGTAGGGTATTGCTAGACTAAACTGCTGCTAGTGTAGGACATTGATGTTGTCTTGGTCTAATACAAGCAACTAGCTAAGATAATTTTTCATCAAAAAGGATATCCCCATGCTGGGAAGCCACCGGCACCATACGCCTTGTGTGCTTGCAAGATAAATCTTGCTTTCTCACCCTTCTTCATTGTGAGGCATCCCTCATCCCAACCTTGATGAGATGACAAATAAAGAATTACTTGAATGTTAGGGGAAAAGTAATTGGTTGGTCTCAACAATTGTATCTGGCTGTTATGACAGAGGAACAATGGTGAAAACTTTGGTGATATTTTACATACACCCTGCTTTGCGTATACCTGAAATAACTTTTCCTAAGCCAACTTGAAAGCTAAACGGCTGCTGTCCTGGATCACTAGTACTGCAAAGGAGACGTGTGTGATGTTTGTAAACGGATATAACAATACGACACGTTGGTAATACGCCAAATTTGTAAATTGTAACACATAATTGCTTTAAACGTCACACTTAAATATACTTAAAAGACAAGAAACGATTTTCAAGAGAACCTCCAAAATTTCCTTGGCGGGTTAACCAAGCTTCCTGTACAATGAACCGTGATTAGATCACCAGCCTTTGGCATTTCTCCCGAACCTGGTTTTAAAATAGCTTTTGTCACTCCTTCGCTTATTTGAGCCGCCATTTTGAAAAAAAATGCAAGAACGTGCTTCCAGTTGCTCGGTCAAATTTCCTTCGCCACCGTAAATTTCCTTGCATAAAGCTTAGATTTATATCAGAATATCTTGCAATTTTAATTTAAAAAAACAACAATCTATTCCTGAGCGTGTAAAGCAAAAAAAAGTTTGAAAAGTTAATCGTATAAAATGACTTTCTTTTTAATCCTTTTATTTTTTAATTTATTATATTAAAAAAATTCTTCCTTTCTTAATCCTGTCCCTTTATATCCCCTTCTATCCATCCATTAATTGTTGATGTCCGAAAAAAAGTCGTTCATTCAATACAAGTCCGTCAAAGAAGAACCTAAAAAAAACTGTAAGTTTATTTAATTGTTTGTCATGTATTTAGTCAAACATAAACTGTTTGTATTCGTCCTGTATCTCGTGAAGTTTACATCCTTCGCGATAAAGATTCAAAGGTCATAGAGTCGTCGTTTGAACCTCGGTTTGAACATGGGCGGCCACTTAAGACTTGTGATTTTGGATTTGAAAATCTCAAGTGAAAGCTTATATTTCTCTCAATTTGCGAGCAAATACGATTATTCGGTTTCCCAGTCTTGAAGGGTTTTCTACGGCCTGTATTTGTACAAAATTGTGCAAGATATTTCGAAATATTTTCGTTTCAACCAGGTGTTAGGGCATTGTCCTTATTTGGTTTTGAAATGTAATACCCCTTGTTTTGAAGCATTTCACGCTGTCCCGTGACTCCCGTCCGGGCTGGCGCCGCATTTGAAACGAAAGAGGAGAATTCACGTAGCTTTTCTGTTTATTCTTTGTTTATTCCAAGCGGCGTGTGTTAAACAGGGTTGCGCTAGTTTAATTTTGACTTCTTAACGATGTACTAAGTGTAGTTTATTAGCGTATTTGCGTAAAGAAAACTCGTTTAAGATTTATATCCATTGGCAAATACATCGTCTTTGTCTCCTTGTCTTATTTGACATGTTTTCTTCAAATAATCCCGACAGCGAAGTAAGTTGAGACGAATCAAACGATTAAACATGGTTCTAAAACGTGAATTTTACCTTTGTTTTGAAGGCTTACAGGAGTCTGTATATGTATTAAATATTTAATGCCTTAATTTGTTAATAACACAAAGGATATATGCACAAAGTTTATACGAAGGTTGATAAGACAATTTTGGTTTAAGAGGATCAAATGTAACTTGCATAAATAGGTAATAGCCTAATTTTAAAACATGCACTACAGAAAGTTCATCTGTGTGGATGAATTCAACTGCCTTTGTCTATATATTAGATTGTAGTTTTATTAGATTATATTTTCTCTCTTGATTATAAGGCCCTTTGGATCAAACTGTAGGAAGATTTTGAGTCGAATTTAGGTAGTTGTTATACCATATTTGATTTAAAATAGTCAGGGATGCTGCTCCAGCCTTGGTTATATTGGAACATACTTTTGACTAACATCAGTTTTCTCTTCAGGATACATGCATGGGTTGTAGAATGACCAAGGGAAAAAGAGCGAAGAAAAATGTCCAAAAAGACGAGAATCACATTGAAAGCATTCCAGATGACTTGGAGTCAATGAAACGAAAAGATTTACAAAAACTTTGTAAAACTTACAATCTAAAAGCTAATGGAAAGGTAAAGTTTGGTGGCTTTTCAGAATATTTTGTATAAGTGATGGGCCTCACTTTGATCAATAAAGGCCTGTTTACACTTGCAATATTTGCTGCAATTTTATGAGAATGAGTGAATAAGTTATAGATGCACAAATATGGACACTTATACTAATAGAGCATTCATAACTTTTTGCTTGTTTCCATCTCTTGAAAGAAGAAAATCGCACCAAAACTTGCAAGTCTAAACTGACCTTAGAGGTGATGATGTACGTAGTTTTGTTCATCCAATGACATGTTTTTATAGAATTCAGAACTAGTAGAGAGGCTACGATGCCACTTCAATACAATCAAACTAACAGACATTGGCAGCGGGGAAACTGAGGCTGGCAAAGAGAATGTCGTTGTTGAAGATAATGGCTGTGACAATGTTGATGTAGCGCCTAATAAAGTCCATCAAGATGAATGTGACGAGAATGTCAATACATTATCACCGGCCGGAAAACCTGGGGAAAGTGCGCAGCCAACATCAAACACATCTTCTCCTAAAGGTATGTATTCTAGGAATGTATGGGCAGTGTATATAGCTAGTACATGTATAAAATCATCATTTTGATGCAAACTTGTTCAAAACACGAGTTAACAATGTTATGCTGCATGTACCCAGTAAGGATTGCAAGGATTGCATGTTAAATGATATTATGCTGTATCCATTGAACAGTATAATTTATTACCTTCAATTGTTTTTTATGACAGATTGGAACTGGTTGGCCCGATGGTGTGTCGTTGATGGTGTCCTTAAACAAGACGCTGCGGAAAGATGGGTTCAGATTCAATTGGTTGGTGGGCGGCCATTAATCATAGACACAAAAACAAAAGAACGTTATGATTTTGTGCTGGAACCAACAATATTACCCACGCCAGAGGAATACGAGGATAATTATATATGTGGTGATTGTGTGAGGAAAAACCATGAAAAATTGTCAGGTTGGATTGGAATAAGAAAGAGTGGCCTTACTGAAACACCAAAATCTTCTCTAGGTGAGTTAGTCTATGTAGAACTTTCTATGCTGTGTATCAGTTTAATTGACCCTGTTGCTATGACACTGGGTCAATAAGAGATGATCCTTACTGGACCTCTAGGAAGAACAGTTTAGAACTGATAGAGTTATCCAGTATAAATAAAGTTAGTTTAATTTAGGTTTCCTCCTGTAGTAACACTGGATCAATAAGAGATGATCCTTACTGGACCTCTAGGAAGAACAGTTTAGAACTGATAGAGCTATCCAGTATAAATAAAGTTAGTTTAGTTTAGGTTTCCTCCTGTAGTAACACTGGATCAATAAGAGATGATCCTTACTGGACCTCTAGGAATAATAGTTTAGAAATAACTGATAGAGCTATCCAGTATAAATAAAGTTAGTTTAGTTTAGGTTACTTCCTGTAGTAACACTGGATCAATAAGGGATGATCCTTACTGGACCTCTAGGAAGAACAGTTTAGAACTGATAGAGTTATCCAGTGTAAATAAAGAGATGATCCATGCTGGACCTCTAGGTAGACAGTTTAGAATTGATTAAGTTAGTTATTCAGTATAAATAAAGAGATGATCCTTACTGAGATTTGTTCAAATGTTTATTCTTTATCGCAGGTAAAGAAAACCTGAATAATAATAGTCTATTAAGGCAGTCATTCAAACGAAAGAGAGAAGACGTCATATCACCAAATTTCACATCAGAATTCATTGACTTGGTTGATACTCCAAATAAACTAAGACGACTGAATCCACAGAGTTGCTCTCCAGCCAGCCCGCAGGTCAGGCGTGACAGAGGAGAGGATTTTCAATTACCAAAGTAAGTTCCATAAATCAAGGCCTCATTCAAATAACTGCTTGTGTGGGGGGAGGGGAGGGATGGGGTGGGGTGAGATGGTCCTAACCAGAAATGGGTGATTTAAAGATGCGGGAGTTGTAGGGGGTTGCGGTCTGAAGTTGTAGGAGTGGGGGTTGTCTGGGTTGTGGGGGGTTGCAGTTTGAAGTTGTAGGAGAGGGGTTGTCTGGGTTGTAGGGAGTTGCGGTCTGAAGTTGTAGGAGAGGGGTTGTCTGGGTTGTAGGGGGTTGCAGTCTGGAGTTGTAGGAGAGGGGTTGTCTGGGTTGTAGGGGGTTGCAGTCTGGAGTTGTAGGAGAGGGGTTGTCTGGGTTGTAGGGGGTTGCAGTCTGGAGTTGTAGGAGAGGGGTTGTCTGGGTTGTAGGGGGTTGCAGTCTGGAGTTGTAGGAGAGGGGTTGTCTGGGTTGTAGGGAGTTGCGGTCTGAAGTTGTAGGAGAGGGGTTGTCTGGGTTGTAGGGGGTTGCAGTCTGGAGTTGTAGGAGAGGGGTTGTCTGGGTTGTAGGGGGTTGCAGTCTGGAGTTGTAGGAGAGGGGTTGTCTGGGTTGTAGGGGGTTGCAGTCTGGAGTTGTAGGAGAAGGGGTTGTCTGGGTTGTAGGGGGTTGCAGTCTGGAGTTGTAGGAGAGGGGTTGTCTGGGTTGTAGGGGGTTGCGGTCTGAAGTTGTAGGAGAGGGGTTGTCTGGGTTGTAGGGGGTTGCAGTCTGGAGTTGTTTGGGGTTGCGGTCTGGAGTTGTAGGTTGCAGTCTAGAGTTGTAGGTGGGGTTGGTCTGGAGTTGTAGGGGTCTAGGGGAAGGGAATATGGTGGATCTCTCTTCGAAATTTTTTACACTTTTAAGTCGCTTTGACTCCAATTCACACAATTTGGAAGACACTAGTTGATGAATCCATTTCAATTGAGCGATCGGTTATGAGAATATCATTTCTTTCTTCTGAACATCATTGGTTATTTTAGTAATATTTACACACAAAAGAGACTTTCATATCAATGTACAAAAGATCCTGTCCTGAAAGGTTGTTTATCCCAGCGCAAACAAGCTTTTAAAATAGCAGAGTTAGTGTGTAGTATTCTGAATGTAAGATCTTTTCTTGAAGGAACCTTTTGAAACCTTTCAAACCGAAAAAGGCAAAGAAAACGCCGCCAAAGGAGGACCCAGATTACGCTCAAAAAGTCGAGAAAATTATCACAGATTTATCACCTGAAGAACAGCGAAATCTTGTGTTTGGTCTGGGAAACTCTGATCTTCCAAGATCACCTCCGCATACGAAGTAACTATGAGATTAAAATTAGGGAAAAATTGACGAAAATTTGAAAGCAAGACAAAAGCAAAGATTGAAGGTATTTGACCGTCTATTTTGGAAACGTAATTTTTTAAACTGTTTACGGGATTAGAATAATTGGACGGACATTGCTAAAAATATTGGGTTTGCATGTCCAGTTGAAAATACTTCGTGAGATGTCGTCTGATATTCCTAGTCACATGTCTCCCAATGTGGGAATATCAGTAAGTTGACAAAGTTCTGTGCTACAACGATCTGATGTTGTTCAGAACTCATAATTCAGGGTTAACCATGGCTTCTGCATCATGCAGAGCTGGTACGTGTTCTTGAATAAGAGCCGCCCTAAACTGGTCAGATGTTAGTGCGACATCGTACCAGGATTTTTCCAGAAAACAAACAAATCATTCACAAATAAGGCAAGATCTTTAGAAATTCAAAACTTCAAATCGGGGTTGATCAGCTGTAATTCATTTCGACAACTTTGGCATGATTCATGCACGATGAACTGTAATATTTGTATAGTCTTTTAATTTTCATGGACAATTTTGATTTGTAAAAATGTCGCGAGATAATTTTCATGCGTAGCCTGTAAATCATTATTTAAATTAGCTGTCATAGGCAGCTGTAGAAAAAAAGGTAATTTTTAGCACCCCAAGACGCGGGTGCACGAGATAAACCTGGAGTGAGATGTTGTCATTTAATTCTTGGCTTTCTTGGGAGCGCAATGGGCTGGTTACGTAATCATTAAAATCTCCGGTCGGAATTAGTGCCTTCCCTTTGCGTTACTGAGCTCGAAAATATTTGACCGCGCACGCGAAATTGTTTGACCGCACACGCGAAAATGTTTATTCGAAAAAACTGGAATGACGACATAATCTTTTGCTGTTCCTACGATCGACTGTGATTGGTCAGTTGATCACCATATATGGTAATTAGGGCTGAGAGATATTTGATTGTGAAGGATGGTTATGATCGTCACATGACAAGTTAATAAACTAACAAGTGAAGCATTGTTACCAAGCACCTAGACATTACGTAATCAAACCTATTAAAATACACCCTAATTTTCCGAAAATTCAAACACGTTGATAATGATTTTCGATACCGCGATTACTTTAACTTTAGTTTTATAATTTTCAATTGTTTTTCTTTTAAACCGTGGAAATATAAATGTTTTTATATTCGCGCATGTCTTCAGATTAACACACAAGAAATTTGAAACCAGGTCATGTCATGACAGATCTTTTGACAAATGTTCAGAAAAATCAAGAATTCAATGAAATCTTTTCTTCAAATGGCGATGCTTAACTTTGATAAACACTTGTTGTTGACGATGTTGTTGAATCAAGCAAAATACTTTCCATCCAACGAGGTAAAACCGTGATTCTTTTAAGCTGCGAACGATAAGCTAATTGGTAAGACGGTTTTGGTTACAATAGACATACCACAGCTTCCTGTGTCATGCAAACAGGCTGAAACAGCATAGACTGAACACAGTTCGAGAGATGTTTGTCGTAAAATACCGAGATGTTGGACGCAGTTAAAGATTATTTAACACCCAAGACATTCAGTATCCCAGCATACGTATGTTTGATTGCTCAACTTCTCTGTGGCCCGGTTTTAACTGGCATTGTTGTTGCTTTGAGAGTCGGAGAGTTTGCGAAATTTAACTGCGCTGTCGGCCCTGAAAGTGCGGCCTCGTACAAGACGACTGTCGAGAAAACATGTTATTCAAGATATGAAGAGAAGTATAACTCTCCACTGCCATTTTATGGCTTTGTCATCCTGAGTATTTGGTTTCCTATTTTTGTCGCTGTTATTTATTCTCTCTCAGTTCGTAATCGCGTTGAAGAAATCAGTGGCTCGAATGATGAACCACAAAATGACGCCGAAGCAGGAAACGAAGTACACAATAGAAGATCATTTTATGTGTTTTATTCCTATTTCTTCCACCTTGTCATCCGTTTGTTATTCGGGCTGGTGTTTACCATCCTCCAGTATGCTGTGTTTTTCCGCAGTGGTTTCGATTTTGAATTCAGTTGTGATCAACCAGCATCAGATGTGACGTCGAAGATAGCAAAGAATGCAAGTGTCAGTCAGTTGAATAGTACAACGTCAACAATAACATGCGAGAATTCCACTGCATCGGAGAAGCAGTTATGGGCAGGGATTGTGTGTGCGTTGAACACGATTTTCGCAGCGATAATATTCGTGGAAGTGATTTACCTTTGCCTACGATTTTCCAGGAACCTTCGATTTTCGTCTGAAGATGACCATGTTCATGACGCTGAGTTTATCACTGTTCATTTTTCTCAAAAGCGATACACCCATGTTGGTTTTAAACTAACACACTTTGAATGCGTAGATTCGTACAAAAGACGTGTTTTAGAAGAGTCTCGCACACCTCACATAAGTTATGGACCGAAAACTGGTTTGGATGATTTGTTTATTGACGTTGTTATTCACACTGAACGAGCTCGGCACAACTTTTCAACCAAAATGAAAAGACATGAAATATTTGATGTCTACATGAAAGTTCCCGATAATTCTATACGTCTGGAAAAGGTAAAAGATTTATTTTATCCCAACAAGGATACTAAAGGGAAACCTCCTCGTAAAATTCTAGCGGTTGGCCGTCCTGGAATAGGAAAGACTGTCTTGACGGAAAAAATTATGCGCGATTGGGCAAATAAAGTTGACGAGTTTTATTCTGGTAAAATTGCCTTCTATTTTAAATTTAGATGGTTTAATCTTACCGAATGGCAAGCCAATGATCTTAAGACGTTCCTTTGTTGTGGAACGAGACTGAGCGATGAAGAATTTAATGGAATTTTTGATTACATAAGTAAAAAACCGAAAAAAGCTCTTCTCATTTTTGATGGTTTGGACGAGTTTTATGGCAACATCAAAGACTGCTTAGACCACCTACCTCGTCGAAACAACCCTGATATTCGTATGCCTGCCATTTCGTTGTTTATTCAGTTGATTTCTGGCCAATTTCTGCCTGGGGCAAGGATTCTGGTGACAACTAGACCAACCGCATCTGATTTTTACTCGAGACTTAGATTCGATAGAAATGTGGAGATTATTGGTTTCACCTCAGAGAAAATTGAATGTTACGTGAGCAAATTTTGTGAAAATCATAAGAGAAGTGACCTGAAATCAAAGATGTGGAACCACATAGAATCCTCGTCGGACTTGTTAAGCTTATGTTACATCCCAGTGAATTCCTTCATAGTTTCCACCGTACTGTTTGGATATCTCACTGATCCTAGGAACGAGACCGCTGTTCTTCCAACAACACTGACTGAAGTATATCAGGCCGCCATAAAGCATTTTGGTGAGTATCACTACAGGAAGACAGACGAACAGTCTTCTAAAAATGTAGTCAAGAATCTTCAATCGTTAGCATACAAAGGTATTCTACATGGGCAACTGGTTTTCAAAGAAGAATTATTTGATGAAGAAATGAGAAGGTCTGGTTTATTGAACAAGTTGTCCAACCCTATTTTCCCAACTCTAGAACAGTTTTGCTTCATTCATTTGACTGTACAAGAATTTCTTGCTGCAAAACACGTGATTGAAACGCAATCTCCAGAAGAAATAAAGAATTTTATCTCTTCCAATGTTAAGCATGGTAAATGGCATTTAGTACTTCAATTTATTGCTGGATTATTGGGCCAGAAAATAAAGACGGTTGAGGAAGAGTACCAGCCCTACAAAGATTGTGTCATGGCGTTTGCAGAAAGCTTCAAAGTAGATGATGGTAAACTTGACCTAGCTGATTATGGTTCATTGCTTGTGATGAAATGTTTAAAGGAAGCGGGTGATGAAGATATTGTTAAAGAAGCTTGTGAAAGAACTGTTATGAAGGATGTTGTAAGTCTATCAATATGCTGTAGCTTTCCTAAACTTTTCTCAAGTGATTTGGCCGCAGTGTTTTATGTTTGCAAACTCATGAAGAAATTGACAGATATATGCGTAAGGGATATTAATTCGAGTGAGGAATGTTACATGGAATTTTGTAAATTTCTTCAACAAAGATGTATGAGAAAATTGGAGTTAGTGAAGTCAGATAAATACCCCGCCTTGCCACTGAGAGATCTCTTCAAGTCCCTAATAAAATTGAAATGTACAACATTGGATCACGAGCACAGCAAACTTATTACATTAGAATTAGAAGGACTTCCCACAACGGATGAATGTTTATCGATGATTTTGGATTTTTTTAAACATGGACATGCAAGCTGCCTTAAAAAATTATCCCTAAGATTTTCTGGCATAACTTCAAGTAAAATAACGGAAATAGGTGAAGTCTTCGACAACGAACTTTGTCCAGAACTTACAACACTGAATCTTTCCGGCAATAAAATTCGTGATGAGGGTGTAAGAGTGTTATGTAATGCTCTTATTAAATGTCGTCATCTGAAGCTTACTAGGTTAGCTCTTCATTTGTGTTCCCTGACTGATGAATGCATACCTTCGCTATGTGAACTATTTAAAGATGAACATTGCAAACTGACGGACTTGGATATAGGATATAATCGTGACATAAGTGATGAAGGTGTTCGTATGTTGTGCGAAGATGTTTTAACAAATGAACATTGCAAGTTGGCTAAGTTGAACCTTGATTACTCTTCATTAACAGATCAATGTATACCCTGGTTACGCGAGGCACTGCTAGATAAACGCTGTGTAATTACTGATTTGTCTATAGCTGTATATAAGTTTACCAAGGAAGGAGAGGCGTCTCTTCGTGAACTAGAAACATATGAAGTTTGTAAAGCTAGAGGATTAAGAGTCTGCACACACTACATGCAATCCCGATTTATCAGATCCCCAGACGTTTATCCTGTGTTCTGATATATTTAACGAAATTGCATGTTCTTTAAATTGCATGTTTCTAAAGGTCCGTTACACTTGCGATTTTTGCTGCGATTTATAATTAGTTACGAATGCTGATGTGTACGAGCTCCAATTTGAACATCAGTAACTAATTCACTTGTTCACATCTATCAAAAGGAGAAATCGCAGCAAAAATTGCAAGTGCATGTGAACGGGCATCAATTAAAGCATGTATGCACTGTATAGTAAATTTAAAATAGGGTCACGATAGCACTTTTTACTCGTTTCTCGCATGAATATACGTAATGAAACACTTGTAATTCTTACAATTCCTTTCTCCTTTTATAAATAAAACAACTCTGAGACTCTGCTATTATTACTTAATACTTATTTTCCAATTTTTTCCAAAGATTGCCTGCGAAGGAGGCTATAGTGTAATACCAGGCCAGTCAACCTTATTCAATAAGGTCAATCACAGTTAATAGAATTTCTATCAACTGTGGGTCAATATATATACAAACTTTACAGGCGGTTAAAAACCTGATTAAATTAAACTATTGTTGTTTAATTAAAACAATAAAATAGTTGTCTTTATTCTGAATGACAGAAGTATAAAGACAGTGTTGAATGAATATAGACTTATTTATCGACCTACTTTCATTAATGATCGGAGGGCATGCATGGTAATAGAATTTATATATCAAGTTGGTATAGCGTTGTTAAAGGTGAAAAGTCCAGTTTCTTCAAAATTAGTTTTTGGTTTATGACATTAAATGAATGGATTTGAAGTGATTTATGTGCTAAAAAAGGTGAATTGACTGCAGTTTCTTCATGCAATATCAAATTTAAGTTGTGACGGTTAATGAAAAATGAAATGGATTAAAAATTAATTTAGCTAGGTGTTAAGAAGTCGGGTTTTGTGCATCGTTACCTTCTTAGTCGTTAACAACTCGTCTTGTCATCCAACGCGTGAATTCCCTTCCCCCTTTGTTTAAAAAGACCATGAAAATCTGGCGGAAGAAGCTTTGAGAAATGAACTAAATCAAGTGTTTGAGTCATGTCAGTCAAACATTGTTTCCGCATTGTGACTGTTCCAAGTGACTCGAGTTATATGATTCTGAGATTTTTCTAAGTATTGCACTTCCTATTATTATGAATATCATGTATATTCTTACAACATGCAAAACAACTCCTATTTTGGCGAGTAAACTCATTTCAAATTTGGAAATATTCAAATCAATCTTATACTGCCCCCGAATAAAGTCGGGTAATCAAACTCAATATCATTTGCCATTTCATTGGTCGAAACGGTCAAAATATTTCTGCATTTTCGATTTCTCAACATGAAATAAACTGCAAAACATCAATATGAAAGTACATAACACTGTTCCGTGGTTGGTTTTGATTTTGCATTGTTTATTTAAACCGGATGGCTATGATTTATTCACGAGAGGGAAAAGCACATACAGTATATAATTAAAATTTGTTCAACTTGTTGCAATGTAAACAGTCTGTCAAAACTCTTACGAAATTTCCTCGTCTATTTTGACAAGGATATTTTGCGCAAGACTTGTTTGTCGGCTGGAAGTGCTCGCATGAGGAAAACTCGTTGTTCAATGGTTGAGATCTTTGCAATATAACTAGAGTTTGTTTCAATGAGGTGAAATTAATCGTCGAGATATTAGGAAGACACGGGCGTATCTGTGATTTCGAAGATTAATACGGTGTTACGGGTTCAATATTGATAAATATGGATGGAGTGGACTTCAAGGATACTTCGCCAGAGTTGACGAAAATGACTCGAATTGAAGAGGTTAAAAATGTGAGGTCAGCTGAACAAGTGAGTTTTGTATATTCTATTAATAATATGTCTGGTTTATGCACTGATCTCATTAAGAAGCCTGAATAGGGCGACTCTTTAATTAACGATAATCCAATGACATGGGTTTGGTTAAGAAATGGTTGGTTGTAAATAAATCCCTTCGTAGCTTTCAATTGACCATATTCTCCTTTATTCAAACGCCTGCAAGACAGCGTTGGGACTGAGTTATAAGGAATACTTTGTATTCTAAAATTTATATGGAATACTTTGTAAATCCATTCATCTTCGTAAATTAATAGTTGTCTTTAGTTTAATTTCATGTTGCTATTTCACGGAAATAGAGTTTTGCGTTTAGATCATCATATTCTTGCACTTATCTACAATCATAAATTTATTCTACCGGAACTTGGGTATTTGATAATAGTTCGAATGAAAGTTTGTTATTGTCTGTGGCTTTCTTAAAAAAACAGCATGGGAAAGATTAAACAAACTTCGTGAGAATATGTCGTGGTGTTTAAGACATGGTCACTTTGTGTGAAGTTTGTATATTATATGCAAGATTATAGACTTATAGTTTGTGATTTCTCACGACTTTGTTATTGATTAATGAGATTCAAACAGACTCGCCAAATACAAAGTGTCAAATGTCCGCCCACAATGAAACGCGATACGGTATCATATAGGAAATACTTCATGTTGATTTTATCACTGTAAGTTTGATGTGATTTATAACTGTAAGTTTGGGAAAATTCTTTTTAAGATATCTTTTTTCAGGTAGTTAAGACACAAACCACGACAGCTTATTGTAGAATACTACCTACACTGAACCACCACATTTGAGATATCTTTCTCAGGTAGTTCAGACATAAACCACGACAGCTTATTGTAGAATACTACCTACACTGGACCATCACGTTTGAGATATCTTTCTGAGGTAGTTCAGACACAAACCACGACAGCTTATTGTAGAATACTACCTACACTGGACCACCACGTTTGAGATATCTTTCTCAGGTAGTTCAGACAAAAAACCACGACAGCTTATTGTAGAATACTACCTACACTGGACCACCACGTTTGAGATATCTTTTTCAGGTAGTTCAGACACAAACCACGGCAGCTTATTGTAGAATACTACCTACACTGACCACCACGTTTGAGATATCTTTCTCAAGTAGTTTAGACACAAACCACGACAGTTTATTGTAGAATACTACCTACACTAGACCACCACGTTTGAGATATCTTTCTCAGGTAGTTCAGACACAAACCACGACAGCTTATTGTAGAATACTACCTACTAAGAAAAATAGAAGGTGTGAAATCATTCAGAATCGTTTAAAAACACATTTCTTACCTTCCTCTTTTAGTGTTGCATAGCAGGTCCACGTTCGTCATCTCTTCTGGTAAAATTAAGCAATGAACCATAGTGCGTCATCGTTCCAATTTCTTAAAAAACTCAGTCTTACATCCCACAGATCAATGCACAAAGGTTGATAAAAACTCACTGGTTTGGATGATTTGTTTATTGATGTTGTTATTCACACTGAACGAGCTCGTCACAACTTTCCAACCAAAATGGATAGACATGAAATATTTGATGTCTACATGAAAGTTCCCGATGATTCTATACGTCTGGAAAAGGTAAAAGATTTATTTTACGCCAACAAGGATACTAAAGGGACACGTCCTCGTAAAATTCTAGCGGTTGGCCGGCCTGGAATAGGAAAGACTGTCTTGACAGAAAAAATTATGCCCGATTGGGCAAATGAAGTTGACGAGTTTTATTCTGGTAAGATTGCCTTCTTCTTTAAATTTAGATGGTTTAATCTTACCGAATGGAAAGCCACTGACCTTAAGACGTTCCTTCGTCGCAGAACGGGCCTAAGCAATGAACAGTTTGAAAGTATTTTTCTGGAACTAACCAAAGAACCAGAAAAAGCTCTTCTTATTTTTGATGGTTTGGATGAATTTGATGGCAACATTGAGGCTTGTTTAGACCACACAGCGCATCAAAACAACCCTGATATTTGTATGCCTGCCATTTCGTTGTTTATTCAATTGATTTCTGGCCGTTTTTTGCCTGGGGCAACGATTCTGGTTACCACTAGACCAACCGCATCTGATTTTTACTCCAGACTTAGATTTGATAGAACTGTGGAGATTATTGGTTTCACCTCAGAGAAAATTGAACATTATGTGAGCAAATTTTGTGAAAATCATAATAGAAGTGACCTGAAATCAAAGATGTGGAAGCACATAGAATCCTCGTCGGACTTGTTAAATTTATGTTACATCCCAGTGAATTCCTTCATAGTTTCCACCGTACTGTTTGGATATCTCACTGATCCTAGGTACGAGACCGCTGTTCTTCCAGCAACACTGACTGAACTATATCAGGCCGCCATAGAGCATTTTGATAAGCATCACTACAGGAAGACAGACGGACCGTCTTCTGAAGCAATCAAGAATCTTCAACTGAGGGCATACGAAGGTATTCTAATTGGGCAACTGGTTTTTATTGAAGAATTAATTGATGAAGAAATGAGAAGGTCTGGTTTATTGAACAAGTTGTCCAACCCTATTTACCCAACTCTAGAACAGTTTTGCTTCATTCATTTGACTGTACAAGAATTTCTTGCTGCAAAACACGTGACTGAAACGCAATCTCCAGAAGAAATAAAGATTTTTATTTGTTCTAATGTTAAGGATGGTAAATGGCATTTAGTGCTTCAATTTATTGCTGGGTTATTGGGCCAGAAAATAAAGATGTCTAGAGAAGAATACCAGCGATACAAAGATTGTGTTTTGGCGTTTACAGAAAGCTTCAGAGTAGATGATGGTAAACTTCACCTTGCTTTTTATGTTTCATTGTTTGTGATGAAATGTTTAAAGGAAGCGGGTGATGAAGATATTGTTAAAGAAGCTTGTGAAAGACCTGCGGTGAATGATGTTGTAAGTCTATACTGTTGGTCTCTTCCACAGAGGCTTTCCTCAAGTGATTTGACCGCAGCGATCTATGTTTGCAAACACATGAAGAAATTGACAGATATTTACGTAAGAGATATTGATTGGAGTGAGGAATGTTACATGCAATTTTGTAAATTTCTTCAACAAAGATGTAGGAGAATATTAATATTAAATTCAAATAAATACCATGCCTTGCCATTGGGGGGTCTCTTCGACTCCGTAATAAAATTGAAATGTACAACATTGGATCACAAGCACAGCAAACTTACTACATTAGATTTACTTGGATTTTCCACAACGGATGAATGTTTATCGAAGATTTCGGAATTTTTTAAACATGGACATGCAAGCTGCCTTGAAAAATTATCCCTAAATGGATGTGGCATAACTACGTTTGTGGAAATACGTGAAGTCCTCGACAACAAACTTTGTCCTGAACTCACAGAACTGAATCTTCGTCGGAATGTCATTTGTAATGAGGGTGTAAGATTGTTATGTAATGCTCTTATTAAATATCCTCACCTGAAGCTTACTAGACTGGGTCTTAGTGCGTGTTCCCTGACTGATAAATGCATACCTTTGCTATGTGAACTATTTAAAGATGAACATTGCAAACTGACTGTCTTGGATATGGAAGAGAATCCTGGTATAAGTGATGAAGGTGTTCGTATGTTGTGCGAAGATGTTTTAACAAATGAACATTGCAAGTTGGCTGAGTTGAACCTTGATTGCTGTTCATTAACAGATGAATGTATACCCTGGTTAAGCGAGGCACTGCTAGATAAACGCTGTGTACTTAATCTTTTGTGGATCAGTCAAAATAATTTTACTGAGAATGGAAGAAACTCTCTTCGTGAATTAGAAACAAATCAAGATTGTAAAGCAAGAGGTTTAAAAATCCACTGCTAAGACTAATATGTTCAGCAGGGACGGTGATGTCATGTTTACCATCAACAGAGACTGTATCAAACTTCTCAATGTGAAAAAAGGACATCATTAAATCAACCATTAGGGAAGAGAGGGTTAGACTTTTAACTACCAAATGTCAAAACAAAATAGCTCAAACATGCGTTTTACATTTTTAATAAATTGTGTTTTAATATTTGTATAAATTTCCTATATTTTTATATTGTCAATTTTCAAGTTCCTAAGTGTTTAAGTAAGAACATAATCCTAAATCTAATCCTTTAGTGTCAGATTTAAGATTAAAGTTAGGATTATATTCGTGGATTTATCGACATGAAATTACTACCGAACCGCTATAGAGACCAGTTCTATTTAGCCGTTGCTTGCCAACCGCGACATGTGGCGGATCTAAAAGAGTGACATTGTATCACTGCGCTCAATAAAGTTAATTAGCGGCATACCCCTGGCAAAAGATAACATAAACATAGACTATTTCACATGCATCTATCACTTGTCACTGTAGCAACTAGTATAACGACCAAATGAAAACTAATAACGAATTCACTTTTTTCACTGCTTTATCAAAGATTTCACTCAAATTTTGTGATATTGACAGTATTGTTGGTAAAGCAATTGATTATTATTTGTGTATGAATCAAGGTAGGAAATCTTACCTTGAAGAGTGTAGTTTACTCTGCGAAATAAATTTAAAGCATGAACGGTCATGATAGTGGCTAGTGCATTCACTTCAAGTATTTAATTCATACGATAAAATACAAACTTCAAAAACTGGATTTTGTATTTGACTCAATATCTATAACTGAGGACAGGATTTTACTGTCAAAGTTTCTGTGATCAAAACTGCAATTTTTCATCGGATAAATCCTTAGTATTTGAGGAATTTATTGTGCAAATGTCAGGGTGAGATTGCTCAGTGTTAATAACTGTTTTGGTTCCACAGATTTTTCCAGCAAATTCTTTAATACAAAGAAAATACCTCTGCACATTTCCAGCTGTGATGGCAGATATTTTGACAGTGTTTACCAGGTGCGATGATCCTTTTTTACATCACTGCTGAAGATCGCGAGTTTTATGAAGAACATTCATTACAAAATTCATTTGGTAAACTCCACGATAGCGTATTTGAAACGCAGGATTCGTTGGCGGTTTGGCGTCTACCGTCATGGTGTTTGGCGCTTTTGTTTATTTTAAATTTAACTCCATTCCTGCTGCGTCATAAACTTCACTAAACACAATTCGAAAGATGTTTGTCGTGAAATACCGTGATGTTGAACGCAGTTAAAGATTATTTAACACGCAAGACATTCAGTATCCCAGCGTACGTATGTTTGATTGCTCAACTTCTCTGTGGCCTGGTAGTTACAAGCATTGTTGTTGCTTTGAGAGTCGGAGAGTTTGCGAAATTTAACTGCGCTGTCGGCCCTGAAAGTACAGCCCCTTACAAGCCCACTGAGAAAACATGTTATTCAAGATATGAAGAGAAGTATAACTCTCCACTGCCATTTTATGCCTTTGTCATTCTAAGTTTTTGGTTTCCTATTTTTGTCGGTGTTATTTATTCACTCTCAGTTCGTAATCGCGTTGAAGAAATCAGTGGCTCGAATGATGAACCACAAAATGAAGCCGAAACAGGCAACGAAGTACACAATAGAAGATCATTTTATGTATTTTATTCCTATTTCTTCCATCTTGTCATCCGTTTGTTATTCGGGCTGGTGTTTACCATCCTGCAGTATGCTGTGTTTTTCCGCAGTGGTTTCGATTTTGAATTTAGTTGTGATGAACCAGCATCAGATGTGACGTCGAAGATAGCAAAAAATGCCAGTCAGTTGAATAGTACAACGTCAACAATAACATGCGAGAATTCTACTGCATCGGAGAAGCAGTTATGGGCAGGGATTGTGTGTGCGTTGAACACGATTTTTGCCGCGATAATATTCGTAGAAGTGATTCATCTTTGCCTACGATTTCCCAAAAACCTTCGATTTTGGTCTAAAGATGGCCGTGTTCATGACACTGAGTTTATCACTGTTTATTTTTCTCGTAAGCGATACGCACAGGTCAACCATAATCCTGACCTTGACCTTGGACTTAACCCTAACCTTGATCGTAGCCCAGTCCCTGACAGTGAAACCAGCTCTGGCCCTAACCTTGACCGTAATCCAGTCCCTGACAGTGAAACCAGCTCTGGCCCTAACCTTGACCGTAACCCAGTCCCTGACAGTGAAACCAGCTCTGGCCCTAACCTTTACCGTAACCCAGTCCCTGACAGTGAAACCAGCTCTGGCCCTAACCTGGACGGTAACCCAGTCCCTGACAGTGAAACCAGCTCTGGCCCTAACCTTGACCGTAACCCAGTCCCTGACAGTGAAACCAGTTCTGGCCCTAACCTTGACCGTAACCCAGTCCCTGACAGTGAAACCAGTTCTGGCCCTAACCTTGACCGTAACCCAGTCCCTGACAGTGAAACCAGTTCTGGCCCTAACCTTGACCGTAGCCCAGTCCCTGACAGTGAAACCAGCTCTGGCCCTAACCTTGACCGTAATCCAGTCCCTGACAGTGAAACCAGCTCTGGCCCTAACCTTGACCGTAACCCAGTCCCTGACAGTGAAACCAGCTCTGGCCCTAACCTTTACCGTAACCCAGTCCCTGACAGTGAAACCAGCTCTGGCCCTAACCTGGACGGTAACCCATTCCTTCACAGTGAAACCAGCTCTGGCCCTAACCTTGACCGTAACCCAGTCCCTGACAGTGAAACCAGTTCTGTCCCTAACCTTGACCGTAACCCAGTCCCTGACAGTGAAACCAGTTCTGGCCCTAACCTTGACCGTAACCCAGTCCCTGACAGTGAAACCAGTTCTGGCCCTAACCTTGACCGTAACCCAGTCCCTGACAGTGAAACCAGTTCTGGCCCTTACCTTGACCGTAACCCAGTCCCTGACAGTGAAACCAGCTCTGGCCCTAACCTTGACCGTAACCCAGTCCCTGATAGTGAAACCAGTTCTGGCTCTAACCTTGACCGTAACCCAGTCCCTGACCCTGATCATAACTTGGAATGCATAAATTTGTACAAAGAAAAAGTCTCGGCACAGTCTCTCTCATCTGACATAACTTATGGGCCGAAGACTGGTTTGGATGATTTGTTTATTGACGTTGTTATTCACACTGAACGAGCTCGTCACAACTTTCCGACCAAAATGGATAGACATGAAATATTTGATGTCTACATGAAAGTTCCCGATGATTCTATACGTCTGGAAAAGGTAAAAGATTTATTTTATCCCAACAAGGATACTGAAGGAAATCGTCCTCGTAAAATTCTAGCGGTCGGCCGGCCTGGAATAGGAAAGACTGTCTTGACGGAAAAAATCATGCGCGATTGGGCGAAACAAATTGATGAATTTTATTCCGGTATGATTGCCTTCCATTTTAAATTTAGATTGTTTAATCGACCTGAGTGGCACCACGATAATCTTAAGAATTTCCTTCGTTTTGGCACGGCGTGCGATGAAGAATTTGAAAGAATTTTTGATTACATAACTAAAGAACCAGAAAAAGCTCTTCTTATTTTTGATGGTTTGGACGAGTTTGATGGCAACATCAAAGACTGCTTAGACCAAGCAGTGCGTCAAAACAGCCCTGATATTTGTATGCCTGCCATTTCGTTGTTTATTAAATTGATTTCTGGCCACTTTCTGCCTGGGGCAACGATTCTGGTTACAACTAGACCAACCGCATCTGATTACTCGAAATTGAGATTCGATAGAACTGTGGAGATTATTGGTTTCACCTCGGAGAAAATTGAGCATTACGTGATCAAATTTTGTGAAAATCATAATAGAAGTTACCTGAAACCAGAGATGTGGAACCACATAAATTCCTCATCGGACTTGTTAAATTTATGTTACATCCCAGTGAATTCCTTCATAGTTTCCACCGTACTGTTTAAATATTTCACTGATCGTAGTAACGAGACCGCTGTTCTTCCAACAACACTGACTGAACTATATCAGGCCGCCATAAAGCATTTTGATAAGGATCACTACAGGAAGACAGACGGACCGTCTTCTAAAATGGTAGTCAAGAATCTTCAATCCTTAGCATACAAAGGTATTCTACATGGGCAACTGGTTTTCAATGAAGAATTATTTGATGAAGAAATGAGAAGGTCTGGTTTATTGAACAAGTTGTCCAACCCTATTCACCCCGCAATTCAAGAACAGTTTTGCTTCATTCATTTGACTGTACAAGAATTTCTTGCTGCAAAACACGTGACTGAAAAGCAATCTCTAGAAGAAATAAAGAATTTTATCTGTTCCAACGTTAAGGATGGTAAATGGCATTTAGTGCTTCAATTTATTGCTGGAATTTTGGGCCAGAAAATAAAGACGTGTGGGGAAGAATACCAGCGCTTCAAAGATTGTGTTTTGGCGTTTGCAGAAAGTTTCAGAGTAGATGAGGGTGAACTTGCTTTCGGTGCTGATTATGTTTCATTGTTTGTGATGAAATGTTTTAGGGAAGCGGGTGATGAAGATATTGTTAAAGAGGCTTGCGAAAGAACTGCTATAAATGTTGGACGTCTATCCTACGACCCTCGGCATGATGACAATCATTTCCTTTCCTCAAGTGAGTGGGCCGCTGTCATTTTCGTTTGTAAATGCATCAAGGAATTGAAAGTTATAGAGATAGTGGCGCCCGATTGGAGTGAGGAATGTTACAGGGAATTTTGTGTATTGCTACAACAAAGATGTATAAAAGAATTGGTGTTGGTGCGACCTAGTATGCTTATGGGAGATAGAATTTTCTCTTACTTTATTTCCCTTTTTCCAGGAGGACTTCTCTTCAAGGCTCTTAAAAACTTGAAGTGTACATTGGACCACGAGCACAGCAAGCTTACCAAATTAAATGTTCGCGGACTTTTCACGTGGGATGAAAATTTGTCGATGATAGTGGAATTTTTTGAACACGGACATGCAAGTTGCCTTAAAACATTAGGCCTAGGAAAATGTCGCTTAACTTTATTAGAAATAGGCGTAATATGCAAAGTCCTCGACAACAAACTTTGTCCTGAACTTACATGTCTTGATCTTTTTGGCAATATGTTTCGTGATGATGGTGTAAGAGTGTTGTGTAATGCTCTTATTAAATGTCATCATCTGAAGCTTACTGGACTGAATCTTCATTCGTGTTTACTGACTGAGAAATGCATACCTTCGCTATGTGAACTATTTAAAGATGAACATTGCAAACTGACGCACTTGGATATAGGATATAATCAGGGTATAAGTGATAAAGGTGTTCGTATGTTGTGTGAAGATGTTTTAACAAATGAACATTGCAAGTTGGCTGAGTTGAACCTTGGTTCCTGTTCATTAACAGATCAATGTATACCCTGGTTAAGCAAGGCACTGCTAGATAAACGCTGTGTAATTAATCGTTTAGGGATAAGTCAAAATAATTTTACTGCGAATGGAAAAAACTCTCTTCGTGAATTAGAAGCAAATCAAGATTGTAAAGCAAGAGGTTTAGTAATTTACTGCAGGGACCCTGATGTCATCTTTAGCATCAACATGTCGGGAACTGACTAACAGATAAGCACATAAAACACCTTAGGGCAAGCACAAATTGCACAATATCATATAACATATTAATTAAGGGGTGGATTTTTTAAATTTAGTTAGTTAGTGTGTGACACGCGAGAAGCGCGGACGAAAACCTTGTGATTTTAGTACATATTCTTTATTAAATTTTGTTGTTTGAGACCTTGTGACTTGTCGGGGACATCAGTTTGGGGGCGACATTCCCGATAAACAGAGACATTATCAAACTTCTCAATATCAAAAAAGGACATCATTAAATCAACCATTAGGACAGAGAGGGCTAGACTTTGAACTACCAAATGTCAAAACAAAATAGTTCAAACATGTGTTTAACAATATTAATAAATTGTCTTTTAAAATTTGTATAAATTTCCTATATTTTATATCGTCAATTTTCAAGTTCCTAAGGTTTTAAGTAAGAACATAATCCTAAATCTAATCCTTTAGTGTCAGGTTTAGGATTAAAGTTAGGATTATATTCGTGGATTTATCGGGATGAAGTTACTACCGAACCGCTTGAGACCAGTTCTATTTAGCCGTTGCTTGCCGACCGACCGCGACATGTGGCGGATCTAAAAGAGTGACATTGTATCGCTGCGCTCAATAAAGTTAATTAGCGGCATACCCCTGGTAAAAGATAACATAGACATAGACTATTTCACATCTATCACTTGTCACTGTAGCAACTAGTGTAACGACCAAATAAAAACTAATAACGAATTCACTTTTTTCACTGCTTTATCAAAGATTTCACTCAAACTTTTTGTGATATTGACAGTATTGTTGGTAAAGCAATTGATTATTATTTGTGTATGGATCAAGGCAGGAAGTCTTATCTTGAAGAGTGTAGTTTACTCTGCTGAATAAATTTAAAGCATGAACGGTCATGATAGTGGCTAGTGCATCCACTTCAAGTATGAATTAAAATTCATACGATAAAATACAAACTTCAAAAACTGGATTTTGTGTTTCACTCAATATCTATAACTGAGGACAAGATTTTACTGTCAAAGTTTGTGTGATCAAAACTGCAATTTTTCATCGGATAAATCCTAAGTATTTGAGGAATTTATTGTGCAAATGTCAGGGTGAGATTGCTCAGTGTTAATAACTGTTTTGGTTCTACAGATTTTTCCAGCAAATTCTTTAATACAAAGAAAATACCTTTGCACATTTCCAGCTGCGATGGCAGATATTTTGACAGTGTTTACCAGGTGCGATGATCCTTTTTTACATCACTGCTGAAGATCGCGAGTTTTATGAAGAACATTCATTACAAATTTCATTTGGTAAACTCAACGATAGCGTAGTTGAAACGCAGGATTCGTTGGCGGTTTGGCGTCTACCGTCATGCTGTATGGCGCTATTGTTTTTTTTTAATTTAACTCTATTCTTTCTGCGTCATAAACATACCTAAACACAATTCGAAAGATGTTTGTCGTGAAATACCGTGATGTTGGACGCAGTCAAAGATTATTTAACACCCAAGACATTCAGTATCCCAGAATACGTATGTTTGATTGCTCAACTTCTCTGTGGCCTGGTATTTACAAGCATTGAACTGTATGCACGATGAACTGTAGTATTTGTATGGTCTTTTCATTTTCATGGACAATTTTGATTTATAAAAATGTCGCGAGATAATTTTCATGCGTAGCCTGTAAATCATTATTTAAATTAGCTGTCAGAGGCAGCGGTAGAAAAAAAGGCAATTTTTAGCACCAGACATAACATAGACATAGACTATTTCACATCTATCACTTGTCACTGTAGCAACTAGTATAACGACCAAATGAAAACTAATAACGAATTCACTTTTTTCACTGCTTTATCAAAGATTTCACTCAAATTTTGTGATATTGACAGTATTTTTGGTAAAGCAATTGATTATTATTTGTGTATGAATCAAGGCAGGAAGTCTTACCTTGAAGAGTGTAGTTTACTCTGCTGAATAAATTTAAAGCATGAACGGTCATGATAGTGGCTAGTGCTTTCACTTCAAGTATTTAATTCATACGATAAAATACAAATTTCAAAAACTGGATTTTGTGTTTGACTCAATATCTATAACTGAGGACAGGATTTTACTGTCAAAGTTTCTGTGATGAAAACTGCAATTTTTCATCGCATAAATCCTAAGTAATTGAGGAATTTATTGTGCAAATATTAGGGTTAGATTGCTCAGTGTTTATAACTGTTTTGGTTCCACAGATTTTTCCAGCAAATTCTATAATACAAACAAAATACCTTCGCACATTTCCAGCTGTGATGGCAGATATTTTGACAGTGTTTACCAGGTCCGATGATCCTTTTTTACATCACTGCTGAAGATCGCGAGTTTTTGAAGAACATTCATTACAAAATTCATTTGGTAAACTCCGCGATAGCGTAGTTGAAACGCAGGATTCGTTGGCGGTTTGGCGTCTACCGTCATGCTGTATGGCGCTATTGTTTTTTTTTAATTTAACTCCATTCCTGCTGAGTCATAAACATCACTAAACACAGTTCGAAAGATGTCTGTCGTGAAATACCGTGATGTTGAACGCAGTTAAAGATTATTTAACACCCAAGACATTCAGTATCCCAGCATACGTATGTTTGATTGCTCAACTTCTTTGTGGCCTGGTAGTTACGAGCATTGTTGTTGCTTTGAGAGTCGGAGAGTTTGCAAAATTTAACTGCGCTGTCGGCCCTGAAAGTGCAGCCCCTTACAAGCCCACTGAGAAAACATGTTATTCAAGATATGAAGAGAAGTATAACTCTCCACTGCCATTTTATGCCTTTGTCATACTGAGTAATTGGTTTCCTATTTTTGTTGGTGTTATTTATTCACTCTCAGTTCGTAATCGCGTTGAAGAAATCTGTGGCTCGAATGACGAACCACAAAATGACGCCGAAGCAGGAAACGAAGTACACAACAGAAGATCATTTTATGTGTTTTATTCCTATGTCCTCCATCTTGTCATCCGTTTGTTATTCGGGCTAGTGTTTACCATCCTGCAGTATGCTGTGTTTTTCCGCAGTGGTTTCGATTTTGAATTCAGTTGTGATGAACCAGCATCAGATGTGACGTCGAAGATAGCAAAGAATGGAAGTGTCAGTCAGTTGAATAGTACAACGGTCAACAATAACATGCGAGAATTCTACTGCATCGGAGAAGAACTTATGGGCAGGGATTGTATGTGCGTTGAACACGATTTTTGCTGCGATAATATTCGTGGAAGTGATTCATCTTTCCATCCGATTTTTCTCTGGAGTTGGTTTTGTTGATGACACAAAATTTACCACTGATTATTTCTCTCATAAGCGATACGCACATGTCGACCCTAATCCTGACCTTGACCTTGACCTTGACCTTGCACTTAACCTAGACCCTAACCGTAACCCTGTCCCTGACCCTGAAACCAGCCCTGGCCCTAACCTGGATCGTAACCCTGTCCCTGACAGTGAAACCAGCCTGGCCCTAACCTGATCGTAACCCTGTCCCTGACAGTGAAACCAGCCCTGGCCCTAACCTGGACCGAAACCCTGTCCCTGACCCTGATCGTAACTTGGAATGCATAAATTCGTACAAAGAAAAAGTCTTGGCACAGTCTCTCTCATCTGACATAACTTATGGACCGAAGACTGGTTTAGATGATTTGTTTATTGACGTTGTTATTCACACTGAACGAGCTCGTCACAACTTTCCGACCAAAATGGATAGACATGAAATATTTGATGTCTACATGAAAGTTCCCGATGATTCTATACGTTTGGAAAAGGTAAAAGATTTATTTTATCCCAACGAGGATACTGAAGGAAACGTCCTCGGAAAATTCTAGCGGTGGCCGGCCTGGAATAGGAAAGACTGTCTTGACGGAAAAAATCATGCGCGATTGGGCGAAACAAATTGATGAATTTTATTCCGGTATGATTGCCTTCCATTTTAAATTTAGATTGTTTAATCGACCTGAGTGGCACCACGATAATCTTAAGAATTTCCTTCGTTTTGGCACGGCGTGCGATGAAGAATTTGAAAGAATTTTTGATTACATAACTAAAGAACCAGAAAAAGCTCTTCTTATTTTTGATGGTTTGGACGAGTTTGATGGCAACATCAAAGACTGCTTAGACCAAGCAGCGCGTCAAAAACCCTGATTATGTATGCCTGCCATTTCGTTGTTTATTAAATTGATTTCTGGCCACTTTCTGCCTGGGGCAACGATTCTGGTTACAACTAGACCAACCGCATCTGATTACTCGAAATTAGATGCGATAGAAATGTGGAGATTATTGGTTTCACCTCGGAGAAAATTGAGCATTACGTGATCAAATTTTGTGAAAATCATAATAGAAGTGACCTGAAACCAGAGATGTGGAACCACATAAATTCCTCATCGGACTTGTTAAATTTATGTTACATCCCAGTGAATTCCTTCATAGTTTCCACCGTACTGTTTAAATATTTCACTGATCGTAGTAACGAGACCGCTGTTCTTCCAACAACACTGACTGAACTATATCAGGCCGCCATAAAGCATTTTGATAAGGATCACTACAGGAAGACAGACGGACCGTCTTCTAAAATGGTAGTCAAGAATCTTCAATCCTTAGCATACGAAGGTATTCTACATGGGCAACTGGTTTTCAATGAAGAATTATTGATGAAGAAATGAGAAGGTCTGGTTTATTGAACAAGTTGTCCAACCCTATTCACCCCGAATTCAAGAACAGTTTTGCTTCATTCATTTGACTGTACAAGAATTTCTTGCTGCAAAACACGTGACTGAAACGCAATCTCCAGAAGAAATAAAGAATTTTATCTGTTCCAACGTTAAGGATGGTAAATGGCATTTAGTGCTTCAATTTATTGCTGGAATTTTGGGCCAGAAAAAAAGACGTGTGGGAAAATACCAGCGCTTCAAAGATTGTGTTTTGGCGTTTGCAGAAAGTTTCAGAGTAGATGAGGGTGAACTTGCTTTCGGTGCTGATTATGTTTCATTGTTTGTGATGAAATGTTTTAGGGAAGCGGGTGATGAAGATATTGTTAAAGAGGCTTGCGAAAGAACTGCTATAAATGTTGGACGTCTATCCTACGACCCTCGGCATGATGACAATCATTTCCTTTCCTCAAGTGAGTGGGCCGCTGTCATTTTCGTTTGTAAATGCATCAAGGAATTGAAAGTTATAGAGATAGTGGCGCCCGATTGGAGTGAGGAATGTTACAGGGAATTTTGTGTATTGCTACAACAAAGATGTATAAAAGAATTGGTGTTGGTGCGACCTAGTATGCTTATGGGAGATAGAATTTTCTCTTACTTTATTTCCCTTTTTCCAGGAGGACTTCTCTTCAAGGCTCTTAAAAACTTGAAGTGTACATTGGACCACGAGCACAGCAAGCTTACAAATTAAATGTTCGCGGACTTTTCACAGAGGGTGAAATTTGTCGATGATAGTGGAATTTTTTGAACACGGACATGCAAGTTGCCTTAAAACATTGGCCTAGGAAAATGTCGCTTAACTTTAAGAAATAGCGAAATATGCAAACTCCTCGTCAAAAACTTTGTCCAGAACTTACATATCTTGATCTTTTTGGTAATTCTTTCGTGACGAGGGTGTAAGAGTGTTATGTAAAGCTCTTATTGAATGTTGTCAACTGAAGCTTACTGGACTGAATCTTAATTCGTGTTCCCTGACTGATGAATGCATACCTTCGCTATGTGAACTATTTAAAGATGAACATTGCAATTTGACATTCTTGGATATAGGATGGAATAGTGGTATAAGTGATGAAGGTGTTCGTATGTTGTGTGAAGATGTTTTAAAAAATGGACATTGCAAGTTGGCTGAGTTGAACCTTGGTTCCTGTTCATTAACAGATCAATGTATACCCTGGTTAAGCAAGGCACTGCTAGATAAACGCTGTGTAATTAATCGTTTGGGGATAAGTGGAAATAATTTTACTGCGAATGGAAAAAACTCTCTTCGTGAATTAGAAGCAAATCAAGATTGTAAAGCAAGAGGTTTAGTAATTTACTGCAGGGACCCTGATGTCATCTTTAGCATCAACATGTCGGGAACTGACTAACAGATAAGCACATAAAACACCTTAGGGCAAGCACAAATTGCACAATATCATATAACATATTAATTAAGGGGTGGATTTTTTAAATTTAGTTAGTTAGTGTGTGACACGCGAGAAGCGCGGACGAAAACCTTGTGATTTTAGTACATATTCTTTATTAAATTTTGTTGTTTGAGACCTTGTGACTTGTCGGGGACATCAGTTTGGGGGCGACATTCCCGATAAACAGAGACATTATCAAACTTCTCAATATCAAAAAAGGACATCATTAAATCAACCATTAGGACAGAGAGGGCTAGACTTTGAACTACCAAATGTCAAAACAAAATAGTTCAAACATGTGTTTAACAATATTAATAAATTGTCTTTTAAAATTTGTATAAATTTCCTATATTTTTATATCGTCAATTTTCAAGTTCCTAAGGTTTTAAGTAAGAACATAATCCTAAATCTAATCCTTTAGTGTCAGGTTTAGGATTAAAGTTAGGATTATATTCGTGGATTTATCGGGATGAATTACTACCGAACCGCTTGAGACCAGTTCTATTTAGCCGTTGCTTGCCGACCGACCGCGACATGTGGCGGATCTAAAAGAGTGACATTGTATCGCTGCGCTCAATAAAGTTAATTAGCGGCATACCCCTGGTAAAAGATAACATAGACATAGACTATTTCACATCTATCACTTGTCACTGTAGCAACTAGTGTAACGACCAAATAAAAACTAATAACGAATTCACTTTTTTCACTGCTTTATCAAAGATTTCACTCAAACTTTTTGTGATATTGACAGTATTGTTGGTAAAGCAATTGATTATTATTTGTGTATGGATCAAGGCAGGAAGTCTTATCTTGAAGAGTGTAGTTTACTCTGCTGAATAAATTTAAAGCATGAACGGTCATGATAGTGGCTAGTGCATCCACTTCAAGTATGAATTAAAATTCATACGATAAAATACAAACTTCAAAAACTGGATTTTGTGTTTCACTCAATATCTATAACTGAGGACAAGATTTTACTGTCAAAGTTTGTGTGATCAAAACTGCAATTTTTCATCGGATAAATCCTAAGTATTTGAGGAATTTATTGTGCAAATGTCAGGGTGAGATTGCTCAGTGTTAATAACTGTTTTGGTTCTACAGATTTTTCCAGCAAATTCTTTAATACAAAGAAAATACCTTTGCACATTTCCAGCTGCGATGGCAGATATTTTGACAGTGTTTACCAGGTGCGATGATCCTTTTTTACATCACTGCTGAAGATCGCGAGTTTTATGAAGAACATTCATTACAAATTTCATTTGGTAAACTCAACGATAGCGTAGTTGAAACGCAGGATTCGTTGGCGGTTTGGCGTCTACCGTCATGCTGTATGGCGCTATTGTTTTTTTTTAATTTAACTCTATTCTTTCTGCGTCATAAACATACCTAAACACAATTCGAAAGATGTTTGTCGTGAAATACCGTGATGTTGGACGCAGTCAAAGATTATTTAACACCCAAGACATTCAGTATCCCAGAATACGTATGTTTGATTGCTCAACTTCTCTGTGGCCTGGTATTTACAAGCATTGAACTGTATGCACGATGAACTGTATATTTGTATGGTTTTTCATTTTCATGGACAATTTTGATTTATAAAAATGTCGCGAGATAATTTTCATGCGTAGCCTGTAAATCATTATTTAAATTAGCTGTCAGAGGCAGCGGTAGAAAAAAAGGCAATTTTAGCACCAGACATAACATAGACATAGACTATTTCACATCTATCACTTGTCACTGTAGCAACTAGTATAACGACCAAATGAAAACTAATAACGAATTCACTTTTTTCACTGCTTTATCAAAGATTTCACTCAAATTTTGTGATATTGACAGTATTTTTGGTAAAGCAATTGATTATTATTTGTGTATGAATCAAGGCAGGAAGTCTTACCTTGAAGAGTGTAGTTTACTCTGCTGAATAAATTTAAAGCATGAACGGTCATGATAGTGGCTAGTGCTTTCACTTCAAGTATTTAATTCATACGATAAAATACAAATTTCAAAAACTGGATTTTGTGTTTGACTCAATATCTATAACTGAGGACAGGATTTTACTGTCAAAGTTTCTGTGATGAAAACTGCAATTTTTCATCGCATAAATCCTAAGTAATTGAGGAATTTATTGTGCAAATATTAGGGTTAGATTGCTCAGTGTTTATAACTGTTTTGGTTCCACAGATTTTTCCAGCAAATTCTATAATACAAACAAAATACCTTCGCACATTTCCAGCTGTGATGGCAGATATTTTGACAGTGTTTACCAGGTCCGATGATCCTTTTTTACATCACTGCTGAAGATCGCGAGTTTTTGAAGAACATTCATTACAAAATTCATTTGGTAAACTCCGCGATAGCGTAGTTGAAACGCAGGATTCGTTGGCGGTTTGGCGTCTACCGTCATGCTGTATGGCGCTATTGTTTCGTTTCAATTTAACTCCATTCCTGCTGCGTCATAAACATCACTAAACACAGTTCGAAAGATGTCTGTCGTGAAATACCGTGATGTTGAACGCAGTTAAAGATTATTTAACACCCAAGACATTCAGTATCCCAGCATACGTATGTTTGATTGCTCAACTTCTTTGTGGCCTGGTAGTTACGAGCATTGTTGTTGCTTTGAGAGTCGGAGAGTTTGCAAAATTTAACTGCGCTGTCGGCCCTGAAAGTGCAGCCCCTTACAAGCCCACTGAGAAAACATGTTATTCAAGATATGAAGAGAAGTATAACTCTCCACTGCCATTTTATGCCTTTGTCATACTGAGTAATTGGTTTCCTATTTTTGTTGGTGTTATTTATTCACTCTCAGTTCGTAATCGCGTTGAAGAAATCTGTGGCTCGAATGACGAACCACAAAATGACGCCGAAGCAGGAAACGAAGTACACAACAGAAGATCATTTTATGTGTTTTATTCCTATGTCCTCCATCTTGTCATCCGTTTGTTATTCGGGCTAGTGTTTACCATCCTGCAGTATGCTGTGTTTTTCCGCAGTGGTTTCGATTTTGAATTCAGTTGTGATGAACCAGCATCAGATGTGACGTCGAAGATAGCAAAGAATGGAAGTGTCAGTCAGTTGAATAGTACAACGTCAACAATAACATGCGAGAATTCTACTGCATCGGAGAAGAACTTATGGGCAGGGATTGTATGTGCGTTGAACACGATTTTTGCTGCGATAATATTCGTGGAAGTGATTCATCTTTCCATCCGATTTTTCTCTGGAGTTGGTTTTGTTGATGACACAAAATTTACCACTGATTATTTCTCTCATAAGCGATACGCACATGTCGACCCTAATCCTGACCTTGACCTTGACCTTGACCTTGCACTTAACCTAGACCCTAACCGTAACCCTGTCCCTGACCCTGAAACCAGCCCTGGCCCTAACCTGGATCGTAACCCTGTCCCTGACAGTGAAACCAGCCCTGGCCCTAACCTGGATCGTAACCCTGTCCCTGACAGTGAAACCAGCCCTGGCCCTAACCTGGACCGAAACCCTGTCCCTGACCCTGATCGTAACTTGGAATGCATAAATTCGTACAAAGAAAAAGTCTTGGCACAGTCTCTCTCATCTGACATAACTTATGGACCGAAGACTGGTTTAGATGATTTGTTTATTGACGTTGTTATTCACACTGAACGAGCTCGTCACAACTTTCCGACCAAAATGGATAGACATGAAATATTTGATGTCTACATGAAAGTTCCCGATGATTCTATACGTTTGGAAAAGGTAAAAGATTTATTTTATCCCAACGAGGATACTGAAGGGAAACGTCCTCGGAAAATTCTAGCGGTTGGCCGGCCTGGAATAGGAAAGACTGTCTTGACGGAAAAAATCATGCGCGATTGGGCGAAACAAATTGATGAATTTTATTCCGGTATGATTGCCTTCCATTTTAAATTTAGATTGTTTAATCGACCTGAGTGGCACCACGATAATCTTAAGAATTTCCTTCGTTTTGGCACGGCGTGCGATGAAGAATTTGAAAGAATTTTTGATTACATAACTAAAGAACCAGAAAAAGCTCTTCTTATTTTTGATGGTTTGGACGAGTTTGATGGCAACATCAAAGACTGCTTAGACCAAGCAGCGCGTCAAAACAACCCTGATATATGTATGCCTGCCATTTCGTTGTTTATTAAATTGATTTCTGGCCACTTTCTGCCTGGGGCAACGATTCTGGTTACAACTAGACCAACCGCATCTGATTACTCGAAATTTAGATGCGATAGAAATGTGGAGATTATTGGTTTCACCTCGGAGAAAATTGAGCATTACGTGATCAAATTTTGTGAAAATCATAATAGAAGTGACCTGAAACCAGAGATGTGGAACCACATAAATTCCTCATCGGACTTGTTAAATTTATGTTACATCCCAGTGAATTCCTTCATAGTTTCCACCGTACTGTTTAAATATTTCACTGATCGTAGTAACGAGACCGCTGTTCTTCCAACAACACTGACTGAACTATATCAGGCCGCCATAAAGCATTTTGATAAGGATCACTACAGGAAGACAGACGGACCGTCTTCTAAAATGGTAGTCAAGAATCTTCAATCCTTAGCATACGAAGGTATTCTACATGGGCAACTGGTTTTCAATGAAGAATTAATTGATGAAGAAATGAGAAGGTCTGGTTTATTGAACAAGTTGTCCAACCCTATTCACCCCGAAATTCAAGAACAGTTTTGCTTCATTCATTTGACTGTACAAGAATTTCTTGCTGCAAAACACGTGACTGAAACGCAATCTCCAGAAGAAATAAAGAATTTTATCTGTTCCAACGTTAAGGATGGTAAATGGCATTTAGTGCTTCAATTTATTGCTGGAATTTTGGGCCAGAAAAAAAAGACGTGTGGGAAAAAATACCAGCGCTTCAAAGATTGTGTTTTGGCGTTTGCAGAAAGTTTCAGAGTAGATGAGGGTGAACTTGCTTTCGGTGCTGATTATGTTTCATTGTTTGTGATGAAATGTTTTAGGGAAGCGGGTGATGAAGATATTGTTAAAGAGGCTTGCGAAAGAACTGCTATAAATGTTGGACGTCTATCCTACGACCCTCGGCATGATGACAATCATTTCCTTTCCTCAAGTGAGTGGGCCGCTGTCATTTTCGTTTGTAAATGCATCAAGGAATTGAAAGTTATAGAGATAGTGGCGCCCGATTGGAGTGAGGAATGTTACAGGGAATTTTGTGTATTGCTACAACAAAGATGTATAAAAGAATTGGTGTTGGTGCGACCTAGTATGCTTATGGGAGATAGAATTTTCTCTTACTTTATTTCCCTTTTTCCAGGAGGACTTCTCTTCAAGGCTCTTAAAAACTTGAAGTGTACATTGGACCACGAGCACAGCAAGCTTACTAAATTAAATGTTCGCGGACTTTTCACAGAGGGTGAAAATTTGTCGATGATAGTGGAATTTTTTGAACACGGACATGCAAGTTGCCTTAAAACATTTGGCCTAGGAAAATGTCGCTTAACTTTAAAAGAAATAAGCGAAATATGCAAACTCCTCGTCAAAAAACTTTGTCCAGAACTTACATATCTTGATCTTTTTGGTAATTTCTTTCGTGACGAGGGTGTAAGAGTGTTATGTAAAGCTCTTATTGAATGTTGTCAACTGAAGCTTACTGGACTGAATCTTAATTCGTGTTCCCTGACTGATGAATGCATACCTTCGCTATGTGAACTATTTAAAGATGAACATTGCAATTTGACATTCTTGGATATAGGATGGAATAGTGGTATAAGTGATGAAGGTGTTCGTATGTTGTGTGAAGATGTTTTAAAAAATGGACATTGCAAGTTGGCTGAGTTGAACCTTGGTTCCTGTTCATTAACAGATCAATGTATACCCTGGTTAAGCAAGGCACTGCTAGATAAACGCTGTGTAATTAATCGTTTAGGGATAAGTCAAAATAATTTTACTGCGAATGGAAAAAACTCTCTTCGTGAATTAGAAGCAAATCAAGATTGTAAAGCAAGAGGTTTAGTAATTTACTGCAGGGACCGTAATGTCATTTTTAGCATCAACATGTCGGGAACTGACTAACAGATAAGCACAAAAAACACCTTAGGGCAAGCACAAATTGCCCAATATCATATAACATATTAACTAAGGGGAGGGTTTTAAATTTAGTTAGTGTGTGACACGCGAGAAGCGCGGACGAAAACCTTGTGATTTTAGTGTATATTCTTTATTAAATTTTGTTGTTTGAGACCTTGTGACTTGTCGGGGACATCAGTTTGGGGGCGACATTCCCGATAAACAGAGAATTTATCAAACTTCTCAATATCAAAAAAGGACATCATTAAATCAACCATTAGGACAGAGAGGGCTAGACTTTGAAATACCAAATGTCAAAACAAAATATAATATCAATAAATTGTGTTTTAGAATTTGTATAAATTTCCTATATTTTTATATCGTCAATTTTCAAGTTCCTAAGATTTTAAGTAAGAACATAATCCTTAATCTAATCCTTTAGTGTCAGGTTTAGGATTAAAGTTAGGATTATATTCGTGGATTTATCGAGATGAAATTACTACCGAACCGCTTGAGGCCAGTTCTATTTAGCCGTTGCTTGCCGACCGACCGCGACATGTGGCGGATCTAAAAGAGTGACATTGTATCACTGCGCTCAATAAAGTTAATTAGCGGCATATCCCTGGCAAAAGATAACATAGACATGCACTATTTCACATCTATCACTTGTCACTGTAGCAACTAGTATAACGACCAAATGAAAACTAATAACGAATTCACTTTTTTCACTGCTTTATCAAAAATTTCACTCAAATTTTGTGATATTGACTGTATTGTTGGTAAACCAATTGATTATTATTTGTGCATGAATCAAGGCAGGAAGTCTTACCTTGAAGAGTGTAGTTTACTCTGCGAAATAAATTTAAAGCATGAACGGTCATGATAGTGGCTAGTGCATTCACTTCAAGTATTTAATTCATACGATAAAATACAAACTTCAAAAACTGGATTTTGTGTTTGACTCAATATCCATAACTGAGGACAGGATTTTACTGTCAAAGTTTCTGTGATCAAAACTGCAATTTTTCATGGGATAAATCCTAAGTATTTGAGGAATTTATTGTGCAACTGTCAGGTGAGATTGCTCAGTGTTAATAACTGTTTTGGTTCCACAGATTTTTCCAGCAAATTCTTTAATACAAAGAAAATACCTTTGCACATTTCCAGCTGTGATGGCAGATATTTTGACAGTGTTTACCAGGTCCGATGATCTTTTTTACATCACTGCTGAAGATCGCGAGTTTTATGAAGAACATTCATTACAAAATTCATTTGGTAAACTTCACGATAGCGTAGTTGAAACGCAGGATTCGTTGGCGGTTTGGCGTCTACCGTCATGCTGTATGGCGCTATTGTTTTGTTTAGATTTAACTCCATTCCTGCTGCGTCATAAACATCACTAAATACAATTCGAAAGATGTTTGTCGTGAAATACCGTGATGTTGGACGGAGTTAAAGATTATTTAACACCCAAGACATTCAGTATTCCAGCATACGTATGTTTGATTGCTCAACTTCTCTGTGGCCTGGTAGTTACAAGCATTGTTGTTGCTTTAAGAGTCGGAGAGTTTGCGAAATTTAACTGCGCTGTCGGCCCTGAAAGTGCGGCCTCGTACAAGAATACTGTCGAGAAAACATGTTATTCAAGATATGAAGAGAAGTATAACTCTCCACTGCCATTTTATGCCTTTGTCATCCTGAGTATTTGGTTTCCTATTTTTGTCGGTGTTATTTATTCACTCTCAGTTCATAATCGCGTTAAAGAAATCAGTGGCTCGAATGATGAACCACAAAATGACGCCGAAGCAGGAAACGAAGTACACAATAGAAGATCATTTTATGTCTTTTATTTCTATTTCTTCCATCTTGTCATCCGTTTGTTACTCGGGCTAGTGTTTACCATCCTACAGTATGCTGTGTTTTTCCGCAGTGGTTTCGATTTTGAATTCAGTTGTGATCAACGAGCATCAGATGTGACGTCGAAGATAGCAAAGAATGCAAGTCAGTTGAATAGTACAACGTCAACAATAACATGCGAGAATTCTACAGCATCGGAGAAGAAGTTATGGGCAGAGATTGTGTGTGCGTTGAACACGATTTTTGCGGCGATAATATTTGTGGAAGTGATTTACGTTTGTCTACGATTTTCCAGGAACCTTCGATTTTGGTCTGAAGATGGCCATGTTCAAGACACTGATTTTATCGCTGTTCATTTTTCTCAAAAGCGATACACCCATGTTGGTTTTAAACTAACAAAATTTGAATGCGTAGATTCCTACAAAAGACGTGTTTTAGAACAGTCTCGCACACCTGACGTAATTTATGGACCGAAAACTGGTTTAGATGATTTGTTTATTGACGTTGTTATTCACACTGAACTAGCTCCTCACCACTTTCCAACCAACATGGATAGACATGAAATATTTGATGTCTACATGAAAGTTCCCGATGATTCTATACGTCTGGAAAAGGTAAAAGATTTATTTTATCCCAACAAGGATACTAAAGGGAAACATTCTCGTAAAATTCTAGCGGTTGGCCGGCCTGGAATAGGAAAGACTGTCTTGACGGAAAAAATTATGCGCGATTGGGCAAATGAAGTTGACGAGTTTTATTCTGGTAAGATTGCCTTCTATTTTAAATTTAGATGGTTTAATCTTGACAAATGGAAAGGCAATGATCTTAAGACGTTTCTTCGTTGTGGAACGAGACTAAGCGATGAAGAGTTTGAAAGAATTTTTGATTACATAACTAAAAAACCAAAAAAAGCTCTTCTTATTTTTGATGGTTTGGATGAGTTCGATGGCAACATCAAAGACTGCTTAGACCACTTACCGCGCCAAAACAACCGTGATATTCGTATGCCTGCCATTTCGTTGTTTATTAAATTAATTTCTGGCCACTTTCTGCCTGGGGCAACGATTCTGGTTACAACTAGGCCAACCGCATCTGATTTTTACTCGAGACTTAAATTTGATAGAAATGTGGAGATTATTGGGTTCACCTCGGAGAAAATTGAACATTATGTGAGCAAATTTTGTGAAAATCATGAAAAAAGTTACCTGAAACCAAAGATGTGGAAGCACATAGAATCCTCGTCGGACTTGTTAAATTTATGTTACATCCCAGTGAATTCCTTCATAGTTTCCGCCGTACTGTTTGGATATCTCACTGATCCTAGGAACGAGACCGCTGTTCTTCCAACAACACTGACTGAAGTATATCAGGCCGCCATAAAGCATTTTGATAAATATCACTACAGGAAGACAGACGGACCGTCTTCTGAAGCAAGCAAGAATCTTCAACTCAAGGCATACGATGGTATTGAAGATGGACAACTGGTTTTCAATGAAGAATCAATTGATGAAGAAATGAGAAGGTCTGGTTTATTAAACAAGTTTCCCAACCCTATTCACTCCGGAATTCAAGAACAGTTTTGCTTCATTCATTTGACTGTACAAGAATTTCTTGCTGCAAAACACGTGACTGAAACGCAATCTCCAGAAGAAATAAAGAATTTTATCTCTTCCAAGGTTAAGGATGGTAAATGGCATTTAGTGCTTCAATTTATTGCTGGAATACTGGGCCAGAAAAAAAAGACGCTCAGAGAACAATACCAGCGCTACAAAGATTGTGTGTTGGCGTTTACAGAAAGCTTCAGAGTAAATGATGGCGAACTTGACATTTGCGAAGATTATGGTTCATTGTTTGTGATGAAATGTTTAAAGGAAGCGGGTGATGAAGATATTGTTAAAGAAGCTTGTGAAAGAACTGCGATGAAGGATGTTGTACGTCTATCCGTTAGCGCTCATAATTCACAGAGGCTTTCCTCAAGTGATTTGGCCGCAGTGATTTATGTTTGCAAACACATGAAGAAATTGACAGATATACACGTAGAAGATATTGATTGGAGTGAGGAATGTTACATGGAAATTTGTAAATTTCTTCAACAAAGATGTATGAGAAAATTGAAGTTAGTGAAGTCAGGTGAATACCCGGCCTTGCCATTAGGAGGTCTCTTCAAGTCCCTAATAAAATTGAAATGTACAACATTGGATCACAAACACAGCAAACTTGCCTGGTTATATTTACAAGGATTTCACATCACGGATGAATGTTTATCGATGATTTTGGATTTTTTGAAACATGGACATGCAAGTTGCCTTAAAATATTAACCCTAAATGCATCTGGGATAACTTCAAGTGAAATAACGAAAATAGGTGAAGTCCTCGACAACAAACTTTGTCCAGAGGCTGACAACACTGGAACTTTCGTCAGCATTAATGCATGATTGCACTGTATATATAGTAACTTCAAAATAGGGTCATGATAGCACTTTTTACTCGTTTCTGGCATGAATAAGTAACGAAACACTTGTAATTCTTACAATTCCTTTCTCCTTTTATATATAAAACAACTCTGAAACTCTGCTATTATTACTTAATACTTATTTTCCAATTTTTTCCAAAGATTGCATGCGGAGGAGGCTATAGTGTAATACCAGGCCAGTCAACCTTATTCAATAAGGTCAATCACAGTTAATAGAAATTTCTATCAACTGTGGGTCAATATATATACAAACTTTACAGGCGGTTAAAAACCTGATTAAATTTTAACTATAGTTGTTTAATTAAAACAATAAAATAGTTGTCTTTATTCTGAATGACAGAAGTATAAAGACAGTGTTGAATGAATATAGACTTATTTATCGAGCTACCTTCATTAATGATCTGAGGGCATGCAGGCTAATAGAATTTATATATCAAGTTAGTATAGCGTTGTTAAACGTAAACAGTCCAGTTTCTTCAAAATTAGTTTAAGTTTACATGACATTAAATGAATTGATTTGAACTGATTTGATGTCCTAAAAAAAGTGAATTGACTCCAGTTTCCTCATGCAATATCAAATTTAAGTTGTGACGTTTAATGAAAAATGAAATGGATTAAAAATTAATTTAGCTTCGTGCTAAGAAGTCGGGTTTCGTGCATCGTCACCTTCTTGGTCACTAACACCTCGTCTTGTCATCCAACGCGTGAATTTCCTTTCCTCTTTGTTTAAAAAGACCATGAAAATCTGGCGGAAGAAGCTTTGAGAAGTGAACAAAATCAAGTGTTTGACTCATGTCAGTCAAACATTGTTTCCGCATTGTGACTGTTCCAAGTGACTCAAGTTATATGATTCTGAGATTTTCCTGTTCTGGGCAGTATTGCACCTCCTATTATTATGAATATTGTTAAGTTGCTTTTATTTTCTATTTACGCGAGGTAGGAGATCTTTTACAATTGTTAACTAATGTTCATTAATGTTCATGTTTCTTTTCTGGATTCTCTACTCTTCACTTGATCTTCTGATCTTCGTCGTTTTGAGTTCTTGTCTTGGTTTGTCTGTTCTGTAAGGTTGAGCTTCCTAACGTTTCACATGCTTTTTACTCCGCTAGTCCACTGAAGGTTGGGGTGTTGTGCACGCTCTTTTATAGTAACGGTTGAGGGAAACTTGCAGACGTCATCAACCAGAGTGGCTGATTCTTATCCAACTAATCAGCGTTGTAAGTTAGAAATGTGGGTTGGTCTTAGAAGCTCGTTCCAGCTCTCATATCTTGTTTGTTTAAGGCGTTGTCGCACTAGTCGAGTTGGTCTTCTGCTCAATCGATCAATACTTAAAAATGTTCACAACTTAAAATGTTTATCATCAACAACTAGTAAAATTTACAAACAATACGTCTGTGAACAATATCTTTCAACTTAAACTATTTTCACTCTTATTTTATCGAATTGAACTTTTGATGACGTAATCTATTACATGCTTGACCGAGCAACATTTTTAACACAATTGATTGACATAAGAACTTGAATGGCCTACAGCACGCACTCTTTTTTATAAAAATGCAACCATTAAGATAAGTGAAGACTTAAGACTGTTTATCCAGGTATTAGTTCTGAGAGGATTATAGATATTTTCACCTTATTACTTATTTAATCCCACGATATGTCATACATGAAAGGGAAAGGCGATTAATGTTTGCTAATGGCCGAAAAATATACTTACTCAGGCGGTCACTCAGGCGTCTTGTGGCAAAAATCATTCACTAATCCCTGTCATGCTATTGATATTCCTATTTTTACAGCTATTTTTATATGCATATCTCTAAACACAATAAAGCTTTGCGTAACGATATCATGTATATTTTTACAACATGCAAAACAACTCCTATTTTGACGAGTTAACTTATTTCAAATTTGGAAATATTCAAATCAACCATACACGGAATGAAGTTAGGTAATGAAACACAATGTCAAAATATAAAAATTGACGAAAATTTGAAAGAGAGACAAAAGCAAAGATTGAAGGTATTTGACCGTCTATTTTGAAACGTAATTTTTTAAACTGTTTACGGGATTAGAATAATTGTATATTGCTAAAAATATTGGGTTTGCATGTCCAGTTGAAAATACTTCGTGAGATGTCGTCTGATATTCCTAGTGACATGTTTCTCAATGTGGGAATATCAGTAAGTTGACAAAGTTCTGTGCTACAACGATCTGATGTTGTTCAGAACTCATAATTCAGGGTTAACCATGACCTCTGAGACATCATGCAGAGGTGGTACGTGTTCTTAAATAAGAGCCGCCCTAAATTGGTCAGATGTCAGTCCGACATCGTACCAGGATTTTTTCCAGAAGACAAACAAATCATTCACAAATAAAGCAAGATCTTTAGAAATTCAAAACTTCAAATCGGGGTTGATCAGCTGTAATTCATTTCAACAACCCTGGCATGATTCATGCACGATGAACTGTAATATTTGTATAGTCTTTTAATTTTCATGGACAATTTTGATTTGTAAAAATGTCGCAAGATAATTTCCATGCGTAGCCTGTAAATCATTGTTTAAATTAGCTGTCATAGGCAGCTGTAGAAAAAAAGGTAATTTTTAGCACCCCAAGACGCGGGTGCACGAGATAGACCTGGAGTGAGATGTTGTCATTCTTGGCTTCCTTGGGAGCGCAATGGGTAGGTTACGTAATCATTAAAATCTCCGGTCGGAATTAGTGCCTTCGCTTTGCGTTACTGCGAAAACATTTGACCGCGCACGCGAAATAGTTTGACCACGCACGCGAAATTGTTTATAAAAACTGGAATGACGTCATAACTTTTACTATTCCTACCATCGACTGTGATTGGTCAGATGATCACCATATATAGTTATGTGGGTTGATCGTCACATGACAAGTTAATAAACAAGTTAATTGTTACCAAGCACCTAGACATTACGTAATCTAATCTATTAAAATATACCCTAATTTTCTAATAAATGTTTTTACATTCGCGCATGACTTCAGATTAAATCACAAGAAATTTGAAACCAGGTCATGCCATGACAGATCTTTTGACAAATGTTCAGAAAAATCAAGAATTCAATGAAATCTTTTCTTCAACTGGCGGCGCTTAATTTCGATGAATAGTGAACACTTGTTGTTAACGATGTAGTTCAATTAAGCAAAATACTTTCCAACCAGGTAAAACCGTGATCATTTTAATTAAACTGCGAACGATAAGCTATTTCGTAAGACGGTTTTGGACTTTGGTTACAATAGACACACCACAGCTTCCTGTGTCATACAAACAGCATAGATTGAACACAGTTCGAGAGATGTTTGTCGTAAAATACCGTGATGTTGGACGCAATTAGAGATTATTTAACGCTTAAGACATTCAGTATCCCAGCATACGTGGTATTTACAAGCATTGTTGTTGCTTTGAGAGTCGGAGAGTTTGCGAAATTTAACTGCGCTGTCGGCCCTGAAATTGCGGCCTCGTACAAGACGACTGTCGAGAAAACATGTTATTCAAGATATGAAGAGAAGTATAACTCTCCACTGCCATTTTATGCCTTTGTCATCCTGAGTATTTGGTTTCCTATTTTTGTCGGTATTATTTATTCACTCTCAGTTCGTAATCGCGTTGAAGAAATCAGTGGCTCGAATGATGAACCACAAAATGACGCCGAAGTAGGAAACGAAGTACACAATAGAAGATCATTTTATGTCTTTTATTCCTATTTCTTCCATCTTGTCATCCGTTTGTTATTCGGGCTAGTGTTTAGCATCCTGCAGTATGCTGTGTTTTTCCGCAGTGGTTTCGATTTTGAATTCAGTTGTGATATCCCTTTGCCTACGATTTTCCAGGAACCTTCGATTTTGAAGATGGCCATGTTCATGACACTGAGTTTATCACTGTTCATTTTTCTCAAAAGCGATCCACCCATGTTGGTTTTCAACAAACAGCCTTGGAATGCGTAGATTCCTACAAAAGACGTGTTTTAGAACAGTCTCGCACACCTGACGTAATTTGTGGACCGAAAACTGGTTTGGATGATTTGTTTATTGACGTTGTTATTCACACTGAACGAGCTCGTCACAACTTTCCAACCAACATGGATAGACATGAAATATTTGATGTCTACATGAAAGTTCCCGATGATTCTATACGTCTGGAAAAGGTAAAAGATTTATCTAATCCCAACAAGGATATTAAATGGAAACGTCCTCGTACAATTCTAGCGGTTGGCCGACCTGGAATAGGAAAGACTGTCTTGACGGAAAAAATTATGCGCGATTGGGAAAATAAGTTGACGAGTTTTATTCTGGTAAGATTGCCTTCTATTTTAAATTTAGATGGTTTAATCTTGACGAATGGAAAGGCAATGATCTTAAGACGTTCCTTTGTTGTGGAACGAGACTAAGCGATGAAGAATTAAAAGGAATTTTTGATTACATAACTAAAGAACCAAAAAAAGCTCTTATTCTTATTTTCGATGGTTTGGACGAATTTGATGGCAACATCGAGGACTGTTTAGACCACACAGCGCGTCAAAACAACCGTGATATTTGTATGCCTGCCATTTCGTTGTTTATTCAGTTGATTTCTGGCCAATTTCTGCCTGGGGCAACGATTCTGGTGACAATTAGACCAACCGCATCTGATTTTTACTCGAGATTTTAATTCCTTAGAACTGTGGAGATTATTGGGTTCACCTCGGAGAAAATTGAACGTTACGTGAGCAAATTTTGTGAAAATCATAATAGAAGTGACCTGAAATCAAAGATGTGGAAGCACATAAATTCCTCGTCGGACTTGTTAAGCTTATGTTACATCCCAGTGAATTCGTTCATAGTTTCCACCGTACTGTTTGGATATCTCACTGATCCTAGTAACGAGACCGCTGTTCTTCAAATAACACTGACTGAACTGTATCAGGCCGCCATAAAGCATTTTGATAAGCATCACTAGTCACTACAGAGAGATTGACGAGCTGTCTTTTGTGGAAACATTGAAGAATCTTTAATCGTTGGCGTGCAAATGTATTGCAGATGGGAAACTGGTTTTTAATGAAGAATTAATTGATGAAGAAATGAGAAGGTCTGGTTTATCAGTGAACAAGTTGTCCAACCCTATTTACCCAATTAATTCAAGAACAGTTATGCTTCATTCATTTGACTCTACAAGAATTTCTTGCCGTAAAACACAGCAGAAAAAATAAAGAATTTTATCTCTTCGAAGGTTGAGGATGGTAAATGGCATTTAGTGCTTCAATTTATTGCTGGATTATTGGGCCAGAAAATAAAGACGTTTAGAGAAGAGAACCAGCCCTACAAAGATCGTGTTTTGGCGTTTGCAGAAAGCTTCAGAGTGGATGATGGTTAACTTAACCTTGCTGTTTATGATTCATTGTTTGTGGTGAAATGTTTAAAGGAAGCAGGTGATGAAGATATTGTTAAAGAAGCTTGTGAAAGAACTGCGATGCAGGATGTTGTAAGTCTATTAATATATACTCTAGGTTTCCTAAACTTTCCTCAAGTGATTTGGCCGCAGTGATTTATGTTTGCGAACACATGAAGAAATTGACAGATATACACGTACAAGATATTGATTAGAGTGAGGAATTTTACATGGAATTTTGTAATTTCTTCAACAAAGATGTAGGAGAAAATTGAAGTTAGGGAAATCAGGTAAATACCCCGCCTTGCCACTGGGAGATCTCTTCAAGTCCCTAATAAAATTGAAATGTACAACATTGGATCACGAGCACAGCAAACTTACTTTGTTATATTTACAAGGACTTTCCACAACGGATGAATGTTTTCGATGATTTTTTTAAACATGGACATGCAAATTGCCTTGAAAAATTAGCGCTAACAATTTGTGGCATAATTTCAAGTGAAATAACGGAAATAGGTGAAGTCCTAGACAACAAACTTTGTTCAGATCTCACAACACTGGAACTTTCTGCCAATGACATTCGTGATGAGGGTGTAACAGCGTTGTGTAATGCTCTTATTAAATGTCGTCATCTGAAGCTTACTAGGGTGGTTCTTAATGGGTGTTCCCTGACTGTCGACTGATGAATGCATACCTTCGCTATGTGAACTATTGAAAAATGAACATTGCAAACTGACCGCGACATGTGGCAGATCTAAAAGAGTGACATTGTATCACTGCGCTCAATAAAGTTAATTAGCGGCATACCCCTGGCAAAAGATAACATAAACATAGATTATTTCACATGCATCTATCACTTGTCACTGCCGCAAATAGCACATAACGACCAAATGAAAACTAATAACAAATTCACTTTTTTCACTGCTTTATCAAAGATTTCACTCAAATTTTGTGATATTGACTGTATTGTTGGTAAAGCAATTGATTATTATTTGTGTATCAATGAAGACAGGAAGTCTTACCTTGAAGAGTGTAGTTTACTCTGCTGAATAAATTTAAAGCATGAACGGTCATGATAGTGGCTAGTGCATTCACTTCAAGTATTTAATTCATACGATAAAATACAAACTTCAAAAAAATGGATTTTGTGTTTGACTCAATATCTATAACTGAGGACGGGATTTTAGTGTCAAAGTTTCTGTGATCAAAACTGCAATTTTTCATCGGATAAATCCTAAGTATTTGAGGAATTTATTGTGAAAATGTCAGGGTGAGATTGCTCAGTGTTAATAACTGTTTTGGTTCCACAGATTTTTCCAGCAAATTCTTTAATACAAAGATACCTTTGCACATTTCCAGCTGTGATGGCAGATATTTTGACAGTATTTATCAGGTCCGATGATCCTTTTTTACATCGCTACTGAAGATCGCGAGTTTTATGAAGAACATTCATTACAAAATTCATTTGGTAAACTTCACGATAGCGTAGTTGAAACACAGGATTCGTTGGCGGTTTGGCGTCTATCGTCATGCTGTATGGCGCTTTTTATCAGTTATCAACCTGGAACGAGGGTGATTCCACAAGAAATTACCCTGAGAGATGAAATATTCCGAGGGCGCTGCCCGAGGAATATTTTATCCCTCAGGGTAATTTCTTGTGGAGTCACCCGAGTGAAAGGTTGATAACTGATATATTATACCGAAAATTTAAAGCTGTTGACAAAAAGTCGTCCCGCGTCTTGTTGCCGTCGGCCATATTTACAATCTGACACCCGTAACGGCAGGCTAGTTTACGAATTCGAGGGTGATTTAAAGTGGAATCACCCTCCCTTGCGGGCAAAAGAGGGTAATTCGACTTTAAATTACATGCCCCGGGTAAAAATACCAGGATTTAAGTTCGCAGTCTATGTGCTTCCACAAAAAATCTACTCATCACGTGGTACAAATACAGTTTTTTTATTGGACAATTTGAATCTGAGGTATAATATTTTTTTAGATTTAACTCCATTCCTGCTGCGTCATAAACATCACTAAACACAATTCGAAAGATGTTTGTCGTGAAATACCATAGGCGGCCCAAAAATTCGTGGTGTGTGAGTATAATCAGTAAAGCTATTGCAAAATATTAATTTCCTGAAGAACTCGCCCCATTCCTATGTAAACGCACGCCGCGCGGCGTGCGTTTACATAGGAATGGGGCGAGTTCTTCAGGAAATTAATATTTTGCAATAGCTTTACTGATTATACTCACACACCACGAATTTTTGGGCCGCCTATGGAAATACCGTGATGTTGGACGCAGTTAAAGATTATTTAACACCCAAGACATTCAGTATCCCAGCATACGTATGTTTGATTGCTCAACTTTTCTGTGGCCTGGTATTTACAAGCATTGAACTGTATACACGAGGAACTGTAATATTTGTATAGTCTTTTAATTTTCATGGACAATTTTGATTTGTAAAAATGTCGCAAGATTATTTTCACGCGTAGCCTGTAAATCATCATTTAAATTAGCTGTCATAGGCAGCTGTAGAAAAAAAAGGCAATTTTTAGCACCTCACATAACACATAGACATAGACTATTTCACATGCATCTATCACTTGTCACTGTAGCAACTAGTATAACGACCAAATGAAAACTAATAACGAATTCACTTTTTTCACTGCTTTATCACAGATTTCACTCAAATTTTGTGATATTGACAGTATTGTTGGTAAAGCAATTGATTATTATTTGAGTATGAATCAAGGCAGGAAGTCTTACCTTGAAGAGTGTAGTTTACTCTGCTGAATAAATTTAAAGCATGAACGGTCATAATAGTGGCTAGTGTATTCACTTGAAGTATTTAATTCATACGATAAAATACAAACTTCAAAAACTGGATTTTGTGTTTCACTCAATATCTATAACTGGGGACAGAATTTTACTGTCAAAGTTTCTGTGATCAAAACTGCAATTTTTCATCGGATAAATCCTAAGTATTTGAGGAAATTATTGTGCAAATGTCAGGGTGAGATTGCTCAGTGTTAATAACTGTTTTGGTTCCACAGATTTTTCCAGCAAATTCTTTAATACAAAGAAAATACCTTTGCACATTTCCAGCTGTGATGGCAGATGTATTTTGACAGTGTTTAACAGGTCCGATGATCCTTTTTTACATCACTGCTGAAGATCGCGAGTTTTATGAAGAACATTCATTACAAAATTCATTTGGTAAACTCCACGATAGCGTAGTTGAAACACAAGATTCGTTGGCGGTTTGGCGTCTACCGTCATGCTGTATGGCACTATTGTTTTGTTTAAATTTAACTCTATTCCTGCTGCGTCATAAACATCACTAAACACAGTTCGAAAGATGTTTGTCGTGAAATACCGTGATGTTGGACGCAGTTAAAGATTATTTAACACCCAAGACATTCAGTATCCCAGCATACGTATGTTTGATTGCTCAACTTCTCTGTGGCCTGCTATTTACAAGCATTGAACTGTATGCACGATGAACTGTAATATTTGTATAGTCTTTTGATTTTCATGGACAATTTTGATTTGTAAAAATGTCGCGAGATAATTTTCATGCGTAGCCTGTAAATCATTATTTAAATTGGCTGTCATAGGCAGCTGTAGAAGAAAAGGGCAATTTTTAGCACCCCACATAACATAGACATAGACTATTTCACATGCATCTATCACTTGTCACTGTAGCAACTAGTATAACGACCAAATGAAAACTAATAACGAATTCACTTTTTTCACTGCTTTATCAAAGATTTCACTCAAATTTTGTTATATTGACAGTATTGTTGGTAAAGCAATTGATTATTACTTGTGTATGAATCAAGGCAGGAAGTCTTACCTTGAAGAGTGTAGTTTACTTTGCTGAATGAATTTAAAGCATGAACGGTCATGATACTGACTAGTTCATTCACTTCAAGTATTTAATTCATACGATAAAATACAAACTTCAAAAACTGGATTTTGTGTTTGACTCAATATCTATAACTGAGAACAGGATTTTACTGTCAAAGTTTCTGTGATCAAAACTGCAATTTTTCATCGGATAAATCCTAAGTATTTGAGGAATTTATTGTGCAAATGTCAGGGTGAGATTGCTCAGTGTTGATAACTTTTTTGGTTCCACAGATTTTTCCAGCAAATTCTTTAATACAAAGAAAATATCTTTGCACATTTCCAGCTGTGATGGCAGATATTTTGACAGTGTTTACCAGGTCCGATGATCCTTTTTTACATCACTGCTGAAGATCGCGAGTTTTATGAAGAAGATTCATTCCAAAATTCATTTGGTAAACTCCACGATAGCGTAGTTGAAACACAGAATTCGTTGGCGGTTTAGCGTCTACCGTCATGCTGTATGGCGCTATTGTTTTGTTCAAATTTAACTCCATTCCTGCTGCGTCATAAACATCACTAAACACAACTCGAAAGATGTTTGTCGTGAAATACCGTGATGTTGAACGCAGTTAAAGATTATTTAACACCCAAGACATTCAGTATCCCAGCATACGTATGTTTGATTGCTCAACTTCTCTGTGGCCTGGTATTTACAAGCATTGAACTGTAATACAAATATAGTCTTTTAATTTTCATGGACAATTTTGATTTGTAAAAATGTCGCAAGATAATTTCCATGCGTAGCCTGTAAATCATCATTTAAATTCGCTGTCATAGACAGCTGTAGAAAAAAAGGCAATTTTCAGCAGCCCACATAATATAGACATAGACTATTTCACATGCATCTATCACTTGTCACTGTAGCAACTAGTATAACGACCAAATGAAAACTAATAACGAATACACTTTTTTCAATGCTTTATCAAAGATTTCACTCAAATTTTGTGATATTGACAGTATTGTTGGTAAAGCAATTGATTATTATTTGTGTATGAATCAAGGCAGGAAGTCTTACCTTGAAGAGTGTAGTTTACTCTGCTGAATAAATTTAAAGCATGAACGGTCATGATAGTGGCTAGTGTATTCACTTGAAGTATTTAATTCATACGATAAAATACAAACTTCAAAAACTGGATTTTGTGTTTGACTCAAAATCTATAGCTGAGGACGGGATTTTACTGTCAAAGTTTCTGTGATCAAAACTGCAATTTTTCATCGGATAAATCCTAAGTATTTGAGGAATTTATTGCGCAAATGTCAGGGTGAGATTGCTCAGTGTTAATAACTGTTTTGGTTCCACAGATTTTTCCAGCAAATTCTTTAATACAAAGAAAATACCTTTGCACATTTCCAGCTGTGATGGCAGATATATTTTGACAGTGTTTACCAGGTCCGATGATCCTTTTTTACATCAATGCTGAAGATCGCGAGTTTTATGAAGAACATTCATTACAAAATTCATTTGGTAAACTCCGCGATAGCGTAGTTGAAACGCAGGATTCGTTGGCGGTTTGGCGTCTATCGTCATGCTGTATGGCGCTATTGTTTTGTTTAAATTTAACTCCATTCCTGCTGCGTCATAAACATCACTAAACACAATTCGAAAGATGATTGTCGTGAAATACCGTGATGTTGGACGAAGTTAAAGATTATTTAACGCTTAAGACATTCAGTATCCCAGCATACGTATGTTTGATTGCTCAACTTCTCTGTGGCCTGGTATTTACAAGCATTGTTGTTGCTTTAAGAGTCGGAGAGTTTGCGAAATTTAACTGCGCTGTCGGCCCTGAAAGTGCGGCCTCGAACAAGACGACTGTCGAGAAAACATGTTATTCAAGATATGAAGAGAAGTATAACTCTCCACTGCCATTTTATGCCTTTGTCATCCTGAGTATTTGGTTTCCTATTTTTGTCGCTGCTATTTATTCTCTCTCAGTTCGTAATCGCGTTAAAAAAATCAGTGGCTCAAATGATGAACCACAAAATGACGCCGAAGCAGGAAACGAAGTACACAATAGAAGATCATTTTATGTCTATTCCTATTTCTTCCATCTTATCATCCGTTTGTTATTCGGGCTAGTGTTTACCATCCTGCAGTATGCTGTGTTTTTCCGCAGCGGTTTCGATTTTGAATTCAGTTGTGATGAACCAGCATCAGATGTGACGTCGAAGATAGCAAAGAATGCAAGTGTCAGTCAGTTGAATAGTACAACGTCAACAATAACATGCGAGAATTCTACTGCATCGGAGAAGCAGTTATGGGGAGGGATTGTGTGTGCGTTGAACACGATTTTTGCCGCGATAATATTTGTGGAAGTGATTTATCTTTGCCGACGATTTTGCTCTGGAGTTGACTTTGTTCATGACACTAAGTTTATCACTGATTATTTTTCTCATAACCAATACGCATGGGTCGACCTTGACCTTATACCTCACCGTGACCCTGACCCTGGCCCTAACCGTGAAACCAGCCGTGGCCACAACCCAGACTCTTATCCTGATCCTCATACTAACCGTGATGACCGTAACTTTGAATGCTTAGATTATTACAAAAGACGTGTTTTAGAACAGTCTCCCACACCTGACGTAATTTATGGACCGAAAACTGGTTTGGATGATTTGTTTATTGACGTTGTTATTCACACTGAACGAGCTCGTCACAACTTTCCAAACAACATGGATAGATATGAAATATTTGATGTCTACATGAAAGTTCCCGATGATTCTATACGTCTGGAAAAGGTAAAAGATTTATTTTATCCCAATGAGGATACTAAAGGGAAACGTCCTCGTACAATTCTAGCGGTTGGCCGTCCTGGAATAGGAAAGACTGTCTTGACGGGAGAAATTATGCGCGATTGGGCGAATGAAGTTGACGAGTTTTATTCTTGTAAGATTGCCTTCTATTTTAAATTTAGATGGTTTAATCTTACCGAATGGAAAAGCAATGATCTTAAAACGTTCCTTTGTTGTGGAACGAGACTAAGAGATGTAGAGTTTGAAAGTATTTTTCTGGAAATAACTAAAGAACCAGAAAAAACTCTTCTTATTTTTGATGGTTTGGATGATTTTGATGGCGACATCAAAGACTGCTTAGACCCCCTACCGCGTCAAAACAACCCTGATATTCGTATGCCTGCCATTTCGTTGTTTATTCAGTTGATTTCTGGCCAATTTTTGCCTGGGGCAACGATTCTGGTTACAACTAGACCAACCGCATCTGATTTTTACTCCAGATTTGAATTCGATAGGAATGTGGAGATTATTGGTTTCACCTCGGAGAAAATTGAACATTACGTGAGCAAATTTTGTGAAAATCATAAGAGAAGTGACCTGAAACCAGAGATGTGGAAGCACATAAATTCCTCGTCGGACTTGTTAAATTTATGTTACATCCCAGTGAATTCGTTCATAGTTTCCACCGTACTGTTTGGATATCTCACTGATCCTAGGAACGAGACCGCTGTTCTTCCAACAACACTGACTGAAGTATATCAGGCCGCCATAAAGCATTTTGATAAGCATCACTACAGAAAGACAGACGGACCGTCTTCTGAAGCAATCAAGAATCTTCAACTGAAGGCATACGAAGGTATTAAAAATGGACAACTGGTTTTCAATGAAGAATCAATTGATGAAGAAATGAGAAGGTCTGGTTTATTAAACAAGTTGTCCAACCCTATTTACGCCGCAATTCAAGAACAGTTTTGCTTCATTCATTTGACTCTACAAGAATTTCTTGCTGCAAAACACGTGATTGAAACGCAATCTCCAGAAGAAATAAAGAATTTTATCTCTTCCAAGGTTAAGGATGGTAAATGGCATTTAGTGCTTCAATTTATTGCTGGAATATTGGGCCAGAAAATAAAGACGTTTGGAGAAGAGTACCAGCCCTACAAAGATTGTGTCTTGGCGTTTGCAGAAAGCTTCAGAGTAAATGATGGTGAACATGCTTTTGGTACTGATTATGTTTCATTGTTTGTGATGAAATGTTTTAGGGAAGCGGGTGATGAAGATATTGTTAAAGAGGCTTGCGAAAGAACTGCTATAAATGTTGGACGTCTATCCTACGACCCTCGGCATGATGACAATCATTTCCTTTCCTCAAGTGAGTGGGCCGCTGTCATTTTCGTTTGTAAATGCATCAAGGAATTGAAAGTTATAGAGATAGTGGCGCCCGATTGGAGTGAGGAATGTTACAGGGAATTTTGTGTATTGCTACAACAAAGATGTATAAAAGAATTGGTGTTGGTGCGACCTAGTATGCTTATGGGAGATAGAATTTTCTCTTACTTTATTTCCCTTTTTCCAGGAGGACTTCTCTTCAAGGCTCTTAAAAACTTGAAGTGTACATTGGACCACGAGCACAGCAAGCTTACTAAATTAAATGTTCGCGGACTTTTAACATGGCGTGAAAATTTGCCGATGATAGTGGAATTTTTTGAACACGGACATGCAAGTTGCCTTAAAACATTAGGCCTAGGAAAATGTCGCTTAACTTTATTAGAAATAGGCGTAATATGCAAAGTCCTCGACAACAAACTTTGTCCTGAACTTACATATCTTGATCTTTTTGGCAATATGTTTCGTGATGAAGGTGTAAGAGTGTTGTGTAATGCTCTTATTAAATGTCGTCAACTGAAGCTTACTGGACTGAATCTTAATTCGTGTTTACTGACTAATGAATGCATACCTTCGCTATGTGAACTATTGAAAGATGAACATTGCAAACTGACGCACTTGGATATAGGAATGAATAATCGTATAAGTGATGAAGGTGTTCGTATGTTGTGCGAAGATGTTTTAACAAATGAACATTGCAAGTTGGCTGAGTTGAACCTTAATTTCTGTTCATTAACAGATCAATGTATACCCTGGTTACGCGAGGCACTGCTAGATAAACGCTGTGTACTTAATGATTTGTCTATAGCTGGAAATAAGTTTACCGCGGAAGGATTGGCGTCTCTTGGTGAACTAGAAACATATGAAGTTTGTAAAGCAAGAGGTTTAAGAGTCCGAAAATAACGTTTATGCCGTGTTATGATATATTTAACATAATTGCATGTTCTTAAAATGATTTACCTAAGGCCCGTTTACACTTGCAATTTCTGCTGCGATTTTATGTGCGATTTTCTTCTTTTGATAGATGTGAACGAGTGAATTAGTTACTGATGTTGAAATAAGAGTTCTTATACATCAGAGCATTCGTAAGTAATTACTCGTTCACATTTATCAAAAGAAGAAAATCGCACAAAATCGCAGCGAAAATTACTTGCAATTTTCGCTGCGATTTTCGTTTTTTGATAGATGTGAACGAGTAATTAGTTACGATTTCTCTGATGTTTACGAGTTCCTATTTTGAACATCAGTAACTTATTCACTCGTTCACATCTATCAAAAGAAGAAAATCGCAGCAAAAATTACAAGTGTAAACGAGCCTTAAAGCACGATTACACTGTATAATAACTTCAATTGCAAAAATCGGGTCATGCACGAGAGCACTTTTTACTCGTTTCTCGCATAAATACGCACGAAACGCGTGTAATACCAGACCAGTCAGCCTATTCAATAAGGTCAATATATATACAAACTTTACAGGCGGTTAAAAACCTGATTAAATTTAAACTGTAGTTGTTTAATTAAAACAATAAAATAGTTGTCTTTATTCTGAATGACAGACACATGAATAATTTCATTAATTGTCTGCGGGCAGGGTCATTGTGTTCTGGTTTACAGAGCTGCAAATGAGCGTCAAGGCATGTTGCGATCTTTCATTCTTTCAGAGAACAGAATTTTACTTGAAACAAGCAGTTATCAGGTAGCAATCTTCCAAATAGTATCCCAACCTGGCATTTCCCTCAAGCTCGTACCCATGGTCTCCCTGTTTGAACTCGTGCTTCTGGATTTTCTGGCCTTTTTTATGGACCCATGGACGTTTCATAAGATGAAAAATCGATTATTTCTCGTGTAATAATCCACGTTATCTCGGGTTTTCCCAAACTCCCACAAAACGTATGTGGTGAGAAGTTTATTTATCAAGTTGGTATAACGTTGTTGAAGGTGAGAGGTCCAGTTCCTTCAAAATTAATTTACGTTTATGATATTCATTGACAAATTTAATGGATTTGAACTGATTTATGTGCTAAAGAAAGTGAACTGACTCCAGTGCAATATCCAGGTTATGTTGATGACGTTCAATGAAATGAAATAAAACTGATTTACATGCTAAAGAAGACGGTTTTATGCATCGCATTATTACCTTTAGTTTGTTAAAAAATCGTTTAAGGTTATCATTCAATTATTTAATTTATTTTTGAGTTTCCGCATTGCGACTGTTCCAAGTGACTTTCCTGTTCTGGGCAGTATTGCACCTCCTATTATTATGAATATCATGTATATTTTTACAACATGCAAAACAACTCCTATTTTGGCGGCGAGTTAACTCATTTCAAATTTGGAAAGTATTCAAATCAATCTTATACTGCACGAATCGTATACACGGAATAAAGTCAGGTAATCAAACCCAATATCATTTGCCATTTCATTGGTCAAAACGGTCAAAATATTTCTGCATTTTCGATTTCTCAACATGAAATAAACTACAAAACATCAATATGAAAGTACATAACACTGTTCCGTGGTTGGTTTTGATTTTGCATTGTTTATTTAAACCGGATGGCTATGATTTATTCACGAGAGGGAAAAGCACATACAGTATATAATTAAAATTTGTTCAACTTGTTGCAATGTAAACAGTCTGTCAAAACTCTTACGAAATTTCCTCGTCTATTTTGACAAGGATATTTTGCGCAAGACTCTTGTTTGTCGGCTGGAAGTGCTCGCATGAGGAAAACTCGTTGTTCAATGGTTGAGATCTTTGCAATATAACTAGAATTTGTTTCAATGAGGTGAAATTAATCGTTGAGATATTAGGAAGAGACGGGCGTATCTGTGATTTCGAAGATTAATACGGTGTTACGGGTTCAATATTGATAAATATGGATGGAGTGGACTTCAAGGATACTTCGCCGGAGTTGACGAAAGTGACTCGAATTGAAGAGGTTAGAAATGTCAGGTCAGCTGAACAAGTGAGTTTTGTATATTCCATTAATAATATGTCTGGTTTATGCACTGATCTCATTAAGAAGCCTGAATAGGGCGACTCTTTAATTAACGATAATCCAACATGAGTTTGGTTAATAAATGGTTTATGGTTGGTTGTAAATAAATCTCTTCGTAGCTTTCAATTGACCATATTCTCCTTTATTCAAACGCCTGCAAGACTGCGTTGGGACTGAGTTACAAGGAATACTTTGTATTCTAAAATTTATATGGAATACTTTGTAAATCCATTCATCTTCGTGAATTAATAGTTGTCTTTAGTTTAATTTCATGTTGCTATTTCACGGAAATAGAGTTTTGCGTTTAGATCATCATAATCTTGCACTTATATACAATCATAAATTTATTCTACCGGAACTTGGGTATTTGATAATATTTCGAATGAAAGTTTGTTATTGTCTGTGGCTTTCTTAAAAAAACAGCACGGGAGAGATTAAACAAACTACGTGAGAATATGTCGTGGTGTTTAAGACATGGCCACTTTGTGTGAAGTTTGTATATTGCAGGGAAGAATATAGTTTGTGATTTCTCACGACTTTGTTATTGATTTATGAGATTCAAACAGACTCGCCAAATACAAAGTGTCAAATGTCCGCCCACAATGAAACGCGATACGGTATCATATAGTAAATACTTCATGTTGATTTTATCACTGTAAGTTTGATGTGATTTATAACTGTAAGTTTGGGAAAATTCTTTTTAAGATATCTTTTTTCAGGTAGTTAAGACACAAACCACGACGGCTTATTGTAGAATACTACCTACACTGGATCACCACGTTTGAGATATCTTTCTCAGGTAGTTCAGTCACAAACCACGACAGCTTGTTGTAGAATACTACCTACACTGGACCACCACGTTTGAGATATCTTTCTCAGGTAGTTCAGTCACAAACCACGACAGCTTGTTGTAGAATACCACCTACACTAGACTACCACGTTTGAGATATCTTTCTCAGGTAGTTCAGACACAAACCACGACAGCTTATTGTAGAATACTACCTACACTGGACCACCACGTTTGAGATATCTTTCTCAGGTAGTTCAGACACAAACCACGCCGGACAGCTTATTGTAGAGTACTACCTACACTGGACCACCACGTTTGAGATATCTTTCTCAGGTAGTTCAGACACAAACCACGACAGCTTATTGTAGAATACTACCTACACTAGACCACCACGTTTGAGATATCTTTCTCAGGTAGTTCAGACACAAACCACGACAGCTTATTGTAGAATACTACCTACTAAGAAAAATAGAAGGTGTGAAATCATTCAGAATCACATTCAGAATCGATTAAAATCACATTTCTTACCTTCCTCTTTTGGTGTTGCATAGCAGGTCCACGTTCGTCATCTCTTCTGGTAAAATTTATGAAGCAATAATCCATAGTGCGTAATATTTCCAATTTCTTAAAAAACTCAGTCTTACATCCCACAGATGAATGCACAAAGGTTGATAAAAACTCACTATGCAAAGCAACCTTCACATTTAAACTCCGATTCAGATACAATCCTATGTCAACATGATCATATTTCAATTTCAGTGTCCAGCTGCTCAGAACTACCTAATTTCGTTCCAATATTGACTGTTATAATGATTCACCAGCCACCAGGAGCATGACATACAGTCGACGCGTTAATTTTAGGAAGAAAAACACGAAGCACAAACACTAATAATAGTTCATGTTTATTTCACACCTTCTATTTTTCTTAGCAATCCGCAAATGTGAAAATATTTTCCATCACGTGAAATTACTTTTCAACAGAAAGCCGGGAACTTTATTCCACTTTTCGTAAAAGAATCCCTCATCTGCAATTTTTTTATTCGTTAACAAAGAAATCTTATATTTTTAAAATAGAAGTTAATCATAAATTACTCAATACTCAAGCAGTATAAAAGTTCTATTTTAAGTTGTGTTGACTTGGTCTTTGTCTCAACGTTTGGCGATATTTCAAAATTTTTTAGACTAATTTTCAAAAGGGGGTAAAAATAGTTAAAATTAAGAAGCGTTTCATCTTTCAAGAGGTCATCAATCCTCGTATCCAAAACACGTTCATTTATTTTTTATGATTTCAAAAGTCCAATTTTTGAACCAAACTTGTACTAATTAGTCCATTGTCTTGCAAATGACCAATTTTCGTACAACTGCATTCCGGTCGTTTCCGATTTGCATTTCATAACACTACAGGTGGCAGGTCGAATTACATATTTTCTCTTTAAAGCCACGAAAAGGAAACGATTTATCAAAATACAGTTCGAATTTCACTGCAAGTTTCAAACCTGTTCTTTCACGAACTGTGTAGAAATAGGATTAGTTGGTATTAAAGAAAGATTGGTAAATATTTACGTGTGCAATTCATTCGACGTTTTTTCAGGATAAGTCAGTTTCTATCAGGATCATTGTGTTGTATTTTGTGTTTAGCGTGTGGTGTTGGACAAAAGCAATTCTCTCGACGAATGTTTTGGCCCGTCAAATCTGCCGCCCTCTGGACTTGAAAGGTAAGATTTATGCTGAGTTGTAAGCTTGTGAATTTTTTGGCACGCTTTGCCGATATATATATATAGATTCTTGCTTCTCGGGAAAGAGACTTTTTACCGTCTGCGAGAGGTCATTTCATCTCAAATTCTATTGTGACAAAGCGCATGAACAGCACTTACAAATATACGTGTTTATGAGAAAACCAAACAGCCATTAATATTTCAACTAATTTGCGATTTAATAAATCTTGTTTTCGTTTGTAAAACGACGAATTTAAAAGGCGACAACGAAATTGCGATTTGTTAATTATATCTGGTTGACCGCATGATCCATTTCGCTTTGAAATAAAAGCCTCAACAATCTTATGAGCTCGTGTTCACGATTAAAGTTGGGTAAATGCGATTACACCATCCCATTTGATGACTTTGATCGCCTTTTTGTTTCCTTAAATGGGGAAGAAGCCTTCAATCCTTCACGCGCCAGTAATAAATTGTGCATTGACGTTGTAATAAATACGCGTCAGGGATTTTAATTTCGAGCGCTTATCTTTGCACATAAGGTTATCGCTGATTGTAATGAGTATTGAGTATATATACCGCATCTATTTTCAAATGCATTTATTATTATTGATTAAAATTCGTGTTAGCTCTCCTCTCCTCGTTGGCGCCGAAGCGGTATTTTAGTGACAAAACGTGTTGTTAAGGTTTGGAAACGCTTTTGTTTTCACATTTGTTGAGAGAGCAGTTTTGTTAATCGTTTCCTTCCTTGGACGGGGGGGATTATCGTGATTTTCAAGAGTCTTTCAAAGCGCTGCCTTCATCAAACCGGCAGAGATCATCTCGCATCTACGGAAATCGAGAGTTCTGCGTCTGTAGAACCTACTGCAAGTAAGAGTGCTTATTGAGAACCTTTTAACTCGCTTATACGATGCGGTTAAAAAAGTTGTTAATCATTTGATATCTTGATTACTGTATTTGATGCGTTTTTTTGCTTATTACGGTTGCCGTCTAATTTAACATCAATGTTCTTACATATAATACCTTAATTTATCCTGATGTTTTTTGCCATCCTGTCTAGATCAGATAAGGAAATAAAATTTTTTGTGATTCGTTGATATATTCCCTTCCATTCAAAAAAATCGGAAGACTTAAACTTCGATCAAGGAGAGATCAAAACTAAAAGGTTCACCGTTAGAAATCACCAGCTTTTCAATCAAAAACGGCGACGATTGCAACCTCAATCATTATTCATAAATAGGGAGCTTTAGCAGTGGCTACGACCACGAGTACGACTACGAGTACGAGATTCGTCATTCTCGCGCGTTGCTTGCTTACGCCATCAGCCAAAACTCGTAGTCGTTGGGCTTTTGAGTTCTTTGGAGTACGAAATTTGCCGAAAAACTTGTACTCAAAAGCCCAACGACTACGAGTTTTGACTGATGGCGTAAGCAAGCAACGCGCGAGAATGACGAATCTCGTACTCATAGTCGTACTCGTAGCCACTGCTAAAGCTCCCTATTGAGTATTGTTATTCTAACTCCTTTAACTCCTTGTATAGAATGATTCGACGCTCACCTCATGTATCATCCTTCAGAAATTACACTTCACCGAGTTTGAGTGCGAGACGTCATTCTGATGGCTCGTTTCCGTTCCTGCCAAAGCCCAATAGCCGAGTCATGTAAGTGAGGGATTTATTTTATACGTGTATTTTTACATATGATTGCAACTGGATTAAATCAATCGCAGAGAGAATTGCATTTCAGGGTTTGTTTGCACGATTCCATTTTGACGGACCATTTTACTTTTGACGTACGGAATGTAGTCTGTATATTGATAAAGCAGTATTGAATCATTGGCTCTTCTTGATTTGCTGTCCATAAACATTGCAATTCAACAGACTATGAAACATTTATCGGACGAAATTGGATCATTTGAACATGCAGACCTTTAGATCAATTTTCATTGTTCCGCCTAGTTTTCCAAATTCTGTTCTCATGCGAAGTCTTCGTTGCATGGGGTGATATTGTAAAACTTCAGTGTTTGTCAAGAGGGGTTTGAAGGATTCTGTTTAGCTCAGCCAAGCAGCGTGAAGCTGGATAAATTCGAATGGCTTTTCAGATAAGATTGGCTAAAAGCTTTCGGCAAACATTGAAGTTTCACTCGTGCGAGTAAACAATATATTCATGCATTCATCAGCCGATCATTCAATTAGGGGCTGTTCACATGAGCCTGGCTACCGAGATTTAATGAAGGGTAAAGTGGACTTTTGAGGTATTGAAATGAGTAAATAACACGATTCTGGTAGTCCCGCATGTGATCATCCTAACAATAGCACGTGATTGTTCTGTGTAAAAAAGACTTTTTTCAATACCTCAAAGTCCATTTTACGCTTTGTTAAATCTCGGTAACCCGGTTCATGATAGCAGCCCCTTTGGCTGGATTTCCATTTGCTGAGATCGTTTGCCTACGAAGGTGGAACCGTATAACCCAGAACCATAGAGTTTTGAGATTAAGGTTGAGGATTTGCATCATATGATCGCATGTCATTGTCTTTCATGCCGGCATCTGTGAGTCTAGGAAATTGTCATGAGACATTTCATGTCAGCGTTAAAACCAAGTATTGCTCTTCTGTTATCCCACTTCACTTAAACACATCCGCACCAATGTATGGTTTACAAGGCTTGTGTCAGACTAGAGGGATTAGAAATCCAGACAGCCATATTAATTAGAGGCTGTTGATATGAGTTGGGCTACTGTAGCTGGTTCATTTCTCTCGTTCGCTACTCGTTATGCCTTATGGTTTGACTAAAAAGAGATTTTCGCAACTCATATTAGCAGCGCTAACGGCTCGAATAAAAAAACCCATCACCCCTCCCCCCCCCCCAGAGAACATGCTTTGGGTGGACTGTAGTATATGTATTTCTTTATCTGTGGTAGTTCATGTCTGTCAACAAGCTAAGGATACCCTCGACAAGCTCTATGCTGGTGGTATATGCGATTGGGGGGGGGGGGAGGAGTGATGGGTTTTTATTCGACCCGTTAGCGCTGATGATTTGAGTTGGCTGATTGACTGTTTAGTGAAACCATAACGAGTAGCGAGCGAGAGAAATGAACCAGCCTACTCAGCTCATATCAACAGCTGCTAATTAATATGGCTGTCTGGATTTCTAATTCTTTGGTGTCTCTTCAAAGGAAGCCTCCGCTTGTTGCCTGGGCTCATCCTAGTGCAACACGGAAGCTTCCTTTGAAGAGTCGCCAAAGATTTCTTCCGAAAGTCTAGAAACAAACCGCTGTGAATATTTATAGTCGTTCATTTCACCCCATGTAGCTAAATCTAGCCACGGGTTTTCTTTCATGAATGCGATTGAGACGGTATTGTCTAACTTTAGAACTGAAGTGTTTATCTAAGGAACATTCGCCCAGGAAGTACAATACCATACACCATACAATACCATATCATACAATACCAATGGATTTGTTTTTTACCAAATAAAGATATTGTAACTGAAACTTTGACAACTAACTCGTTTCACACAAGTCCTGTGCACAAACCAATATTCTCTCCTCGCGAAGTTCCTCTTACGTCATTGTTATCATTCATAAGCCGTAAGTTCCCTCACGTGTCGTCAAAATATTGACGTGTTCTACGAGTGTTTTTGTATAAAATGCTCGTCGAGTATTCTATCATTTGTCAAGAAAAATATCTTCGTTTTGTTTCCGTCGGTTCGATGGCTTTTTGAAATGATTATAAAGAATCCTGTGAACTGATTCCCGCGACTCTAACCAAAGAAATCCCGCTGCACATCCAATATAGGGCGTGTTGATGTTGCACGCGCCTCTCACTTGTTCTACGTGGCTTTCTTCACTGCCTCACCCCAGAGTTTGCAATTATTAGACGCTCCTCTTTGGATACTCCTTTCTTGTATAAGATCGTGGGCGCGCTATTGGTCCTTCTCAGAAAAAAATAGAGATATCAATAAAGTTAGTTTAGTTTAGGTTTCCTCCTGTAGTAACACTGGATCAATATAAGATGATCCTTACTGGACCTCTAGGAAGAACAGTTTAGAACTGATGGAGCTATCCAGTATAAATAAAGTTAGTTTAGTTTAGGATATAGCAAATACGGTTTACGGGGCTTCACCGTTGACCTTATTATTTCCTCAAACACCCTGTTTTACGTACATAGTTTTTGTATGTCTCAACTCTCAACGTGTGTTGTACGACGTCATAAGTACGTCTTCCGCTCCTCACAATGGGTGGTGCAGTTCACATAAAGAATTCTTTCGTAATTTTGTTAATTTAATGAATTATAAGAACACACACTAAAGCGGTCTGGCCTGAAATATTCGTGTATGTATACACATTGCGTGTTTCGAAGATAGACAGTTTAAGGTTTGGGATTTCGCTAGGATTGTCATATGATGCCAATGAAAAAGGCAGGAATGAAACGTGAGGCAACTTTCGTCTCTTGGACGTCAACAAAAAGTGCAAAAAGCAGCAAAAGGTTTGAATTTGACATCGCTTTACATTACAGGAATGTTTGTTTTCATGTCGTTAATACATGTAAATAATCTTTCAGCTTTTAACAGTGGGAGTGAACAAGTTGAGAGTGTGACTTTTTCATGGTTCTATGTGTGTGAAATGTGTTGCCCTTTAGTAATATGTAGTGATTTGCCTCTCAATTAACAACACTAGAAAGGCAGTTTATAACAGGTTTTCCCCGAGACCTCTCATGAAGAATAGTGATTGCGTTATAAATAAAGTTAGTCAAGGCTACTTTCTGTAGTGTTAATGCTCACTAGACCTCTAGAAAGAACAGTGATGAGCTGATAGAGTTATTCAGGATGGATAGTGAGTGAATATATATGAAAGTTATATGTGAAACGAAAGGGGATGTGATAGCATTTCAAGCTATAAGAGGTTTTAATTATTTGAAGTTGCAGTTATTACCTGATGTGGCTAGCTATTCAATAATTGTTAAGTATCTCAGCGTGAGCTAACCACGCTTAACTTGAGTTCTGTACAACATCAGATCACTTTAGGGTAACTCACATTCAGAACACGTACCACCTCTACATGATCTAACCATGTTTAATTCATCACTGAATCCTGTGAAACATCTGATAACTTGAAGGTATAGCCGTCACATTGAGAAACACGTACCACCTCTGTATGATCTAACCATGCTTAATTTATCACTGAATCCTGTATAATATCTGATGACTTGAAGGAGCTCACATTCAGAAACACGTACCACCTCTACTGTACATGATCTAACCATGCTTAATTCATCACTGAATCCTGTACAACATCTGATGACTAGAAGGTAGCTCACGTTCAAGAACACGTACTACCTCTCATCTGGCAGTTCCTTGCAACATTCCAACCACATCCCCTCCGCTCAACCTAAATGCTGTATCACAGGGCAGGAACACCGGGCAGGTAGCACAAACCAAGGGTCACGCCAACCCAAATAAGCAATATCCACCCCATCTCCTCTATGAGTTCCGCCATTTGCATCCATTGGGATCTTGCATGCCATATTTGGCAAGTTTCTTTATGTCACCCGCTCTTTATCTTAACCCAAGTACCCTTGCTTCCGTGAATAAATGTTTATGAAAGCTTTGAAATCAAGTCATATGATTGGTCGGATTCTTCTCGTTCTCGCTTCCTATTGGTCGGACCGCTATCATCACTCGTATTTTTAGATGTCACTTGAACAAGCATGTGTACGTCTGTTCCTATATCTTCGATCCTTTTCCGTTGTGCCGTTTTGTTAAAATTTCTTTGCCGGAATCATTCATTTGAGAGTTTTGTTCTCGTCGAAAGCAGCTATATCATGAGAAAATAAAACGAAGTCCTCTTCATATTATTTCAACGGCCTCTTCGTTGGAACATCTGTTCTGTCATTGAGTATCAAGAGACCTGGAATAGTCCGTATTCATAACTAGCCTTGAACGTGGGTACTATCGTGTTAAACGCCCGGCTATCGCGCCTTGCGTGTCTGTGGTGCAAATCTACATAAAGCTAGGCGGGTTATATTGCGTAAAGCGGAGGTATATACCTTGTTATCACCCTGGAGTATCCAATCGAGGTTGTTCCTGTGTTCGCGATGTCGATGTTCGTTCGAGGCGCCAATTCAAAATCGTCAAAATCATCTGCTTCTGCGATGCAAAGACGGAGCGTTAAACTGTAAGAGTCAAATATTTGTATAAATTAGGAGAGCAGTGTTTAGACTAATTAGAGAGGCTTAATGGGGCTCTGGGATCTGGGATGTGTGCTCAACGCTTTGGTATTTTCTTGGTTGATTATTAATACACTGAACTTTAAACTATTGGGCGAAGACTTTGGGCTGGTTATTTTGGGGTCGATTACTGTTAGCTGACGAAAGGATTCAGGCACCGTTGATCTTTATACGAGCATAAATTCGTCTAGGGCTGAAGTACAAGATTTGGGTTATCAGGGATGATTTAAAGATCTAAAAAAATGAAAATTATCCACAGCCTTGTAGGATAACTAAATCCTGATCGCCCTGAAACATTTCGTTATCAACCAGTTGGGCACTTTTAAAATATTCTCTATCGTAGTGCAGCTATAAGTGGCTGAGGCAATATCTTCGTGCAGGTTTTGTAAGTAAGCTGGAGTTCAAAAGGTTGGATCAATAGCTGAACGAAATGATTTTGGGATGTAGGTTTTCGTGTGTGATTCTCGTGATGGCTCTTTGTTCCGTCGAGTGTTTTCCTCCCTGATTTCATATTGCACTGTTCAAAAATCTTTGTATGCAACCGTATGATGTTTATTTACGATATTGAGCTTTGTGTATCTTTTGTGATCGGATTCCGCTCTACAGAGTTAACTGTTACCCAATTTCATGACCACATTTAAATATGACTGTTAAGCGTGTTTAAAATATCTTGATTGCGCTGTATTGTGTAAACTAAAAAGACTTTTTTTCGGGCAAAGACTTCTCGGGAACAATTTATCGAGATATGCATGTTATAGGATTATTTTTTATATGCATCTTGAATTGCCATTTATCATTTATTCTTGTTGGTTTATTAGTTAATTGTACATTTACAAAGCTAACAACAATAGTAAGTAATTATTCTTACTATAAACTAACGCAAGTTGTTTATAGTAGCAACCGTACTACAATCTCAAATCTTTCGACAACTATATTGAAACACGATTTGGGCGCCAAACCGGATGCAAGTGGCAAAAGTTGAATACAGTTTGGAACCTGTTTAAGAAACAGAACCAGATGCTCTTTCCGAGCATTTCCGATGCGAAAAACGACCGTGGTCAATAGTATGACGATAAAGTTGTGTTCTGGTAGCGACAAATTATTGTTTGTTGTTGGATTTCTTGCAAAAAAACCCAATTTTCCCTTCGTCATGTTGACTGTCCATGAAAACGTGGTTCAATATCTCAAGTGCTAGCGGATGCATTCGTGATGATTTCATTTTGGCGACGAAGCAAAATTTTTATTCTCATTCCCCATAAATTGCTTATTTCGATCAATGTATTAGAACTGAAAAAGGATGAAATAGATAAATTTGACGGTAGTTTGGGTTTCCTCTTGTAGTAACACCGGGTCTTTTAGAAGAGATGATCCTCATCGGACCCCTAGAATAGGAAGAACAATTTAGCACTGCTAGAGCTATCCACGAGAATTAAGTAAAGTTAATTTTTCTTCAATACACAAGCCGGGAGCAGTGTGGTCGCGTTTTCTTAAAACTTTTCATCAAAAGTGGTTAAGTGTAACAGCCTAAAATCATACGTCAAGACAATTTCTCGACGTTTCGAGCTAAGAGTCTTTCCGTATAATGCAGTTATCTAACTCTTCCTCGATTGCAATGCGAGGAATTTGGGTACACACACATTCCTAAACCTTGAAAGAGACCATAGAGGGTTTGAACTTCCTGAATCCTTATATTTCTGCCAATGACTACACAGCAAAAATAATTTCCTGTAGTTTCAGCGAGTATTTGTTTCGAAAATTACTTTTCCAAAATGTTTACTTGACTCAATTTGTCGCAGAATCGAATTCTTTGGCATTCGTGACTACAATTTTTTTGTCAAAATGAAACGAAGGACTCTTGGAAATGATAAGTACGATTCATATTAGGGTTTTTAAACGTCGAGGAGTTTTCAAGGACTGACTGTAATAACAAAGCCTTGATCGCTACCAGCTGATCTACGGCGCTGTATAAACTAGGGGAAGTCTTAAAGCTTGCGTTTGGTAAACTCATAGAAGTTATTTTTTGTTTTCTTCAGGGAGAAGCTGACCCCTCACAGGATACAACGTTGGTCGTATTCATTTTTAGATCTTCTCGGCGATCACGTCGGAATTCAAATGTTTCTGGCGTTTTTAGAGAAAGAATTTAGTGCAGAAAATCTAAGGTAAGACTCTTTGATTCTTTCTGTACATCAGAGAACACGAAATTAGTCGGATAGAAGCCTGCGGCTACAGATTTCCAACATTCACAAAGTCTCATCCTGTCGCATGTGATATACTGGATTTGAAAGACAGGAGTAAAGCTATTGGTTTATACCTGACAATAGTGCGATTGTTGCAGGTATATGCGAAATCGCATGCGTCAGGAGGAGACGCTAATTCAGATAACTCGTAATTGTAGAAACTGGTCTTCTTATTGCCACCACTGGGGAATCGTGGATTTAAATGTGCAATTAAATTATTTGTTTATTGATATGTAACTTCGCTTTCTCTTAAGGTTCTGGTTGGCTTGTCAGGAATTAAAACAGACCCCACGAATGAACGTTCCTAGTTTAGTAAATAAAATATTTGGGTAAGTGTCTCATCTCAATCTTGCCTTATTAGCGTAATACTATTGATTATTCCAGCTTAATTATATGAGGAAAGATCACATCTATTTGTGGCCAACTTTCTGCGCTGAATCAATATAAGAAGTGATCCTTACTGTACCCCTACAGGCTCTAAGAAGAACAGTCTAGAACTGATAGAGCTATCCAGTATAAATAAAGTTAGTTTAGTTTAGGTTTCCTCCTGTAGTAACACTGGATCAATAAGAGATGATCCTTACTAAACCTGTAGGAAGAGCAGTTTAGAACTGATAGAGCTATCCAGTATAAATAAAGTTAGTTTAGTTTAGGTTTCTTTCTTTAGTAACACTGGATCAATACGAGATGATCCTTACTGGACCTCTAGGAAGAACATTTTAGAACTGATAGAGCTATCCAGTATAAATAAAGTTAGTTTAGTTTAGATTTCCTCCTGTAGTAACACTGGATCAATAAGAGATGAGCCTTACTGGACCTCTAGGAAGAACAGTTTAGAACTGATAGAGTTATCCAGTATAAATAAAGTTAGTTTAGTTTAGGTTTCCACCTGTGGTAACTACAAAGCTTATTTGTGTGTTTCATTTATCTTATTTTAGTGATTTTTTGGATCAAGATTCCACTCACGCCATAAACGTTGATGCGAAAACTTACAATCACGTCAAACTTAATCTTTCCAACCCATCTTACAATACTTTTGATGAGGCGCAGGTAACAAACATCTTCACCATGAAATCGTTTTCTGCAGTTTGAGCTGAGAATAACACCACCTCATTCTTTGTATAGGAGCATATTTTTCAACTCATGAAAACAGACAGTTATCCAAGATTTATACGATCTGACAAATACAATCAAATTCTAAAGGATACCACTGGAAAATCACGCAAAAAATGAAGCGCTTTCAGCTCAACGAATTCAATTGATTACAGTTCAAAGAAACGCATCAAACACGACTGTTTGTATGTAGAAATTTCAAGATGATATATTATTTGATCATATGCCTTTTTTGGCAAAAGAACGGAAACACAGTCCGTGGAAGATATAAATGGGCATAAACAAAGTCAAGTACCGCTTACAGATATAATTCATGACAGGTATTCTGCCATTGCAAAATCATTGCCATTGTTGCGTTAAATTAGCACTAAAGGAATCACCGAGCAATATTTTTGATGTTCTTCAACGTTTGTGTTTTTTGGGATTTAGAAAATCATATCCGAATGGTATTTTTTTGGGGATTTATAAATTATATTAAGAAAGAGATTGTAAATTTCACTCATTATTGTACAAAGTGTTAAATTAAGATTACGTTTGTTGTTTAAATTAAATTTAGTTCACAATATAGTCAGGAGCCTTGTTTATTCCACAATCTGATTACTTTATATTTACAATACTGCAAGAGTTCATTTTCTGTCTACAGAGTTCGGAAGTTTTTTTAATGCAATTTCCTTAGAGTTTTTTTCGTTTTTGCTTTCCATTTTTTCTTGTGTTTTCTAAGATAGTTCTTTTCTGTTTATGAATATTTCTTTTGTCGAACAAGCCGCTGTCTCTGACCCGAAGTTCTGCCTCACGTTTGGCAACCAAAACACCTTTCAAATACCTCAAAACCTCTTTCTCTTCTGTTTCAAACAAGGACAATTTTACTCCAATCTTTTCCTCAATCTGCTTCAAAGCTTTGATATCATATTGGGTGAGGAGCGTTAGAGCCAGCCCCCCACGACCAGCACGCGCAGTCCTACCCACCCTGTGAATGTAATCGTCTGGAGATCTTGGTACATTCGTATTTAACACCAGCTCTACTTCAGGTATATCCAAGCCTCGACTTGCAACATCAGTTGCCACGAGAATGTTTACAATTCCAGTTTTGAATTTAGCTAGGGATGACAGGCGTTCCGACTGGGTCATCAAGGAGTGTAGAGTGACACATGGGAGCTCAATTTTTCGAAACATCACAGCCATTACTTGGCAGCTGTGACAGGTTTTGGTGAAAACTATGACAGACTTGTTTTCTGTGTGTTCTCGCAAGATGTAAACCAGGTAGCAATCTTTCACTTGGTCTGGTATTAGAAGGTATCTTTGGTCCAGTTCAGAAACTGTTGCAATTCTAAGTTGAATCAAATAAATTAAGATGAGTATATTCAAGATCACATATGTTGCATGGTTGCTATAATGGTTGGCTCTTTTCATAAAAAGATTGGGAGAATTTTCACAGAAAGTCAAGATTAGCCCAGGCACAATGGCAGCTAATGGATTAACAGTGGCCGCTGCCAGATAACATTTGTAATACATACTTATCTTGAACACTGTAGCAAAATGGGTTTGTTGCTGTGATTTCACGAAGTTCCTCAATAGTGTCATTCAATGTAGCACTAAAGAGCAAGGTTTGACGTTTTTCTGCGACATTGGAGAATATCACCTCCAAGTCTGCTGCAAAAGTGTCTTCGAGCAGCCGATCTGCTTCGTCTAGAACCAGGTACTTGATTCTACGCAAACTGAAGGTATCGGTACTCTGCAGATGGTCGGCGCACCTGCCTGGGGTTGCTATGACAACATGCGGTTGCTTAGCAAGCGCAAGGCTCTGCGTCATCATGTCCATGCCCCCAGTTATTACAGCAGTTTGTAAATTTATTGGTTTTCCCAGGGCCTTGAATTGGTCTCCAATTTGAAATGCTAACTCTCTATGAAAAACATCAAGGAAATAAAATATAGTGAACAGAAACCATCTCCCATCATCAAGTGTTTATAGCCTTCGAGGACTTTAAAACATGACCATGAATACTGAAGACCCTAATCTACATAAAATACGAGCCATATATTAACCTTGTCGGGGTCAGGATGAGCGCAAACACCCCATAGGGGTCATCTGAAAGATGCTGTAAAATTGCCAGGGCAAAAACCGCTGTTTTACCACTGCCAGTTTTAGCGCAACCAATGCAATCTCGGCCTTTTAATATCTCCGGGATACATTTCTCTTGAATCTCCGTGGGTTTTTTAATTCCCATTGCATGGCATTGCTTTACAAGCCATGTTTTTATGCCTAAATCGTAAAAGGAAGTCTCAACGTTGTCCGCCATGTTGAGAGTAAACGCCGCTTGAGACTGGGCCGAGGCCAAAATGGCAGGAAATTTAAATGTTTTTGAAGAAAGAATGCAATAAAAATATGATCGAAATGACTGAAATAACGTGGAAATCTACCAAGAAATTCTGGATAAAAGTAAAATATAGTCTATTGGTCCAATACATGATGCAAAGTAAGTGAATTTTGCTATATTCTTGACGATATACTACAAATTGTTGCTGCACTTGGGCCGCTGATCGGAGCTCGAAATTTGAATGTCACAAATTAAGTAAAATGTCTCAATTTTACAGTTCGAATTTAAATGGCTCGAAATTTAAATGTCCGAATGGAAAACGTGACTCGCAGATGACATTTCATGCAACTTGAAAGGGGAAATTTGGAAACTGAGAGAAATAAATCACAAAATCAACTCAAAGGTGAGTTTTATATTAAGATCCTATAGTAATTATAATTGCAAATAATATAACGAGTGCTTTGGTAGCGGATTACTGATTTCGGTAAAGGTTTTGTACACGCGTTTGACCCGTTTTTAAGTTGCGTATAGTATAGAACTGATAATGATATTTAATATTTTCGACTATTTGATCTTGTATTTTGGATTTTTACTTGGCTAAAGTAATGCGTCATATCATATGCAGTGAAATATTTGCGGAAAATTTAAGCCAGCAGATTAACGGATTTGAATTCAAATTCTAGCGGATTAGCGGATGAAGATCGGGCCGATTAAACTCGGATTACGTTATCGAATGTCCCTAGTTGACTGAACTGTTGTGAAATTCGTGTGATATCATCCAAGCTTGACGCACGAAGTACTGAGTCCTTGGATTGCAGTGACAATATTACGACGCATTCATGAAGCAGTTTAATACCAATTAAAAATCCGTGCATTCTAGCACCGCTCACAACCATATATCATAATCACACCACTAGCGTGTTTGAAATAACAAAGATTCGTGGCATAGCCCAGGTACAAGGACCACGATGTTATTGATATATAATGAGATGGCCTCTTTCATTCTCTTTGCCTTATCAAAGAAGTAGCTTTCACTAAAAGCTTAAAAAACAGATTAAAGTAGTGCCTTGATTGTAATCTGGTTTCATACATTTTTTAAAATAGTTTAGCGACGTCATATTTATTGTTTGGTAAATATCAACCCTTGTTTTTTATTTTCTCGAGAAGCCTAGGTCATTATAATACTTCGTCTAAGCTTTTTTCATGCACTTGTTACAATGACTTATTAGAAGAACACTTTACTCGAATACACGCAGAACATGCAGTGACATAATTCTCAGTCAATAAACATTATCCACAATTACGCAACTCTGTCTAGTATTGTTCTCACAAGAGACACATGCACTCTCGGTTAGGTCGGTCTTTTAAACAGTTTCGTAATAATTCACCGCCCAAATATTAATAGTAAATAGATGTGTTTTGAATACCGTTTAATTCCGTTCCTAATTCTGGGCAATATCACTGACAGAGATATTGGAAGACGAATGAAGCATTTGCAACATTACCCAACATTACAAAATACAGATCCTGGGAGAACGATAGTATAGTTTTTAGTGATTATCATAAACTCCAAATATTCTCTTTTATGCAAAAATCTTTGAATATTAAGCATATGTGATGTTGTTTTAATGTAAGAAGACACTTGCATCGACTAGTCTTTGTTAAAGAAATTGATCCAAGTTTCCAAGATTATGGTCGAATTTAAAGCGCATAATAGATTCTTCGCCATAGATTGGGCTGGGAATTTCCAGGTCATTTTCAAATATGTAATCCTCGCATTTCACGACCGGACTTCGTGGCTCATGTAATTCCGGAATATACAAATCATTGATGTCTATATTGTTCGTGAGCTCTTCACCAGACATGAAGCACTCGTCCGTGAGCGAGCTCAGACCTAAACATTCATTTGTTGTGGTTAGATTTGCCTCGTTGTGGTAGCAAAAGTCCGCTGATACGGTCGAGCTATTCTCCTTATTTGCTCGGTGGATATGCGTTTGGTAGGTTATAGGTTGAGACGGGTGGGTGAGCCTATAGGTGGGGTGGGTAGGTCGGGAACTTTGGAAATGGGTTTGAATTTGTTGCGAAAGTCGTCTATTAGTCATTAGCTCGTGATGCGAGCGCATATGTCCAAAACTTGCTCCCAAAGCGTTAGCATAACACGGGGAATGTTTGAGTTCCTTGATGGCTTCTCGAACAAGCTCCTGAACGTCTTCTCTCAAATCGCACGGGTTGACCTTTCTTGGATGCTGTCTGTTTCTCACGACACTTTTGACCTGTCGTTGAAGATATCGTCGGTGGTTTATGTGGCGTTTGAAAGTCGTGGGCTTCTTCAGAGCACTTTTGACGGCGTCGGATGCGATGTCCATAAATTCTAACAAGGATTGAACAGAAGGTTCCTGAGTTCGACTCTTCATTTTTGTCATGAAACGCGTCCTTCACGATCTTTGATGCTCTTTCAAACTTTGTAGTCTATTTTTGTGTCCTTCTTTGGAAACAGTGAAATTCCCAATTCCTGCTGCGGCTTCCTGTTTTGGCACTTCTTTCAAACTTTCTTAAAAAATCTGCAACAAAACAACGGAATATTAAAGCGAATTTAGTATTCACTTCGCTGTCCTTTGCTTGTAAATGCATAAAATCAATTCGTCGTCGTCTGATCTAAGCTCTGAGCCGCGGAACAAGACGATTATGAAAGTGATTCGCTCGATAAATCCTTCAAAATTTTGGACTCAAACCAAACTAATCACAAGGGAATAAATCTAACGTATCGTTTTAGAGTATATTTCGATTTTCATGGATCCTCACACAAGACAAAATAAAATCCTCGGTATATATATATATTACTCCAAGTGTAAGTCTTAGATTTAGAATAGAAGTCATTAGTGCTTAAATTCCTTCCGCAAGCAATTCTCAATCTGCATTAGCCGTGTGCTGTTGTAAATCTTCTTTCATGAAACATGAAATCATCTTACCTGGTTGCTGTGGGAAAATATATTACACTTGGTAGATTTTTCACAGCGGAGAGGATTGCAGACCGTTTTCAGTGCTGTTATATTGTACTATAGTTCAGCTTAGCAATTTTCTCACGAGATGAGTCGTCTGCGCTCCGTTTGTTCTTTCAATGAGTCTTGTATCAGAGCTTTTAACAATAATTTCCTGTGTATTGATAAGTCTAGTTGAAGCTGTCAGCCCTTCGTCGACACAACGCTTTACCAGACGATTGCAATCGTCGTAGATTTGTAGTTCACCTTCCTCGATTGTCAACACTATATAAGCAGAGATGGCAATGATTCAACTACCTGAATCTTTTCCTCAAACACAAACAATTCTCAGCGTATATATCTAGACGATGTGCGGTCGATTTACCTCAAGGTGATAATGAAAGATATTAGCGTGGCACTGTGTTTATATTTCATGTCAATATAGGCGGGGACGTGACAATTTTGCGAGTACAAAATAGGATTCAATAGCCACTTGAGTCTCATCACACCACGGATTGTGTAAGATCTGTTTCAATACGTTTTTCAAAGAGTGTAAGCTTTTCAACGCCTTAATTCGGCCTCTTTGTTTGAACGTTTTAGTTCATGAAATTGACATCATGTCGTCAATAACACGCATCGCATCATCATTTGGTTACGTAAAAGGTACAGGCAATAATACTATGACACAAGTTCTTTCTTCTCCACGGGTGAGCAATACACTTTTTATGCTCACAGTTGCGTCATCTTAGCAAACTGACAAATACCATCAAAGGAAACCGATATAAATCGTTGCTGGAATTTCACGATGGGAAAAAGCTACGAAGGGTAACAGCTTGGATAGATTTATCGTGGTGCGTGAGTCAGATTTAATTTTAACTGTATATGTTTCTAGTCGATACTGAATTACCTCAGGAAAACATTTATACCTAAAGGCGAGTGCAATAGTCGTGTTCATATATGGCTTGTGCTGACCGCAGTTTATATATCGCAAACCCTGGATATAGATTCACACAATTGAGGTCAAAAAGAATGATTCGAGAAATGTTTTCAGAGCGAGTTAGGACCTTAGATGGATCTTGGACGATGTTAAGATAGAAGTTTCTATCCGCAGTGAGATTGCGAATATTATCAGCATAGTCGAAGACGCTAGACCTGGAAGGTGGGGGGATCAGGGGAGCTGCCCCCCTTGCCTTTTACCGGTGGAGCCATGCTAGGATGGGGCAAGGGATACTCTATCGATTTATTTGATTATTGCATTGCAATTTGTTCATAAATCCGCTTCGAACAACCGACAATGCTAGAAATACAATTGCCAACGTTAACGTGCATCAAGAATAGCGCAATCATCTGGCAGAAATAAAACAAATCGTCGAACAATTGAAATAAAATACCGGCGATGCATGAGATTCAATGTTCAGCTGCAGTTTTTTTTAATATTAACTCTATTACGTGTGCATCGATACGGTGTGTTTTTTTTCTTGCATAGAATTTATTATATAACACCTTAGAAGGTTTTAAACACTACCCTTGAGGTTGCTTTCCACTCTCGCGTTTTTTGCACGTACGAACACTTAAAGCTTAAAACTTTCTAAGTTGGTATATAGCTAATAAATTCTATGCCAGAAGAAACACAAGAAATCATCAACAGAATCCAATCCTATGCAAAAAATACGACAGTGGAAAGCAGCCTTTAGCAGCTTTAAAAATTGTATAGTCATGCATATATATGTAGGTATATATATGAATGACCTTTTTTTCGTTATTTTTTATACCAGATTTATAGATATGAGTATAATTGCATGGCCCTTTGTACGTCATCATTTATGGCTTCCTGACCTCCTTTCAGTTTATTATACTAAAAGCTTGCTGCTAAAAGCGATTGCTGTGATAAACAAACACTGAAATGGTTTTTTAACAGTTTCACGTGCGCGTAAACATGTGTTGCAGATGAGGTAAACACGACATGCATGATTACTGATTGCATGAACGAACAACAGAATGAATTAGTGGATACTATTTAGTGGCTTAAGTAATTTGGCTTCTATTTGATCAGATGTTTTCCTATTTTAAACAATGCTGCAGCTTATAAGAAGTTCAAATATTTCAGCACACGTTAATTTACGCAAGTAGAAAAAAACGCTACACTAGAATGAAGTAGCCTCATAGATAAGAGTGGCCTGCAATATTCGTTTAATTTCGTTGATGAATAGTGTAAAGTTTCCTCAACAACACAGAATTGTATTCAGTGTTTCAGATGAATGAACTTGACTTAAAATTATTGTCTGTATAAACTCGTTCGAGACAGTTAACCCACATATCCTAGTGAAATTTAAGAGCTATTGCATGGTCATGATCAAGTTCAGCATGCAAAACTATAATCTTACTTAAGCGGCTGGAATCTGTTACGAAATGGCCCTGAGTAGCTAGCTGACGTCATAGACGTAGATTGCGTCATACCGCGTTGTTGAAATATTGAAGGTTTACCTCCAGTGGAGCTGTTTAACGAAAAACACTTTTCGTGATATTTACCACGGTTTGCTCTATACAGGCCACTGTCTTCCTTAAGTAACTAACTTTCAGTTATCTATCAGTTCTAAACTGTTGTTCTTAGAGGTCCAGTAAGGATCACTCTCTTATTGATCCAGTGTTACTACAGGAGGAAACCTAAACTAAACTAACTTTATTTATACTGGATAGCTCTATCAGTTCTAAACTGTTCTTCCTAGAGGTCGAGTAAGGATCATCTCTTATTGATCCAGTGTTACTACAGGAGGAAACCTAAACTAAACTAACTTTATTTATATTGGATAGCTCTATCAGTTCTAAACTGTTCTTCCTAGAGGTCCAGTAAGGACCTTCTCTTATTGATCCAGTGTTACTACAGGAGGAAACCTAAACTAAACTAACTTTATTTATACTGGATAGCTCTATCAGTTCTAAATTGTTCTTCCTAGAGGTCCAGTAAGGACCTTCTCTTATTACGTGATATCTTCAAACATCTAGCTACGCAAATTAATGCGCTTCCGTGCATCGTATAGAGTTCAGAGGCAATAATATTTGTTTTGAAGGTTGCCATGGGAACGAAGTATCATTCAATTATATCATTCAAAGGCTGTAATTAAACAGATCTATATCTGTGATTTCACCCTCTTTGTTAAGAGCACAAAATTACTAAATCACCTATGTCAATCATTTTAAAAGCGTACCTGTATGAATTTCTAGAATTTTTTAAAACATCGTTAGGAAGAAACGCCCTCCAGTAATAATAATGCCTGACAATTTCTTGATATCAACTCGAATGGTCAAAATACGTGAAGAAGTCTAATCAGTAAGACTTTTCTATGTTCTGGAAATAGAATGGAATATTTTTTGACAATGCATCTTTTGGTAGAAGTCTTCAAATTTTTCTCATTCAAACGAAACCAGTATAAATAAAGTTAGTTTAGTTTAGGTTTCCTCCTGTAGTAACACTGAATCAATAAGAGATGATCCTTACTGGATCTCTAGGAAGAACAGTTTAGAACTGATAGAGCTATCCAGTATAAATAAAGTTAGTTTAGTTTAACTTTCCTCCTCTAGTATAACAATTGAGAATCAAAACATGTTTGATGTTTATCAAAAACAAGGCTATAAATATCATAATTATCATAACACGTATATAAGAATTAAGAACATTTTTTCGGTTGAAAAGCATCCCAATTCGTTCCATGGTCTAAGACTCGCCTCTCAAAGCTCAGCTTTCAAAATAATTGTATCTCTAGAGCAATCATGGCTGTCGTTCTTGACTTCAAGAGCTTTAAGTTCAAGTGGCTTGTGAAAAATCGAAAATCGGAAATTTCGTCGTTTCAGAGCGATTAGTGAACCTGCTAATTAACGCGTCTATTTTTGGCCGTAACTAGAAAGCGTGCTTGTGCGTGGTTTGCCAGCGGTTTGCGCTTTCATGATTGTCTTTATCGAGAGGTCCATATAAAAAAAAACGACGGAAATATGTCCTTGTTCATTATTGAATATTTACTTATTTGATTAAAGATAAATTGTCCAAACAAGCCATAATATAGTCAGAATTCTAAAAGCGCTTTTTCAACAACATGTTCGACTGTTCAAATTCGCACCCAAAATGTCTGAGCATCGATGAAAGCTATAGTATGTTGTTGTGGTTTCTTTGTATCCAAAAACTAAATATATATTTATCACGTAACAATCTAGTCAATCATTCAAATCATGATCAAGTTAATTTCAACACCACCCACAGGTTTCACACAACTCAACTCTTCACCATCAATGGAACAACTTCTGTTGCAATGCTACCATCAGGACCTTTGACCAGAATGATAACATTCTCATTCTGACCTTCTCTACCACGTTTTCCTCCGCCATAACGAACAGCGACTCGCAAATACTTCTTGCTTCTAGCCCTCGCTGTCAATCGTCTGCGACCAAGAAGCGAAATCTGTAAAGGCAAATTTTTATGATGGGTAAACTTCGAATGTAAAGATTTCTTTCGAGACTTGTGGTACTATAAGACGGTTGGTTTACACACAGACTGTTATAGCCCCCTAGCTTCGATTAACCTCAATGCATACCACCGGAAAGATAGTTAGGTTCACTATACTGTTCGTAACAAACCGTATAAGCTAGGTTTGAACGTCGGTTCCATGCACTATATCATAATATCTGAGCGGTTGTATAAAGAATGAAGCCATTGACTGCCTGGCCCTACGTTAATGTCAGGAAGGTTTGTCACGCTTCAATGTATATTTTTTCTTCCTAAATTTTCCTGTAACAAACAATGACTACTTGATACTGCTGTCTTTAGCCTCGTTGTGTGGTGAAATGTCTCAACTTAAACTTCAGAAATTGCGAAGAAAAATATATTTGCTTCGAAGCCGACATGATTAAAAAAGCAGGCTTTAACCATGTTTTATTATAAACGTTTCTGTGTTCAACAGGGCGATGTGTATCTACTCTTACTAGTTACTAGAAACAGGAATGAAAATAAATCGCCCTTTGGTATTGCTTACACTATATCCGAGAGTATCTTTGAACGAAATTCGGAACACTTGATTTGAGTCCTTTCCATTGAACAAGTACAGCATAAGGAAGACACTCCCCCCTGGTCTGATGAAATCTCCTCTTGAATTATAGAATTTTTTAAGAACCAACGGTTTAACTTCATCTGGGCGCTCCGAGACCCTGGTGAAGACTTTGTTCTTCTTTGTCATCCCTTTCAACATCATTTTGAATTTCTCCTTCGGTGGATTGAATGTTACGGTGAAGTATACGCCATCGGCGCCGTTCGGTGTCGGTTTCAGGTCGGGGATAAGAACCTCGCCCGAGGTATCCACGATGTCAACGCGTAGCGAATCTTTCTTAATTTGTTTCTCTCCAGCCATCCTAAGTTCCACCTCCGCCTGTTCACCTTAATGCAATGAGACACTGTCTGTTATTTATTGACTGAAAGCCTCGAATAGAAAAATCACCTCTTCATCAACAACATATGATTCTCGCCCCACGCTGTTGCCTGATTTCAAGCAACCAGGGGCGCTGGAACAACGCGAAGACAATGGGGCATGTGTGCCCCCTCCTTACTCCATCTCCCTTCCTCCTTACTCCCTCTCCCCCCTTCTCTTTACCTTCTCTCCCCCTCCTCTTTACCTTCTCTCCCCCTCCTCTTTACCTTCTCTCCCCCTCCTCTTTACCTTCTCTCCCCCTCCTCTTTACCTTCCCCCCCCTCCTATTTACCTTCTCTCCCCCTCGTCATTACCCCTCTCCCCCTCCTCTTTACCCCCTCTCCTCCCTTCTTACCCTCTCAGAAGCGCTGGAACAACGCAAAAACAATGAAGTATGCCCCCCCCCTCAGTACCCCCTTCCATCATCGTTGTAAGAAACAGTTCTGATAAGCTGGTCACTCACCAGCCAAGGGATATTTCAGGTCAACTTTTCTTCTGTTCACGCTCTTTTTGAAATCGTGTTTAAAGTTGATATTTTCTTTGCTCGAGACTTTCACGGAGTAACGATATTCTCCAGCACTCACTGGGACCTCGAGTTTCCAATCGCCATCAGCAGGCAGATCAACGATGTATACAGCAGCATTAGTCATGATATTCTTTCCCTCGTCCCATGCTATTCCCGAAGGTGCCCGAAGACTGACGTCAGTCGCGCTGTTCTCGGTGGTTGTCGACACAACCAGACGGTCGACGGTATCGTCAAGTGCGATAAGGATTTCATCAACTGTGCTGCGTCGTCGCCTTGTCCTCGCCACTGATTCACCAGTTTTTACCGCCGCCAAAGTACCTACATTCATCCCGGATAAAAATTATGCTATAGCTTATTGCAAAGAGGAACTTGAGTGTAGTTTGCATATGCACCTTGCTATATGCATTTGAGCGTTAATATACGCTATTGCATCTAGATAAAACATATAGCTAGTGACATAAACTATCTAGTTAAACTATAGCTAGTAAGTCATCAACAATTTCTTCATAGAAACCCACCTAATTTTGCGTCCGTGAACTTCGCCAAGCTTCGCAATTCGTATTCTTCCATTGGTAAATACTGACCTCCAGTTTCCGCGGATAACTGTTTGAAAAGCTCGAAGCCTTTGAAAGGAAAACTATCGCAAGTTTCGTGCGTGAAAAAGTTTATGTTAACTTCATTCTCTCCAGCAAGTGCGATGAGGCCGTTCAGATTATCGTTTTCATCGGCATCTTTTGGAGGAGCATCTGTGAAAACAATCAACGGTGATCCCAATTCCGGACCCTCTTCTATCGCTGCAATCATCCCATTGAAAGTGTATTCCGGGCAGTCTCCTCCGCCACTGGCTTTCAGATTTTCTATTTCATCTATGAATTCGTCCACTTCTCCCTCGTCTTTATACGTTAGATTTGATTGTTCTAAAATACAACGGTAGCATTTCACAACCATGGGAATTGAGGCGTAGTTATGGTAGTAGAAATAACAACTTCAACTTTGTAGGCTTGTACCTTCAATTGGGTCTCCAAATGTTGACAGAATGTAATTAAAAGGTGGATTTCTTTTGTTGTACGAGCTTATTTCAATTGCAATCGCTTTGGCTGATTGAATCTCGTCATCCATACTTCCTGTTATATCAATGGCAAACATTAAAGTTTTCCCACCATCCAAGCCAAGAAGTTTTGAGAAATTTTTCTCGCCGATATCTTTCCTCACTTCAGCCAGGAATCTCTTCGGGTCTATCTTTGTCGATCGTTTTCGTCTACCAGAAGCTCCTGAATTGCCTTTTCCAATCGTACTAAGAGCTACAGCTACGGCACGTCTTGCAAATTTTATGTTACCAAGATTCACTGCATCTTTTATATCGTTTTTCAGCTCTGGTAATTTATGTTTCTTTCTAAAATTGAAATATATCGCATATAGTCCATAAGGGTTGGTAGGTGGGGGATTTGGGTAGGTGGGGGGTTTGGGTTGGGGGGAGGGATTTGGGTAAGGGGGATTTGGGTAGGTGGAGGGCTTGGGTTGGTGGGGGGATTTGGGTAGATGGGGGATTTGGGTAGGTGAGGGTTTGGGTAGGGGAGATTTGTGTAGGTGGGGGTATGCCAGGGGGTAATGTTAGTTGGGGGTAAAGTGGATATGAGCTGGGTAAGTTGGTGGTTGGTTAAGGTAGGCATTTACAACTATTTACAAACTTGGATTAAAATCCTTCTTGAGGCTACCTTGAAAGATCAGCTTGAGCAACAGAACGTTCGATCTGGTAAATGACGTCATTGACCTGGTTTAAATTTTTAGGTTTGGTCGTGCTGTTGGAAGTCAGTATACTGTTTTTTATAACATCTTGAACGACCTCTGTTATCACGGAGCGTGCTTCATCCACTCTGACCAAATGTTTTGGAACCACTGGCTTATCAACTACAAGGTAAGTTTAAAGTTTTACCTCATGACTTCAGAGAGATCCCAAATGAAATATTAATATTCATTTTACGGCAAGTAATTTTCACTCTTAACGAACTGTGCATGTCTCTAAACCACTTTTCATATAATATACTTACCACAAAGCCCGCACTTTCGTGGACATTGATACCTGTAGTTAGCGGATAACTTGCAAAAGCTTGCTGGTTTTAAGGGGCAAATCGTGTCTTCCAGCTTCGTGCAAAAAGGTTTTGCTGTAAAAGCAAAAAATCGATTACAATTGAATAGTTTGTACCTCAGTGAACAGGAAATAAAGACTTGGCATTCGCCTCCGTCTTTCAACACGATAAATTGTTTTTCCGAATTGTAACAGCATGGTGAAAAACATCTCAATCATTACATCGCAATTTCCTGAAATCCTAAGTAATCTTTCGTAGAAATCGCCCCCGGACGGTTGAGCAATATGATCTCGCGTTTTCATCCCCGTGAAAGAAACAGCCACATATTTGGTTGTTTTCAGAATGTTACGTCTGTCGTTCAATCAACGCAGAAAAACATTGTCAAAAACATTGGTCATGGGCACACCACTGACCAAACTAGCCTGCTCAAGCCAGGCGTAAAATATGCTCCATTCATTGACTTCACGAGGATAATTTTATGTGCGTAAATTTAAGCGATCAACTTAATTTTGCGGGTTAAAAAAAATGCAACAAGTGTGTGGGAATAATTCGGGCCTTTCCTCTCTCACCTGCATCAGAGGAAGTTTTTTACTGAAGCGAGTACTGACCTATACTCAAATTCTATCTCCAAACGCGATTTTTTTTCGGCGAAATTTTGGAACGGAAATGCAAGCGCGTTCAGGAATTGCGTCAATTAATAATTTCGCCGGCTGGTAAACGATAAAGGCGAGGAAAGAATACAATAACCGCAGAAATAATATAGATTCAGTATCAATATAGTTGAACCACTGAAGTAAACTTGCATTCCGCTGTACACGCAGATCGATGATATAGGCTTATGTCAATACAGCTGTTTACACTGTCGGGCGTAAGTAAACACACGTTTAAAATTATTTGAATGATACTTGTAAACAAGTAAACAACCTTATACGAATAGATATTTATATATATGATTATATAACATAATTTTGTATATATGCTAGTTTTACGGTACGGACGGGACCAGTCTGAAAAGAGCCATGCAATAATCATGCATCGCTTGCCTGAATCTAGATTATGATCATTCATTTTATTCACTTATGAAAAGGGTTTGGTACAAGTTGATGATTTTAACGTGTTTCCCTAACATGATATAATATAAGGTTTTTTGCTAACTTGAAATTAACAGCGTAATAACGTGGAATATGCGATAATCTTTCGCGTGCGTGATTGCACGTAACGTAAAAAAAACACGTCACACTGAGCATCAGTCGTACAGGATGCAATACAAACATTATTGCGTTTTGTTCATACGAATGCGGAAAATATGAGTTAAGTTCAGTAGTATCACGTTATAGAACTACGACGTGGATAAATGTGTCACTATTAGTTAGATTGTTCAGTTTCTGTTTGATCAGATGTTTTTCCATATTTGATCAGCAATTCCATTATGAAGTTAGACTTCGCTGCATGGGCATTCATGTGGGTAGGAAAGAATCTAGGAGAGCGGTGGAATAAGACAGAAGCACCGACAGGAACACGATATGAGACGAATTATTACAGATAAGAGAGATTTCAGATTTGTATTTCAGAGACGTTTGTTTGTACGAATTTACTATACGACTGGCTGACATTGCAACAGTATGGCTGAGGCGTTGGTTGCATGCGTGTTGCCTCGAATGTATGAATCAAGCCACTTTCCTGTCTTTCCACTATCCCTGTTCTCAATAATCAATATCGTCTTCACACTCAGCATCGCGTTCTTATTGTACTGGTATTTAAAAAAAATCATAGAATGTTGATAATAAGACAATCTGATGAGTACAAACCTGGATTAGCCAACAAAACTTGTGAAAACACCGTGCCTTCGAGGATGAACGACACGATCACTAAACTGAGCAACTTATTCATCTTGACACCGCTTCAGTTTCTCATCTGTTCGAACAGTGTTCAAATCTCTGCCTCTTATAACCTTTTCCTCACGTGACAAGTTGTTTTTCCATTGCCTTCGGGTCATCTGCAAGTTCTTGAGAAGTATTTAGTTACCTTTCTGATGGGAAATTGGGCTGAAGCCTCAAAGACTAAGTGAGTGAGTGACTGAGTGATCTCTAACATCCGCCAACTAGATTATCTGATTGCCAGTTATCACAGGTGCTGACGGATTTAGTGCTGACGGATTTAGAAAACAAAGCATGATTTGCCCGCACGAGCAAGAGAAACTAATGAAAAAACAGCTCTTCCAGCTTCTCTTATCGAAATGTACAACAATTCCAGCAAAGTGTAATCCGATATTTTCTTTAGGAATTTGAGGTGATTACACAACCGTGATGTGATTTGGCATGTCTAAACAAGGCACCATATTTGTTTTGATTTTTATTATTCTCACCTAATTCAACGATGGCTGATACTTCAAAAATCCTCGCAACGATTTCAACTAGTCTTTCCATTCTCGGTTGTATCGTAATCTTCATCGCGCATAGATTTTGGAAGGATTTACACTCGAATTCACGTAACATTCTTTTGTACATCACAATCGCCGATCTATTTACAGCGATGGGATATTTATTCAACCTTCAAAGCACTTGGAAAGATAGCTGTGTGTTTCAGAGCTTCATAACGACAACGTCAAGTATGATGTCCTTCTTCTGGACCTCTTGTATGGCGCTGTATTTACACGTCGTGTCGATTAATGCAAATTATGAGCTTGGTAAACGCATTATCTTCGCGTTCCATTGCATAGCGTGGCCTGTACCATTACTGGTCACGCTCATCGCGTTGTTAGCTCATAAGCTTGGCGAAGGATGCTGGAATAACGACTGGTGTTGGATTAAGGATCTGGACTGTTCTGATAATTTAAACTCGACAAGTGATCCTCGCTATGAGACAGTTTCTTGGATGCTGCTCACTGGGAAATTATGGGAGATATTGTCTTATATTCTCATTCTCATTGTTTATGCTCGGATATTCATGTATGTGAGAAGGCAACGAAAATTGGTAAGAAATGATATATATTTGTTTTGTCGATATTGTGTTTTCCTGTCCATTTGTACTCACTTGTAAATTGAGCCTTTAATCTGCCTCAAGGGTCAGCAGTTTGTGACCGTGAGTGTTGGCTTACATCAGGGACTTGGAAGCAGTTGGGAGTTGAGTTAGGTCCATTGTAGACATTCTTTTGACAGAAATTTATGAAAAACCACTCTTAACTCCTAAATTACATTGCCAGGGTCAAATTCTAAGAATGAAATAAGTTTTAACATGCTGGAGCTTGAAGCTAACCTGTCATGTACAGAACGCGCAAAGGACAAAAGCCTTTGAATTGTTGATAGATTGAAATCCCTGGCTCGGCTGACCGTATGAATAAAACGATTTACTAGCAAATTCATTTCCTACATCAAAATACTTTTTTGTTTCGATTCAGGTGGAAGAGCAGTCAAATGCAATGTCAGTTGCACGTTTTCGCGCTGTTGAAATGAGGACAATCTCAATACCTATTTTCTTCATATGCATTCGTATCTGGGGAACTCTACAGTTTTTTAATTATGCTTTCACTGGTGACAGCAATGAAATCGCTGGTATAAAATATCTCCATGTAAGACTATTTAAAAGTACTTATTCTAGTCTAGTACTTATTGTCAGTTTTGCAAACTCAGTGTTTCACCTTCGACCTTCCTCATTGTAGTACTAGCAGTAGTCTGACTGAGTGCTGACTGTTGCTACTAATACCAGTCTGACTAGCCCAGTACTTGCTGCTTTGCAGTGTTTTATTCAGTATTTCACTCTAATCTCATCCTTTCTGGCTCAACGCCATAATGTTATTTGGTTTGTTCATCTCATAACTCCTAGTCTAAATCTCAACGTCTCCTGCTAAATCTCAACTTCATTGATGAGAAGTTTTGTTTTTCTAGGCTTTTGGTGACGGAGCACAAGGCTTTGTAAACGCAGTCCTCTTTTGTCTGATAGCTGACAAGTCGAAACTAATTTTTCTTAAGTGTTGCCGTCGCGAGCAAAATGGCGAACGACAAAGCTTACTAGCGGAACGTAGAAGTGTTCAAAATAACCCTGGCAGTGGGAACGTTATCTGATACGATCTTAGCTCTAATTTCACGACGATCTATTTTAATTATCAAGTTCTGAGGTATATTAGACTTGTACTTAAACCGCAACCTATTTCACTGGAAACACTAAGTGCTCTTACGTCTGAACTAATCTCTTGGCTTCAGTGTCCGTTTCACTCTTTCGTTCAACAACAATATGAATGGAATTATTTTCGCCTCTAAATATAGATTATTTCAATGCAGTATAATAGAATTACTTCCTTTAATCGTAAGGAATAAATGAAGCCATGCATTTTAGACAGACGGGGAAACAAAGAATGGAAATGTATCAATATTTAATATGAAATGCAATTAAATGTTTTCGTAAGGTGCTCTATGTTATCTTAACCACTGATCAATTTATCGCATGCAAGTGAACTATACATCGCCAAAGGACAGGATGCGTTTTAAGATAACATCAGTTAAGATTGGTCCTACAAAGAGGTGTAATTGCTCCACCATGTGACTGTAATTTTACTTGAATACGACACAGACATGCAGTCAAGGTCGCTGAAGGGTTCATGGAGGCAATATCAAACTAATTTTATTTCTATATAAAACGGATTTGTGAGTGTATGAAAGGTGCTCGGAGCATGGAATTAATTATTCTGACTGAATGTCACTTCTTGTCAGTGAACTCCTTTCTTGAAGTTGAGAGGAAAATATTAGTTTGAAATTTAAAATGGAAATTAGTAAAAAAATTGAGTTGTTAATTTTTTTCAATTAGGGATCAAAGTTATAACCCCACGCTGCCGTTCAAACTCTTAGTGAATCAAGATAAGATTATATATGTATCAATAACTATACATTGTTCATTTAAAGCTGTTACGGGCACCCTTGTCTCCCGTTTCAGACGAGAACTCGTTGCGTTCTGAAGCAATCATTCTATCTATCATCATGCAATGTGTTTCAAATTCTTTAACTCGACGGGGTTTTAAAGTCACCTCCAATTTATTCACAGCGGGTAGAAACACTGGACACATTGATAAACACTGCAAAAGATATATATTTAGAAACATATATATAATGGAAATGTTAACACTTGCTATGGCCTGATTAAGCATTATTTACACTACGCACAATTGTTACGGATAGAATTTTGATTTCCTAAAAGCTAGTCAAATTTCAACTTTGTTTCATATTAGGTTTGGTGCGGATAAAATTAAGATTGCTGAAATTTGGAATGGGCGAATATCGATCAGATATTGATCAGAACTTAAACTGTTACTTTCCTTCAACCACTTCTGACTTAAGTTCCACAAAATGGCAATCTGAAATGATATCTTTCCCTTTCTTAAATACAAAGACGACTAGCGGAACTTAAGCATATCTCGCAATTACAGACTGCTCGCATAAAGAAAAATCTAATCGTTCCTTATTCCTGCCCTGTTGGCTTGGAAAGCGTTCAAACGCGTGGTAATGATACAATTCCGGTTATTTTTGGAATAATTTTTGCAGGAACATTGGAATACTAATGCACACGTGCAGTAATTAATCACGCTTTCCTGACGTGGCACCCCTCTAATTACTCGATATATTGATGTTTATGCTTTGATGTCTTTTCACGTCGTAAAGTAAATATTGTATCGCATTTTTATTGCTAATTATAAAATGCTGAAAAATTTTAGCCCTTGGAGATCAAGTTCTGTGTTCCCTTTAAAATTTCGTCTTGCATTCGAGCGCGTGCAAGCGCAGAGAATATATAGATTTTTTATTGTGGTGGATATATAAGAAAGCACGTTTTATCTTCGAGGTTTTGAGCTCCTTTCTTTCACACTGAGGACTGAAAACCCCAGGAACTACTGACAGCACGCTTGTGCATTGTCTGAAAACGCCGCATGATTTCAGGAAGAACGTGTCTATGATATTGTACAAAAGATTGCCGTTTTTGTTTGCAAAAATTTGATTTTAGAAATTTGCGTTTGAAATCGTGAGGTTCAGTACTGACCAGAAAATATAATAAGGCTTATATTATAACCTTATATCAAAAAACGAAATCATCGCTGACTCTTTACAAAATATATTGCATACGTTGATAAGATATTTTTGTTATTTGTTGAATGAAACTATCACATTTGGAAATATTTCTTTATCACTAGTTGCAATAAATCTAAAATTTTTCAGGCTAATATATACAAATTAAGCGCTGTTATAAATCAACGATATCTTGGGGTGTTTAAAAAATTAATCATTCCTTGTTGTGAATTTGTTTAATATAAAAGGCAGAAAGCGACCCTTGTGATTCGTGCAGAGATTAAAATTTGATATTCTGTTCTTCATATAAATAATCCTTTGTGTATCCTTCACCCTGTCAAATATAAGACGTAGATATTTTAACGAACAAAGCACGATATATCATACAATTGACACAATGGACAGTTTTCTTGTTTTAAAAAATCATTTTGTTTGCATTACACGTGCAGATATTTCCTTTCTTCAAGATTTCGTGTAGGTGGGAAAAAATCCAACGGCATTGTCGCCCGCAGGATTCATCAAATTAAAATATTGCAATCACATAAAATGGCCCTCAACAACAAATTAAATCATTGTTTAAAGCTTGTGTCTTTTTGTAGCGAATTAAAACGGATTCGCATAAATTGTCTACCGCTAATGAGTCGTTCCCGGCGTTTTAGAAAAAAATATGCAGATATTTTATTAGCACACCTGCGCTTACACAATTACTCAACAGCGATCTGCATCAAAAAGGTGTGATGACGGATGAATAAAACAATGAATATCATACAAACTACAGAGGTATAAAAAGGCAGTGTATACTTCTAAAATATCATACTTGCTAGGCTATAGGATAGAGTTAGGTGGCCCCGAGAAAAAAGAAAATTTTCATACAACAAATCTTATAACGCAAGGACGAAGACTTGTTGAAAGTCAGAGAGACGAATCGTTGAAAAACTTTGACGCTGAAATTGTTGAAGTTTTCCGGTAGTTTTTGCCGTGAAAAAGGGCTGCAGGCAAAGGTAGCAATTTGTGTCAGAAAAGCGGTGAACAAAAAGAGGAAATGAATTTTGAGAGCGGGGAAGAAGCGTCGGGTAGCACAAGTCATTCACAAATCGCTGCCGAGAAAGTTTCGGAAAGCGAAGTGAAAAATGATGGAGCGACTCTGGGGTTGTCGTTGATTAAATTCATGACGCTCGCGACGGGAAGTGTTAAAACCGCTTTGCAGAAACCTGCAAACTACAAGAAGAACATCAACCACAGACGATATCTACAAAAACAGCTGAAAATTTGCCCGAGACGCAAGAAACGGAGTGGAACGAAGGCAAAGACTGGACCGAAGGTGAAAACAGGAGCGAGCAAGCAGGCGCTTGGAACAGCAACGCAAGGCTGGTATCGACAAACAAACTGCCATGGCGGATTATACATGAACACGAATCCAAATCAAGGTTTTGCAACTAATAACAATATATATTTACCTCGCGAAGCTTCTGGAAGTGAGGTAGGCTTAGGAAACGCAGAGTATCACTCTCAGGAAGCATTCGCAAATAGCACAAACTTTCAAAACGGGTTCATATGGAATCAGCAACAGACTGACTGTTTTGCAACTCAGCAAATTCATAGCACGTCATCTTATAGAGATGACACAATGCCTTTTATGTTGTACGAAGAAACGGAACAATTTCTGACAGGAGAAGAACTGACTCATGCTTTGGATATAAACGATTTGTTTGTTCCCGAAAGATCGCAAGAGAATAACGAGGATGTTTTCAAGTATTCGTCTTGCACTTTAGATGAAAATATGTACAATATTTTTCAGACTGTTCCTTCGACCACAAGTATTCTTAGTTGGTAAAATAGTATTGTTAAGTATGTAATAATAAGAATATATAATAATAGTGAACAATAATCTTAATATGATGTGTCTGAACTTTTATATTTCTCTCTTTTCTAAATATAGTCTTTCATTTTTTCGATGCATCATTTTCGTCAATCTGCGTCATATTGCATTTTTTTTTAACTGAATGACCTAGGTGGCCAATTAAGTTTTAAATATAAAAACTTGAATTTGCGTGATGAATAGATAAATAGACAAGTGACAACTGTGTCATTCTCTTGAAACTTGGATTGCAGTTCGGTTAAACTGTATGTTTAACTCAGTAAATCTGACTAAAACCCGTTTCGCGCGATATTTGGTACGGCTCGGATGAAACTGGCACCCGTATCTTAGGCAGTCCAAGTACTTGTAAAAGTGGCAAGGCCGGAACTTTTATCCGAGTCGTACCAAATATCGCGTGTAGTGTAAACGGGGCTTTAACCGCTCAAATCCACGGCTTAGATTTTCTGCAGCTTATCCTGATCAGACTGAAGTTGGTTTTTTTAGGAACCTCTTCTTGTTCAATGGAGATTTAAGTTATGTATATTAGTGTCAGGAGGCCGTTTTAGGAAACACAATAAAATGTCTGGAGCATGTTTATATTATAAAGGAACGATCATGCAGATCTACAAAGGGAAAATTGCGACACACTGGCCGCTCAGCACAAATCGTTTTTCAGAGGAAACCCCTTTAAGGGTTCTATGAGTAAAGACCTGGGTACGAATTGCGCTCTTCCATATTCGCCACAACTCCTTATATCGAGGAGCGTATTTCCGTCTACACACGCAAGATGCCTCAACGAATTGTCGGCTAGTAATTTCGCTTTATAGCTGCTTAACGTTGACAATGGCGAGTTGTGTAGCGAAAGATGTGGCAGGAAATTACTACAGTGTCTTGGAAGACGCCTGTGATGCTTATCTCTGTCGTCTCTGGCCAGAATGGAAGACAAACGAGCGAACTTACATGTTTCCACCAGCCTTCTCGTTTCGCTATGCAGCGCCAACAGGCGAAGCCTCTGGAGCTGTTCGTCTCAGCAAGTCTGAAGAAATAGACTTGAAGGGAGATGTCGCTGAACTTCAGATATTTCGCTCACTCGATGAATTTGGAAGAAAAACAAAACAACCAATGGTTGTTATCACGCAATTTAAATTCAAAGAATTCATCGAGGAAGTTCTCCTTCAATATTTTCCTAAAGAGGAAGTGGACGCTTTGTTTGCTAACCTGAGCGAGACTGATCTCTCCCGAGAAATTGATTTCCTAGTAATGCACCGCCGTGTCGGCTTCATTCTCATAGAAGTTAAGGCAACCGAGAAGTTTAAGTCCAACCGGTACCTCGATGCCAAAAAACAACTTGAGGTTGGAGAAAGATTCATAAACGCACTGTTGTCAGCCAAAGGTTTAGACATTCCTATTTACAAGGTGATTGCAATGCCCCACGTTGTCGACGAGGGTCGTGACGGATCGGGACTAATCGATTTGCGAAAGATTCATTTGAATGGAATGGAAGGTGAAGAAGACGGTGTTGGACATTTTGAGATGTGGTGGGCGAACCATTTCATCGAGAAATCCTTTGAAGACGACGAGGCAGAGTTTGTGAAGATGATTTCAATATTTGTTGGCGAGCGAGCGGCGATTTGCGCAACAGCGAAGATTCTTAGCGGAGTGTTTAAAAGCATTGATGAGCAACGATTTCTGGAACGAAGCTACGATAAGATGATGAAGAGAAAGGGTTCGAGGAGTTCAGATGCTGTTGTGAAGACCACGGATGTGCAAGGTCTGAGTATTCTTACAAAACAGTTTCTGTTTTTGAACGTGGAGCAGCTGGCTTTATGGAACGGCGCGAAGAAGCAGCTGTTTTGTGGCGCGCCTGGAAGTGGTAAAACAATCCTACTTCAACACAAAGCTTTAGAGTGTGCCAAGAAAGGAGAGAAGGTTGTCATTCTTGTTCCACCACCGCTTGACAAACTCTACAAAGAATTCTTTTCAAGAAATCAGATAGACAATAACATCTTTCTCATAATCACCTTTGACAACCTGGCTTCAAAACTCTCCTTGGTACCCTATTCTCTGGTCGAGCCATTTCATATCTTTGTTGACGAGTTTCAAACTCTTCTTGTAACGAGCAAGATACTCCTTGATCCCTTTACACAATTTCTGGTCGAAAACCAGTCGCAGGATTATTACCAATGGATAATATATGATGTCAACCAGATGATCCTTACCACTGACGAGATGTTTGGGATCAAACGAGATTGGAGCTTCAGCATTCCGAATTACCTGTCAGAGCTTTGCCGTGAGAGGAACTTCCACCATGCATCCAGCCTCACAACCGTCATGAGATCCACTTCTGAAGTATACGAGTTTCTACAGCGTTACCTGAGGTTCTCCTTTGGTAAAAAGGCCGGAGATGGACCGCAAATACCTCAGCAGTATTGGCATCATCCGGTCCACCTTGGCCATCAGATTTGTGGACCTCAAGTCATCGTCGAAGGAAAGATTAGTTACGCGTCGTACGAGGAACGCTTTGTTGACTGTTGCAAGATGATCAAAGAGGAGATTCACGAATGGGCGAAGGAGGATGATGTGTTTTTTTATCAAAAAGTTGCCATCTTGGTGGTGGCTCCCAGGTATTTGGATACTCTTCATTCTTTCATGCTTCGTGAAGGGATCCCAGTGGGTCGTATCGGGGAGACGGAGAATAAAGTTGTGCTGGATTTGGCTGATTACGCTCGATCGTATGAATGGCCTGTTGTTATAGCAGTTTGTGGACACGTGAAAGACATGCAGAACTATATTCCAATCTCAAGGGCTGTGACTCGTTTAGTTATGCTATGGTGGAAATAGAATTGGCCAATTACATTACCATCTAAATTATTCCACCTTTTTTTTCACCTCTCCCCCCTTATTAGGCCTGGATCCAAGCTTTTTGCTCTCCCCACTCTGAAAGGTATCACCGGAAATGTTAACTGGTCGCTACACTCCTGAGTTTAAAAAACAATAAAGTGATATCATTTTAAAGTATTCGTTTTTTATTCATTCATAAAAATGGCCACAACTGTAGCTACGTCAGTGTTATTACAATCAAGGTATTACAGTATTATCAAATAGCAAATATTAAAAATGTAAGTTCCCTCTCTAGTGCTTGGATTATATTACATCCCAGTTATTTTGTGTTTCGATTATGTGCATAAATGAAAGCAGTTTAACATTATAAGTATAAGCGAAATCAGTCCTTGTTTAAATCCAAGTCCTTCATGGCATTATCGAAATTCTGAGTGTCATCAGTCGCATCGGGGTAATATGTCTTTATTACTTTTTTAAACTCTCTGAAATTGACGGTGTACAACTGAAGCTGTATGTCACCAATGACACTCTCTTTGAACTCTTTTTCTTCCTCTGTACGTACCTTAGCCTTCTGCGGATCATATACATCAACTTTGCTTTCATCCTCAGGCCTTTTCTCCAAGTCACACATTACGACATGACCAACAGCCCCACTGGCCCACGTCCTTGCAAGAATCAACACACGCGTGTTGTTTTTCTTTTCTTCTACGATTTTCTGCCACGCGCGGTGAATAACTTCATCACGATCTTTGGCTGCCATATCCTTGGGGAAATCAAACACTTCTTCTAGTGGTTGAATTATGTTGCTCTTTTTGAGGATTTCCAGTAATAAATGACAGTCCAAATCGCCTTTATCAATTCTTCCGTGCGCATTGTAAGTTAGAATTTTTTCTAATTTCCGACGACAATTGTTTGAACCACATGCACATTTGACTGTTAACGAGGGCAGTTTTTCTCTACAAATCCAGTATAGTGTGTCCATTACACAACTGTAATTACAAAGTTCTCCTGTCTTGAGTTGCATTTCAAATACTATTTCTTGCATCTTTATCCGCTCCTGTAGAATGTCTACCTCCCCCTGAAGAGACTCTATCTCCGTGTAAAGACCCCTTATAGTCTCAAAAGCTCCACTTAAAGTTTGTTGCAACTTCTTAATTTGACTTTTCCGTCCATTAATTTCTTCTTCCAGTTTTTTCACACGTTCTTTCATACTATTTCTTTCTTGCAAATAACTTTTAACGCCCCATAACGTTTCCTGCAACACATGTTTTAACTTCTCATTTTCGACTTCCAGCTCTCTGATGCGAGACTCTCCCAATCCTTCTGTCGATTCCTGTCTTCTTCTCGCCATTTTGATTATCCTTTATTGAAGTTTGGATTTAAAAAGATCTAAACAGGAGAAGTAGATTAAAATTTTTCAATGACATGCCATGCAGGGGCGGGAACGAGGGATAGGAGTGAGGTGTTGTGCCCCCACCGCCCTATCACCCCCTCCCCCCATAGCCATGCAGCCTTCCTATGTCCTAGAAAAAGCTGGCTTGCGAGTTTGCCTATGTCTTTGATAACATCATGCAGTGAATAAATCAGTGAATAAATATTTAATAGGTTACTGGAAAATATTAACACTTGCACCCAATCGGCATCAATCCACTTTTAAAATCTCTTATATTTTGTGATAAAAAAACTATAAGACACGAGGGATTGTAAAAACGTCTCTCAGAATACTTTACGTTTGCATTTGTTTTCATAATGTCCAGTTTAAGTTTAAACCTTTAATCAATCCATAGTTAGTGCTATCTTAACCTGCTAGCAGCCTGAAATATGCCACCCCCTTTGAAAACTCCAGGTTGCTAACAAAGGTAATGCTATACTGACAACGCTTAGACATTGACTACTTGTGAATGTGAAAGTTATTATTAACCAGAGCGGTGGCATATAATAGCAAAATCCTTTGAATAAATATCGGTAGTGATACAAACTCATAAGGTCCGTCGCTTAACCGGTTGTAACCACTTTCACAATGGTATATTCATCCAAATAATACAGGTTTAATACAGACAAAATTGAAATTGACCCATTGAATTTGAATCCTCAGGAAAACATCATTGGTATAAGTACCATTCTGCTTCATGCTATACTAACAGCACATGTATTTTTTTCGTTGCCTAATCGCCACTGCAAGTTAAACTTGATGGAAACACGCTGCAAACCCAGTATTTGAACATACGTCGACGATGATCAACACAACTACCACTTCCGTGTGCTAAAAAATTAATATCTTTTGACTTACCTTGCTCTTGTGGTTTCGATTATGGCTGTTTACGATTTCCTTCAACTCGCAATCTCACACCTTACCGGGAGATATATCTACAAATGTATAAAATATTTGTTCAAATTTGTGCGAAAAACGACACAATTACGGATTACATGCAGACTCTCTTGTTAGTCAGTCTCGGTGGCCTCGCTTGTTTGGCTTGAAGTGAATTTGAGCTGGAGAAAACCCTGGTAATGTATCACGTATTCTAAAATTTGTCCTGATGACAAAACTAGTTTTTCATACGAGATGATTGCCCATTTCTTTTTGAAATTAATAACAGTAAAAGATTAAAATGTAACTGCACAAGACTAGTCATGAAAACGAAACCACCAAATTGGTCTGGTATTTTGGTTGTGAAAAGTATCTAAGACCTTATCTTTGGGCTTAAATCTCACTATGTATGTGCTCTTCCTTCAGATGCGATCTTGGCCCAAATATCTTCTAAAAACGTACCAATATTTTATCCGAAAAGTCCTCGAAGCAGAAGCAAAGCTCAATTCGTGTCGAAGTGCCGCTTGAACAGTGGTGAATTGAGCGTGTGTCTACATCACGAGATCATTGAATCTTGACTAGCATTATCATGCAAATTCAGAAGTTCAAAGTTTAGAAATATTGAGAAATGTGTTATGTGTAAGTGTCGTCAATTAGACTACGAAACGAAATCAAAGTTTTTAACAAACAAAGAACTGAGTCATGCTTTTAATAAAAAATATGTACAATGATTTTTAGAGAGTACCTTAAATTATCCTATGACAACCAACAATATTTATCTTATTCCTACCAAGAATATAAAGTTATCTTGAATTACACGAATTCCTAGTCGGTGAAGTAAAAATCATTAATTTAAATAGTACAGAATATCCAATGGCAACGAACAAACATATTTAGAGCCACAGGTCTTCATGAATTGCACTGATAAAAGCCCGGGTTTAACGGACCGAAAGCTTTGCAGTATTAAATACTTACGTGGTCTACCTACAAGCTAATTTACTTATAAGAATGGTATTGTCTACAATTTGTAGACGTTAAAATTATCAATTATGAATTCTCGATTTCACTTAGTTACAACATTTTCACAAATGATATATACCCTTTTACTTTAACCTTTTTTGTCACAGGACTCGTCACAGTGAGGCTAACACTAAACACTCGATGAGTTCATTTATAAATATAGTTCATGTCGCTTGTTTATAAAAATAAGCACAGCCACAGATGCATGCGTCACTAAAACACTGAATCCCATTCATCGTTATACGCAAAATGTCATCTCATTTTTCGGATCATAATATACGTACATAATTGCGAATATTCCATAAAAGCGTTACCTTTTTTCTTCAGAACTTGCAGTATGTCCGGGACAGAAGCAGGACAGTAAAAAGTGAAGGATAGACTGTTCCTGCATGTATAAGCATAAGACCGCAGGAGACTGACAAAATATTTGGACGTATATCTGTCTTGCATGGGAGTTTACCATCATCTAATTTCCCTCACTCCAATGTTTGTGGTAATTCCACATTCGGGAGAGTGGGAATAGTATCACTTGTTAGGTGTAGAGTTTTCCAATGTCTAAAAAGGATTGCATGTAGTACGTCGATGTCAACAGTGTATAAAGACAGGCCACTGTCATTCTCAACGTAATCTTTAAATTTCTTTCGATCCTCGTACCATCCAACCTGTGCCCGTGGATCGTAAATGAAAATGTGTTTCCGATCCTTCGTCGTTTTTTCTAAGTCACAAATCACACAGTGACCAAGCATGTTAACATCTTCATGCCACTTCGCGAGTATTAATAATCGTACGCGCTGTACCTGAATAGCCATGATGTCTTCCCACACTTTATTGATCATCTCAGTACGAGTGGAATTCGGGTCATTGTAATCATATTCTTTTCTCTGCTCAGCTACTCCACATTTTGTAACGATGTTCATTAATTGGCCACACTGCAAATCTCTTGTATCAGTGATTTTTGGGCCTGCATACCAAGTGAGGAGTTTTTCCAACTGCCGACCACAAGGAACGAGCCCAAGTTTGTGATGGCAAATCCACAGTAATGTACACAATACGCAATTATGCTTGCACAACTGACCTGTACATTGTAAATATTCGATATTTTTATACCAGTTTTTACACCACAATTTATCCTCGCGACTTTTGGCCATTTTTACGAGGTTTTCGAAAGCACTTAAAACATTTTTAAACTCTTCTGTATCTGGAATTTCTGGTATGTTGTCGTCGTCGTTGCTTTCTGCCATGTTTAGCCTAGAATGAACCAGCAGATAACGGACTAAGATATTGGTAAATGTTATTAAGAAAGAATATTACCCTCTAATTGACTATAACTGTTGATCCCAGCGAATATTATTAATGTTAATATAATAGATAGATTAATGACAAAAATAGTAAAATGGATCTTGGGCATCAATTAATAATCTTCAAATGATTAAATGAAAGTTCATTTTCTGATGTTCAAGGGAAATGCAGAAATTTATTTTGACCCATGAAGATGTCATAAGAATATCCCGTTGCATTAAAGATAACCTTTTTATATGTGAGATCTCGGCACTCTAACACATTAAGTTTATATTGCTAAAGTAATTTGGGCACTTGAAGTTTGAATAATTAAGATCGACAGGAAATTCCGGCGAATAGCATCCTAAGTAAATTTCCCGGCGTCTGCCCTGTACGACTGCCCGGTGCTTCATTTCTTTAAAGAGTTTAATTACAATTCGCATTTTTCAAAGCCTCTTTTACATACGAGGTGAAGTTTAGCCACTATACTAAATGTGTTTAAATGTGAATAGCATAATTTCAAAGTGAAAGTGAAAGTGGAATGTTTGTGGTCGACTGTAACGTTTTATCTCTTTTGTAGCTTTGACCAACGGTTACCCTACCTCTTATACCAACACAGAACGATTTCCCCGGGAATTTGGTGAAGTAAGAATATAATGAAATCCCGAAATAAAACAAGCGAATTGCTCGGCGTTCTGAGCGACTTCCGTGTTACAAATATTGAACAAAATATCAGAACATACCTGTCGTTTTGTTTGATTTTAAGTGTGTACTACTCAGTTCTCAACTTACAATCGCACGTCTTCCCTTAAGTGTAATTCGGTAGTTGTATTCTTTATAAAAAGTGACTCGAAAACTTTGCTTCACTATAAGCCAGTTTAAAAATTACATATATAGATGTTTGCATGTGCATGGCATCGCCCTGACTCATTCATGAATGACATGCAAATTGCATTATCGTGTCCGCATCATAAGTCATAACAAAATCAATCTAGAATTTTTAATAAGACCTACAAAAACGTTTTTGTTATTGTTTGGTGCATGCAGTTGCATGAATTGATATGAACGTAATCAGTTTCAGTTCAGGTTACTATATGCTAGAACATTCAACATCTGTACAATGTGTAGTTACGTTCATTTTAGGAGTAATATTTCCGGATTATTTCTTCGAACTGGTTGAGACTGACGGTGAATACTCGAAGCCCAATGTCATCTTTTACACAACTTCTGAATCTTTCTTCATTCACTTCATCTCCTAGAGCGTTCTGTGGGTCATAGATATCAACCGTGTTTTCATCCTCTGGCCTCGCCTCCAAATCACACACTATAACATGACCAACGAGTCCCTCAACAATCACCCTCCCAATTATCAAAACACGTATCTTTTCATGCTTTTTTCGCATAATTTTTTTCCATGCATGGTGTATCTGGTCATCACGATCTCTTCCTGGCATTTCCTTAGGATAACGATACCTGTCCCTTTCTTCGTGAACTATTTCATTTTTCTCCACTATGCGCATTAATTGGTTACAATCTAAATCTTTTTTCTCAATCCTTTCAAACGCATTATGAATTAAAATTTTTTCTAATCTTCGACGGCAATTGTAGCGACTACAGGAACAGTTGGCAGGTACTGAAGGCAGCTTTTCTTTCCAGATCCAATATAACGTGTCCAATACACAACTGTTATCACAAACTTTGCCTTCTACCTGGTACGTCTCAATCATCTTCTTGTGACGCTTAATATCACTTCGCGCCTTGTTTAAAGTGAACTGTGCTTGCAAGTACAGGCCAGAAACACGCTTCAATCTATCTTTTAGCCTTAGAATCTTCTTTAACTATTCGTTAACTTTGCGGCTCATGCCAATTACCGTGTGAGACCAAAATAAATTTCCGCTAAGCCTTTCAATATCAATTCCGTGTGCGCAATCGAACACCTCTCCTAGATGGAAAAATGAGTTCTCAAAGGGCATTTTACCTAATGAAATGTCAAAATGTGCAAAAGTAAAAGCTACAATATAATCTATGTATTATACCTCGATCAGCATCAAGATCTCCTGTGCTACTGAAGTATTTCATCGCCCACGCTGTTTTGAAGTAACCTTCCCGCGATTCCTCCACAGAGAGTCTATCTGACATTTTGCTTGAAGTTCCAAAAAAATCTATAGTACACGGACGAAATATCGGATTGAATAAATCAAGGGGTATGTTTCACTGTGAGACTAATTGTCTCAAGAACATAATTTGTTTAACTATATTGTGCTACATGGCAAGTATCACTCGTTCATATAGATTTTAGGTTGGCTAAATTGCTCTACAAGTTTAACTAAATTTGCATGAAGGCAAATTAAAGCCGTCTACTACATCTCGGTTGATTCTCAACGCGCCTTCCGACACCCTACCGCTCATAGTTCATCTACAAATCTGTAATATAAATAAGACTACAAAGAGTCTATCGGTAATTGCTTATCGCTTGGTCAGACTTAAGTCGAAATGAAACTCGAGAAACCGTGCCGCATTCTAAAATCTATATAGCTAAATAGTCTTCACACAAGAAAAATGCATCTACCATTCCCTTTAGAAATTGAAAGAGATATAGTAGAATATCAAAATAAAAATGTATGGTTATCAGTTATGAGACCTTTTATTATGTCTGATATTTTGTTTAAGAAAAATATATCATTTAGATCTTACCTTTTCGTTTAAATAGCTATCACTGCCTATCGCCTCTCATGCATTTTACTTCGGAACTTGACAAAAATCTTTTCTAGCAGTATCGTTAGAAACACCAAAACTCTGAGGTGTTCAAAACTCGACTGCAACAGGCCAACTATCGATTTCTTCGGCTG